TTTTTTTTTTTAAACAGTCCTCACCATTACTGGTTAAACTCGCTCCATTGGCTTGTCGCATTGGACAATATGCCAGGAAGTCCCTTGGCAATAGTACAGGTAAAGGTGAATAGCCCGGATTTTTGGACAAGTTTACTCCTGCTAGGAAATCGAATCTCAGCATTGGCCCTTCAAGTTTAGCAACAACCCATTGAGCCATCCTATCCTCTCCGTAAATAATTTCTGCTCTAAATACGTTCCAACCTAGGATGTTGGGTCGATCGTTGTAGATTCAAAGAATAAAGAATCGAGTGAAACGATAGTCTTGAAGGGATTCCATTCTTATTTCAAACCATTACGCCAGTCGTTTGCCAAGATATAATAGTTTTCGATAATCACCTACTCGATATACTACCTCCATATTTAATCTCATTCCAGTATCGATTTTTTCCCCGCCTCGTGATTTGCTAATCTACGAAGCTGTCTGATACGTTCTCTATGACGGCGCGAATGGAAGTTTCGTCTGAGACCCAATTTGCCTTTTTCTGAGTATCCTTATATCCTAGAATGGATAAAATGGATCTGGCTGACCCTGGAATGGGAAGAAGAACAGTACTTTCTGGCAATCCCAGGCGTGCTAAGATTAAAGTCCTTTATGCCTCATTATTTCAGCTTGGAATTTACTGCCTCTGAATCTTTCATCTTAAATATTATGTATATTATATGTATTATATAGGTAAAAATTTTCGAAGTTGCTCTGTTTTTCGCATTTTTGATCTTATTTGGATTTTGATTCCAGCCATAACATGGTCTAAGCCGTGAAGATTACCAGCTTCGACTCCACTATATGCGCGAATATATTTTATTCGAACGTTGATTGCATGGGCAAGTTCCATATAACTAGATATGATTTCTGAATTATCGGCCACAGAAAATAGTGGGGCATCTTCATCTTCATGTCCAACATGAGCAATCTTTGGGCGACCAGGATTGTGTCTTTTTTTGGAAGAATTACTGCTAACAGGGTAGGTTCGTAGAATCTTTTTTGTATTCCGATCATCTTTGCAAAGCGTAAGAGAATAATGTTGTAAAACTTGCTTTTTAAAATGACAACCGTAGACTGGACGGGTAATAACTCAGGATAATAGTTCCATGCAATTGGAGCTGATTGTACCCTTTCTGAGATGATAATCGTTACTTTATTTCTTTTCCTGAGTTATCCGAAACCACTGATATAGCCAGTAGTTCTTATCCGAACCAATTATAGTTACTGCTCGGAATCCATAATCAGAACCAGGAAGACGGATTTCCGACATGCAAGTATTCATGCTAGATTTGTGGATGGTTATGGCCTGCCTCCTCATACCTTTCAACGTTCTGGTGTTCCACAGAGCTAAACCTCGCAGTATATGCACACAGAACCGATTGACTTTTTCCCACTTCCTTAAGTGGGTCAGAGCATCTTTCTTAACTCGAGACCGTTTATATGATCGTTTTTAATATTGCTATGTCCAAGGCCGGTTCATATTCGCCGCTACGAATCTGGGATATCATACGCGGAGCGTTTAGCCCATCGGCCTTACGGGGGTTTAAAGAATATTGATGGGCAATTACTCAGCAGCTGCTCGATTTAACCTTTAGTAATAGGTTTTATTCCCATCCAAAAATTGTGACAATTGCGAAATTATCGAGAAATGAAATTGTAAAAGATAAAATTATAAATTATAAAAATGAAGAAAACAACCGTTTACAATAGATATAATTTCGTAGAAGCTGTAAGGAGAAAATGAAAAGGTCATTTAAAGTTGTAAAATTAAGATATATGATCAAAAACATATTTATTGGCTTGCTGTATCAGCAATTCTTCATTACCTCTGTTTAAAATTGTTGATAATTGGTGAGAAAAAAGATAGTGCGTGCGATATATTTTCTATCTCGTTACTTGATTCTGCTCAGAACCATTGCATAACAATTTTTTAAAAAAAGTTTGGACTTCTATTCTTTTTATGGATTAGCTGATAAATAAATTTTGTTACTGACAGAGGCAAAGCTAAAGAGATTTCTATCTAATGGATCGAGGTAACTGATTTTTTTCAACTAACTAAATATTTTCTGCAGTTTCTTTGCCCATCAATTGAGAAAACTTAGCTAAAAAACTTGTGTTGCGCTCTACGGTATTTGTTCCAGATGCGAAGCATCAAAAGGCATTACTTTTACTACTTTAAGTTACATTTCGCTGAATGCATATGGAATTGTTTGCACATCTGGAATAAATTCCGTAGAGCCCTAAATATCGAAAAAAAGGAGATTATTGCTAAATGTACAACTAATGGCATTAGAAGACATTACTTTTACTACTTTAAACTACAAATGTTAAAATCAGCGATTTTTTGTGTTGTGCTTGATGTATCTCTGAGTATCTCTGAATCTCTCTTCCTTTTATTGGTAAACAATATTGGAAGTTTTAAATGCAATTTCGTCCATTTCGAATGTCCAGATGTTCAGATGTTTGAATATTTTAAAATAACTTCTTGGATAACTGTGGATAAATGGTATACATATGGCCAACCGAAAGAATTGGTATCGTTTCACCCATGCAGATTGCTTTACATTAAATTTTTCTTACTTTGAAACTACAATTTATATTTATATTATATTTATATTTCTGCCATTATATATTATATTTATATTTCTGCCTTTATATATTTTATAGTTTCCCTGCATTGTTCGCCAATATTTTTGCCGAATTAACTTTCAATTTGCGGATGCAGGTTGGTCACTCCTTAATGAATCAAGAATCGTTTTAAATTGTTCTCTCTAAAGTTTCCTTTTTCTTTTATCTTAAAAGGTATAAATTCGTTTATGCGCCATCGACGCTTTTCATTTTATACAAGGAAAAATTGAAGAGGAAACTTTGAAAAATTGAAAATTGAAAAATTGAAAAAGAAAGAAAGATTGAATTTTTGCAAAATATATGCGAGAAAGAATTAAGCAAAGAAGAATTAAGAAATTCATTTTTGCAATTCTCATTTGTCAATTTACATCATTAATTTAAGCTTTCGAAAATAAAGATCAAATTTTGCTCTATTTTGAAGGTATCGATGAGCCAGTTATTTAGGCTTGGATAGGTGCCCGAAGTTAAGTGTCTTTTATTGTTTTTAATTATGGCATCGAATCAGGTGGATTGGGAAGCGTTATCATTGTAATCAGTGGAGTTAATCAGTATAACATTCGAAAAAGAAGCAGGAGGACCGAAAAAGTTGCAGGAATTTGGTTCGAACTTCTACATATCTTATAAACAAACGACGTTGCTAGATAAGCACAGTTTGTTTCGGTCCTTTATAACTCGCACATTTTGTATTCCATAACTGAAATCGGGAAACGCCGATATAGTGCTGCTGGCTGAACCAAATGTTACGTTATTTTGGCCCTTCAGTCCAATTTAATTTTTCGCTAAGAACAAAGTTATTATAAATGCGGCATTACGGATCCAACTGACCCAACATTTATACCACCCCGTAATTCTATGGCAAAACCGCCACTTCTGCAACCAACGGCGAAAGGAAACCAAAAATAATGAAAAGCGCTCCTCGATAAAAATGCAACAATGTGTTTATGTGAAAAATAAAGGGGAAAAAAGATAAAAACAAAGCCAATCACGGTAGCACTTGCTTGCGCAGTAAATCGGATTCTATGTTGAATATGAGGCAAAACCTTGCTGGAAGTCCAAGTGTGTCGCAGTGGCGAAGTGGATGTTATTCAAAGTGGGGTTGCAGTGTGAGGTGCCAAGTATCGGGGTTCGGTTTCGGTCGCAGACCAGCTCCGGATTGCCTTGTCAGTGGGCAGTACGGCGTTCTTTTCTGCGTAAATTAGAGGGGAATTGCAACTGGTGCAGTCGGTGGTGTTGTTCACTTTGCACCTTACAGTTTCTCCCAACAAATCTTACCTATATTTCAATGTTTCTCGTCAATCAGGTTGAAGGGTTGCGATTTGTATTGCTCGTAATCAATTATTTCGTTCGAAGCAAATATTACTTTAGACTTCTTTATTACCAAAAATGGTAAAATTTTTCACTGAACTTTTGTTATTTAATTTCTAAATTTTGACAAAAAAATGAACTTTTTGACAGAATTAAATGATTTGAGGCAAAAATTTTCGCCAATCATTTTATGTCCGATCTTTATTTCAATATAAATAGAAAATTTAAAATTAAATCATTGAATTTTATTTTTATGAAAAACGAGAAAATTGGTTCGAAAACGAAATTTTTCCAAAAAATTTCAATCTATGAACAATAAATTAATAATTTCAGAAAAACAAATAAATTTCATTTATTATTAAATATTTTGATTTTGTACTCTTCGGTTTATTGTAATAAAATAAAATTATTTATAACTATAATTTGTGTTTTCAGCCATTTTATTGTTTGTTTTGTATTTTATAATAATAATTGGATTGTTGCGAATTTTTTTTGCTATTTTTTCCATTTTAATAATTTGGAAGTGCATTTGAAGTGCATTTATCAACCGAAATTTTTAGTTTTTTACAAATTTATTTGAACAAAACTTAATTGACGACCCAAGGGAGTACATTCAACTTACTCGCGTATTATTTATTAAATATGCGTCAATATAAATTGAAAGAATTCCACTGATATAGAAGCAGAGCAGTCCTTAGTTTGCCGAGTAATCCCATTCACCACGGCTTTGATTCACTACAGCTTGACGAGAGTAAACCTATCATTATTATAAGCGGAAGTCACGTCGTGATGCTGAGAGACCAACCTGCACTTCTTTCTCGAATAGGTTCACACTCTCGTTCATAGTGGTCCATGAAACCAAAAATGCTGGCTGTTGTTAGATAATGATAATAATGGTGGCTTTCACTGCAGAACTGTTTCAAATATAATGAATTCTGTCGAGCCTCACATTCTCCTATGGCAATAATTTGAATTCATTCTACAGTTATCGGCGAGCAAAAATTGGTTCAAATAAGGGTTTAAATTATGTTTTCAGGCAAAAATGAATTTCGAACTGTTTACCTTCTTTCTTATTGCTTTGCTAATGATATATAATGTCAATAGCCAATGGCCGTGGTCAGGACCAGATTTCTGGCATAGACATGGCCATGGAGGTGATGCAAAAATTTTGCCATTGTTTTTCACAAAATTGCACTTATAAGGAAAAATCAGTAGGCTCAGTACCAAAGCAGTTTATGAAATATATTCAGAGAATCAATATCGTAAATTATTGCACGGCAATCGTTTATTTTTAATCATTTTAACAGGAATTCTGCAAGTAAATATAAAATGGAATTCAAAATAAAATTTATTTTTTTAAAATTTTCTGATATTTAGGCCATCATCATCACGGAAGAGGAAGTCACGAGATGGGAAACGGAAGAATCGGTGGTCAAGGACAGTTTAATGGTGGAAGCGGCTGGGGAGGCTCGAGCATGGGCGGTGGAACAGGAGGATGGGGTGGTAGCCAAGGTGGAACGGGAGGATGGGGTGGCAGTCAAGGAGGAACAGGAGGATGGAGTGGTGGTCAAGGTGGAACGGGAGGATGGGGTGGCGGTCAAGGAGGGACGGGAGGATGGGGTGGTGGTCAAGGTGGAGCAGGAGGGACGGTTGGTGGTCAAGGTGGGACAGGAGGAAGAGGTGGTGGTAAAGGTGGAACAGGAGGGAGACACGGTTGACTTTTGCGATATTAAGTTTCACTACATAGTTTTTGTAAAAAAAATATGTTTTGGATGCAAAATAAGCTAGAAAGGAAAGGTACAGAAATTTTTGGTTCCTAAGTCCAATCTAATTTTTCACCACTGAGTTTCGCATAACTTAAAAATTCATAGTTGTCTGCTTTTTTCATGTTTGTTCCATGCCTTTATCACTTTTAATTCAAATGCTTATATTTCGAGTAAAAAAATTTCTGATTATGTGTAATGAATATTCGCTATCGAATAAATGTTACATCTTTCCTTTATTTGTGGAGTATTAATCGAACTTTTTAGGAGAAATTTCAACTTGGCCGACTTTTGTTTTGATTTTTTCTAAAATTTTTGTCCGACTGGTTGGCTTCCTTTCGTAAAAAAACCTTTCAAAAAACTTTTCTCACAAGTCTGGAAAAAAGAAATTGAAATAAAAATTAGTTTCAGATATAAATAGGGAATTTCCAGGATTTAAACTTAGAGCGATTTCCAGAAAATATTTTCTTTGCTGGGACGGATGGATTGCTTTTTTCCTACGATTAACACTAAAATAGGTGGGTCAAATCCATATATTATATTCTCATTTCTAATTTTAATTTTTATAAATCACTTCATTTTTTGTGATTTGTATTTATTATAAAAGATATTATGATATAAAAGATTTTGTTTTGTATTATGAAATTCCGAAATATTATCATTGCATTTGTGGCCAAAAAGGTTTGGAAAGTGATGGTTATGGAGAATTGCCATTCTCTCGCAAATTAAATTAATATTTATAAATTAATTTATAAGTTATAAATTTAAATCCTTTGAATATTTTATATTTTTTTTCTCCAATTATTACTTATTTTATTTTTGAAAACATTCAGGTTCATAGATCGGTGAGATTTGAAAGACTCACTATATAACAAAGTTTGACTCGCACCATTTCTGATTTGGCTGGCTCCGTTGGCTATTAACGAGCTCGACTGGTTCATTTTTGCCTAAATTTACTGCTAATTCCTCATTATAAAGCAGCACCCATCAGAAAAATTACTGAAAAGATTTTTGTATGAAAGTGTTTGATTGCTTTATTTATAGGTAATTACCGCATATTCTGTCTGCTTTTATGCTTCATTTTATGTTCGAGTAATGCTGATAATGAACCTAATATCGAATCGTTTCGAGCCGAGCAGGAGAAATTATTGCGTCAACTTCGCTTTTTGAGCTTCGGCAATCAAGAAATTAAGAATCAACCGGAATTTGTAGCGCTGAAGCGAGTTATTAGAGAACCACCACCATATGCGGCCTCGGGAGGTCGCCCATCATATGGAAGTAGACCACCTTACAGAAACCCACCACCTTACGTAGGACGACCGCTTTACGGAAATCCACCACCGTACGGCCATCGTCCACCTTACGATTATCATGGAAGTCGACCACCATATGTGCATAATCGTTTTCAAAGAGAAATGCCACCAACTGATTATGGAAGATTTTCCAGTGGTTATGGAATACATTCCAGTCCAATCGGCGGTAGTGGAATATATACTGGAGCTATTGGTGGCCAAGGATCATATAGCGCTAATAGAAGTTCAAGGCCACATTATTCCGGTGGCCGTTAATAAAGAATCGAAAATCCAGTTGTAACAGAAATTTGTCCTATCATTTGCTTCTTACATCGCTTTTTGTGAATTCTTCGTTATTTAATAAATAAATAATCGAATTGCTTCGCTTAATAAAAAAAATAAAATCGTTCAAACGAATCCATAGTTCAGAAATTCAGCGAATTTCAGATTTGTGGTTGTAATTTACGATTTTATAACATTGTTTCTAATGATTGATCTAACTGTTTCTAATGATAATAGAAAAAGAGGAAAATGATAAGGAAAACTTTATCATTTCTACCATGTTATCAAAGCAAATAAACGTAACAAACATCGCTGAAGTTTAATCAAATAAATTTACAGTTATTCATAAATTTCATGTTTTAATATGATAAAATACACTCTACTAATTTACCACCAGCGTCCTTATAAACAGCGATTTTGGTGATATTTTCAGTGAATAGTTAATTCATCAATTTTGACTATAAGATTTTGCTTACAACAAGATTGATAGTTCGAATTATTAACAGTGAATAATGAAGGTTATAAAACAATTTTATACACATAAATTTTATAATCTTATTTTTAATGATTTTAATTTTTATATTTATAATTTATAATATAATTATTCATAATTTATACTTTAATTTTTGATAATTTTAACATTATAAACGAAGTAAAAGTTAGATAATCTTAGTTTTAATCCTTAAATTCTTATTTCAATTTTAATTTCTAATTTTCATTTATCAATTTTTTTAAAACTTTTGACCGTTTTGATGGGAACTTCACAAAATTTCACAAAATCAATTTCACAAAATAATAAATTAATTAAAATAAAAAAGTAATTAAATTAATAAAAATATTATTAATAAAAATTAATAAATTGATAAATGAGGATGGTGACAAAATGTCAGCAAAATTCCATACTTTCACCAATTTCATATTTGATCGCTTCATTCTTGTTTTTATAAAAATCAAAGTCTTCCAAAGATGATGAAGAAAAAATTATTTCTCATTAAATTTGCTTCGTTATAAAAGTACTAAAATATAAAATTAATATTTTCGCTTAAAATATTCAATCAGATTTCCAATAATAGCATAGAGCGTACACCACGCATCCTCTGTTGCCTCATCGATAATTTGTGTTCCCGATTTAAGGACTACAATAAGCTCAGGTACCATATCCTGAAATTTGCTATCGATGTGTATAGTTTCAGCTTATCTGAATGCACACTGGCTAAATATTGCACATCTAATGATCATCTAATAATGATCCATGACATGACATTAGCTCAAGCTTGAAGTAAATCTTACATTAAAGAAAGCTTTTTTGCAGCTTATAATACAAACATCCATTCAACTAAAAAAGATCACGAGAAACGTTTTCAGAAAACAAATCACGTTTTTCTATTTTTTTTTCTTAATTTTTCTATTTCCTAATTTTTATTGTGAAGTATGGAAATTTAATAAATATAATTTTTCCTATTCTATGAAATGGTCTTGAAAAAGGCTTTAGATTTATATCTTCAAATTTAAAATTTAAAAGAAGAGATAAATTTTAGGAACCATTTTTTCCCAAGGTTCACCATTTCTGGCTTAGTTTCTATGGGAGTAATATATTTTCGCCAGAGATTTACTTCGAGATACAAAAGATGTAGATGGGTTTGAAACATCGTCCAAATTTTGCAGATTATAGAGGAATTACACTTATCAGTCCATAAGAAATTGCAAACAGTAAGTCTTCGCACTCTCTCCCCCCAATATGAAGAAAATAATTTTCTAAATACTCACCATCACATTTTTCTTGCTTATTTGCCATTTAGCATGAGACTGGGAGATTTTTCTGATTGCAATTGATAGACGAATTTCATCGTCCATATTATCAATAATATGATTTAGACCTTTCATATAAGTCAAAGCGTGTGCCTTAACAACATCAGAAGAAATTAAAGAACTATCCGCGACGGGCCGAAACTGTGGCCAAATTTTCTTCAGTTCTGGATGTTGGGAAAGAAATCTTAAATTTCAGTGATTTAATTTTAGCAAAATTATATTTAATTTAATTTACTTGATAGTAATTTAATTTTACTTCATATTAACTCATTTATGAGCATAGCTTTCCTTTATAAAATGGGCAATCGCTATAAATTACGTAATCGTGACCTGAGGATAATGAGGACAAGTGATAACTCCCACGATCTTATTTTCATTCTTTATATATCTTTTTTATTGCACTAAAAAATAATGTCACTCATGAAATTTTATGAAATTTTATTTTTGAGATGTAGTTGATTTTCACGCAAAATATTTGCATCGGTTTGTTTTAAATGGTCTAAAAATAAATATCATGAAAATGTTAAATTATTTGTAAATGTTATTTGCCCGTTTATTTTTTAACTCTATGAATAATAAAACTCAAAAACTTATTTAGGGGCCCACAATAGTTTCTACAGCTGTGCAGAGAGAACAAAGGACTAAGCCAATAAATGGTTTTTTTTGCAATTTTTACCTGACAAAAATTGCCCAACCATTTCTTAATTCATCTTGTTTCAAATATTGCATTGATTCTTTGATAATTCTTCGTTGATCGAGAGTTAAACGGGCAATCTCACGCGAAATTACCAATTCTAAAATCTATTTTTTATTTTAATCTATCATTTCTACTCAATTGATTATCTGGACAAAATAACAGAGTGGTTTAGATTATCCTGTAGAGAAGAAAGGGTTCCGCTGCTGTGCCCGACAGGAGAGTGGAGTGATCTGTCATAGAAAATTCTGCTGGGCTAGTTGAACTGATCTGTACGTCTGTTATCAAGTGACTCTCCGAAATTTCCGTAATAATAGCCCTAGGCAGTAGTCTAGCCCATGCGGAAATAATGAGCGATAAGCACTTATGCACTTTCTTTATCATAAAAACGACTAAAATTGATAAATATTATTATTGATCATGCGCAACAAAAAATCTCCAAATCGAATTAATTTAATTTAAATCAAATTTAAAGATGGATTGATAAATTTTTTTGGACAACATGGACTATTTTTGGTTTAATTCACTGTTAAGCCGATGCCATTTTGTCACCATTTTGAGGCAGAAATGCTGTCGGATCGACAGCACCATTTGAATTTTGGCTTCAGTAATAGGTTTACTCAAAGGAAACCAACCGAATGATTGAGCCAATTTATTGCGAATTTTAATTAAAGCTAACCATCAGAGGACAACTGTTCCGCTTTTGCATATGTTTCGAGTCGTTTCTGATCTTTCAAAACGGAAATTTCGAGTTTTTTTTCCATTTTATTAGTTATATATTAAAAAGATTTTCATTTTAAAAAAATATTTTCAAAAATTTCCGAAATTTGGAAAAAAAGAACATTCTTTTTCGTGAACTAATTTTAAGGCTATTTATGGCTTTTACTGCTTTGGCATCTTAGGCATCTAATAATTATTTTAGAAGCTTTTCTCGTTTTCTTAAGAAAGAAATCAAATTTTGTGATATCAAGAGAAAAATGATGAATTCTACAATAGTATAAATTCGCTTTAAACTCAAGAATTCTAATATTGAACTTTGGATTCCACAGAGATAAGTAGTCCCACTACTTCATGTTAGGATAGTTCCGCCGATTATTAGTAAAGTCAGAAATTATTGCCGCTAGGCGATTGAATTATACGTGATCATCAGCACTGTTTTTGTTACTTTTTTAATGACAGGTTTATAGGGTCGAGGAATCAAACAAATGATATTCGATGAGAATCGAAGGAATCACAGTATTTAACCACCCTTGTCGGTTAATTGCAAAACTAAATTATCATATAAATGTTAATTTCTGAATTTTTTTTCAAGCTATGTTCATATCAGAATCAGAAAAAATCAGAAAAATCAGAAAATCAGAAAAAATCAGAATCAGAAAAAAAATGAAAAATGAAATTTTTAGAAATGATTGAGGAATATGAAAGTAATTCTACATACTAATACTACTGAAGTAAAGTAATTTAATGAGTAAATAAAACAAATTTATTAAACAAATTTTAATTTTGTTAGGCTTAATCACGCAATGTTATTTCAAATTGAAGCAATTAATTATTGATAAACTCAAAATAATGTTAAACAATGTGTCAACAACTGCAGTGAAAATTAGACTCAAAATCAATGTAAATAAAACGAAAGTGTTTTCGTCTTATATAATAAAATACTTATTTTTGATAAAATACTTATTTTTATCAATTCATTACAATTCATCAATTCATTACCGAATGTCTTTGAATATCTTGGATCCCCTCCAATCCCAAATGGCCAGATAAATGATGAAATTGTAACCCGGATAACGACATGTATTTGTATAGAAATGTATTTTCTGGTTGATAAAATCTTTATGGAACCACCGCGAAATCACCATAAAGACGAAAATCCGCGTCCATTTAGCTGCAATTCACTCGATCTTGTTATATGCATGCAAAATGGCCAATGAGAGTGGAAGATATTATGAAGCTATTAGCCTTTGACCACCCATGTCTTAGATACATTTTACGTATCCGTCGAGCGTATAAAATAATATTTGCAATGTTATAATATTTATTGAAAATCAGCCAAGCAGGGCGCAAACGCCATGTGCTTGCATTAATAGTTAACAAATAATAAAACAAATAATGACAAAAAAAAAATAAACAATTTAAAGATGAAATAAAGAGGAAATTGCAAATAATATAATATAGAACAGTTCGAAATAACTATAATCGGATGGCAAAAAATCGAGATTTCACCCTTCCTGCATGATGTAAATTTTTTAAATCTAATCTAATCTTTTTACTACCTAATATTATCTAATATTTATTATCATATGACGCACAATCTACATCGTTCGGTAATTTATTCCGGTAATTAATTGTACGAATAAAAAATCATGAGTCCTTAGTTTAGTATTACACCTAGGTTTTAGTAATTTTAGTCTTTAGTTCTTGTTGGATTTAAATTTAGCCTAAAATTATAATATTTTGAACAATCTAATTTAACATAACCATAGAAAATCTTATAAGTATAAATTAAATCTTGTTTACGACGAACTGATAGAGAATCCAGGTTATATTGTGGAATTTTTCTTTTATAATTAAAAATTGCAATTAGAATAGAGGCGCCGTGTAAAATATTTTTGGAGTTCTTCAATTATTTTACTTGATTTACGATATCTCTGGAAGTAACATGTAGTTTTGTAGTTCAAGAAGTGGCCGAACGAACGCTTTGTACATTCTAATAAGAAAATCTTCAGTTTTATTCTCAAACGAACGAAAAATAAAATTTAGAATCTTTGAGGATATTTTAACCATGGTCCTGCAGTGAAGGTTGAAATGGAGATTTTCATCCATGATTATTCCAAGATATGTGAGATTCTACTGATTATATTACCATTAATAAAAAGATAAGGAAAATCGAAACCTTTAGAATTGGTATGAAGAACGCTTTGAAGAACATTTTGAAAGTGAAGGATAACTTGCCTAACGTAGTCAGTTGGCTATTCTGTTGAGGTCCTCCTGCAGTGGAGATAGGCTATCTGTCCTACCATAAGAATAATAAATAAAATAATAAATCATGATTATAACCATCTTCGCTCAAATACCACCTGCATTAAGAATTTATCACAAAGCGTCGCCTTCGCTGGTTAGGGCTGGTTGTTCTCCATCGCCCACCACAGGAATTGACGCACATTTCGTTACTTCCTAAACCGTGTGATGGTTGGCATCAAAAGCGAGGAGGACCCAGTCAAGACCTGGCCTGATACAGTCCGGAAAGATTTTGAACATATAGGGAGCAGCGATATATGGAATTTGACAATGGAAAAAGGAATGGCTTCTATTACTACTAGCGATGGCGTCCGAGCAGCTTAAAGACGTCTTACTCTTGTAGCCAGCGGAGCTAGCCTAACCAGTAATAATGAGAGTTGTTATATGAAAAAAAAATGTTTCTTCAGATTAATTACTGATAAAACTTCCTCAAAATACGAAATTTTTTAAGGGTGTTTTATTGAATTCTTCAATAATAAGGTTTAACTCAAAAATCAGAGTGGCAATTCACCTGTATTTCGATCGCCAAAGAGACTTCCTGGCACATTTGTCGAGTCCAACAATCTAGCAGAGCAACTCTAATTATCCATGGTGGATGCTCTTAAAAAGAAATGCCATGAGGAAAAGTTTGGGAAGCATAGCGGCAGGCAATTTAATAGCACCACTATTCAGACTTTATGTTTAGAGAAAAGATACTTTAAATTGTGATTATAGAGAATTATAAGATTTGCAGGCGATCGAACACATTTTATGCACCCAGATAAGGCAATGATAACTTTTTCCTTTCATTCCAATTTATTTCATTGAATCCAAATTCAAATGATACTAAAAGTGGACAAATTTGAGGAGAAAAATAAAAAAATTTTGATGAAGCAGCTGGCAACGGAATCAAAAAAAATTTTGGCCTCTAACTTTCTTTTCATGTGAATGACTTTCCATTTTACCGTATTGATAACCATCGCGAGTTTTCGAACGAGTGTTTTAAGAATCAGAAGAAATTGCTTTACTTTCCAAAAAATACTGTTAAATAAAATTCAGAGCTAACAAAGGATAAAATTTTGATTTTAAATGACTGAGCATAAAAACTGATAAGTTTTTGATGAAGATAGATTAAAAATTATTTATTTATGCATAAATATTTGCATAAATAAAAATTTATTTGCATAAATTTAGAATTTTTTTGTTATGAGATAATATAAAAATAATGTAAAAAAATTAAAAATTCATTGAAATCATTGAAATAATTTTTTTTTATCATTGTTATTCCATAAATTATTGAAATGGTCAAAGTTCCGTCATCAGGACATTCCGCAATAAATTATTTAGAGACATTCTTATAGTGTTCGACAAGATTTCCTATTATCGAAAAAAATGTGCACCATGTATTCTCTATGACTTGATCACGACCAATTTTTGAACGAAGAACTGAGAGGAACTCTGATAACATATCCTGAACGTCGTAAATCGTATATAGCAAGAAATTAAGCATAAAGAACAATGTTAGCTTTTGATATAGCATATCTTCTGGTACAATTTTGTTTAAGCTTAGATTTCATTGCAGTGAAAAACAACCAATTGTTCTTAAAAAGTCATAGGATAAATCTCTACCCAGATTCCACTTTTAATGGCCCGCTATCATCAGTGGGTAAAACTCAAACCCACAATGTTTGCTTCCACCAAAACATTTGTGGTTAAGACTAAAACACTACATTTAGCTGCATAAAAATAAAAAGAACATTTGGAGAAGTGGAAAAATATTTTGAAAAATATATAGAATGACCAAAAAAAGTAGGAAAAAGGCAATAAATATTTTTATAAAAAGCTTAATTACCAACCAAAATATGTTGCTTGCTTATTTGCCATTTCACGTGTGATTTTGCAATTCTTCGAAGTGCAGTAGAAAGAGCAACTTGATCGTCCATGCAATCAGCGATTCTACCCAAACCTTGCATATAAACCAAAGCAAAATTTTTTATGACATCTGAAGAAATTATTGCACTGTCTGGAATCGGACGAAATTGAGGCCAAGCTCTCTTCACTTCTGGATATTCCGAAATGAATCTTAAATCGAAAAAAATTTTAAGAAGTTGAATTCAATCAGATTTGCTTCTTTTGCTTGATGCTCAATATTTAATTATGGCAAATCGATGAATTAAGCTGGAAACGGCGAGATCAGTAACAATATTATTAACAATCTCTTTGAACTCTGGATAATATTAATTATTATACAGCACTGATGCTGAGGTTCTTCGCAAGAGCAAACTTCAAAAATCCGAGTGATGCTGGCGACTCACCTTTCTATCGTCAAGAGACTCCCTGACATATTGTCTAGTGCGATAAGCCAGCGGAGCGAATTTAATTAGCAAATCAGTTTGTCTTAGAAATCTGTTTCATTATAAAAATGAGATTAATATGATTCAGGTGTGATCAGTGGTGTTTGTACTAAACGAGGCTCATATGTCGTGATTCCTAGTCTTTAATAAAGCAATGCTGCATCAAAAGTAGAATCCGAGTGTTACTGGGAATCTACCTACACTTCTATCTCAACGCAGTCAGCCAAACCAAAAATAAGTGTTATCAGATGAAAAAAGAAGAAATATGAATTAAACCGGACTTAATTAAAATTGTCACACCGTTCGCTAATTGATCTTTTTGCAAAATCTCCATCGTTTCTTTGATAATTTTTTTTTGCTCGGAGCTAAGTCGTGTAAGTTCGTTTGAAACAATTCGTTCCAATCCTAAAAAAACTTTTCTTCTTTTCCATAAAATTATCAGAATGGCCATCAACAATTTAAAAAAAAATGAGTGCTTCGAATTTAGTTGGTAAAATTGTCATCTGCAAGGAAAGAATTTCACCTCAATAGCCAGTAAAGTTAACCGAACCAGAAATGGCGTTATTAGAAAACAAGGAAAATATAATTAAAAATACAACTACGGAAAAAAATACAAAGCAAAATAAATTTAAAATAAACCATCAAATGAATCTTGTGCTTGCAATCCCTTATCGTCGGGTTGTTTCTGTTGTTGCAAATCGGTCATCCCAAAGTCCGTTTCACTGTTTTCGGGTATTATTTCCATTTTTGAAATAAGAAATTTTTGAAATCAAAAAAATATTCGACTATTTGGGGTTCTATTCCCCACAAGAATAAACCTATCCAAAAATCTGAGTGGTGTTGGTGACTCACCGTACTAACAAAACTGATAAAACTGATGCTTAAATCATAAAATATTTTTCTAAAAAACTTAACGAAATTCTTCGCAAAAATTTCTAAATTTATGAGATTCGGCAACAGCAAAATTCGAAAATAATCGCCCTCAAACAAGGAATTTTTGAAGTAATTCAAGGAAATTTTAACTTAAAGCTGAAAATTAGGGGAGAATAATTGATTTATCGTTAAATTTAGAGCAAAATGGCACAATAAATCCTATTATAAACTCGAATGGCGAAGTCAAAGGCGAAAAATCCTTCATTCCAGAAAGTGATTTTATAAAAACCTATTGCAGTTTCAGTTTTCTAATTCACTAACCACGACGTAACGTTTAACCAAGAATGCAAAGTCAATGCGAAACGAAATAACCGATCATTGACCACTGAGATCTCTGGATTTTTAAGGATAACAAAATTGTGGATCATGCAATGTTATTACTCATAAAATTTCATGTAGATAAAATGTAATTACTCTAATTATCAGATGGTCTTTAATCAAGAAAATCTATTAAGAATTAAAAATTAAAGAATTAAAATAAATGAATTCTAGAATTACATGGTTCACCTGAAATTTCTCCTTCCAGTAACGATTTACCATTTTGACTGGGCTGCACCTTGTCATCTGGGAACTCGAAATTAGTTCCTTCACCACATTTAAAAATTTGCCGGACAAAAAATAGTGGTGCCACAACAGCATGCAATAAGCTCTTTTTTTTACACTACATGCATTCACTCCACTGATGTACACCATTTTCGAACAGAATATGTGTAAGATATTCCAACATGTAGTCTGGCAACTCATATGTAGTTAAGGCTTAGATTGCAAGTTGAATATTATGACTGATTCCAACTTGAGCATGCTATGTTGGAATCAAAAACATCATTTTTCATAAGGAAAATAAAAACGATTGGAAAAATTTTATGAGGCTTTTTAGTTCATAAAATCCATATAATCTGTACCTAATAACTATATTTAGCTTATATTTAGTCTTTTTCATGAATGGAGATTGCAATGAGATTCAAAATCTAACATTTCTATTTCCTACCCATTTCTACTTTCTATATAGCTTTGCAATTCTAAAAGGAAGCAGTAAAGAGTAAAAAAAAACTAAAAAAACTAAAACTATTTGATCGTAAAATAGATCAACAATTTCTAATGTAAATTAGTTTTTCCAAAAATAAGCTAAAGAAATTATTTTTGGACTAATTAGTTCTTTAGCAAGTCATTGAATTGTCACACTTATTATAATTCAGTTTCCTGCTAACTTTGTCCCATAAAAAAAGCTCTTGACGCAATATTTTATAAACCCATTTTAACCGCACAATTAACAAAGTACCAAAATGTGCAAAAATACATGAAATCAATCAAAGATAATAACAGTAAAATGTAGGCATGATAAAATATTAAATAAAGACGTTTTAACGCTTGCGACGAAGTGAAAGAGTATTTCTACGCAACCAACATTTTCTACGTGATCCACCTTTAGTCGCAGAATATCGATGACCTTTACCAAGACCTCGACTTTTACGCCCAGCTGACGTCAATCCACGCAATTCACGATGTTTATGGACAGGTTTCGTTATCCATTGTAGGTCTGCTGTTCTTCTAATAGCCTGTTAAATAAACATTTAATGCTAAAAATACTCCAAACTCTTAAATATGTAATTCTTAAATATGTAGAAGTTAACCTATTATTAAATATGAATATAAAACTAATAACAGAATCTTTCGAATCTTACCTTGTGCGCAGGATCGACGAGGATTACTTCAAAAAATTTATAAGTTGAGTCTTGCCCAATCCAATAAGAATTTAATACACGCAGACTTCCACAACGTCTACCGACTCGTTCCTGAACGAAGAAATTACCTTATTTTTCATTATTTTTATTATATAATTTTTCAAATATTGATTCAGTGAAAAAACATAATTTCATTCATTTTCATTCAAAAAATACGTTTGAATAATTGATAAAGAAATTACTAAAATTAATTTCATGGAACTTCAGTAATATTTTCAATTTCTAAGAGTGCCCACTATTTCTGGTTAGGCTAACTATTTTAATGCAATGAATAGTTTTTACCAGGGAATGGCTTGGCGACAGAAGTATAGGTGAGTTGCACTGACCGAATTTTTTTATAATATGCTTAATCCTGTCAAATCTCCAGCTCTTATTTTATTATTTTTCCAATATTTTTTAAAGAACTAAAATAAAATTCGATGATCAATGAAAATAAAATTACTTCAGCAACAGACTGCTTATTTCGGGCAAATTTAAGTTCATTGACACCATGATTCTTTGGTTTCCCATAAGTCTGACCTTTAATAACATGACGCTTGCGACCACCTCTTCGCACACGAACCCTATACATAATGAAACCTAAAAAAATTTTGAAACCTAATAATAATAATTTCTAAATGCGATTAAACACATAAACACACTCAATTTAACAAAATAATGTATGCAGGGAAGGAAAAACCTTGTTTCGCTCGATAACCAAGTCGTCGAGCCTTTTCTGGGCGAGTTGGCCGCGATATACGATGCACTGCAGATAACTGACGATACTGCCAACATCGAACACGAAGAAGATATCTCATAACCTAAAACACATATTAAACATATCTTTGTTGAATACCATTCTCGTGATACTTTAAAAGAATACACGAAGAAAACGAACCTCGGATTGCTTTTTACGCCATATCTCTTGCATATATTTATAAGCACCCATCTAGTCTTTCTAAAATAAATATGAAATTATTATCATCGATGGTAAACGAATCGACAGATTATGCAAACGAGGAAAGTGCCAATGAGCCTATTTGAATTGAAATGGAAATAGTAGCCAAATGAGAAATGGCAAGAAATAACGAGAAAAACTCTGTAAACAGTGAAAAATTGGTGAAGGAGAAATTATTTATAAATTTACAAACAAATTTCCCACAGTAATTCCTATTCCAATTAGCACGTTGCTTCCAGCTCCGGACGGAATTAACTAAAGAGACCCCTCACCTGAGGCGCAGTTCCCTTAGCACCTCCGGTTCCGAACGACACAACACTACTGTCAAAAAATGCCTCCGACAGAGTTCCTTCAAGCCGCAAAAAATTTGCATTGACGACATGCAACAACAGACGTGTACCACAGTTGCACTGTGTCACAGGCGAGCTGGTTCCTGAAACGAAATGCAGCGAACGATTTGATTCGTTGTAATGGAGTTGGCTGAAATTTATTGACCTAAGTAGTCGAGGTTCTAGTGGTGATTTTGAAGCACATCTGGAGGGGTCAGTAGGTCATCGGGCTACCGGGTCAAGGGACCAACGGCTGATGATGGGAATTTTTATTATCGTTGTTTTCATTTGAAGTCGCTTCTGATCGATTTAACCGATTAAATATAAAGTTTTCCTTATGATTTATCTTTTTTTTCAGTTTTTTATAATGGAAATGTTTGGTTTTGCCCCGGGGTGGAGTAAATCAGTGCCAACAAATGCACAAACAACAGGCATGCAGCGTGCCACAGTTCGAGCTAACGCTGCCCCGCCACAAAAAACCGTTGCAGCCAATGCTAATGCTTATCTTGGATCACAAGTGAAATATAAACCTTTGTCGACTGCTAATATAAATCATTCGAGGGAAACAGCGAATCAGAATTTATCAGCGATGACAGGTGCTGCTTCTGGTTATTATGATTGCGATTATTCGATGAATTATGGTTATTATAATAACCATTTTGCTGGTTATGTGCCGCTGACATCAACAGCAACATCCTCATCAACTACAAATACCATTAATTATACTCTTTATGGTCGTGGCATAGCTAATTCTAACAGCGAAGCGGGTTTTCAGAGTTCAGCCTTTCCTTCGCTTCTTAGAGGGACATTTCCGCGAAAGGTTTATTTCATTGTTCATTGTTTTTGTCGTTAAATTTATCTTTTTGTTCGTAATGTAAAGAATTATCATTATTTCGATCTTTTTCATCTCTGTTTTTCAGTTGGTTTTTGAAATTGTATTTTCTTGGGTATAATAATTTTAAATTTTAAATTGTTCAGATTTCTTTAGGGTCGCACAGTTAGTAAAACTAATCGTGATGGAGGGCCTGCAAGTAAGAAACAAAAACATTACACAACTGCTGGAAAATCGGCCGCAATGATTCTAAATGAACTTTTCCCTGCTTTCAGAGATAATTGTTCTTATGATTCGGTAACTTTCTAATTTCTTGTATTTTTTAAAATTTATTTATTTCTTAATTTTTTTTCTTAATTTATTCCTTTCTTTAGTTAGTTAATTATGAATAATACAATAAATTTTTAGGTTGGTGGTGTCGTCCCTCGTTTCAAGTGTTCTGTCACTGTAAATTATCAAACATTCAGTGCCGAAGCATCAAGCAAAAAAGTAGCGAAACAAGTAAGTTTATTAAGACTTTTGTTTATCTTTTTTTAAATATTGTTATTAATGAATTTTAAGAATAATTATAGTGCATAAAGAATGTGATTACAATGCTGTGGTTTCGATATTTTAATAAATTTTATGAAGAAATAAGTATATTTTAATAAATTTACTTTGATTTAATCTTATTTCTTTGGTTTAAAAAACAGAAATTGACGAATTACAAGTGTTTTCTTTGAATGAATCTGTGTGTCCAGGGAAGAAAAATCAATTTTCATCATTATTAACCAATTTTTTCAACTTTGTCTATTTCTAATTCTTCCTAGCTGATTTTTATTCATTTGTCACTTATATCATTAGTAATTTCAATTTTTTTTAGTTGGCATGTGAAAGAGCTCTAAAATCTCTTCGACCTGATGTGGTACTTGATGTGCCTTCATATGAGCAGACTGAGGCTTCAAAATTAGCGACTATTGAGGCTCGTACGGGAAACGGTTCTGCTAAAGTAAGTCATTTATGGATATTTCTCTTTGTTCGCTTTTTTATTTGTTTGATATATATTTGTATTCTGATTTAATTTTAATTTAATTTTAATTTTTTTCAAAATTTTTTTCAAAAATATTTTCATTTTTCTGAGATGAATTATAGTAAATATTTTCTCTAAAAGGAGCAAGCATGGATAATCTCTTATTTAGTAGTGTGATATATATGTTTCACTCGTTCAATTTGGTGAAAATTCATCCAATGGTTCAATAATATATTCTAAGTATATATTCTAAGAAATACTTGCGACATTACTCTACGAATTTCATGGAGTAAATGATACAAGCAATAAAGTAATTGAAATACCCTGAGGCTTGGTTGTGAAGAAATGTCAAAGGAAGTTCTGTAACTTGGAAGTGATGATTTAAATTCCTAGAGACCAGCTTCAGAACTTGATGAAAATTTTTTGCGCTTCCTAATCAAAGCTGATCCAAAGCAAACATTATATTAAATGGCTAAAAAAACACGTTATTACAGTCAAACAATACAAACAATGATTAATTATAAAATATGGGGAAGTTAAATATGGCTAATGGTTATATTCCATGATAACTTTCCGAGGAATTTTAATAATCGTCAATATATGCTGCGTTGCTTAGTCCACTGGAAATCGAATCACTTTTGGACAAAATCTAATTGTTTGGTGGAAGAAAGCATCAAAAAAAAATTTCTCATTCTTTGTGGGTTATAAAGGTCATCATTAACCTCATCCTTCACCAGAGGTCTGGATGATTAAGGGTTTTGCGTAATATTTTAGTTGTTATTATTCCTAACAGAGCTGTCTTCTGGACAGAGATCTATTTTTCCTGGAATCTGTCGGAACTATTTTTCAGTTTGAGAGTCTCAATTCCAAGTGCTCCAGTTAACTTGGAACTGCTTTGCTCTTCACTTACCACATTTTATGTAGCTCTTTTTCAGTCCTTGGTATTTTTCTACCTTCCATATTCCTTCTTCCCAACGTTCCTTCCTGTCACTTGGTATTGTTGTATCTATCACCAGTGTTGATTTTTGATTTTTATCTACTGCGATATCCGGCTGATTGGCCAGCATTTGTTTATCTATGTGGTGAAGGATGGTGAAGGCTAAGAAGACCTTCGCCTTATTATTCTCTGCAATTTTCAAAAAAATCTCCCATCTAGTCTTGGGAGGTTCAAGTAGATTCATATAGATGTCAGCTACTTGGTTATGCCTATCAGTGTGGTGTTCTTGCTTCCATTTTATATCACTGTTGGACTATTTTTGGGGTGTTTCTTATATAGTCTGCATCTAGAATCTCTGATCCTGTTTAGTTTGGTAGATCAGTAATCAGTGATGATCAGTGAAATCTGGTGCTTCCTTCGCGCTTGTTCTTGTGCTGCTATGATCAATTCTTCAATATACAAAAAAACTCCCTATGAGTCATCTTCAACGTCAGGTTCTCTGCCAGAGGCCTGGGAGATTGGGGGATTCTGCGCAGTGTCTTAGCCGTTCCTAATAGTGCATTCTTCTGGATAGTATTCTCTGATGTTCTTGGATTGCGCTGAGACCACTTTTCTAGCTCAAGGATCAGAGTTCCAAGTACTTCAATTATTATTTGAATCACTGGACTGCTAAATCCAATATTTGTTGCAGAATAGTGTTTTGTATTTAGTGGGATTTTACCCAGCGAAAAATTCAGTCATCTTCAAGAACAAATTTCTTCGAAATTGCTTGCAGTGGCTAACAGAAAAGATATAATCCTTCAGCATGTCAAAAGATGTCTTTGGCTTAGTGGCAAGATGATTTCATAGAAAATAGAGAATGATTCGGTTTTAAGTTCATTTGATACACCACGTTTCGTCGGGTTACGTGGCCGAATGACGAAAATTTGGTAGAATGGGTCACTGGGTTGTTGTTCAGTTCCGATGCTAAGGCTCTATTCTCGAACGCGACTTCGTGAACCAAAAGATAAAAAACTTGACTGGGAAGTTCTTCCTCATTCACCTTATAGTTTTAATCTTACCTTTTTGATTGATATTTTGATTCAGTTTTTGCAACATCATTTTGCTGGAAAGAAAAATTTTCTTTTTTTAAGTATGAAAAATGTTTGAAAGTGTGTCGAATTTAGCAAAAAGAAATTTATTAACTGGTTTTAAATGGGAAAAAGTTGTAAAAATGGTGATTGTATAATTAACTAATTAACTAATAATGCTGTATAATTTTGTTGATGTCTTAATTTAATTCTCTATAAAAATATATTTTAAACTTTTTGACTTGTGCTTTTTTTTCAGGATATTAAGAGATTAGAGTTACTGAAAACGTCGAATTCATTGCATGATTACTTCTTAAAATTATGCAGGGTAGGATTCCTTTGTTTTTCTTGATTAAAGCTAATTTTAAAAAAGACTGGTTGTAAATTTATGAAAGTTTTCAGAATCGAGAAGCTGAGACTGGTATCAAATATAATCCAGTTTTCTCATTTTCCGAAATACCAGGTGCTGAAAACGCTAAAGCTCATATGAAGCGCTTCAGGTATTTTGTTTTTTGCTTATTTTTGCTCTTTAATGCTCGGTCATTTCACTCTTAAAGTTCTTCATTAATTCTTTCAATTCTCTCTCCTGTTCTATCTCCTATTCTAATTTTGCTCGATAAAATTTTAAAAATTTTTTCTTTTTTCTTTTGAATTTTAAATTTTAATTTGAGATGTACATTAACAATGTCGGAACAAAAAAAAGTTTATACCAATGAAAATATTGGAAAAACGGCTGGAAAAAACTGCATCATTAGAGAGGTATTTCTTTTTCTTGTAAGTGGGCATATGTTCTGGAATGAATTAGAGAATAACGAGTAATTTTATTTTTCAGGCATTAATGGATATTTTTGAAGTGTCTGATACTGAAATGAATGAAATCATCCGCCAGTCCTTGAATTTACGATACGGGAAACCAAAGCAGGTAACCAAAAATTTCAGCCTTTCTATGTTTCCTCTATAAGAATATGAGTAATTATATTATTATCTCACAACCGCGAAGCGAAATGATTATGGTCTGTGCTTATCTCGTTTGGTCCACTGCTATATTTATTCAACACAAACTGCTTCGAAAACCCATAAAGAATTCCGGTCATAGAATAAATAATCTCTCTTGTCTTTTTTTTTTCTTTTAAGATTAATTTGGCTTTTTTTTCATTAGACTTCTATTATATAGTGCTAATAAATTTGACGGTTTTTTCATTTTTAAGGATTATTTTGATTGACTATTAAGGCAAAATATTGACCAGCTAATTTTAATTTTAATAAAAAGAGCTAGGCTGTACAAATTTTCGGCCAGCTTTAATTGAAGAAATTTTAAAAAATTCGTTAATAACAAGTAAATATATCAATCTATAACTAATTGTTAATCAAAAGGATATTAAGTTTTTTTTGAATGTCATTTGAATATTGGTTAAGTATTTAGTAGATTTATTCTCATGGGAAAATCCTTTTATGAATATGATTTTGATATCATTCGCTTTGTTGAAGTTGTGTGGTGGTAATATTTACTTGAGGTCCTCCTGCAAGCACTCAGTTTCTTCGGTCGTTCAATGCAAATTAAAGTGGATTCGTGCAGTACGACACCTGCCAAAGGAACAAATCCTCAATATATGGCGATGATTTCACTCGACAATGATAACAGTAAGCATGCCTTGCCGACAAGTATCCGTCTAAAGTTTTTTTGTTTGTTTTTGAGAAAAAATAGGTTTTCTTTTGACTGATAGTTGTCGGTTTTGCATGTTTTTGGATGTCCATTAAAAATTAAATCATTGCTTGACTCCAAGCAAATATTGGACAAATTTGTTTCAGATTTTAAGTTTTGTTAAGAAGGAGCCATTTTCTCTCATTTTATTGGCTTTATTCATAAACGATCGTTGGGTATTCCATGGAAAAAAAGATGTGGAAATTATTTAGCTATTTTGCATTTCTAGGAAGTTGGCCGGGCGACTTCGCGTAGACCATTTTTATGTTAATTTTATTTTTTGAAGGAATATTTATTGGACCGGCTGAGACTAGCATAGCAGAAGCGAAGAATTCAGCTTATCTCAGAGTTATTGAAGAATTGGGTTTTCATATGCCAGCAGAGGAGGAAGATATTCCTCTAAAAAAAACTTCATCGGTTCTTTCTCCATGTTATGCTTTGCACCATCTGATGCTTAAACAGAATGTTCATTTTTTTTCTTTTTTTTCTTTAAAGAATTCTATTGTTTAAATAGGAGTTTAACTTTTTTTTTACTTTGTTTTTTATTCTAGTATGAGTATAGTGCCTAAAGCATTTATTTATATTAATTCGGCTGTTATAGTAAAGATAATATTATTTTTCATTTTTTTTGTATATTCATTTACTAATATTTTTGCAAAAAATATTAGTTTTGCGATTTTAGCAGAATGAACCACCAAATATTGTTTATGCGGATCCAGAAAGTATTGGTACAAACCAATCGAAGCAGCCGTTGTTTAAGTGCAAACTTACTGTCAACAACAGTTATTTATTTGAAGGAGTTGGTCTCTCAAAAAAAGTGGCAAAAAATGCTGCGGCAGATCAAGCATTAAAACAAATTTTCAATGTAACTTGCTTTTCTTTTAAATTATTTATTATTTATTTTTTTTAAATTTATTATAGCTCATATAATGGATATTTTCACGATTTTTCATTAAATATTCTTTGGAAGTTTTTTGATTAAATCTAAATTCTATAGGTTTTTTTATTTTTTGACCAGTTTTTATTTTCTTATTCATGATTGATCTTTTTTAATCCATAGTTTAGCGAACTCTATTGACTATTAAGGTAAGATGTCTTCCAAGCTTCTCAGTCCGTTTATTGCCATACTTATAAGTAGCCTGTGCAATTCCTTTTTCCACCATTTGTGTTCACTTAGCAACTATAATCGTGCAAGGATTTTATCAGTGCTGATCTTGAATTGCCTTTCATGTTATCCATCAGATGTCTTGTGATGAGAAGAATGATGATGAAAAATATGATTTAACCAGCGCAAGCGATTTGCTTTAAAAGTATTGTTCATACAGCTCTATTTTATCTAAGATGGATGCAATTAAGCAAGATTTTGTCGGAAAGGCGGGCACATAGGATATATCTTGATTTCGCGATGGCTTCGTAAAGGTTATGCCAACTGGAAGAATGCAATTCTAGCCATTATCCGAGTAACTTCGTCTTTCGCCCTTCCGTTTGGGATTAGAGTGGATCCAAGATTTTTAAAATCGAGGGCTTCTTCAGTCGGCAATAAATTGATAAAAATAGTTATTTTACCAACTTTTTATGTATGAGGCCAAAAGACCTTCGATTCATTTACGTGATTTTGGATCTAATTCTCGCTGCAGTTCATCATCGTATTCAAAGTCTGCGATAATGTGCTCTCGTCTGGCTTTCATAGCTCTTGAGTGCCAACAAGCGATATCATCCATTATCCACTTAATTGCATAATTGAATATTGTGTGGGAAGGACGCAGCCTTGATAGAACCAGTTCTTATTTCGAAAGGATCTGTCATTTCCCCATATATACCGTTGTACACTGATAAACTGCCTTTATGAATCGAATGGTCTTCTCTGGAAAAACGCTTTATCAGTTAAGTCAAAAGTAATTGCAAAATCGAGCGATGAAACACGTGAAGGTGCAGATGTTCCAGCACCCTTATTTACATTTTTATTTACGTTTTTTCATATTATATTAATGTTATTTACGTTTATTTAAACGATTTTTGCCGCTTTTATTGGCATTCAGTCTAATGTGGTTCTTCGTAACCTTCAACAAAATGGACAAGATAATTAGCACATTTAATGTCTACGAAACGAGATATATGCCTTGGAAGCTACGTCCATAAGTTTATCATAAGTAATTGTGAGGGAGATGTCGTAACTTGTCGAATACCGGTTCGTATTTGGAAGGGTGTCAGTTTCCTTTACAAATAAAAATGCGCTGGTGTATTTCCACTCTTTTCTTTAGAATTGTCATACTACTTGACTTGCCATGGTGCCACATTGTTGGTCGTACCAAAAATACTTCTTGGCTTATCAGGATGCCACACTATTGGTCGAACCAAAAACAAAGGCAAAGTCAATGAAGCATATAACAGTTGCCAGAACCAAAATTTCAATTTAAATGAAAGCATTTGGTCAGGACAATCATTTAAATTCAGCTTGCGGTGTATCCTGTCATGCGTTATCACATTTCTGTTTAATAAAGATGGACAAAGCGGTTATTATTGGTTTTTTAGTTCGATATGTCTTCAAGTGATGCATATGAAACACTCATTTCAAAATGCAATAAGAATGACGATGAACTAAAACTGTGTTGTGATATATCAAAATTAGTTCATTCTGAATATGATTCAATATGTTTGCAACAAGCTTGTCCCAAGACGAGTCACATATCAGCGTTGGTTTCCTTTTGTTTTTTCTCTGAAATTTTAATTTGTTTAAATTTTTTAATATTGTTTTAAATGTAGTATCGCACTTCGGTTCAGTTGCATTAGAGAATTATGCGCAAATGTATAAAATCCAAACAAAATATTTACAATATTTAGTTTCGTATTAATCAGTCCTACTGGTGAGCGAATGATGGTAGCACTAGGTGCAGGTCGCAATGCAATTGTCGATGGTCATATATTGGCCAATAGTCCTGGAAATGTGCTCATTCACATGCAGAGTAAATCTTAGAATTCCTTAGATTTAAATATAAATTAAAATTTAATTATTTTAATGATAATTGAGTTTATTGTGTAATCTTATGATCTTATTTATTATCTTTAAAAATTTCTTAAAAAAATTTTTGAGAACAATTCTCGTTTATGTGCTCAATGTTTACGCGCAATTTTTTATCATTCATAACATTCGCAGTGATATATAATAAGCCTATTGGTGGTATTTTTCAGGTGTGGTATTGGCACGCAGAGCTCTGCTAATTTATCTGCACAAACAAATTGAACGTTCGAGCGCTCCAAAGTCAATTCTAGAAAAGTCTTCGATTTCTAGTAAATTTCGCCTTAAGGTAAGCGTATTGGTCTGTTTTCAGATATAGGATTTATTTGTCCTCTCTGCCTTTTATTAAATTACAAAATTTTTTTCCAAGGTTTATTCTTTGAAATCTCTTCAGATTTCAGGTTCTTAGAAATGTGATTTTCAGCAAGGTTATAAGTTGGTGCTGTTTATGGCTTTTCCACCAAATGCTTTGCCTTCTGGATCTGATAAACAGAAATTGTCTTGCTATACAGGAGGAGGTCATATCGAAACTTGTAATCAGCAACAAACTTTCGAAGTTATGTGTGCAGCGGGAGTGAGTGTGATGAGCATTGCTGATAAGATTCTTAAATGGAATATAGTTGGTATGAAATTGCAATAACTCTACTTTTAAATTACCTTTACTATCAATGCATTATTTCATGTGTTAAATTCATTTCCAGGACTTCAAGGTGCACTGCTTTCTCATATAATGGAGCCGATATTTATTAACAAAGTATGCATAGGTGCACCTTCATCTGAAAAAGCTGTAAAAAACGCTATTCTTTCTCGTTATGGAGGTATCAAAAAAGCGGGATTTTCTGTCAAAGCTTTACACGAAAATATTCATCCTCATGGAGAAATATATCACAACTGGGTTGCAGGAATAGGTATCATCGCAAATGTATTTGTGACTCGTTTTTAAGTTTTTAGTTAGATTTTTTGGATCGTACTAGTAGGTTCGAGCTGGAATTTGTTATTGAGGTTGAGTTTGAATTTTTTGATGTTTTGATGAAAAAATTTGATAATTGGTAATATTTGATGATTTTCAAGGAGATTAGTAGATAGTTATTATAACTTATAATGCCATTGAATATGGTTGAATGTAGAAATGTGGGTTTATTAGTAAAAAATTTTTTTTTAAAATTTAAAATATTTTCATCGAAGTTTAACTGCCAGAAAAATACTTATATATATGTAATAAAATATTTTCAAGGAACGATTGAACGTCTCGATCCGCTTAGTTGCCGTTCTGTGACAGGTTCACCATCTCGACTTTGCAAATTTGAATTGTTCGAAAGTTGGTCTCGCTTGCTAAATGTCTGTGGTGTAAACTGGAAACCAATGTGGACATATATGCACGCTAAAAAAGGTGCAAATGAGTATATGGCAAATCTTGAGTTATTTTATAAAAAGTTGGAAAATTTGAAACTGGGCAGTTGGCAAAGAAAAGATCCAATAATTGATAATTTTACTTTAATATCTTCACAGTAGTCGTCCGAGAAAAAATGAGAATTTGCGAGATATTTTTTATAGGAGTAAGGTAATTTATTATTGTAAAGATTGAACGCCTCATAAAGGTTCGCATATTGCTATCCTAGCTCATTATGAAGTGGTTTTTTGCTTGTTGTGCTAGGGGTAATTAGAAGAAAAATTTTTTGGCGAAATCTTTCCAGCGTATTTTTATTTATTTTAAATTTTAAAATTTTTTAAGGTATTTCTGATGTTGGCTCGCTCATATATTTATTTAACGTTTTCTTTCTTTACCTGTTTTTTTTTTAAATTAATGATACTGATGATTTCCATTTTCCATTGAATTTTTTTGGGTAATTTTAATAGAATTTTATTGTTATTTTATTAATTTCTTCAGTAATATTAATTATTGATTCGAAATTTAGAAATTTGTCTTAAAGGAAATTTGCTTATTGGCTGAATTTTTAAAAAATTTTATAAAGAAATAAAAAATTTAATCGAATTTAAAATTTGCACTATTAATAAGTTTCTTTTTATTCGGGATGAAAGAATTTTTTTAAATTAAATAAGCAGACAAATTAAGTAAATTTGGAGATGAAAAAAGGTGTGGTCGGAGAGATTTTTAAACATATAGGCGGTATATGTATATGATTCTTAGGTGGTGAAAGAAGGGACGAATTCAGTCACTTTCAGGTGTAGTGTCGAACCGGTAGGCTTGGGGCGTCTGGCTGTAATCGCGCGAGCTGCCAGCCGAACCAGCAATCGTGCATGTTGTCAGGAGGAAGGAAATATCCCTGAATATATTGACTGCTAGCCAAAAAATTGGTTAAATTGGAGAACAGCAGTAAAATTATTGAAGAAGAACAAGATCTGAGGTCAAGTCCAAGGGTATTCTGATTGTTAGTCTCTTTTATTAGAGTCATCGGAAAGTGAGGGCGTTTGCGGTTGTTTGTTGATATTGCGTTGCAAAAATTTTATTTGGTATTATAACGAATAACATTGGCTCATTTGCATTGTTTGAGGCAAATGTGTAGTCTTGGGTGGCTCATCAGGTGCTCTTGTTGGTCCCCGGATTGGCCTTCTCTTAGGTGGAATCTAAATGAAATCAGATTAAATAGGAGTCGTCGATCATCGGTTGGTGATTGGGAGAGGTAGGTTGGGTTTTTGACGGCAAGGTCAAGGCACAGAGCTTGAGCTCGAGCTGGTGCTTGTTGTTTGTATTGTTACAGGTTTTTATTGATAGAAATTTTTTTTTAATTTCTCGATTCAGTATTCATTCTTATTATAAATCAAAAGAAAAATTATGTTTGCAGTGCCTTTCATTCATTTATTGTTTTTTTTCGATATTATTTCTTGTAATTTAAATTATATTTTTAACAATAGCAGCCATTGTTTCGGATTTGGCTTCCTAATTCAACTTTGGATAAGTCAGCGCTTTTAGATGATTGTTTCGTCAGAGAATCGTATGAGCATAGAGGTAGATAGGTATAGGAATCCGAATAAACACATGGTTTTCACTTTTCATGTCAAGTAATTCCCTCAGTATTCAAATATTTTCATAGATCCAAAACCCAATTTATATGGCTTAGAAAATATGTTATTTATAACTTTTAGTTGGTACTGAAAACGACGTTCGTTTTGCTGCATAAAAGTTATGTATAAGTAACATATGTATCAGTAATGTGTTTAAGATAAAATGCGGAGAGGCGATAATACTCGTTATCATTCAGCGAAAAAATTAACAATGCATCGTTTATTGCAAATGGATCATGATATAGCGCCGAGATATGAAGAAGATGATGATTCGCAAATCCCACCTCCAGTAATATTTCAGATGATAGAAATTTTGAAAATTATTATAGATTAATCATTCCAATCAATTCAATATCTCTTGCAACCTTAAATGAAGTGCATCTGCGCTTTTTTGTAGAGAACATGTCAGTTTCATTAAACCAAAAAATTATTGCAATATTTTGGTTAATCAGTTCTTTTTCTTCTTTGTTTTAGTCTTCAACACTCTTGTTACTATTGTTTTTGCTATTCAGAGCTATTATAAAATTAATTTCTTTTAAGTTTATTAATTTTGAAAAATATTGAGAATTAACTTTTATTTTTTTTATTTTAGCGCTATTTGTTAACTCGAAGATTCATTCGAGATAGACTGAATCCAAACAGAATCGTCAGAAAGGCCCAAGATGGTGAGTTATTTTCTACTTGCCGGTTTTTCTTTGCTTTAGTGGTATCATTTCACCTTATAGGTATTTAAATTTCAGTTTTATGTCTTTAGAAATATTTAAAAATCTTTAAAATCGTTAGAATGTCGATATGATTCGTTTTTTCAACATTGTTAATCTATACAATTTTTCGTCTTAATACATCATCTGATATTTTTCTAGGTGATAAATTATCACTTGCAAGTTTAAGAAATTCGCTTGAAAATCGAAAAGAACGACAAATTCAAATGAGTAGTGGGGGCTCTTCTTCATCACAAGCTGTTATAATGAATCAGATTAGAGTTAGATATTATTTTTTACCAGATATAATAATCGTTTTTATCGTATATTAATATTTTGTTACTTTATCTGCTGGCTCAATTATTTATAGATTGTTCGTGGTGTGAGCATCGGCAAAGATTTTCTTTTGCGGGCGATTGGTCAATATGTCGATGATGTGAAACCTATTTTATTGAAAGCTGACCGAATGGATATCATTTTCTTCGTTGATAATGATGAAGTAAATTATATATAATTATGTATATATTTATATTATGTATATATTTTAGTATAATTTCGGACATTACGGATTTAAAATTATAATTGTGTAGAAAATGTTAAATTTAGACCGCATCAGCGATACAAGCTATATCACGTCGTCTGCGAGATCCAGTCACATCTTCTCCAGTTACGATAATTTCAAAAAAAGCACCAGTTGGCTTTAGTGCTGTTGGGTATGCTGAATTCAATTTATTGAAGGTGAAATTTGTTCATGTTTAAATTTTGATTCGAATTTATTCCAATTTGTCGTCGTCACTCATCCTCAAAATATTTTTTTCTTTAGAATTACAAAATAGTATTTATTCCGAAAGCTGGTTTTGATATCTTTTTCAATACTGCTTAATTCGAGATTTAATTTTTTTTCATACATTATGTCTGGAGTTCGAGATTAGAAACAGGTTATTGATTGTGTATGTTGTTTGGACTTGTTTCGAGTTGTTATATTGGGTTCACTTCTGATTTTTTTGGGAATAAACTTGTAATTTAAAAGAAGTCTAGGTGGTTCATGGGTCTAAAATATACAGATATACTTTGTCCGCAACTGCGTTCCGAAGGAGCTTTATTCTATATTCTGTTATCTCGTGCACATGGCCAAATAAGAAGCGTAAGTGCGGTTAGAAGAAGAAAGAAAAAGAAGAAATCCAAGTAATAGATATTAAGCTGGTTAGAGAATAAGGAAAATTCCAAAAATTTAAATCGGAATAATAAATTAATCATTATGCGATAAATAAAGTTTCTCCTTTATTTGCTATTTTTCTTTCAGAACGTACTTAGCAAACGTTATAATCCAGAAAATCACTCTCTCGATTTGAGTGATTTTGGACTAGATGATGGTTGGTCATTTTTATTATTTTATTGCTCTGTATTTTGGTTCTATAATTTTTCAAAAAAATTTAAATGATTTTTACTTTTTTTCATTGTTCATTGTTTATTTTCTTATCTTCGTCTTCATTTATCTTCATGGTTGGACAACTTTTCCTATTCTTTTTCCTTTGGAAAATTTCGAATCCTCATTCATATATGTAACAGACGATTTCAAACTTTTTATCAGAGATACCTTGATATTTTTTTTCTTTTAGAATTCCGTTCCAAATCCTTGTATTTTTCTTTGTGCCAAAACAACATCATGATGGCTGTAATTGAATTGATTGACACATGTTATGGATCAATTACGTCCTTGAGCGTGAAAGTAAGTGGATCTTTATTTTTCTCCGGCAATATTAAATCGAAGATGCTTTAGTATTTGCCATAATGCATATTTTTCAGTAAAATTCGGAGAATCTAGTGAGTTTTGATAAATAATGATTTTAGTTTAAGAAAATTGGAAGAAGCAGAAAAAGGTTTTAATTTTAATTTTAATACTTTGTTAAATTTAAGGGAAATCGATTGCGATTTTTGGACCACTTTTCTTGTCTTATATATCGAATTAAGAATATTCGGACATTGGATTTATCTTCTAATCAGGTTTTATTATTTCTCTTAGCTCAGTTCTTCAGATATTTTTATTTTTTTTTCCTTTATTTATTTTTTTTCTTTTTTCCTATGCGGATTTTTGGGTTCTATTGTTTTGTCGTACATTTTTTTCACTGGTTCCATCTAACAATTTCCACTTTTTTATCTTATTATACCTCACTCTTGATGATTTTAGATCGACAAAGCTTCTGAATTAATGAAATTAAAAGGCTGGCCAGTAGAAACACTTTTCTTTGAAAATAATCCTTTATGTTCTGAATATGGATCTGCCGAAGCCTATCTAAGGTTTCATCTGTTATGCGATACGAGTTACAGCAGATATTTGATAACTTTTTTCCAATTTTATTTTATTTATCTAATTCAACAGTTGAATCTTCCACAACAAAAATCATTTAATTTCATTGCAGCGCGATTCATGGAGTGTTTCCCAAGGTCACCAGCCTTGTATGTTCTAAAATTTTTCTTATCCACTTTGAAATTATTTTTTTGATAGAAGTCCCAAGATTATTCGAACTGTTAAATATTTTAATAACACTTTAGGATGGAATACCTGTTCAGCGTCCAATTGATTTGCCTGATCTGGATGAGGAAACTTCCATTCCACTTCCCAAAGTAATTCTCTTGAAATTCTTTTTAATAATATTAGTATCTTTTTTTGAACCTTTTTGTCCTTCGGTCTTATTCTCTTTTTCACATTTCTTTTTTTTCTTTTTAGCCGAGTTTTTACGGTTCAGCGGAATGTAAAGAACTTATTGAAAAGTTTATTACTCAATATATGGCAATTTATGATAGTGCTGATACAAATGATCGAAAGTCATTGATAGATGCTTATGATGAAAATGTATAATTTTTTAAATTTCTGTAAAAATATCTTAAGTCTTTATAATAAGCTTATTAATTTCTGCAAAATTTATTTCTAAGATTGCATAATAATAAACTACATTTAGGCTACATTTTCTTTATCTGTGGAAAATCTACCAGATGCTAACAATTCAAGGCCTTCATTTGAGTACAGGTATTTTTCTATCTTATAGAAAGGGTAGGTATGTGCGTGGTTTATGTGGAATATAAATTGTTATTACAGTACTTACAATATTTATCGAAAAATGTCGCATAATATTATTCATTTATCAAAATGGGAACACTACAGAGAGAAAGTTATCCATAAAGGGGCCATGGAAATTATTGTTCAGCTAAAAAAATTGCCTCCCACTACTCATTTGTTTGATACATTTGTTGTTGACGTTTCTCTTATAAAGGTAATTCTTCATTTATTTTGAAGTGAGTAATTAAGGTATTTTTATTATTAAAAGTTTGGAAATATCTAATTGTTTAGTTATTTTATCTGGTTTTTAGGGGTTTTTTTAGATTTCCAGAAAGCCAAAATTTTCACTACCATATATATCCATATCTTTAATAAATTAAAATAATTTTAAAAGGTTTCAATCGATTTAAGGGTAATATTATGTGCTTTACGCTGCAAGGTTTTTTTCGTGATGTATCTTCTAATGGGAAAGATTCAATTGATATATCTTCAGTACGATATTTCTGTCGCGATTTCGTTATTGTTAACAAAGATGAAGGGTATGTATTTAGTGTTTCAATTTAAAATTATTTATTAATTTTGTATTTTCATATTTAATTAATTTTTAATATCATTAATATTTTTATTAATATTTATGTTAAACTATATTAAACTGATAGTTCAGGAAAATAGCGATTTTAAGCGATATATTATTCATAAGTGGTGTGTTTGCTGAACGAATTCAACGTTACAAAACCATGCTAACAAATATGATGAAAGTAATTTTTTTCTTTTTATATGGACAGGCTTTTGATATGGTTCTTGAGTCATCACTGTTTTCATTCTGGAAGCTTTTTCAGATAGCAGTGACAGATTTTTCTGTGAAAGAAGAACAAAATGCGGAACAACCAACTACTTCTAATGTTGCAATATCTGAGCGAACGCCTGCAGAATTGGCTGCAGCTGGTGATGAACGTTTGCAACAACTTATGATTGAATCATTTTCACGTGAGAGTCAAATGAAGCCAGATTGGTCTCGAAAATGTCTTATGGATCAGAATTGGAATTATGAGGTTGTTTTTTAATGTTTTCACGTTTTTTTTAAAAATGATCCCGAAAAATTTTAGTAAACAGTTTATTTTTCTTTATTTTTAGCTTGCCGGCAAAGCTTTTCTTGCTGTTCGTGATAAAATACCTCCAGAAGCTTTTCAATAATCTTCATTTGTTTTACATATTTATTCAGTCGAAGACTTAGTTTGCAGTCAATCGATAGATACATATATTTTGAGTTATAATTTCGTGCTTTTAAGAAGCAGGGTTTTTTGCAATTGTTTTGAGTTTTAATTTTGACTTGATTTTGATTGTTTTTTTACTAGGAATTTGGTTTAGTGATTTTTTTTTATCTTTAGCAACATAACAGCTGATTAGGCTATCAATATCAAAATCAGGTTTTGTTTCACCATTTGTTTATACTGTTTTCTTATAGTTATTTCCTACTTTTGCAAATTTATTAATTTTTTTTAAAATCTTATTCGTATATTACGCAGTTGCAACATTTTTGTCTAATATATTTCTATATAAATCAGCGACTTTTGGAAAATGATTGCAAGCGAAAATTTGATATACCCATTATTATTTTCTAAAAGGAGAATTCGTGGGTGTTTATTTTTCTTAAATTGACTAAAGGAGTCATTGGGCGATGATGCCAGCTCCTTTGTTTTCGTGGCCCTTTTTTAATTTTCTATCATTTTTTATTATATCTTCAAATTAGGGCCATTTTTATTTGCAATATTTTATTTGAACGCTTGCTTATCACATTTTTTACAATTGTTACGCTTATTTGTATAGAAATTAGTTAGGATCTGTTGTTACAGCGTAAATTTCTATAGTTGTACATTGTTTTATTTTTCTTATGTCAGATTTGTCAAATTTGTTGTTTCTTCTACCCTTTACTTTACCCTTACCTTCGCCTTTACCCTTAGCGTTACCCTTGTCCTTACCATTTTTTGAAAATTTCGTTGGATTAATTCCTTTATATATTTATTATATATATCACATTTTCATTAGAGGTATTATTTATTTTTATCTTAAATTATCGCATTTTTAATGGAATGTGAACAATCTTTTCATTTGTAAATATATTAAGGATTCACATATATTATACATTACAAACGTAAGGATTTATTAAACTCTAATTTTTTGTAAAATTTGCAATTTTTGAACAGTATGTTTCATTTTTTAAAATTCATTTATTATCATTTATTATTGTTATTTTCGCAAAAAGAATTTTCTTTTTTCTTTGTTTTGCAATAAAATTTTGCAAAATTATTGAAAGCTATTGCAAACTGTGGATTTGGAAATATGAAAGATTATAAATTTAGTAATAAGTGAACTTGTGAAAAGTTGATAGATTCCTCGTGTTCAGTCGTTTTTGGTCGAGCAGGTTGAGTGGAACGTTGGTGTGCTGTCATTTGGGAAAAAGGTGTACTGGTAGGTTGCATCGATCGAATTTGCCATAGCTGTAGGAGTTAGTATTTGAATAAGATGGTGCAATTTAATAATTAAGTCATAGCAATCGTTGATTTTGAGTGGTGTTAATGATATTGAAAAGATCATGTCTTGAAACGAATTTTCTCATACGATAATTTTTTAAAGACATACTCGTGATAAGTTGTGACAGTTATTACAAATATTGTTTATTATTTGAAACGTTCATCTGTTTTGCTTGAGTGGTTATAGGTTGTTCGTAAGGATTTTTTCGCAAAGAAATGGCTAAAGAAACGATTCACAGCGGTCATTTCATGACATCAAATCCTCATACGGATGAGTTAATTCTTTGCGACGATGAACCTGTTGAGGTAATAAAAACCTTTTATTTTTGTTATTATTTACATTATTATTACTGTCACAAATATTTGTAATATTAGAACATTGTCTATTAATTTGCTTTCATCTTTTTTCTTCTAATTTTCCAAATTACTTTTTAAAACGGAATTCTTTCTATAATTTTAAATTAGAAATTCGTTATAATCTTTCGTCCTCCTTCGTCCTTCGTCCTCGAATTGGAATATTTTTATGAAAGTTGGAAGTAATTACTGCGAATCATTGGCTGCGGCTGGCGATTACGAAGCGGCCAACTTATAGTCGAATCATTTGCGATTTGTTTATTATTTTCCCTTCAACGTTCATAATTTTTTTTCCTTTTAGCATTTATTTAATATTATATAATATTTATCGATTTTTTGTTTATTTTATTCTTTTTAAATTTCCGAGAGTTAATCAGTTTTTAATTCGTGGTTTTTGTACTTGGAATTTGTTAGAATTTTTCGAAACTGAATAAATTTCTCGGAGAAATTTTTTCTCAAATTTCTGTAATAACCAATGTTTTTTTTGAATTTTTACTAGCGTAGATGATTTGAAAATTGTTTCGAATCAACGTAACTGTGATTGTAGGTTGGTATTGTTGTTGAAGAAGTCGACCGTACTAATGAAGGCGTTGACGAGAGTGGAACATCTGCCGAACAGGTAAAACTCTTTTTCTTCTTTTGCATTCTACTGACAAATTATGAAATTCTCGATCATTAACGTTCAGCGACGATTATTAAGAATTTTTATTTCGCAGGAAGATAAGCCTGTAACATTTTTTAAATTTGGTCCGAAACAAACTAAATCAATTGCAATCGATGTTTCACTTCATAAACTTAATAAATGCATCAAAGTTGCATACAAGTATGATTCTTTTTTTTCTTAGCGCTTATATTAAAGTTTTTATTTTAGATCTCCTCATGATTATCATTTTTTAATTTTGAAGTGGAAAATTTTTAAACGATTTTGCAAAACCATTTTAAAGGTTTGCTGAAGAAAATTTTTTTTAGCAAAATGACAACTCCAAAGTGGAAAAATTTTCAAGGATTCAAATTAAGAAGAAAACAGCAAATTCGCCTTAATAATGTCATTTGGCGGGCTTATTACATGCAATGTTAATTTTTGCTGCCTTTGTTATTTATTAGGATTAAGTCTTCTTCGATTGAACAAAGTTGGTGCTCCTGGTTCTTGATACCTGGATAACTGTTATTAATTGTATCCGAGCGGATAGGGATAATTTTGCCCATCTAAATCACTCTCTGGCGAAAAATCTTATCGTAATAGAGTCATGTCAAGAATACTTTTTGCTGGTTGAAGAGAAATTTAATTTAGAATTGAATCTAAGTTTTTAAAGCTTTTATTTTCAGTCAGAAGTCCATGTCGAAATAAATCTTATAGTTATTTCATAGTTCCGGATTGCGATATTTCTATAAACAGCGAAGTATCTTCTTTCTACATTTTTCCGGTGTTTTTCATTTTTATGTGTACTTTTATAATCATAATAATTCATAGCTTAAATTCATTCCTATTCAGTTTTTTCATTCTTTTAGAATAGAACTGATGATAAAAGATCAAAAAAACGTTCCTCATGGTCCTTGTTATTCAATTTGAAACGCTGGCGTAATTATAAAGAACGTCGTAGAAGGGTTCATTTTCACAATTAATTATTTTTGAAATTTCCTACTTATTTGTTCACAAAATTTTCTATAACATTTGAAACGTCTTGTTTTTAAAAAATTTTTTGAATTCCTCTAATTTTATAGCTTTGCAAATGTATGGATGGAATCGCACGAAAAATGTTGGCAAGTAAATTTACGGATGAAGTTAAGCAACTTTCGCCTAAAGTATTTTCATCCGTTCGATCTTTCGATGTAGATTTTGAAAATGATTTCATGTATGCTGCTAATGGTTAGTTATTTTTTCGTTCACTTTTGTTTCAGATTTATTTTCCTTAAAAAAGTCGATGTCGATTCATGAACAGTGGTAAGATAGGGTAATTTTGTGATTTATATTTTATGAAAATATAAAGAAATATTTATTGTTTATCACAAAATAATGTGGCAAAATTTTTTAAATTATATTTATGTGTATTAGCTCCGCCGCTTTATTGATGCTTTTCTATTTAAAAAATATTTGAAAATTTGATCCTAGTTGGAAAAAGAATTCCAAAAATTCTTTTTAAATTAATTAAATGATGGCTTGCACTTTCTGATTAAGCTGACTCTGCTGACTGTTAATGCGATTAGAAATTTTTGCCATAAAGTCATTTGCATTAGAAGAAGTCGTCAGAATAACTGAGATTTTAATCAAATCTCGACACAAATGGAAGCAACCCTATCATTCAAGTTCTGTTCAAGTTATAAAGTATATAAGTACATAAGTATAGTTAAAACTGCAGATTTTCGAATTTTCGACTTATACCGAATGTCCACACAATAGGTGGATCTTTTGCTCGGATCTGTAAGTAGAATTGCACATAGTTCGTGTTTATCTGGGTCAGGCAGAAGAGCTATGAAAGATGATTGTTGAAATCTAATTTTGACTCATTCAAAAAATTTAATTAAAAAATTTAATTTTTCGCAATTTTTTTCTTTTATTATTTTAATTTACTAAATTTTACTTTATTATAGTTCGAGGGATGGCAGATGTTATGCAACCAGCTTTGGTATCTCTTCAACCAAGTATACCGGATATTATGGCATCTTTTGGTTGGTGTTTTCTAATTATCATTTACTTATCATTTACTTTATGAGCAGTAACACTTATTAGTTAATTTGTTATTGCAGACGGAAGTCCACAAATGAGTAATGAAGATGAATTGTTTTCTAATATGAGCACTACTTCATATTCTGATAAGGATTACAATAATTCTTCATTACTTGTTGATTACAATAATCAAACCCAACCTACAAGGCAACCTTCCTCAATATCACCTGTTTTGAGGTCAAATTCTGCTATTCCTACTTATTCTCAGGTATAATTAGTTTAATAATCTGTGCTTATTTATTCGAAATTTGTTTATTTTTTTATATGAATTGTGACTTTTATTTTTTATAATCAAATTTTTTATGTAAATTTGAAAAGGTTTTTCATTATTTTGTTGGAAAACGATTTATTTGATTAATTTAATTATTGAAAAATTACCTATAAATTACCTTTTGTCTATTTTTTAAGGCATCTAGCTACGAGCCTATTTCCAATTTCGCATCAATATCTTTCGGTGATAATTCAACTGATTATATTCCTCAGTTCTTGATGAATAGCCCTCTACATTCGTCATCAGTGATGCCTAGTCGTCCATATTGGTCAACTTATCCTGTTGCTCATTCACCATCGCAGACATTGTTTGGTGGTTCATCTTTGTCCTCTCCTTTAATGTTAAATCCCACTGTTGCATCTCCTTTTCCAATCAGTAGTCCAACATCAGCCTTCACACTTAATAGTCCTATATCCACTACTCATATCTCAACTATTTTATCACCTAGTGGGGGTGATCCAAATCGTACTAATACACCAACGAAAGGAGCATTAAAAGCGTATCCATCTCAAAATATGCAGAAATTAATCGATAAATGGTCAAATACAGCTAATTCTTCTTTGTTTGCGTCTTCACCTGAACCGATCGGTATTAGTGTACAAGAGCATAGTGTTTGGAGGGTGAGTTTTCGTTTTTTTGAGTTAGAACTCTATAAAAGTGAAAGGTGATTGATTAATAAAAATTTTTCATATGGAGAAAAATTTTATTCTTGCAGTTATCACAAAAAAAGGAAAAAAGGAAAATAAATGAGTCAATTCATGTTTATTATTTAATAGTTTAAAAAAATATTCAGCCACTTGTAACATCAGCTTCATTATCACCTTTGTCGTTACCAGTGCCGTCTAATTCACAAATTGTTCATTCACAAGTAGCTAATCAAACTGCTAGTCCCAATGATGTCACTGCAGATTCTCCACCAGTGCCTCCTGTGGCTGTTATAAAGCAAGAGGACGAAAAAGATTCCAGTCGACCTCGTTCAGCAAGGTTAGGAATTTTTTTCGCTCCATTTTCTATATAGAAGTTTAATTAAGACTGAATTTTGGCAATTTTCTTTACTATGCAAGCACTATTTGATTATTATGTTTTTAGGTCATCGACTTGTGAAAATCTAATAGAATCAACGGAGCGAAAGCGCATTCTTCATTTGAATGCTGAACAGAATAGGTATTGATTATTTATTTTGTAATTTACTCAAAATTATGTTCATTGGAAAAAAATGAATTTTAAAAAATTTTTTGTTGAGACGTGGGAAATTCACATTAAGTTTTTATTATAATTTCGGAAAAGATCGTTTCGTTTTGACTTCATTCTATTCTTCAATTTATCTTTATAGGCGTATGGCGTTAAAAGATGGAGTGGAGCAATTATCATCAGTTTTGCCAGACATCTATGGAACTCCAGCCAAACCAACAAATGCAGCAATTTTAGCGCGTGCTGCCGATTATATTGATGAGTTGACGAAGGAAATCAGAGATGGAAATGAAAAGGTCAAAGAAAAGCAAAAACAAATTGAAAAACTCAGCAAGAAAGTCTCGTATGTTGCAATGATTTTTAAATAACTCTAGATTCTGGATTTTTTATATTTTGCATATTTGGTGATTTCAGTTCTCTGCAAGCGTCATTGCCATCTCAGTCATCCAGCAGTGCTTCCTGTCCTTCAAATCAAGGAACTTTGATCCGACAATATGCAGACCGCTACATTAAAGAAAATTCGAAAGACCTTCGTTTCTGGATGGTTGCTTCTAATTTTTTATTGACGAAAGTTATAAAAAAGATTTTAATATGAAGATTCTTCCATTATTCATCCATTCATCCATTCTCTCTGTACAAAATGCGAAATTTCATGCATATATCCATAATAGAAAGGTAATAAAGAATCCTATTATCCCAAGTCCCAAGCTAAATAAACTGGATAGAAATGAAAATGACTGGATAAAAAAATATTTATAACAAAAAAATATTTTTATTTCACTCTTATTGACAATTTTTTGAATTATTCTGCAAAAAATTTTTTTTAGAGAGCACTTACTATTATTGGACTTGTTTAGCTGGCTCGGATTAGATATCGGATTGTAAATATAAATATGTCCTGGAGTCCTTTTAGGATAGAAATATAGGTGAGCTGCCATCATTACCCAGAATTTTGTTCTTGCCTGGACTAGAATTTCGGCACTTTTAACCCACTAAGCCTCCATTCTCCTTTATTTTCTCCGTTAAGCGATTGTGCCTGAGGAAGGATGGAAAAGTAGTACATCGGTTGATTCGGACTCAAATCTCTTTATTTATCATGCCACGCTATTAAATATTGGTTTATTGGAAAATATAGTCCATATTTCTGTTTTTTCTTGTTCATTTCCGATTGACTGGCACCATTACTGGTTAGGCTGGGGCAAAGCGTTTCCTAGCCGTCTTATCGGACACCATGTCTGAAAATAATAGAAACCACTTCTTTCTCCACCATCTTTGCCCATATATCCTTAAATCGTCTATTTCTTGTAAATTTCTTCTGATTGTATCAATCCATGTTTTCCTGCTCCTCGTCGTTCATCGCATGCTTATTTACCTTAGATATTAATGGTTTAAAGGTAAATAGTTTTTCCATTCTCATTGGCCACGTTTCCCGGTTACATAACGGAACATATAACCAGATAAAACTTTGTTATTCATTGATGTTGCCATTTCATTTCCTGGCAAAAGTGCGCATTTGTGCGATTATTCGGAAGGCAATTTCATTTCGCTTTGATATAAGATGTCCAAGATATTTAAAGTCTGGCAGTCCTGCAATTTTGCCGCGTCTGATGTATAAAACAAAAAGGTTTTCGGTTATATTTGTATTATTTGGTCCTGAAGCCTTCATATGCATACATTATCCAGCTCTCTTGCATTTCTTTATGACTACCAACAAAAAAGACTTCTTCCTCAGCTATATTCAAGGTTTCTGATACTATGCCCTGGAAATTCAGTAGAACGATAGTGGGTTGCCGTTATGAAAAATATCCTTTCAACATCTTTATCATTTTTCTTGTTTCTAATATCCTTCCAATATCCTTAGCGTATCTCGCATTGCTATAACTCTGTTCATCATAAAAAAATTTTCTTCGTAGGAATTTGTGGTAGATTGATTTGTTTGTACTGTATTTCTTCCTGTCATCTTTCTTCAGAATTTAGAAAACATTGCTTTGCTCTTTTTTCACTATCTAATTTATTATTATCTATCATCTGATCTGCTATGTATTTCTTATGTCTTCCATACCAGGGAGTATTTCGGTTTAAAATGAGCTGGACATTATATAAAGCTTGAAGATTTTAGTCCGAAGGTGATTTTTTCCAGGAATTTTATTGGTCCTAAGCTTCTGAATGGCGAAGATTATTATTTTCACTCTATTTTATTGTTACTCTATTTATGGATCGCATTTGCAATAATATTGCTCAGTGAAATTTCGGACTGTATTCAAACTGGTATATGGTGCATCTTGGTTAAATTTAGTCTCAAAGAATTCTCACCATCGTACAAGGCCTTATTTGGTAGCCCTGCACATACATACCATCATTATTTCGGTTTAGTTCATTTGCCATTTCCCAAATTATGAAGAATAATTGCTTTATGAGGGAAGTGGAATAATTCCCTATTACCGCTTACTGGAATAGCCGTTTCAATATTTAGGCTATATTAGTTTAGGAACGATTTCTGTCCAGCAATGCTGTTGCCTTTTTGTTGCCTTTGAAACATTAATAGGACTTACTAACACGTATGCCCTGGCTGTTCCTTCAACTATTTCTGAATGATATTCTAGAATCTGATTCGAGGTTACCATTTTGAGCGTGTGGAAGGAATTTATAGGAAATGAAAATTGGTAAGAATGTAAACAGTCTGGTTGGGATGTTGATTATCTGGAAAATTCCAACGTTTTCACTGGAATTTCTTTTTTTCTAAGAGTGTTCGCCGATGCTGAGGTTCTATTCTCCCGGCAAGAGTAAAATCGTATGTCAAATATCGGGATGATGGTGGCGACTGAGCTGTACTTCTATCGCTAAGTGACTCTTTAACAAATTTTGTCTGATCCAATGAGACAACGAGGAATGACGAGGGAGAGACAGTTTATTTGCTTCATTTTCAACTTATTGTGTTATTTTTTTCAAAATTTTATTTATTTGATTTTGTGGATTTAGATGGCAAGAATGCTTCAACCAGTCATTGATTCACTGGTTGAAAGCCTATGTATTAATCCAACGAATTGTCGAGCTACAACGTCAGCTTCAGTTGACTCTTGGGTGCATGAGAATTGGTTTGCTTCAAAATTACGGCCACTCGCTTCAAATTTTCTTTTTGGTCTTGCCTCTCATACTCCTGTGCTAACAAATGAGAAAGATTTTGAAGAGTTTGCACGAAGTGAGTTATCAAAGCGCTAAAAATATATGAAATAAAAAGTATGTTGTTTTTTGTAGATATATGAAATACAGTTTTTTTTTAATATTGTACAATGAAAATACAATATTTATTTATTAATTTGTTCGTCGCTATGAGAGATATACTAAAAAAAAGTGCTCAATGCCTCAGTTTTTGTGGCCATTAGATTTTTTCTTTTGTGTTGTATTTTTTGTATTTAGGAAATTTTTGATTTTTCTTTCGATATGCTTGAATATTTAGTCGTATTATTGTTCTTTTGTGCGCTTATTTAAGCTGAGATAGCTGTAAATGTTGTTAATTCCATTTACTATGTAATTTTGAAATTTATCGAAATTTATTTTCAACAATTAGGCAAATCAGCTAGGCTATAGTGGATCTAGTTTATTGTTCTCATCTGTGATATTGCACTATTTCTCTGAATTATCCGTTTGATATTTGATATTTTTTAAAGTTATTGAAAAGTTTTTTTAAATTTAGATCTAATTTTTAATTTTTTTTGAATTATGGTTCATTTTTATGTGAACCATATATGAAGCTTTTTTTTTAAAGAGTCCTAACCATTACTGGTTAAACTCGCTCCACTGGCTCGTCGCATTGGGAGATGTGCCAGGGTGTCCCTTGGCCATAGAAGTACAGGTGAGTTGCCAGGGCTTTTGTACAGGTTAACTCCTGTGGGGAATCGAGCCTTAGTATCAGCGCTTCCAATTGAGCAACAACCCACTGAGCTATTCTATTATATGAAATGTTAAGGTAATGTTTTTATTATTAATGTTAGCATTTTTCTTATTGCTTTGAAATAACTGAAACTTGGAAATATTTTTTTTCCCATATTTTTATTTTTTTTATATTTCTTTTTATATTATTATATTATATTTATGTGGATTTTTTCTTTTTTTTTTTGTTTGCAAATTATATTCGAATGGATGATTTATGTTTGGTCACAAACATATAGGATTTCTTAAAATGCAAGGATATTTTTTCTTAGAATGCAAGAATTTTTTTACTGAAACCAGTGGTAATATTTTCAGTGCAATTCTATAAATAAACATATTGAAGTTGATGCGATTTTAAATACTGTTTCAAAGTAATATTTGGTATAATAAACGATGATAAAATAATAATTTATTTGTTTTTATTAATATTACAATATTTTTATTTGATTATAAAATGTTTTATTTAAAAAATTTTGCTATAAATTTAGAGTTTGTGTTTTTGCGCTTTGGGGCAATGAAATTTATCAAAAAACAAATCACGTAAGTTAATGAGTTGGAAAAGTCGTTTTTTAGTGAGTTTTCTAGTGAGTGAGTAGGCATAGAATCATTTGAATAGAATTAGATTTTAAAAAAAATTGGAGGAAAAATTCAGTTGACAAAATTATCCGCAGGATTCATCCCCTAAAAAGATATATCTTATTGAGATTTTGTTTGCACCACACAGCTGCACCACTGTGCCCTTGCACAGTTTTCGCAAATCAAAGAACCATGATTTCTTAATCAAAACTTAGAGATTAAAGCTAAATTTGGATCGTTGAGGATTTTCGAACTTGTGTTCTCGAGTAATTCGAAAGTTTGACTGTGGTGCGTAAGAAAAAAGTTTCCAGGGGATGGTCTTTTTTTTAAAGAGTTCTCGACTATACTGGTCACTGGCTTGTCGCATTGGGCAATATGCCAGGGAGTCCCTTGGCAATAGAAATACAGGTGAATCGCTAGGATTTTTGTACAGGTTTACTCCTGCGGGGAATCGGACCTCAGCATCGGCACTCCCAATTGGGCAACAACCCATTGAGCCCTTCTATCCCCAGAGGATGGTCTATTTCATATAATTGAAAATGTTTCATAAATATTAAGAAAACTTAAGAATTATGAGTAAGTTGAACATCAGGAGTAAATCACTCCAGCACTAGGTGAATGCTAAAGCTTTCTAAACATATAATAGCTAGTTTAATCAAAAATGTTGGCCTCTAACCAGTGTTACCGAATGTTTTTATGTCTCTATAAATTATATTTTGTTATTGTTTATTGCTTCTTGTCTAAGCACATATTTTTTTCCAACTATTATTCCTATTTTGCCTTTAAATAAATAAATTTTTAATTTTTTCCCATCACTAATTTTAAAAATTTCTGTTGTTGTATTGAGGCGCTTTTCAGATTTTCCGTTTTTTTCTATAAATTTTCCTCATTAATTCAATTCTTTTCTTATATTTAATAAATAGATTTTCATAATGTCAATAATTTCAAATAAATATTTTATCGACAATATCAGCAAAATCAATGTCAGACATCACGTACTGCTTGAATGAGTTGTGATAATGTAGCAGTTAAAGTTGTGCTCCGAATGACAAGCGCTTTAATATCATCATCAGCTGTCGATGAATTTTTGTTTTTGATAGGTTCTGCGTATCTCAGCACCTCTGATAATGCATTCAGCATCTATAAATTGTAGCGATAGACTTGAGAAATAAGATAATTTTCTTATGAGGAAATCATGCTTTCGACTAACTTGTCATAAGTGTGCTAGCGACGGATCGAATCGAACAATGCAATAAATTTTGTGCGAATTTTGTGTCTCTTAGTGGAAATACTAATTAACTCTCCTTCGAATTCATTTCCCCCATATGCCTATTAAAATTCCTTCAAAGGGCACATTTCACTGCTCAAATGGTCGATGATATTAACAGTTATTAAAAAACTGTACTTGATCTGCTTTCGCCAGCATTAAATGCGCATTAAAGATGGAATTCGATTTTTGGATAATTTTTTCTGCATTTCGGGTGACATTATCCGCACGTTCAAGTATATCATGAACTATGCTCATCCACTGCATATCCTCAGAATGGCTTGTCAGATTTCGTACCATCATCTGAAACTCATCTTTTGTCATGCTATTGCTTATTGTTTATTGCTTCTCAACATCCACTTTTTTTTCCAACTATTATTCCTATTTTGCCTTTAAATAATTTTCCCAACCAAAATAAATTAGAGTAAATTTCTGCTAAAAAGGCAGAAAACAGCCATGTTTATGCATATTTATGTTAATATTAATGTTAACTTAAATGTTTTACCACTGAATTAATTTTTTATAAATTCCTATAATAGAGTCCCTTTTTTAATAATATATTGGCAAAATTAAAGGGAATTCGCAAAAATCCATTTATATTTTCAATAGTGAAAGATGTCGCACTTTACAAGCACTGGCAAGCATTTGACTTTCTTTTAAAAGCTCCACTTTTTCATCACCTGACTCGATTTTTTTCTTCGGTGATTGATTTGGTAATGCAGTTATCGTATCATCCAAACATTTCCGCATAGATTTTAATCTAAAAAATACCAATTAGGAAATTTTCTTGCACCTGGTTGCGTTCGCTTCATTGGCTGATTTTATTCTATTTAATGAAAAGCCGCCAAGCATGGCGCAAACGCCATGTGCTTGTATTAATAATAACAGTTAAAATAACAAATAATAAGAATTAATGAGAAAAACAAAAAATAAATAAAATATAATTAACAATTTAAAGATGAAATAAAGAGGAAATTGCAAATAATATAATATAGAACAGTTCGAAATAACTATAATCGGATGGCAAAAAATCGAGATTTCACCCTTCCTGCATGATGTAAATTTTTTAAATCTAATCTAATCTTTTTACTACCTAATATTATCTAATATTTATTATCATATGACGCACAATCTACATCGTTCGGTAATTTATTCCAGTAATTAATTGTACGAATAAAGAAATCACGAGTCCTTAGTTTAGTATTACACCTAGGTTTTAGTAATTTTAGTCTTTAGTTCTTGTTGGATTTAAATTTAGCCTAAAATTATAATATTTTGAACAATCTAATTTAACATAACCATAGAAAATCTTATAAGTATAAATTAAATCTTGTTTACGACGAACTGATAGAGAATCCAGGTTATATTGTGGAATTTTTCTTTTATAATTAAAAATTGCAATTAGAATAGAGGCGCCGTGTAAAATATTTTTGGAGTTCTTCAATTATTTTACTTGATTTACGATATCTCTGGAAGTAACATGTAGTTTTGTAGTCAAAAAGTGGCCGAACGAACGCTTTGTACATTCTAATAAGAAAATCTTCAGTTTTATTCTCAAACGAACGAAAAATAAAATTTAGTATCTTTGAGGATTTCTTTACAATGGTTCTACGGTGAAGGTCGAAATCGAGATTTTCATCCACCAAGATCGGAAATGTGTGAGACTCTACTGATTATATTGCCATTAATAATAAGATTAGGAAAATTGGAACCTTTAGAATTGATATGAAGAACGTTGCATTTTTGAAAGGAAAGGGTAATTTGCCTGCCATATAGCCAGCTGGTTATTCTCCTGCAGTGGAGATAGGCTATCTGATCTACCATGATAATAATAAATCTTACAATCATCAGCATGAAGATAAGTAGAATTTAGTACCACGTTAGTGATATCATTATATATAATAGAAAAAGCAATGGCGCAATACAACTACCTTGGGGAACACCAGATTTAACAGGTGTTGTGTCAGAGAGAATGTTATTGACACGTATGGCTTGGTGACGATCTTTTATGCAATCTGACACCCAGTTATAAAGGGCCCCTGTAATGCTATAACTATTAAGAGTGATCAGTAATTTGCTATGGGAAACAGTATCAAAAGGTTTAGTCAAATCTAGTTATTCAACTGGTACTGTTTTTCCATTGTTAATTGATGCATTGATGAATTGATGTCCTTATAAATTAAAGTAGGGACTCAGTTAAGATGGACTATTGATGCTGGCGATTCACCTATATTTCTATCGTCAAGGGACATATTTATCTGCCATATTTATTCAATGCGACAAGCCAGCAAAGCGAAGCGAATTTAACCGGTAATGTGAAAATTCTTAGAAAAAAAATCTAAGCCATACGCCACTCATTGCAATACCCTAACATTCCTATTAATATGGCTTAGAATAATTTAAATTATTCGTTTATCCAAAATTTTTTATTTTAAATTTTTTGCATTTTACTTGCATTCAAGGAATTTTTAGGAGTTTTTTCATTTCAAGCAAATATTTTATTCAGTTGATTTAAATCATCTGCAATAATTTAGTTCATTTAAAGATGAACATCATTTCTCTGTGCGGAAAATCAGCCACAAATCTGCGGTACACAAGTCAGAAACAGAATTTCTGTTTTGGAAAGCCGAATGCGAATATCATTGCTTGAGGGATATTTTGGATTAAAGTACTTTTGCTATTAAAAACAAGCTCACTTCTTTTGTATCTCATCGAAATCTATCTGTTTTTCTGGCTTAGAAGTTTTTGGTAGCTGTGGCGAGTAATCAGCGATAGGTTCCGATGATGGCACAGAGGCAATCGATCGTCTTCGTATACTGTATTTATCAATCAAACTTCGGTCATCTTGAGATTTCCTTTGATCTTTTAGCGAACATTTCTCCATGATCGCCCATCTGTAGTTTTGTGTATATATATATATATATATATATATATTACACATTTTTTACGTATTTATTACTGCAGCAGTAATAATAAATTAATATATTCAGAGATTTTTTAGGCAATAATTATTATCCTAAACAAATTCCAGTTTACCTCTGCAATTTCTTCCCAAATTGTTATAAACACGTTTTGTTTACATAACAAATAGAAATACTATAAATAGAATGGTACTCACTAAAAAAAGACTTACAATGAGCTGGGCTTGAAATCTTCCAATCCACTGAAATATTTCAACGGAATCCTAAAAGAAGAATCAATTTTTATTGGATGTTCTGCCATCAAAATCTTCACACTTGACTTTTAATAATTTTTGTATAAGTTCTGTCCCATATTTATTCAAAAATAATCTCTTAACTAGCATTAGTGATAATTACTTATTACTATTATTATATTATAATTATTTATGTTTATATATATTTTTTAAGAGTCCTCACCATTACTTGTTAAATTCTCTCCACTGGCTTGTTGAACTGGGCAATGTTCCCTTTTGCGATAGAAATACAGGTGAGCCGCCAGCATACCCGGATTTTTATACAGGTTTATTCCTGCGGGAAATCTCAGCGTCAGAGCTCCCAATTAAACAAAAACCCACTGAGCCATTCCACTCCCAATTACTTTTATATATAATATGATTATTGATTATGATTATGATTATGATTACTTATTTTTCACATTCGAAACTTCGTATTCATGATTGAATCTTAATTTTTAGAATTTCAACTACTCAGACTTATCGCAAAAAATAGGATAATTGCTTTTAAAGCAGCTAGTTCAAAGGCAAATCTGAATAGGATTAATGAATAAAGGATATCGAGGAGAATAAAATTTAGAGGTTCGCCTAATAGGAAAACTAAGCATCGCCATAAATAATATAAGAACTATTAATGATAAATTCATGGATAATAAATGTTTGATCAAAATGCCAAAAATTCAAAAAAAATAGCAAAAATGTGCAAAAATTTTGAATTCAAAAGCGAAAAAAACGCCTTTCTGGATTATCCATTCCCATTCACTTTGCAGAGGTTATGTTTTCCTTTAAGGATTTTTTATTCTCATTTTTAATTATTTTGAGAATTTGTAGTTATTCGACAAAGTAAAGCGCTTTTAAAAGTTGCGACCGATAAATTTGGCCAATAAACTTAAACAAATTTTGTGAATCAAAATATCGCCGAAAATAAATAAATATTGTCGAAAAAAGAGATTTTTTATTGAACTAATCAATTTTTGAAAACAATATATGAAAGAAAATATAAAAAATTAAGGGGAGTGAAGTGATAATAATGAAAGAAAATCGAAATGTTGTGAGTTAATCTGTCCTTCACTGCTATCAATAAGTACCCTGCGGAGGAGGTATCTTTGCCTTTAATTAACCGAAATAGCTAAAGGGAAAATGCTTTTTGCAATAGAGAACTTGAATTACAAATTACAAAATGAATAAGAAAGAGTGGAAACAATTTTAAAGTAATTTTATTTTTAATTTGTAATCGTCTATGCAATTACGAAATTATGTCAAAAATTATGCAAAAAAATTAATAATATAAATAATGATAAATATAATTTTCAATATTATTATAATATTTTTGTTTTATTTTTGTTTATTTTTATCAAAGAATAGCCAATACCAATAACTATTCCAAATAACTATTCCAAATGCCATAATGTGATACGGAAATTTAATCTCTGAATTTTGGTTATTTGCTTTATTTTTAGAAATAACGTCGTTTACATCCAAATGATTTGAGATTGATAAATTTAAAAATTTTTTATTGAATCGCTTGGCGATGAATTAAGCTATTTTATAGTAATTTAAAAATTTCGTTTTCCTCAAAGAGATTTCAAAAAAAAGGATTTATTTTCGCTACAACTGATAGATGAAAAATTGGTGATAAAATGAAATAAAATAAAGCAATAATTTATGTCAACAATGAATGTTTCTAATTAGTTATTAAATGTATTGAAATAATGGAATGGAATAAATAGATTCGAGTCTTAATTCTATTAAATTGCATTTTTACATCATATATAAATATAAATATAAAATGACAAATATGAAAGATAGTTGAGATAAAACTTCGACATCAAAATTTCAATTCCTTCTGCTGGTTGTGGTAAATTTATCACTAAAACTATCAATTCAAGTGGTGTTTGAGGTGCATCTGCATTTCTATTCTCCAGAGAAGCAAATTTCTAATAGCAAGTAAAGCCAGCGAAATGAATTTCTACAACTCCCTCAACGAAGATATTCCAGCAATATTGTATTATTTGGATATCGCTTAAGGTAAGAAAAGCAATCAGAAGAAAAACTTATTCGGTTCATATTAGATAGATTAGCTATTTGCATAAAATGGACTTTGTTACAACTCTTTTAAATATATTATTAAGGCTAAAAATTTGCTAATTATCGCTAATTACAGATGTCATTAAATATTAGCTACCTTGAGGCTATAAGCTTTTTTCTTTAATTAATTATATGATAATTACATCTCTACAAGACAATATTATTGTGAGTTTTTCCTAAAGATTTAAATAATAAGTGAATACCTGTTAAAACCCGTTATTAAAGCAATTTAATAGATTGCGAGTTTTGCATGAAACAGTGTGAGATTACTGAATATTATCATGATATCAGCAAAAAGTATCACTTAGATAAGAAACTTTCAGTGCTTTCTCATTAGGGACAAATATGATACTCTTTGGTATGACTTTTAATACTGTAAAAAAAACAGAGATTTATGACATACGAATGAGATTGTGGCAAGCGAAATGAATATTCTTCCAATCCAGTGAAATTCTTCAGGGACATTCGTCGTATCGGCTCGATATGCTAAATCTTCTGTGTTTTAAGTTTTTAGTCCTTTTTTATTATCAGATTGCTTTTTAACTCAATCTCAGCATCAAAAATTCTAAATTATTTTCCGATATAAATGGTAAAATCACTCGATTATAGTTAATTTTTTGGTGATCCAAAAGGTCACTTCATGTAACGCTTCCACCATTGCACTTATAGCTTTAATGGAGTGAAACACAGGAAATTTTACCAAGTGATCAATGAAGCATTCTCATTCTCAGTGGCAAATTGAATGCCCATGGGATTTATTTAAATATTGATTGTAGGCCATTTTAGTGAGTAATCCATGTGAACAAATTAAACGCATGGCGGTCCCCCCTGATTTTTTTGTGAGATAGGCTATTTTGCAGTTAAAGAAAAGTAGTGAAAAGAGAGGACGATCAGTTTCAAAAGTCGAAATGAGGATTTTTGAGGAATGTAATAATGGTGCCAGTAAGGGTTTCTAGAGCTATTATATGGATAATGAAGTGGTTAAGCATCACCGCAGTATAATGGAATCTAATTTCGAATTACAACTCTCAATGATTTTTTAAGGAAGCAAAACAATTCGAAATGCTCGAAGCAGGCGTACAAATTTGATAAGTTGATTCAATAATCTTTGAGATATTTGGAATTTTATGATTCGCTTATAAGTTCTATATGAATCTAACCGAAAGATTTGAGATTATATGCTTAATAAAATAATAAAATATTTATAATAAAATATTAATACTAATAAAACATTTAAAGTAGCGATATTAGAAAACATATGAGGCGCTGTTATAAAAAATGTCTAACAAAAGAAAAATGAGAGCGAAACCTGTTTAGGCGAATTAGGATCATGATCAAAATCCTGGGACATCGAATCCGTCATCCGGCACTTGCAAACAGGAAAGGTACGACTACTACTAAGAATTGATTTAGAATGGGTGGGGCGGTTATGATAATGAACTACCGCCGTCATTTGATAATAACCAATCTCCTCCGAACATTCATCAGTGCCATTAAGTAATGGTGAGAAATCGAATCGAACACGTTTCTTTTCGGGAACCATTTTATCAAATCTAAAAATTTTATGAAATCAAGAACCAGCAACTAGTAAGGATGTTTAGAAAAAGCCAAGAAAAGTAGCCCAAAGACAATACATTTTCCTTCAGAAAATTTTCAAAAGGATCCGCCTTTTTAGTTGAAATTTTGTGACATAAAAACACATACTCAACTTCATGATTCTCTTAGTTTTAACTGATCTATACGCATATATTGTTATTAAATAATTTGGCTCAAAATGGCCAATGATATCTATTGACCAAGTTTCCGACAAATTCAAGCAAATTCGAATTTTCTAGCTCTTAATATTTTCACTGAGTAAAGCAGTGGCTGGTACTCACCATTTCTGGTTAATCTCAGTCCGTTGGCAGTCAGAAATTTCTGTGAAGGAAGATAGCGCGGTTTTCTTGATGATTTACTTTAGATTTACTTCTTGCTTACTTGCGAGCCGAACCCTTATCTCCCAATGTAACGAGATAATCTGATTTATTATCCTCTTGACTATTCGAATTTTTTTCAAAATAAATTTTGTATAATTGGGGACAAATGGAATGAAAAAAACATTTATGGATGGATATGCAAGATATGTAAAGTTGATTTTTGATTAACTGTAGTCTGAAAACGCAATTTTTTTTTAAATGAGTTTCCACCATTATTGGCTAAACTCGCTCCGCTGGCTTGTCGCACTTGACAAATTTGCCGGAGAGCCCCTTAGCGATAGAAATACAGGTGAACCGCTAGCATAGCCCGGATTTTTGAGCAGGTTTATTCCTGCTGAGATTAGAACCTTAGTATCGGCGCTCCGAATTGAGCTACAACCCACTAAGCCATTTTAGTTGATTTTTGATTAACTATAGTCTGAAACGCAATTAGCAAAGAGCTTTTAAAATTTATGGGGCAGATGAATTTCAATTTAATCAATTTGAAATGTTTCGGTTGGATTAAGAAAAATATTTAAAAATATTCTTTTATAAACAATGTTTATTTTCTTTAGCATAATAATAGCATTGCAGTTATTCACCATAAAAACTTAATTATTGATATTGAGGGAACCAATTATTGCAAGAAAGCCTTAATCATTCGTTTTCAATCAGAAAGCATTCAGTATAAATGAAAAATTCGATCAAACTAAGATAACAAAAACAATGAACAACTTTAGAATAGAATAGAATGGATTATAATGACTGCACTCGTGAATCAGGCAATCACTAATTTGGGATTTGTGGAAGGAACTTTGGTTGGTTGAGGCGAGCGCTGGTCGATGCATTTTTGGGAAACCCTTCTCGAAATCGCTGAATATTCAGAACATTCAGTTCTTAGAGTACTCGCAGGTATTATCTGAAATGAAGAAAGGTTTGCGCCATTGTATGCTCCTATGAATTATGTAATACTAGCACAAGCTGGGTTTTCCTTAAAATGTTTTGCATAAAATGGTTTCTAGCAGGATAATATCAATAGTAATGCGATTCATAATTGTAAGGAATTGCTTGCAAGAAATTTATCTTCCCGTCATCTTTGCCCATTTCGAAATACTGATTTTTAAGAATGCCTGAGCGTATTAAAATTTTTTTAGACATTAAGTATAAATTCTTATAAATTAAATTTCATCCAACTATTTCGGATTTTTCAATCCAGCAAGATTTGCCACTTTTTTCAAAGAGTCCTCACCATTACTGGTTAAACTCGCTCCGCTGGCTTATCGCACTAGACGAATATGCTAGGGAGTCCACTGGTGATAGAAGTGCAGATAAATCGCCACCACCCGGATTTTTGGGCAGGTCTCTTCTCCTACGGGGAGTAGCATCGGCCTTCCGAATTGAGCAACAATCCACTGAGCCATTCCATGCCATTCATCCATTTGGATGATCGACGATATTCCAAAAGAGTGATAGAATGGCTTAGTGGGTTGCTGCTGTCGAGGCTAATGTTTGGTTTCTATTCATCATGCAAAAAATTTTCTGAAAAGTTATTATCGAAAATTTTATCCTAAAAGAAGCAAGTTTGTTTTTCAATTTTTCGATTTTAATTAAAATCTCATAAAAAATAATTAAATAAATATTTTTGGGAAGAAAATAAAGATTTAGGCAGGTTTTGAGTGGGCTGTGTTGCTATAAAGTAAACTTTTTATAATTGTTGTAAAATTTAAAGTAAATTTAAAGCGAATACTATTAAATATTTATAATTACCAAACCTCTATTATTAAATATTTATGGTTTTTTTTATAAGAACGCTCTTCCCTGTGGCAAGTGAAATAGTATCTGTTTACGACGAATGGAATAAGTGGACTCAGGAAATTGGCCTTATCCACAAATATTTGTGGACATAAATGTCGACGTCTAAAAGGCGTTGGAATTAGAAATAAAAAATCTAATAAAATCAGGAATTTGTAGCGAATCGCAAATAATTCAATTTTAAATAACAAAAATAAATTTCACTAAAAATTTAGAAATAAGAGAGAGAGAGCAGAAAATTTTAGCGAAAAGCTTAAAAACAAATTATAAAAACTTTATAATAAAATTTTTTGAGAATCCAGAAACTTTTAAATGGAATTTCAATGAAATTTTTCAAATCAATTTTAAGATAAAAATTATTCAAATATTTAAAAATATAAAATTAGCACAAATTTAATCGTTTGGTTATAAATTCAATCCGTGAGTAAATTTATTTAGTTAATTTGGTGATTTGAGGTTCTTTTATTTTTGCGTATCCTCGTAGACGAGAAAAGTTATTGGATGAGTGAGAACAAATTACTGAAATGGAAGATAAAAGAGAGAACCCTCAAGAATTCAGAGAAAAAATGAAATTAAAACTTAAAAAGCTGAAGAAACATTTGTTTAAAACTGCAAAATAATCGAGAAAGTTGAACGATGAATAATGATTTTTAATTTCGATTATTCTATTCTATTGAGAAGTTGTTCCATGCTAGCATGCAAATAAGCAACACTCAACTTTTCTGGTTTTAACTCGCTCTATTTATCAGTTCGAGACCATTTGCAAGAAGGTCATTTAGAGCTGTAAGTATATATAAACCCTCAGTTTACACTCCGGTGGCAGGTTCATCCTTGCAAGGCTTGTCCCAGAATCACGGTGCTTATATGACACTCTAGGCGCAACACACATTCGGCTATGTCGTAGTGACATAGTATATGACAAAACAAATAAAAAATATGATCAAATATGATCAAATTAATTTTTACTCAAGTATTTTATTTACATATTTATACCTTAATTGATTTTTGAACTTATCATTATAATTGTTATCATTATCATCCATTTTATTATTATAGTTTTTATCATTATTATTAATATTATTGTATGATTATTATTATTTATTATATCAAGCCATATATCCACTCATCCTCTCATTTAATGAAGAAAGGAATGTAGTAATGTTTAATCATTGACTATACCGCTTTCTTTATTAAATATGAAAAACATTTTCAGTTCAATCGGCATAAAATTCAGCATAATTTGAAGAAAAAATATAAATTTTTTACACTCACACATTCGCATGAATTTCCAAACTCTCAAATTTTTGGAATTCATAATTAAATTTTCTCATTATCAACTTAAGAAGCTGTCTAGACTAAATATTAGAACGTATGCCTTCCATTAACTTAAAAAAAAACTAAGTTTTTTATGCTTAAAAAAACGCATCGCACATTTCCCCTGGAGAATCACTTCTCAATTGAACTACAAATGGATGATGTACCAGTCGCATTTTTCACGGAGCGATTTATTTCTACAAGGGATGAACCTCGATGTGGAATCGTCGAATCTCGGCAATCGGCTAAATTGCTCCAAACGCAGACATTAATTAATTTAGTTGATAAATTAAAAATAAAATATACTATGAAGCAATATTAATTTGCCGGAAATTTTGATGGCAAAAATTTATGAGTTCATCAATCTATAAAAAAAATTCTTTATGATTAATTTGGAATGAATGGCTTTAAATAATAATTCAGAAAAAGGAATGCAAACTGAATGATTTATAAAACGAAATATGGAAAAATAAATCCCTTTTCACTCTTTCATAAATCAAAAATTTGTCAAAAAAGTTTGTTTTTTGCATATAAATTTGACTATTTCAGCTTATGATGAACAATATCAATGCTAAAATTGAGAAAAATTTTTCATATTTTCATAAATTTTTCAATTTGTTTATTTTTATTTAATTTTTTAAATGGAAAAATTCAACTATTACCTCATAATATAAAGAAATTAAAATTAATATTGTAAATTCTAAACCGTAAAGTCGAGAATGATTCAGTGGACAATTGGTCAATTTGAAGCGCCGGTGCTGGGTCCTACTTCTTGCATGTAAACCTGCTCGAAAATCCGGGTAATGCTGGCGAATCACCTGCACTTCTATTGCCAGAAAGTTCCCTGGCATATCTGTCCAGTGCGATAAGCCAGCGGAGCGAGTCTAACCAGTAATCGTGAGGGCTCTTAAAAAAAGGAATACCTTGAATATGAAAAGTATTACCTCAGATATTTAAGATTATTTGTGGCATCGATATTTTTCTATTCTATTTGTTCTCAATTATAACTTTAACTTTTATCTTATTCTTCGCTGTGGCAAGAATGCTTTGTTGCTTGGATTATTAGCTTTGACTCAGTATTCTGGAATTTTGAAAGAAATAGAACTGCCAATAAAAAATCAGAAGGGCAAGCCACCTATATTTAACTCATTAGCAAAATTTTTTTACCGTACTGACTATAGCTAATAGGGCTAGCTAACTGGAAGCGCTGAACTTATCTTTTACAGTGCCTTTCAGCTATAACTATAATTCGCAGTACTAAACACAGAAATCAGCAGAATAGATAGCATTCTTACTAATGTCTGGAAGCTTCTTAAATTATTCAATTCAAGAATTCACCACGATATAAATTCTTTGGTAAATTCTTTGTTAGAATCGCAGGAGTAAGCCTGTACAAAAATCCGGCTGATGCTTGCGACTCACCTGTATTTCTATCGCCAAGGAACTCTCTGGCATATTGCTCAATGCGACAAGCCAGTTCTCTGGAACGAGTTTAGCCAGTAATGGTGAGGACCCTTAAAAAAAAATTTCGCCAAGTGATGTTGCATTCATCAAATTTGAAATAACTGTGCAAATCTGCTGTAATTTCGGCCTCATCTTTGGTTAATTCGATTGTGGTTTATTTTGATTGTGATTGTGGTTTGTGGTTTGAATGTGGTTTATTTTTTTGTGGTGATTCCATTTTCAATTAAAAATGTTTTGAAAAAAAGAGTAATTTTTTTCTTTATTTGTGATAAACTTATTCAAAATTGAATGAGTTTTCACATTTTCCCGAATGACGGAAGTTTAATTACCATCTTATCAAAATTATTCTATTTAATTATCATCTTATCAACTTATTTATTTTAATTCCTTGATTCGAGTCAGAATATTTAAATATTTCTGATACTTCGAAAAGAATACTTTTCAAGTTCCGCTCAGTATACAATGAATTCATTGCATTGCATCGCATTGAAATCAACCAAGATTTTTTGAGATAAAAACGCGATAGTCTAGAAAAATTTCCGATTCCGATGAATAGGCATTTAAGCAGTTCCTTTCTGAGCAACTAAGCTACACAAAGCATTTTATGCTTTGGCCTTTCTTGTATTTCTATTTAATTTAAATAATTTTCAGAAATATGCGTTTCCTAATTTTCTACTATCTTTGTTTCACTGTTCGGTATAAAACTTCTTCCAGTTTTACCTTTTTGTTATAAGCATTATAAACGTAAAAATATCCGCAAGGCTGCTAAAAAGAATGAAATCTTCCAGAGATACCCGACAGCATATCTGTGAATCGCACTGAATTGAAGAATTTGCTTTCTCCATTTTTTAAAGGCGAACTGAAAAACATCATTAAAATGTCATTTCCTTTGTTAACTGATGAAGCTGATGACCGATATTTCAGATTCTAAAGTGTTTAAGCATCCATTATTTTTCAAATTTTGGTGCTTTTTTCAAGCTGAAATGTTGGAAATCTTTTGGTGACAAATTTGGTACATTTTGGAATTTGGAAACTCGCCCCAACTTTCTGGCAACACTAGTCATCGAAAATGGTTCAGGTCGACTATTAATGATTTAGTGTGACCGATCCGCTTTTCTTTTTCCTTCCACTTTGCCTAAGTTTTTTAAATTTTTATTTCACTTAATTATTTTTATTAAATTATTATACTTTACTATGCAATTTATTTCTTTCTCAACAATTTCATAAAATCTTTTAATTCGCTGCTGCGGCCCACTTGTGCTTCTACGAAAAGGCGGCGGAAAACTCAAACAACAACATGGTCAAATCCTTAAAATGCCATGCATGTGATAATGAACTGGAAGTGACAACAGATTTTCACAGCATAACGATTAAGGAATTCCGACGAGAGTCAGCCAGACTCGTGGCGAAAGTCTTGGCCAGTTAGGACAACCTCGGACTGGCCTAAATTGGTTTGGTTAAGGCGCTCTCATACACTATATATTCAGCGGGTAGTTGCCTAAGTGTGTCCAATAGATGGATTCTATAGGACATTAAGCAGCATTTGTTTGTATTTACAAGGCAAATTAAATCGTATGTCACACTCTAAATGCACTCCAACCATTAAATGACTTTTGGGGCGAAAAGGGCCTTGAAGGGGAGTAACTGGATGTAGCGCACTATCTGATAGGCACTGAGAGTAGTTTCAGTTGAATTTGGTCCATTTTCATTAAATCTTCCAGTGGATCTCCCAAAGTCAAATCTCCTCCACTGGGCATCTTTCCTAACAATACAGTGGAATAGATGACATCGAAGATCGGACTATTAAAAGAATTTAACGCGAAGAGTGAGCAGTGACGGAGTACCAATTCCGTTCAACAGCTGCTTTTTCCATCGGCTAAACCACATTGCTAAAAGTCGGCTGCGGTCGGCTGCCGACTAATGCATGTCTGACCGGAATTTGACAGTGAATTAGAATTAGAATCGAGGGATTCACAGAGAGAGAGAGAAAGAAAAGGAGAGGTGAGGGATGTGTGGAATGTTATAGGGCTAAGATGCACTATGAGGCTCGCTAACTTGCGGTCTTTGAGGCCCAGCAAAGTGGATGAGTCGATGCTTAAGTCCCATAAAATTTACTGTCTATATTACTCGATCGGGCTGACTGTTTGAATATCGCGAATACAAAGCATTTTTATTATGGTTGGGACCGCCGGCGGCTGCGTTGTGGGCTTGTGTACTCTTTTAACCTTTGACTGGAAGTACCACAGAATCCGAAAAGGCGTTAAGGGGATATAGAGGACGGTATTTGAAAACATAATGTTTAGCGAGAAGAACGCGAAATATTTCGTTTTTAGACTTTAAGAATTTATTTCAATGGAATATAATTTTATTTAATATTTAATATTGAAATTTAAGGATTTTAAGATGTATTTGAGAATGTTAATTTATTTATTTAAAATAAAGCGACCACAACCACGAGTATTTTTTATTATTTTATATATTTTATATAATGTTAACTTCGTTCTTTAACTGCATTAATTATGTGGAATTGTTTATTTTTATGTAAATTATTTATTTAATTTATATTTTTTAATTATTATTTTTAACGTAAATTTTTAAAAACATTGCAGTATTAATTAGCTGAAATTTTCTCGTCAGTTATTTTATTTTCGGGAATTTTTATTTTTTTTCTGATGGCTTCAACAAATGTAAGTTTTTCCCTTCGTCCATTTTGTTTCTTTTTAAATAATAATTTTTTCCTCGAATTCCACCAAAAGTGTTTATAAATTTTCATAATTAATGATAGTTGCTTCTTAAACGAATTTTATTTCTTCAATAATTATTAAAATTTTTCAGAACCTATTATGTGCCTTTAAAAGTGAGAATACTTCTAAGACTTGCAACCAAGGTTTCTTATCAGTGAGTAAACTAATCGAGCACATTGCACGAACACATATGAATTTCTCGGTTTTTATATGTTGTGGATGTAATTCGACATTTATTACTGCGTTACAAGTAATGTCGCATGTTACGAATTGCAGTCATCCTAATAAAGCCGTATGATTTCATTTTTTATTTATTTGAAATTTAAGTAAATTTGCAATAATAAATTTTTAAAAGTTTTGGAAATTATTTTAAACTATTGTATTTTCACTATATTTGTTTCTTTTATATAATTATTTAAGTTTTTATTTATTTTTATTGAATAAATTTTAATTTAAACTAATTGAGAATGTTTGCTTTATTTGCTTATTATTTTTCGACAACAAATCCTAACAGTTATCGTTCCGAAAAAATGTTTCGTAATTTTCAGGTGAAAGTCAATAAAGATGCATTTATTTCTATAGAACTACTGGAAGAAATTGAGGATTTGGTTATGAGGTCAATTGGTGCTGCTATTGGACGAGGTAGCAAAATTTTTCAGTTATTGTTTCGTTTATTTTTTCGAAGAAAGTTTTTAAAGAAGTAAGTTTTTTGTAAAGAAATAAGTAAGTCTATCTGTCGCGGGTTTTTTCAAATAGCTCTACTAACAATTGTAATGCAGTTATTTTCGCCATTAATAGAAATAAAGGTGCCCACACATTTTCAGAACTGTTAAGGTTTCACTTTAATGACTTAATTTCATCGACATGAGAATGAATCAATGATATTTCATGAACTAACCATTCTGCTTTCAGCTTATGGCTTTTATCTTAATTTTTTCGGCTCTAATTTTTTGCGAGAGAAGGAAAATGGTTCATTAATTTGCCATTTCATTTTTTTTTATTATTTTATTATTTTTAGCATTCGAAAAGGGAGTGGAATATATGAGGTCAGTATCAGTAAATAGGTCAAAATACCAGAGCGGTATGCTTTTTGTTGCTTGCATTATAAGAAATTATAAAATTAGAGTAATAAGCTCTCTGGATTTCGAAATTTGGATGGTCTTTCCCTAAATCATCCTTATTTTTTTAAAATCCATTTGAAAAAGAAATTCTTAAAATTTTGAAAAATTCTTAGCTTCCACATGAATACCTTGTAATTTGTTCTTCTATTTTTTCTCCTCCATTATTTTTATATGCAGGTTGTCGAGAATATTGTGATGAAAGAACATATCAAAATGTACAGTCAGTTCCTGATCAGATTCATTTGCCATCAGGTGATATTGTTAAATGCTTATTTTAAAGTTCTATTTATCAAAACATAAAAAAATTTAGAAATCCAGCTAAATTATAATGCAAGAAACTACCCAAGTTGAAAATGAGAAAGTTGAGGCAATGCTAGTGATAAATCAGTTCTTTTTACATATTTACACATATTTACATATATTTACATATTTACATATTTACATATTTTATAATAAAAATCGTTTACCAACTATATTTAAGTTAATTCGATTGAGTGCGAAAACGATAAATCATTATTAGCTCTTATTCGGCAGTATGGTATGTTTTCATTTTTTCGCTGAAAAGTTTTATTTTCTTTAATATTAAGTATTTCAGATTTTTTTTTATTTCTAATTTTTAAAATATGTATGAAACAAACGCTTTAATTTCACAGAATTTTTCAATTTTATTTTAATATAAATTTATTTAATTATTTATTTTAATATACTGACTAAGAAAATTTTTTTTTTTTAATTTATAATATTTTCCTAACTATTTTATAATATGACTGATTTTTCAGCTAACACAGAAAAAGAACAGTCAGATCGAGAACGAAAACTATCGAATTCTTCCCAAAGCTCGGGTACATTTTATTTTATTGGGATATTTTTTGGATAGAATCAGTTATTCGAAAATATAATCTTTACATTTATTCTTTTATATTTCTTTAAAATCTATTATAATTCGACAGAATTTTCCTTTTCTTTTTTCTTTTTCATTTTGAAATCCATTCATTCTGAAATTCATTCATTATGAATTAAATAATTTATAGATATTGGTACGAAAAGTATTGGTAAAGAATTAGCAGAAAGAATGAGGAAAAAACTTATTGCCGATGCGCAAAGAAAAAAAAGGCTAGAACAGTATTCGGAAAAATTAAAAGTTGAACCAACAGCAGTAATTATTATTTCTAATTAAATATATCTTTATTCTTCCAGTAATGCTCAACATCTTAAGCTTATCAGGCCTCCCTATGTTGTAAATTAGTCTGTTTACCAGAGATTTAGGAATAAAAGCATGAAGAATATATGTCACGCCTTTTATTTTCCCACCAGTGGAAAGGAATATTCATGAAATTTGACCTTAGAAATACATTACTCGAGTATTTTATCCGCATTATATATACCGTCATAAGCAAAAAAAAAAGTAGCTAGCGCCCAATATTACTCATTCGACTTGATGGTCATTGTGATCGTGAATTTTTTTCGAAAATTACTTGCAGAGTAGAGTGGAGTCTCCAGCATTACCCTTATTTAATGATAGATCCACTGTTTGAGGCAGATTTTGTAGCTTGACGTTTAAGGCGATAATTCGAGCAACATCATTTGACTATTTTGGAAATATATGAAACATTATCTTTTCCTTACCCCACCATTATTGTCTTGCCATGAATACGAAAAATTTATCAGATAACGAATAAATTTATGGCGACAGCATGTTTTAATGAAAGTATTAATTAATTATTATTTTATGGTTTTCAAATTTTGATTATTGAATTATTTCAAAATTTCTAGCTTGATTCAGGTTGAAGAAAAAAATCGAAAATCCGCAGTTAAAATAACATCACAATCTCGTCAAGACATGCTTGTCGAGGAGCCAAAGGTCACTTTTTAGTTGTCATTATGTTATTACTACATATTTCGGTTTGTTTTATCATCATTTTATTATTATTTTTATTCGGTTTGTATATGTATATGTAATTTTTTTGGGAATCCAATTGGAATCTTTAAAGAATGATTTAAGACTTTTATCACACTATTTTCCAGGAATTCTAACTTGCTTATTTAGGTACAGCAGACGGTTTCACGAAAACTTCCTCCAACAGTCAGATATACCAAGGTTATTTTTTATCTGCCATTATTACTTAATCAATTGCTTGCAGATTTAAAGCCGTTGAAAAACAAAATTTTAGCTGCAACTTACGCCAACAGAGCAGCAAACGCGAAAAACTTTCATTACAAGTCTTCCCAAAGGACCATCTGGTATTTTAATTAGATTTTCTTGGGTTTTTAATTTATGCATTTTCATCATTGGAATTAAGGTTCTCTTAGTTATATACCATTGGAGCCAATAAATCCAGACGGTCTCTCAACTCAGACCGACCATATTTCAGCCCGAGAAGCATCTACGTTTACTAAGTATATTTTTCTTGCTAGAAATTTTTTTGAACTATTATAAATGGTTATTCCTTGTTTAAAGATTCAGTTTAATGGTCAGCAATGATTTATTTCAAAATATATATTAAAATATATTTTTCATTAAGTGAATATAGCTATATCTTAGAGTAGTGGAAAAAATACTAATGAACTAATCTAACAATTCGTTTTTATGGGAAAAATTTTAATTTTTATCTTATTCTTATTCAAGTTTCAGTACCCAACTTGAACCACAAATTGGATCAGTTCATTCAAGTAAATTATTAAAAATTATTACATATATATACATAGAAAATTAAAAATCATACTAGTGGTTGAAAAATACTGGACTAAAAGACAGCAATGAGGCATTGATCACTGAGCAACACAAGAATAGGTACTAAGCTCCAGATGCATCAAAGCAGCGATTTATCACTTCAAGGCGCGACTGTGCAAAAACCTCAAAAACTGTCCGACATCCAACACGTGGTAGGATGTGACGTGCAAGAAAAAGAAAAAGGACAGCACATATTGAAAAACATAACCAAGTAGCATTGTCTATAGAAAAGGAATCTGTTCAATACATAACTTAGATCCTCCCAAAGCCATATGGGAGATTCTCCAGAAAACTGAAGAAAATTATAAGGCAACGATCCTATAGGACCTCTCCACTCAAGCAAGCAAACAAATACTGGCTAATCAACCATGTATCATGGTAGTAGATACGAACCAGAAATCAGTAAATATTGTAGAAGAACATTAGGAAGAAGTACGAGAAGCGAAATATCAGAGTGAAAGAATTAGAAAAGATTTGGAAGGCTTAAATGCTTTCAGTGGTGATAGGAGCAAAGAATTTTCATATAGGAGTGAGGGCTGTGACCCTTAAACTATGACTGGAAAAGTGGATCTAATAGATTCTAGGAATAGCATCATCTCTGTTCATTAGACCACACTGCGAAGTAAAATTCTAAAGATCCCAGACTTCGATTAGGAGATCGAATTGAAAGTTGAAGATGATCCATACCATGAAGGATGAGATTTTTTACACACACGAGGAAAAATTTTTGAGTGGTATTACATCGACTGTAGTCAGTTTTATGTTGATATTTTGATTATGGGAGGAGAAAATCTGTCATTAAAAGTAAAATTCAGATAGTGCTAAGGACCCAACTTCTGCGTGCAGATTCTCTTCCGTAAGAGTCCCACTCGAGTAGTAACTGGAAATATAACCAGAAATGGTGAATATTTTTTTTTGGAAAAGATACAATATTAGAAGTTTTCATTTACAAATCAAATTTTGAGCAATATGAAAATTACAGGTACACAAAATTCAATCAGTTTGAGATTTAGATTGCGAAAACACTTCAAAGCAATCCCACGAACATAATTTTATGAATAGTGATAACAATTTGCCGCCCAAAAGTTCCACTGGCATGATACGCGGAATTTTGAAACGTCGATTGGAACCTAAAGGTTAATCTAAAATGTTTATTTTTGAATTCGATTAATCAATGGAATTTTTGCATAATTGGTTTAGCCCTTTCGAAACTTGAGTTTTAATGTTTAATATTATTAATGTTGCTATTTATGTATGAAAGGAGAAATTATTCGCAAGTTGAACTAATTTGAATATTAATTTATTAGGTTGATTTTTTAGATTTTTAATAATATTTGGTTGATTTAATAACTATTCTCTTTAATCGGTTTATCATTTTCTAGAAGAAGAAGTTGAACTCGCAAAAAACTTCATAGTTTCTCAACAACCGGTTCATTTTTTTGTTATTTTTGTCATATTGCCCATTAGGAAATTTTTATAGTCGAATTCCAAGTTTATACTATAAGAAATCAAGCGCATTATGTTTTTTTGAATATTCTAGAAGAATAACTATTAGTTTAAATTTTCTGGATAATTTGAATTTTTTTAACTTCAGACTCCAGAAAATAAGCCATCAAATGGAGTTTCCTTTTCGAACAGTATTTCGAATTTTACACTGAATATGTATCATTTTCATGAATTTTTTATTCCATTTTTAAATAAGCTTAAAAATAGATTATTTATCGCTCTTAAGAAATATTTCTTTTTTTTGACATTATTAATATTATTCTTTATTACCTTTTTTACCTTTATTGTTTCTAATATATACTAATATAAAATAAAATATGGCTTTGCTCTGTTTAATTTTCAAAAAAAGTCCTATTTCTGCTTCATATTTGTATATTTAATTACAGGAATGATTTGAAACAGGAGGAAAAGTCGAGCGATTCGACTGTTGCCAATAATACTGATGAGGTGGATTGTCTAGCACTTTGGAAAATTCTTTATTTTTGACAACAAAAATTTGTTTTTTTCCCATTTATTTTTCTTCTAACACCATTACTATCTAGATTGGCTAGAAGAGTAAGACCAAGCTATTCGATCCGAGAAGCCAATCTTTCATTCTTTTTTCTGTCGTCTTTATCCATATATCGCTGTTCCACCTATTTGCTCAAAATCTTTCTTGATTACATCAGTCCAGATCCTCTTGGCTCTGGACTGATTGAGTGATCCTCGCGTTTAACGCCATTCATCACAGAATTTTTCTAAATATATCTTTTTTCTAAATATCTTACAGATATCGCCTGCCTGTCGATCTTTATTTCTCCATCTCATTTACGGTCTCAAGTAATTAATAAACCTGGCCTCGAGCAGAGATACTTTTTATATCCTTCTGGTGCTTCGGGTCCGAAAATGGGGCGAAATGACTTGTAATTGTCATATCTGAAAAGGCTTGGTCCGCTCAGAATAAGTGGAAATCGGTAAACGACCTGTGACCTATGTTTACTTCATAGGAAAGTTCTGCAATATTTCGATTATCAATGTATATGCTCCAACTTTATGTGATAAGGATAAATTCTATACAGAGCTTCTATTAACATTTATAACGCCAGATGACTTGGTCTTAATATAGCATCGGGATCGAATGTGCCAATAGAGAATCATCCTTTTTCTGCTAATATATGTTTCCTGCATCTACATCTACACCTAGTTATGCGTAACTTTCCAGATAACCATCCAGATTGATTATATTTTAGACAATCGCCGCATGGAGAGTCCAGTACTATATAGCTGTTTCTATCGTGGCGCATTCCTATTGGTGAAACTGGTAACCTTCACTGAGCGCTGTTCCAGAGAAGATCATTCGACTGATAAAGGGATTTTATGAGCGTACGTCGGCTCAGGTCTGTGTATATGGAGAACTGACAGACTTCTTTGAAATAAGAACTGGTGTCCGTCAATATTGTTTTTCCCCTATAATATTCAACTTTGCGATAGACTGGATAATGGGTACCGTTTGTCGGCACTCAAGAGGTGTATAAATCAACCCGGAGAACCGTATCATAGATCTTGAATATGTATCATAGATCTTGAATTGATGATGTAGTCCTTGTCGACAAGTGAAACGAGAATCAAAAAAACGAGAAATGATCAATGTAAAAAATAAAACATCTCAAATCTTTTCATCATGTACACCAGAAGTTAACAAAATATCTTTTTACCAATCATCGGGGAAGCAGACTTTAAATACCTTGGATCTACTCCTATTCCACACGGTCAAGCCAAACTAGATAGCGGAATGCATTTTGGAAATACATTTTTTCCGTTAGCGAAACTTTTATAGAGTCGTCGCAAAATAGAGATGAAAATCTGCATAGCTGCATTAACAGTACCACTACAGAATGTTATGGACCTAGACGATAGAAAAAAGAATGGACCTGTTTTACTGAATAGCTTGAGAATATTTTATTCTCGTAGCCTTCGGAGCCAGCCAAACCAGTTACGGTGAGAGTTGGTGGAAAATGCGTTACATGAATATTTTATAATTTTATTTCATAATGAACAATTTACTTTTACAAATTTAAAATGAATGTCTTTTTGTAAGTTTGTTTATTAACTTCAGAATTATATGCAATGCATTAAGGTTGGAAATCCTGAATCATCATTTAACCCAGTCAATTTGCAAACTCTAGATGAAATTCGAAAATCTGTAAAGCAAGAAGAAGAGTGGGTTTTTTCTCTGTTTTCCATTTATTTTATAGGCTAACACGATATGCTGAATTGATTTTATTTTTACCATTAGGTTTTGTTAAATATTTTTTATTCTCTATTAAAATTAGAAATTATCTATTAGTGTGCTTGTACAATATTCAACTATGCGATGGAATGGATAATGGACTTAACTTGTCGGCACTCAAGAGGTGTCCAAATCAGTCCAGAGCATTGTACCACAGATCTTGAATACGTTGATATAGTCCTTTTTGTTGACAGTTAGAACGAAATGCAAATAATGCTAAATAACGTGTTACCACTGCAGCGAGAATCAGACTCAGAGTCAATGCAAATAAAACGAAAGTCTTTTCATCTCATATACGAGAAGCTCATAAATGCCTTTTTTTATACACTCATCGCCAGTTGCCAGCTGAGGAAATGCCCGATTTTAAATACCTTAGATCCACACTAATACCGAATGATCAGATAAAACACGACAATCCGGACGACAGCTATAAATGCATTCTTCCAGTTGATGAAACCTTTATGGAATCGTCACGTAATCACCATAAAAATAAAATCAGTATTGCCGCGATTCGGTTTTGCTAAATGGCTGTGACATATGGCCAATGAGAATGAAGAGTATTATCTTTCTTTAACCACTCTTATCTAAGGTACATTTTACGCGTCCGTTGAGCGGAAAAATATTACATGATTGCATCCATCTTCTCTCAAATACCACCTGTATTAATAATGTTGTCACAGAGCGTTGTTTTCGCTAGTTAGGTCATATTCTTCGCCCACCAACAAGAGTTGACATATATTTCGTTACTTGTTAAACCTTGTGACGGATGGCAAAAGCGAGGTGGGCCAATCAAGACCTGGATTGATATAATCAGGAAAGATGTTGAACGTGTCTGAGGACCGATAATATATGGACTTAGACGATGGGAAAAGGAATGGCTTCTATTGCTACTAGCGATGGCGTCGGACCGAGTAGCTTGGAGACTTATTCTTATAGCCAGCCTAACCAGTAATGGTGAGAGCTATTAGAAGAATTTAAATGCTTGAGACTATTCAATCATTATTAAAATGAAATTGTGAGAAAAAAAATTTGTACAAATCCATATTAAATAATATTTAAAAAGAATATTCGGCAAATTTTTGCATAACAGTGTCGGATCGTTCGATCGCTAGCCCAGAATTTCAAGTTTTTAAGAGAAAAAATTTTTCAGCTCTGAATTCTCTAGTTCCAAGGACCAACCAATAGTCGCCCAGACTTTAATGCATCATTCTGGTAAGTGTATTAGTTTTGAAATTCTTTTTTAAACTTTTTTGCATTTTAATGGATAAAATGCAGATGAAATTGGCGATTGCAAGCCATCGCTTGAGGATATCGAGCATTTGCGCAGCAAAACTAGCCGTAAAAACTGTCCATATTGCAAAATTTCTTTCCCGGTAAGTTAAACTAAGAATCACTTTGATGTCCTGCTTATTTAAAAAATAAAAAATTTTGCCCAAATATATTCCTGTATCTTCGAATGTTGCAAGTGGTTATTTTAAATGTCTAATGATTTCCTTATCTTTAATTTTTTTAAAGAGCTCTTACTGGTTTGGCTTGTCATAATAGATAAATAGATAGATTCTTTGGCGACAGAGGTACAGGTGAGTCGCTAGCATCACCCAGATTTTTGACAGGTTTACTCAGGCCGTGGAATCTTAGCTTCGGCGCTCCAAATTAAGCAATCCACTGAACCATACCATTTTACTCTCTTTTTTTCTCCATTAGGCAACACTGCCGCCCAGTGAAGGGTGGTGCATCGGTGGATTCGAATTCTCAGATTTTATTCTCAGTCTATGTTATCTATTATCTTTAATTATCAAATTAATAACTCCAAATTATGGATTTTAAATTTTTTTGTGAGCTCCTTTTTTTCGTAATTTTTTTCTGCAGCGTAACATTGATTAGTAAAAAGTCCTATGACTAAAATTTATTATATTTCCTGAATACCTCTTCGAACACTATTCAGCTGTTTCCATTATCTCCTTGTGTCTTCACTATTACTGGTTAAAGTCGCTTCACTAGCTTGTCGTAATGGACAAATATGCCAGCAGATTTTTGGAGGTTTACTCCTGCAGGGAATAGAACCTCAGCATCGGCGCGCTGCCAACTCACTGAGTCATCCAATCTCTTCTGATGACAATATATGCCTTATTTCTTTCAGCCTTCGGTACTCAATGTTCATATAAGAAAAAAACATCGTGGAAAGTTGTGAAAAATCGTCTTCTCTATGTGGTTGTACTTGTAAATTTATTAAATCTTTTAAATATTCCAACATCATTCATTCAGTTAAATTACTTTTCTATTAAATTTATTTCCTGTTAAATTATTTCTTTTTTTTATTACTTTTTTCCTAATAATATTTATTTATTTATTCCCTTCCCATTTTCAAAAGCAGGAAATATATCTTTATTTCTTTCGTCACTAAGATTTATTATCTGTGATGAATAGTTTTTTTAGTCCAAACGATCGAATAAATAAATAATTCCCAATAAATATAAAATCCATTAGGTTTGCCTAGAAATCTAGCATATAGTTAAAGTGTAGCACGCTTGTAATAAACAGTAGTTTAACCTTTAACTTTGAATCATAAAATAAACATATAATTTAATCATAAAGATATAATTTAAGGTAACATTGAACATTAATATGATTAACAAAGATATATTTACTTTTTGTTTTGAGGCTTTATATTTTTAATTCCAATTCTTTTTTAGTGGTAATTTGATAATAAGAACGAAATTTAAGGAATTTGATATCCCTCCTTTTTCTCTTTCCTCTCCTCTTTCCCGCATTAATTCAATAAATTATAAAGAATAAATAAATTAAAATACAAACGCGCAAACAATAAATATGTTATAAATAAATAATGTAAAAAGAAAAAATCATTATTTTATCTTAGTTTTATTTTTTTTTATATATATATTATATGAAGTTAATAAAATTATATTTTAAATATTTAGCTTTAGTTGTGTTTAATATTGCATAAAATCTATTTTGAGCGCTTCTAAATTTTTCTAAATTTTAAATTCTGCAATCCTTGCTAATATGAGGTCTGGCTAATCCTGGTCTAGAAAATCTATGAAAACATCATAAACGATTAAAAATCTCCAAATTAAATAAATGATGGTTCTATAAAAATCTCCCAATCAAGGTTCTCCTGTGCATTTTGTATATTAAAATACAGAAAAGTTAACTACATTAACCAACTCACTGGAAAATTTCAAAAGATTTGTGAAACTTGACAATAAATAAGGTTTAAATTCCGAAAAGGAACTTAAAGCCATATTCAAGATTAACATCGGCTAAAGTATTCTTTAAAATTGACATATCTGAAGTACGACCATCTTTCGATTCAATATAAAGTTCATGAAATTTTCTCAAACGGATGAAATTTGCCGGATCTGTCGACTCTTCGCTATGTCGAAGCACAATGCGACGCCAACTCCATGACCGAATTTCATCCCAAAACTCTTGGCATTTTTCTTGTTGACCCTCAATAATTATGACTCCTGGTTTGCCAGGACAACTTAGTCCATTTAAATCTAAATCTTTTGCTTTTTTCTCGATATTTCTACGCTTAACATTACTATATAAATGATGAGAATAAATCCAAAGTCTCGAATAAATTCCTTTCGTATCATCAGTTGGCTTTTTTTCACTGAGTTGATCCGGCAATTGCTAAATAAATAAAATATTATGTAAAAATATCCATCAGAAGTCCCTTGTTCTTCGAGATGAATTAAATATATAAAAAAGAAAGAGGTAAAAAATATATATCGAATTCTAAATTTTACTCAAAATGCAAGATTCAGAGTTAAGGTCCATTAAGTGTTAATTTGCATAAAATAAGAATTAATATTCATTGATAAAATTTTATTAGATTATTCAAAAATCCAAAAAATGGTATAATGAAGTAGGTTTGAAACTAAAGGGCTCATCTACGCTTATGAATCCATTCGTAATGTTAATTATTGTGATGCAATCTTTGTATCATCTGTACCTAATTTTAAGAAAACTAGATTATAAATAAAATTTTAAATCTTCCACTGAACGAGCTGTTTAGACTAATTAAGAATTTAAAAATAGGACGCAAGGAATTTCACCAATAAATAAAAACGAGGAAAATTAATTAAAACATTTTCTTCGCTAAAAAGGCCTTATAATTCTCCATTTTGTTTTTATTGATTCTCGAAACATATTTGCCCGTAGAAAAAATAAACAAAATAAAATCAGTACAGTCAGGGTATAGACTGGTAATTTTTCAATCACTACTCCAAAATCATTTTAGCTAAAAAAGCCCAATTAATTAAAAAACCATTTGATATTAAGGACATCCAGAAAAAATTTTTAATGTCTTTTTCTTCTAATCGTAATCACTATCATCATTTCCCAGCCTTACTGGTTATTGCAGTGCGACTAATTCGCTAGAGAATTCTATTTAGGAATAAAAATACAGGTGGATCACAACCATTTTTACCCACTGCATCAATTATTCTAATATATTATTTAAAAAATAAATGCATAAAAAATTCAATTTAAATTATTGATGAATATTGATCAAGAAATGAAAAAAAAGTGGTTAATTCTCATCATTCGGGCTCGTTCTACTGGTTTCGCAATAAATAATTGGAAACGAAAAATGAGTTTATAGAAGCACCCGAATTTTTGAATAATAATAAGCTTACCCATGTTAAGGAAAGGTCGTTTGAGGTGATAATTCAAGCAGTAACCATTCGGCTATTCTGCTTTTAAAGAATAACTTCATAATACCATACCAAATTTAATTTACATTCTATAGGACAAAAAAATGCTTGGGCTAGAAAATATATTAAAATTCAGCAAATAAAACTATACGCGTTTAAAAAAAAAGCACGCTGTTATAAGACATAAGTTGCTGCTGTAAAAAAGTCATAAAATCTAAATAAATACATAAATATAAATTTGTATATAAACAAAAACAAATAAATAAATAAATATATATGCATTTATATAAACGTAAAGTCAATAAATAAAAAACTAGTAAATGAATTATTAATTAATATTAAAAACACTATTTAAAATGAAATCATTTCATTAAACGGTTAAGGTTATTAAAATGAAAACCAACCTTGTATCGGTGAATATTGTCCTGCACCCAAAAAATGATGTCATTAGCCAGAGGTTGACCAATTGGACATTTATCGATATATTCGCGTAGATTTTTGTTAAAATTAAATGAATCAACTGATGGCGATCTTATATAAACTGAAGGCTTAAATAACAAAGGGTAACCGTCATTGAATTGTATCACAATTTCAATATTTATATCATCGATTTTCTGAAAATAAAAATTACTGAAATAAGTCAAGGAAAACAAATAATTCATACAAAAAACTGTCAGCAAAATGGATAAAACTGCGTGAAAATTTTCAAAAATTGCTATAATCAATTGCCAAACATAAATAAATTTTTTTATATAACTAAAACTGTATCTAAAGCAAATTATTTTCGATACAAAATTCGATACAAAAGAAGAAAAATTTGCCAACATTCAAATTTTTACACGAAAATTTACAAGTGAAATTGTTTGACGTGAAAAACGATGCATGGAGAATTGCCACGTGATTGTAATTAAGTTAAAAATGATAATTACTAAAATGAGGGATTATTTCATGAAATTTGCTGATTTGAATACCAAAAAATGGTACCAAATGAAGCGAAATTTGAACGTCACTTCCGCACTGAATTCCATCCTCATTTTCAGCGAATTTCAACTCATTTGTATTGTACATCGATTTTAAAAGTTTGATTTCATCGAGTAAAAGTAATGCACAGTGGTCTTTGTTATCATCCATTATCATTCATATCGAAAACTGCAAAAAAAGTGGGATTCAAATCAGCAAAGATAGCAATTTTTCCATGAATAAAAGATGGTCGAATGATATATCGCTTCAGCTAAGGCAAGCAAGTCAGTAAGTTCACGTTCTTTGAAGAGAATGAATCAAAAGTGAAATCCGACTGAGTGCACCAGTCACCATTTGACCACAAGTGAGACAGAGCCCCATCATGTTAACTGAACCAGCCAATCCAAAAACGGACTCGGAAAAATCTTTTCTAGGATGAGACTCCTTCGCCTGGCAGCCATACAACTATCCTTACAAAGCAATTTTTCAATAGTACTACCAAGCTTGTTTCCAAAACCAAAGACAAATGGAGCAAAATAACACTGCCAGGCCAATCTGTTCCAACGATATTAAATTTTGAACCTTGAAAAAGGCCGCTTTTTCATAATTTGCGGATCGGAGTTTTATTAATTCCAAATTCTAATATATTGTGGATGTGGAGAGAAGAATGCCAAGCAGTTGGGTACACGAGGAATGAGCTTGGCGAAGGACGTTTTCCATAATATCGCAAAATTAGGTTCCGCGTAGATCCCATTCATACCAAAATGGGCGAAACTTGTCGATTCCCTCTAAAGATTTATAAGGATTTCAGTCGAATTAACTCCAATTGAAGGACGTTGCCAGTCGCTTTAAGTTGCCGGAAAAACTGTGTGGAAGAACGAACGAAATTGCGAAATTATTTAGTGGATGAATTTTGATATATTTGCAATAATATTTATAGTATTAAATAAATAATATTTATTTATTTTATAAACTCTTTTTTCGATGCAAAATTAATTATTTATTCATTTTATATAAAATTTTTTTACCGTCACTTAATTTAATATGAATGAAATATGAATTCGTGAATATAATTTATACTCGATGGTTTTTTTATCGTCCTTTACCAGTTTTCTCCCCGAAACAACTCGCAGAACTTCCAGTTCGACCGCTTTCGTTGAACGTTTTCGTCCGAGAGACATTAAACGAGAGAGAGAGAAACGCGTTAATTCGCCTTATGGATCGCATTTGCTCTGAAATAAAATCGCTGCAGCGATCGGTGCAAGTAAATATTTTGAGGGGCGAGCGAGCCACGGATTTTCGTCGTTTTATGAACCTAATTCATTCCAATGAAATGTTTCGTGGAGTGAGTGGAATTTTCATAAGGCACAAATCACTGAGCGAGGTTTAACTTTAATTGTAATTGCTTCGTGCAAAGTGAAATAAAATGGGAATTTTTATCGGTTAATTTTCATATTAAGGAAAATATAAAAGGGATTATTATTATTTTATGGCTTTAAAACGAAGAAAATTTGAATGGATTCACTTTTTTGTAGTTAAATTTAAAAAAAATATTTTAGAAAGAGAAATAATGAGGAAATGAAATTCTCTTCGCCTCCAATAGCGATTCCCAATCGAAATGAATAAATTGAGCGATTTGAATTATTTCTTAAATTCATAAAACGGCAATTATTTTAGAAGCAATTAAGGCAGTTTGCTCATTTTTGGTCGGATTCGGCTTTAAAACTGGCAACGAGCAGTTGAACTTCATTCGAGTAGAAAGCACTCTCTCTCATGCAGACATGGATAATCGCACTCGGAATGAACGCTGAGAACGAAATTTCGATCAAATTTTATTAAAAACGACTAAATTTGTTGAATTTTTGAAAAGAATAAGGATTATTAAAAAGTTTTCGAACAATCTTTATTTGCTCAGCTGAAACCGGGTGATGCTGGCCTCACCTGTATTTCTATCGCCAAGCTACTCTGTGGTCCAATGCGACAAGCCAGCGGAGCGAGTTTAAGCAGTAATGGTGAGGAACTCTTAAAAAGAAAAGGAAAAGCTCAACGCGAATTCATTGTGGCGAGTTGTTTCCCATTTTCCAGTATTTTGCTGTAGAAATTCAATTTTCGCCAATAAATATAAAATAAAATGGTTGATCATTGTAAGTTAAAGTAGTTTTATGCAAATCAATGCTCTTCATGTGCAAATTACAACTTGAATAGTCCCGAATGCAACTTGTAAAATTTGATAAAATCGCATCGCCAAGTTTCGTCAACTTTTTCGCGAGATGAGAATGATTAATTGTTTCTCGCACAACAGTTTTTATTCTACAGATGAGTAGCCAAATTTGCCACATTTCTTCGACTTATATTATAAATTCGATTTCTTTCCCCTAAAAGCAGTAAACCCGCCATTAAAAATGTGGTACCCTCCTGCACTTTTATCTCCAAGCGATTCTTTGGTTAATGAATTTGAATGCCGAATGGAACCAATGATGCCAGAACTGGTATTCTTATCAGAAAAAGAAAATGTTAATAATGTGATCAAAACGATTTTTAAATATTTTTTAAATAAATTTAGAGTTCGTTGCATTTTAGTTTAAATTGTTCAGAGAGAAAGTTTCATGAAATTTTCGGCCCAAGCTGAAGACGATAATTTTAAAAAATTATGAATAATGGGATGGACGACAACACACCTTCTTTTCTACCAAACATCATCGATCGTATCAACCGGTTTCATCGGTTTCATCTTATCTTCTCCTTCCATTCTTCATGTTTTCTTATTCATATTTTTAATAAATTAAAAATTTTGTTCGTCCAAAAAAAATTCGTCGATCGGTGAATAAAAGCTTCACAGGCAGAATAGCCATATTGCTTATTATCGTTTCAAGCCACACGGCTTGGTCCATGCACGTGGTAGAAGCGAATCTTTCAAATAGCAAACCCAGACGTATATTTGAATATGCATTTTTCATCACATTTTTGTCCTCAGAGTAAATGTCTCATCCGAATCCCGAGGATTAATGTCGTCCAGAAATGGCAACCAACTCCATTAACAACCTAAATAAAAGGCTCAAAAATGAAGACGATTTTGACTGTTAAAAATTTGATTTGACTCATTCAATTTTCATTATTCTCTTTTATTACCTTTTTTCCGTTCAATTATTTACATAAATTCACCTTGAACCTTGAATTATTATTTTTTATTGTAATTTTTTATAAAGCAGTAATATAGTTGAATAATTTCATCAATTTCTCGATTTGATCTGAATGATTGGAACGGAACTGAATCGCTCAAAAAAATCGGTAAAAAAATTATAAATTCTGCCTATGACTTTCGAATTTTTCATTTTCTTAGAGAACTGAGAGGGAGAATTAAAACTTTTAATAGTGGGTTAAATAAGCATTTTAAGAGCTAAGCACTTGGCAGCTGCTGGGATCGTCGAGTGGTTTGTTACTGAGGAGCTAAGCGCCAGGATTCGCGTCCTGCTTTCTGCCACCATTAAAAAATCCGAGTTTCTAGCCAAACATCTGCACTTTTATTGCCAACTGAGTAAGAATATCTAACTGGCAGTGGAGTGATGCAAACCAGAAATGGTGAGCGCTAGCACAATTGCTTTAGTCGAGGTCGTCAAAATAATTTCAAAAAGAACTTTGATTCCTGATCACTTTTTTGAGCAAATAAACATGTAGAATTTTTTAGATTCTCAAAAACAAAAGCTTTTTCAATATTTTACAAAAATTAAGCAGGTTTTAATTCGACTATTTAAACTTTTCTGGATCACAAAATGGGCCAAATGATTTTTTTCAAAAGATTTTCTAAGAATCTTTTTCAAAAGATCCTCTCTTAACAGTTGGATTGCTGAATGGATAAGTAGCTAAGGCTTAGCGATTGGAGTATAAATGGTTCCCAAACGCCATGCATTTTTAATGAAAGCTTTGGTCCTGTCGAGAAGTAAAACTAGCTTGTTCTGCTTATTTTCAGACGAAGCGATGTACCTTGTGCACCTCCTTAACTTGACTACCCACATAAAGTTGACGGTGAATTATTTAGGTTTAAATAAAGTATGAAGGTAGAAGTTGGAATAAAGAATAATAATTTTGCTTAATTTTACTTAAGTGTCGCAGTTATTATTATTTATTAGTTATTTATCGATGCGAATGAAATTACTTCGAATAGATTACTTATAAAATTTGCGAATATAATTGGAATGATTAATAATCATCAACAATGGAATGAATGATAAACAATTGTAATTTTAATGAAATATTTGGAAAATAGGTCAGAAAATAAATAATTACCCATAAAATAAGGTAATTTCAACATAATTTATTATCACACAATTTTGCTCCAAAGAAATTTCTATAAATTTTCGCAGAAACATCTTTCAGTCGTTTTTTGCTAAACTACAGGGTTCTGAACCAGTTTTATTTCTATCGATTTAGAGATGTTAAGCTGCTAATGCGTTATTCAACTTCCGCATACTTTTTACTTTCGAGGACTTGTCGCAATGCTACTATTTTATTACAAATTTCCATTGGCATTTGTGTTGGCTTCTTTATTGGTTTTTCACTAAAATATGAATATGACACGGATATTTATTCATCAATTAATTTCGATAAATCATTTGTTGATCATCAAAGAAATAATACATCAGCACTGATAAACAAAAACGATATAAATATTCGCTGTGTTATTATTATAAGCCAACAACAAAATAGGAAATCCAAATACGTGGCGACAATACGTGACACCTATTCGCAGCAATGTGATGAAGTCGTCTATTTTACGGATTCAAGTGAACTTCAAAAAGAATTCGCTGGTACGACATTTTGAAATCAAATTTCAAATATTTCCACACATTAATAATGAAAATCCTTCTTAATAATTAATTATATTTTCGAAGCAAAGCATTCTCGATCCGATTATTGTTGAAATAAAATTCGGATGGTACTTCGGAGAGTCCACGTGTAATGGCTCTCTGCTTTTTAAAGTTTTAATCGATGTTTCCGATCTCTTATTGAGGAAACATCTGTGTGTGGCCGAATCAGATTAAAGCCGAATGGCCGAATGATTCTTCCATAAACATTTTAAAAAATTCCGGTATCCAGCAAGCCCTTCCGAAATTCTTAGGATGGAAGTTGGGAGTCCAATTTTAAAAAAAATTATCGACAAATTGGTATTAAAATTTAGCGAATGATCCATCAAATAAATAAATTTTGTTTATATAATATTGATGATTTCGAAGCGTTGATGCAGGATTCGACTCTAGGGCAACCCAGGTGCGACCCACTTGTTCTCAAATGACTCTGGCAAACTGATAAGCCAGCAGAGTAAGCAGAAATGCTGCACGCTTTTGAAAAAAAATAAATTATGTTTTCCAGCATTTTTATTTGATATTGGTAACATTGGAAAGCCATTAAACTTATTTTATCGCTTTATTAATATTTTTTACATCGATGCATTCCATTTTATTAGGAAAAGTCAAAATTGATGATGCATAATGGTACAGCAACATTTTATGGGTGGAAAGGGCGAATGGGTGAACTAAGGAAAAATTATTTGGTAATCGAGCGCTATGTTGCCTCGACCGAGATTAATGCCATCAATCACAGCTCCCTTATTCTTTGACCAGAGTAAACCCAACTTTAGAAGTGGCAATTAATTGGTGTTGGGGAACCATCCGTGCTTCTAATTCATTGTGATACATACGTTTTTTATAAATTTTCGTACTTTTTCAGAGGATTTGGAAATAATTTTTGTCGACACTTGGCAATCGCATTATCATTGGCCATTCTATCGACGAATTCTTAAGTATATAGCACGAAACGCCACCAACAACTTACCAACATGGACATTTGTCGGTGATGAGCAAATATATTTGGTTGTCAGTAATCTAAAACGATATTTTAAAGGAAAAAACCACGATCTAAGCTTGATTTTGGGACGATTATCAAATAAGAGGTTTATTTTTGCGGAAGTAATAATCAAAAAAATAGGTTAATTGCTTATTGCCAGTTGATATATACGGAATATACACATAATTTATAGAAATAATTGATAGATTGAGTTCCAATTCGAAGTATCAAATCTTTCCCAAGAATATGGTTATCACATAGCCATTCTTGGAAGAGACGTAGGCCGCTGATCTTTTGATCTGTTAATGTACTTACATACTTTCTTTTATGATTTTACGATTTTGGAACTTTTGTAGTTTTAAAATTTCTTTAAAGAAATTGACTTTTTGTAATTTTATTTTATTGTTTAGGACCCTTTTATCCTTTTTGTTTCCATTTGGAACATATGAAAGCATATCAATTAAAAGTGGAGTTGTTTTTTCGCAAAAAGCATTGGTTGCATTCAACGATGCTAAGTGTTCTGGCTTATTTTTTCCTATGGCAACAGAAAAGGCTCTCTTGAAGTGTGTTTCTATTATGGGAATTTACCACGTTGATCCCGTCGATGAGGTTTCAAATTTCTTAGTAAAAATTTCCATCATTCTTGACGAATGCAAAAAAGCAGACAATTGTCATTTCTTTCGCATTAATTATTGCACATTTTGCTAAATTGGATTTTAATTTTTGTTTGCTTTGGCTACTCGATTTGTTCGATACGATTCGATTAAGTGATTTTGGCCACAAATCCATAACAATAGATTAATTTCAGTCGGTCACCTCTTACAATTATGACTCTTATTTCCTCTCAAAAAAAAATCGCAAATCGCTGACTGAAATAAATCTTCTTTTTCTGTGCCATATAGATATCTCTAAAAGTATTGCAAATATCAGTGGTGAAATCCGTGTGATTATCGGAGTAACTCCAAATTTAGTTGGCTTTGAAAGATGCGGTGTAATTCTGCTAGTTTTTGCAAATTGAGATTAAAACTACGCTATATTTTATTAGTTGAAAATTTATGAGCATTTCGCATCTCAACAATAAATATTTTTACAACGTGAACTGTAATTTTCAGGAAAATATTCATTTATTCAATACTCGAGATTTAAACGACCTTATAAGGAAAAAAACTTTGCAGCCAACGATGATGAATAAGGTTTGCAGATTTCCGCATAAAACTATATTAGAATACAAAACATATAAGTTGGATATCAATGAAATATTCGATCATTTTAATGAACGAAAGAAAAGAAGGAATGTGGTGAAGCAATGGAGGAATGAGCAATAAAATAGGAATATTTTATTTCTAGGAACCGTCAGAATTAGAATAAAATTATCTAAGCGATTAGATAAATTTATACTGAATTCCAAGTTGGTCATTTTTGTGCCTCTTGAAGTGATTTGACATGGAATTTCTTCGGATGGAGTGAGAGAAGGAGAACTGATAGGCGTGGGATTAGGAGACCGAGCATCCAGGCCAAGCGTGACGTCGATAAGGTGTCATAGCAGGAATGTCATGGCAGCTGGTCTGTGTAAAGAGATTAAGAGATTTAGACCACCTCGCTTCCATGCAGTAAACTATGATGATGACATATGATTTTAGGAACGGAATTTACACGCAGATTGCTGTAGCGATAAAGGAATCACCTTTGGAAGCCTTACCTATAAACAGCAACGAATGGTTGATTACATGCTAAGAAGAATTAAAGTGTTCGGCTTAATGCCAGTGCAGTCAACTAATTTGTGATTTTTTAAGTATTAAACGGGTTCTTTCTTCTACCTGATTGCTATGTCAATCAATGCTCACAACCATTTCATTTCTACCGTATTAACAATGACCTATGTTGAAGAATAGCGATAAACACAAGGCATTCCAAATCATGTGGATTCCTGCTTAGTGGCCATCACGAAATCTGAATTAGCAATTATTTCATTAATGGTTAATGCTCATTTTACTTCTATTAGAGGCACCTGCGATCTCCTTAGGTTAACTCCTTGAAATTCTGGATCGGTACAATCTCTTCTGATATAATATGTCTACCATAAAATAGTTTTCGCCGCACTATATTTGTTATATATTTGTGATGAATAAAGAACATTGCAGCAATGAATATTTTTCTAATTTATCTTGAGCAATGGAAAAGCATCTCAGTGCAATCTAATTAATTTGTTCATGATTCTTTGCTGACTGCACTGAGACTTTTAGAGCGAAAAGTCATTTGGTGAGATTTGGGAATCGAGATAGCAGTGGATTCTGAGCTACTTCCAGATTTCTCTTTTAAACACATCGAGAAAGAGGCAAATCGAAAGGTTTTGACTTGAAATGTTAAAATATTTCTTACTATTCGATCAAGTGATATAGGTTCATTCATTTTTCATCATGGATAGATCATATATGAACAGTTAAAAGGAAATTTTTATTTAAGAACATTCTCAGAAAAGGTTAGTTACATAAATTAGGCCATAAATTTTATTAAGAAAGATCGTTATTATCGTTATTAACGTTGTTAAGATGGTGCCAAATAGCTTCGAATAATAATAAATAAATATAGAATTTAAAGAATGGTTCCATAATATGGATATTTTCGACATTTTCTGCCGAAAATTTTTTTCAATTAAAATTCTTCGTCATCCTCCTCGTCAACAGCCGATGAATCCTTACTCACCTAAAAATCTTTTTGATTTTAAAGTATAAACCAAACAAATAAGAAAAAAATAAAAGCAGCTGGTGGCAAACTTCTATGTAATCTTTTTCCAGCGCTGCTAAATCATCGCGTGCCTCCATAAATTCTCCTTCTTCCATACCTTTAAGTTAAACTATTAATTAAAGTAGTAGTTTCATTGAATTAAATTAAAGCAATCAATTGCTCTCATCTTTCAATGTGCTATCTAAGATATTATCCAATAAAAAACTGCATTAGAAAAGTGGAAAAGTTAACAAACCTTCCCCAACATACCAATGAACAAATGCTCGCTTAGAATACATTAAATCGAATTTGTGATCTAAACGTGCCCAAGCTTCGGCTATGGCTGTCGTATTCGATAACATGCAAACTGCTCGATGCACCTCAAACGAATTTAACTGATGAATCATTTACGGTCATCGACTAAATTTGGAACCATAGATGGCAAAAATAGAATTCGGGTTGGTGAATGTCTTAAAATTCTGAGCTTCTTAAAATATATATGAACTGATTAATATTACTAAATATTATTAATCAGATTACTATTAATTTTATTAAGCAGATTACTAAAAGAAGCGATCATCCCACCGAAACGTTCTCATTCATTGAAAGATATGTCAATTTCAGAATTACCTTGGCTAGATCACCATCGATGACCGCTGTTGGCGGTTGATAGTTTATTCCCACTTTGAATCCGGTTGGACACCTTGAAAAATGGCATATAATGTTTGAACTGGAATAGTAATGAATCGTGATAGTGAGAGTTTTGCTATTTCGTTACAATTTACGAATTTTATAATTTATAATATACAAATTTTAACAAACCAATCGACAAACTGAATTCCACGTTTCGTTTTTACGGCGGCGATTGCAGCATTTACATCTTTTGGAACTACATCACCTCGATATAGCAAACAGACAGCCTGAAATTCAACTAACTGAGTTTTGAAAATTTTTTTGTTCAGTAGTTTATTTACAAAATCCTTTTCTGTCACACACTCGTCAAAACATCAAACTCATTTCGCTTATTTCGTTATAGATCCTTAGTATTTCAACGATTTTCACTGTGCTTTATGCCACTCGATAACTTACATTTCCCACCACCTTCTTTTTAATACCCTGGGGATAAAAACCAACACAGTTTTGACCTGAATATGTTAGAATTTATAGAAAACTACGGAATTTCGCAGTAAAGCCGCGTTTCCTTGTGGACGCAATTTCTGTTAACTAACGTAGCATTTTCTCATTTCAAATATCAAGCCTACCATATATTTTCCTCGTCGAGGATCGCATTTTACCATTTGGTTATGCGGTTCAAAGCACATCGTCGTGATATCGGCGACATTAAGTTGTTCATGATATGCCTTTTCTGAAGAAATAACTGGAGCGTATGTTGCAAGCGGAAAATGGATTCGAGGATATGGGACGAGATTCGTCTAAAAAAAGTCTTTTTTTAAAGACTTTTAAAAGACTTTTTAAAAAGTTTTTATTACTCAATAATAATAATAATCTTCCGTTTTTGAGGAGATCCGCACTTTACTTCGATCTGTAAGTGACTCTCTGACTATAAGTTTGTAACACAATAGCCAGTGAAGTCAGCCAAAGCGACCGAACCAGAAATGATGAGTGTTAGAAGAAGGAATCTTATATATTAGTTTGGAATGCAATGTTTTCTTTAAAAACATAGAGGCCAGAAAAATCGAATGTGAAAATACTTGAAATTCTGTCAAATCCACGTTTAATGCACCATCGAAACGTAATGAAGCAGTTATGGAGGAAACGATTTGTGCAATGAGGCGATTTAAATTCACATACGATGGTCTCTAAAATAGTTATGATTGTCTTAAATCTCATGGATATTTTTATATGAAATTTTTTGAAATGAAATATTTTTAAGAAAAAAATCTAACGGACTTCGATATCAAGGTTTCTGCGGCATATATCATAGATTGCTTCATTATCAACCATAAAAGAACAATCTGAATGCTCGAGGGTTGTATGGGTAGTCAAAATTGAATTATACGGTTCAACTACTGCTGTGCACACCTGAGGTGCTGGATAAATGCTAGAATAAATGAACTATAACCACATAGAAAAGATATAAATTATAAGATATAAATTTTTGAATAAAATAGCTGTGGCTTTTTGCCGATGTTATGAACTATTACTTATTATATAATTACCTGAATTCGAGTTTCGACTTTTTGCCGTACTCAACAGAGAGGCGCTCCATCAAAAGTGACGAAAAACCGGAACCTGTACCACCACCAAAACTATGGAAAACTAAAAATCCTTGAAGTCCTGTGCATATTTCTGCCTAAAAACAATGTATAAGTTTGTGAGCACATGGATTCTAAATTTTTAAATTCTTCTGGATTCCAAGTAAAATTTTACTTGTCTTCTGATTTTCTCCAGAACATGATCAATGTGCTCCTTGCCAATAGTATAATGACCACGAGCATAATTGTTGGCTGCATCTTCTTTACCATTTATTAATTGTTCAGGATGGAATAGTTGTTTAAATGACCCACAACGAATTTCATCTAGAATTTCATCTATTACTTAATACTCTTGGTTATTCAATAAAATGCGGCTAACATGATTAAATTATCCATATATTAGCTAATGGACGACAAGAAGAGATTTCGCTCTTAGTTAAAGATGTTGTTAGAGGAATAGTACAATTTTTTTGCTCAATTCGAAGCGCCAATACTGAAAGTCTACTGAAAGATACTAAAAGTCTAAGGGAACTTGTCCAAAAATCTGGGTGATGTGACGACTTACCTGTAATTCTATGGCAGAGGGATTCCCTGGCATATTTGTCTAGTGCGACAAGCCAGCGGAACGACTCTAACCAGTAATAGTGAGGGCTCTTAAAAAAAAGTGTAATTGCACGACTTGACGCGAATCCGGAAATTATTTTTTCTAATCAGAATTTCCAACAAATATAAAAAACATTGCGAATTCTTGTTACTTTCATCTTTTGTGATTAAAATATTATAAATAGTTTCGTCCACGAGCTATTCACCAAACAATTTATTTGATAGTTTCGCAATTTGACATTACATTTGACAAAAGCGTCTCAAATTTCTTGATTTATATCCATTCGCTTGACGGACCAGTGTTAAATTTTTTACAACAAATTCTATCATTCTTCATTTTATGAATTCTTTTTATATTTTTATAATACAATATTAAACTAAAAACTGTAAAGTAAGAGGCGAAAGGAAGAGAGTCTTTTTAGATCTAAGAAAATCAAAAAAACAAATTTTCGAATTTATGAAAAAGAACCATCTTCTTTTAATGGAACGATTGTAGTAGGTAAAAGCTCATAAATAGCAAATTTTTTAATTATACGATTTTCCCCGTTCATTTCGCTGTTTAGAAAATTTCTTATCATTTGATGATCGAAATATTGAATATCGAAATATTTAATTCAAAGATAAACGATAGAGATATCAATTACATCGAAAAATTTTGTTAACCTTGATATTTATCAAAACATTTTGTATATTTCACCGTTCACCTTTTTTTCACAATTTTCCTTAGTTTTCATTATTAAGTAAAATAAATAGTAAAATAAATAAAAGTTACCAAGAACGGTCGGCTCCAAATCAACATAAATCGCACGTGGAACAAATTTGGTTTCCGAGGATTCCGAAAAGAATGTAGTCACTGACTGAATGAATAATCATTTTATCTTCTTATTTATAAAGAATCTATTGCAAAAAATATAAAATGTACAATTAAAGGGCATCCAATATATGCACTTGGTGGTGGAAAGAGGAATGGCTTCAGTTAACCGTTGTAGTTATAAGACTTAAATATAAAGGAGAAAACACCAAAATTATACAAGTTTTATGTTAAATCTTAAGTTTTCCATTTCAAAGACGCCTAAAAAATATGAATTTTTTAAGTAAAAAATTTATTAATTTTTTACTTGATTTTCGAATTTTATTCTTGCTTCCTCATCAATGCACATTATTCCATCTCGTCCAATACCGTGTTCAAGGCAATATAGCTCCCAGCACGCATTCCCAATTTGAGCTCCAGCTTGTCCGATGTGAATTGATATACATTCACGCTGAAAAACTGATAGATTTTGAAGAACCTTAATCTTTCTTCTTAATTGAGCGCTTTGGTGGAACCAAAGTTTCAGCCTCTAAAGAATTCAACAAGAAAAAAATCGGATCTTTCAAATTATATATTTAAGCATCTTGAATTTGCCATAAAGGATCGTCTTCTGATAAATAAGAGAAACTGATACTGAATAAGTAACAGCATGTTGTTACTTATCTTTTACCAAGAATATAAGCAATATCATAGAATCTTTTTGAACTTCAAAAGAAATTTTTACAACTTTTAAAAGGAACTCAGGAAAGGAAATTAAGAGCAGTGTGGCACAATATTTTTGCCTAGATTATCATTTCAAACCTCGTGGTTCTGAACCTGTCACAGAATAGGCCTTGAAAAAGTAGGAGTGTGCAGAATAGATCAATTTGTCAAATGGCACTCTAATAAAAAAATCTCATTCCAATAGCTAGTAAAACGATTCTAAGCAGAAGTGGCGACTGCTAATCTCTCATATTTATAAGAGGATTAGTCAAAATTTTGTTGGTTAAATATGGTTATAGTATCAAAAATTGATTAAACTTACTCCTTCAGTAGGCATATTTTTCGAGTGCACCGTCTAGTCAATAAGCAAAACGAATGGCGATCGCACGGAGGACATTTGAACCTTTTTTAATTCGCCCAAAAATGTCATCTTTTTGCGTTTTTCAACGAATTGCATTTTCTCGATAGTTTTCATGCCCAGTGATTTTTTCTTAGATTATTTTCAACAGATTTGATAGAATCTTTCGTAACAAAAAAATCAAGTCTGAGAAGGTCTCATATACTCCAACAATTCTTAAATTTGTCAAAGGAGTTCATCGATACAAATTATGAACCAAACTACACATAAAATCATTCACTTCTCTTAATCTGCTGAAATTTTTTTCAAGAGTCCTCATTAAGGGTTAGATTCGCTCCGCTGACTTGCCGAACTGAGCAAATATGCCAGGGAATCTCTTGGCGATAGGAGTCATGAGTCGTCAGCACTCAGCTCCACCCAAATATGTTTCAGTTAGAAACTGGATATTTAAAATGCGAATTAAAGATCAAATACTACCTGTATTAATAATGTTATCACTTCGCTTTCGCTGGTTAGGGCACGTTCTCCGTCTTCTAACATACGAGTTGATGCATATTTCATTACTTGTTAAATCCTGAGGTGGATGGTACCAAAATCGAAAGGGACCAATCAAGACCTGGAGGAAAGATTTTGAACGATTTTGTATAGAGGGATCATGGAAAAAGGAATGGATTTTATTACTACTAGCGATGGCGTCGGATCGAGCAGGTTGGAAATGCCTTACTCTTGATGCCAGCGGAGCCAGCCTAACCAGTAATGACGAGAGGTGTTAAAAGAAGAAGAAAAAGAATTAAAGATACTCTAAATATATATATTATATATATATTATATATATTTTATATATATTTTATATATATATATAAAATATATATATATATATAATTTATATATATATATATATTTTTAATAGCCTATTAAAAAAAATTATTTAATTGAGTTTGAAAAAAAACAACCGAATTCTAACTTCAGATTTTAATTCAAAAAAACTTTAAATTGATCAGCTCTCTGATAATTATTCGATAGTTGCGAAGCAAAATAATAAAAAATTTCTTAGCATATTTTTAATTGTCCAATTGTTCAAACCCTATTGTATTTCTTCGCATCATCTCAACCTCATTATTTACACCACCTCATCCTCCTTTAACATCACCTAATCCTTGTCAGACCTGAGCTCAGTGGGTTGCTCTCAATTCGGAGCGCCGATATTGTGGGGGGTAAACCTGTCCAAAAATCCGGGTAATGCTGGCCACTCTTCTCGCCAGTGTACGACAAGCCAGCGAAGCGTGTCTGACCAGTAATGGTGAGGGTTCTTTGAAAAAAAACCTTGTTGAATTAATTTTATATCATCTCAAATCACGAGGAAAATAGAAAAAAATCTTATAGAAAAAATTAAAATCTTTCTTTCTATTAGAAAAAATACTCCATTAAAACTTGGAAGAACCACTGTTCAAACATTAAATATTTTTTTCTATTCATTGATTTATATAAAAAATTTAAAGAAATTTCTTAAATCTCAACACGAAATTAAAACGAAAAGAAAAAAATTGATAAACTCAAAAATTTCTACAAAAAAAAAAGAAATCTTTGTTCGAAAAATGAAAACAAAATTTTAAAAGAAGCAAAACAGAAGCAATTTTTACAAAAATTTAATTCATCTTCTCCGACGAATTTTGGAACTTTTTCGTTTTACTAATTCAATAATGTTTCTTTTTCTTTCCTAGTAATATTTTTGTTCGATTTTCTTGATTTTTAATGTTTCTGTTTCATTCTTTTTAAAACTAATTGATCAGAAATCACAAGGAAAGAAAATATAAAATCTTCCGCAAAGATAGGTTCGTTCGTTCATTTCATCGCTAATAAAATTATGTCTGCTGCCTCGAACATAAATTGCCTTTGCTTATTCTGCTCGGTTATTGTAGCGGATGGCTTTACGTGCCTCATTTCCTTACTGTTTCTAACGTCTGGTTTTGCTTTGGATGTTAATGCGCAAAGATTTGCTTGTTCTGCTTGGTTATAATTTCTAGCAAGCGCATGGTTTTCTTTTCTGTACCCTGCTATATATAGTTATAGCTTCCAAATAAATTTTCTTAAGTGTTAGGAGTGTTTAGCTTTAAATTTTTCGCTAGACAACAGGAAAAATGAAGGAATTTCTGGCTGAACATTAAATTTTTTTTCTCTAATAAGTATTTAAATGTCAATTTTATTATTTCTTTTTGGGAAACGTGCTATTCACCTGAATTAATAAACCATAAACGAACCATTCTTTTAAATGATAACCTTTTTTTTTAGTTATATAATTCCTTCGACTTATATTTATTTTATTATAAAAAAGTGCTTAACCAGTTTTTTTCCATTTTCGGATCGATAAATCCTCTATAAATCGTAGTTTATCACTCTAATAATTGATTGGTGTACTGTCAATTTGTGGAACATTTCTTTCATGATTAACAGAATATTGCAAGTAGAATTCAACTGTTTCCAGTTTTGCTTTTTTTAATATTTCCTATATTATTAATAACTGATAAGATTATAAACTTGCGCACTAACGATAGTGATACGAGCAAAAATATTGAAAATATTGTGAAATATGAAACTTTCGTTGTTGCATTGAGCATATTGAAACATTTATATGAAACGCTTTTTTGAACTTCCAAAAAAAAAATCTTGCAATAAATCTTGTTCATCATTCCTTTAGCTCGCTTTACTATTTATCAGGGCGTGAAATTTTCTCACTACATAGTTTCCTAGAGAAATAAAGGTGAATCAATTAGTAGCATTTTTGACTCCCGACGGCAAGGTATATCCCCATTAAAGCACACGGACTGAGCCATGATGATCGTTTAAACAAGAGGTATTCAAGGTTTTATCTCAATTATTCATGCAAAAAATTTTTAGCGATGATATGAATAAGGCGTGAAACGAGGAATATTTTTCTTCAAGAAGATGATAGGTCATATATGAAGTTCGTAAAGAAATATGACCAAATTTTCCTTTGAATCGAATGTGTAACAATTTTATTCCATTTGCGTAATACATTTATGTCAATCGAAAATAAATTCGCAAATATATTAAAATATTTATGACATTTCCGGGAATCTCTTCCCAAAATTCTGTATTGATAACGTGATTTTGGAAATGCTTATTAAATGAACGATCGAGTCCACAAAATGCCAATGCCAATGTGAGCATTTTTCATCTTTAAGTTCTCGATTTTCTTTTTGGTTCCAAACATGAATTAATTTTATTTCATTATTCACAAATTTTTTCAGCATCTTAAATTAGCCATGTTATTTCTGGAAAATAAATGATATCACCATCCATACTTTTGAGGCCCGCTGGAATTCCTTTGTTGAGTTGTATTGCTAGCTTTTTTGCTTTGCAAATTAAACACTTCTGATTTAAATAAACACTGTTATCATTTAGACTGTTCAAAAATGCTTGAAAACCAAAAGACTTCATTAAAATGGATGAAAAAAGTCGCAGATCTGATAATAATATTTTTAAACGCTTTTTAAAATAAAAAACTTCCTTGAAGCATCAAATAAGAAATATTAGTTATTGGCAATCTATTTATACAAAAAAACCAACGCTGCTTTGTCAGTGTTATTAAAATCTAATTAAAGAGTCCAAAAATCTGGACGATAATGACTCTTCAGCCACCAAAGGTTCACTACGGGATCAAAAACATTTTAGCAATATTAGTAAAATAGCAATGATTTAAATAGAAGTATAAACAGAAGCTATAAATAGAAGCTTTTCGGTATTTTTGGTATTTTAATGAGTTCAGAATTTGTTTTTATATATTTCGCTATCCCCACTGTGCTGGTTGATAGTGTGCAAACCCTTAATTCCTCGATGAAGCACTGATTTTTTAATTAGAAAGCTTTTTTGAGCTCCTTAAATTAAGCTGAGCTCCTTAAATTGCTACAATATGTCAAGCATCATGCATCGATTCCCCAACCATAAGAGGCTATAAACATATTATTAAAAATCTGGACGATAATGACTACTCTTTAGCGAAAGTATCGCATTCATCAAAATGAAACATTTTATCCAAAAAATACTGTCTACAGAAAAAAAGAGTCTGCAATCAAATTCATTCGATCTCAACTCATCCGATATATAAACATACTGCAAGCATTTTTACAACTGAAAAACTTACTTTCTGTTCACTTTTTTTTTTAAATTTTCGAAAATTTGTCAAACTTTGCATTGAAAAAATGGGAAAAATTTAATAAAACGATGGCGAGACTTTTCATCTAAAAAATTTTTTTACTAATTGCGAATTATTTCATTTTTGCTGAATTTATTTTTCGAGACAAAATCTCATTATTTTTATAATATTTTCAATGAAATGTTCATTGAGCATTAATTAAAAAACGGAAAAAAATTTGCAACATTTACTGATTAGAAAAAGTAAATTCAATGAACGATGATGCATAAATTAAATAAACGCTAATTCAGAAATAATAATCCAGGAAAAGAAAAATAGGCGATTTGCAAGTGGGTAAATGACATTTTGAAATAAATATTCCAATAGAATAGAATAGTAAAAATAATTAAACAGCTGTAATGTCGACAAATTGCTGTTCTTTTACGATTAATCAATTTCTAAAAAGCTTTTCAAGCTAAATCTAATAATTTTAAAGAAATTACATTTCATTCTTAAATAATCGAATTTGATTTGAAAAGAGTCAAGTAAGTCGAAGTAAACTATTGTGAATTTATCCATGTGTCTTTCCAGTGGACACTCCTTTTGGTTTAAATGACTCTCTTAGGGAGCGCCTCGTCCTAATAGCCAAGCAGTCCAGAGATAGTGCATGTTATTAGAAGACGGATGATGAAAGTGGATGGGTTCAAGAAAAAGAAGAATCTGCTGGAAATTCAGTTTGAATTGTTCCACCGACTATTCGCATATTATATGTTTCTTTTATTACACTCATAAACGTCTATGAACGGTATCTTTTGGTTAATTTTCGTCTTTCTCATTTTGCATTCGGTTCATTATCGAATTTCTTTTAGAAAAATTATTTTCACCAAATTTGATAAAAAAGGCATCTAATCGTAGTTTTATTTCCTATCTAAAAATATTGTGATACTAAACTTATAGAAATCGCCGCTGTAAACTCGATACCAAATTTTCTTATCAAACATTGATAGTACTTCATTGGCAGGGAACGATGGTCCTTAATCTTTAATTCCCTAAGAGTTTTTATGTGGATTTAAGGCTTTTCCTCGAACAATCAGAAATGCCTATTATATTTATTTACTGGCGGCCGATTAACGAGCCATTGTTGAAAGTATTAAAAGAGTCTAATTTTCACATTTTATTTAAAGTAAGTTCTAAATAAATATTGATATCTAATGAATTTTTATACGTTTATTATTGTGGATTCTTCGATCATAAAACAGCATAGCGACTTTTTGGTAAATATTTTTTAGCACATTGTTTGTATGAAGAATTATTGTTCAAATTTTTTATTAGATTTTTTTCCGTTTCATTCGATTTTTATTAAAATAGGTTGGCAAACATTAATCAAGGAATCACTTTTTTGGAACTAATTACTGTTAGAAATGCCATTATTTTTTGAAATAAATACGTAATAACTAAATGCATAACTTCAGTTAACAATTAGAATTTCGTACGAATTTGACTATTTTCTTTATTTTCTGTAGAAGTTTAGCATCGGAAATTTAGGAAAGAAAGTTTTATTAAAGTTTGATAACCATAAGAATGGAACTAAATAATAGGAAAAAAAGAGAAGGAAAGAGAGGAAAAAAGATAGTTCACCATATATCACCGAAAAAAGAAAAAAAGAAAAGCATATATATATAAATTTAATTATATATTTTACAACTAAATTTTGTGGGTTAATAAAAGATTATAGGTGCAACAGTTGCAGATAAATTACACCAGAAAATGCTGGACTTTTATTCCCTACATGAATGAATTTGCACCTCAAAAAGATCCAGGCGGTGCTGGCAGTTCATCTGTAATTCAACCATAATGCAACTTCCTGGAAAAATTTATCCAGTCCGACAAGCCAGCGGACCGAGCCTAATGAACAATGATGAATAATCTTAAAAGAAAAGATAAGATTTGATGTGATTTTGTAGCATTAGCTACAAAAAAATAATAGCGATGATAATATTATTATTCGTTTTCTTTTAATCAACGTTTGAAAAATTATGGATATTTTTTTCCCTTCCTCTGCTTCATTAAAAATACAACTTCATCATTTAATTAGTATTGTATCGTCTTTCTTTCCAAGAGTGATTTAAAATATTTCTCAGAAAGCCATTTTTTATTAATTTTTTTAAATGTTTTTTGTTTTGGAACCAAATAATTTAAATTTTTTTAGCATGAGAACTTGTTCCTTTTCTTTGATTCACCTGTATTCCCCCTATTCCTAAGTGAATTTCAGCTAAAAGAGGCTTTTCCAATTCAATAAAGCCAATTATACTAGAAGTTATTCTAGGAACAATCTAGGAACAATCGAAGAATTTTAAAATTATAGCCTTTCAACGAATGCACGATGAGCTCTTAAGAATCTTTTAAACAAATATTTACTACAGCTTTTCTCAAAATATTACGAATTACTCTTACTATAGCACTGATAAGAAAGGTCTGAGAGAAAAGAAAGATTAAAATAAAAGCTTAATGATAAAGAATTGATTAATGATTAGGTGATAAGAAATGAACTTTTGCGTAATTAACAATTGCACGATTGGTATCTTATTTAGAATTTTTCTTTAATTTTTTTCGCTTTAATATTATTTCATACAAACTAATTCGGAAATTTATTTGTATCGGAGCCCATCGTTCTTTGATAATTTCTTTGATAATTTCGGTCAATGATTTTCTTTCTTTGTTTATCGAAAATGTTTTCAATATTTTTATTTCATATTTATCACATAGTAAATATATATAGATATTAAGAGATGAATTAAAATATTCTGCTTGTTCAAAATATTTATATTTTGCTTGACTGGGCTGAATGAAATGAGGATAGAAGGACAGATGGCGAGCCAGATTTCATTTTCAATGACAGGTTTCATCCTATTAAGAAGGAATCAAATGATGGCCCAAAGCAACACCAATCAATCATTGTGTCCCTATGCGCTTAGTGCAGTTTTAAAATCCAATAAGAATAAGTGGATCCTAAATTTGTTCCTTGAATCTTCCTTTTTTTTAACTCTTCCATTCTTTAATAGTTTTCATGAACTAGAAGGGATTTTTTAATTGCAAATAAGGTTCGCAATGTATTTCAACTTTTTTAAAATTTTTTAAACTTCTTTAACTTTTTTCTAAATAATTAATTATTTAGTTAATTTGCAAGCAAACTGATTGATTTTTCTGCAATTTGCAACATTTGCAACATCATAAATTAATTTTCATTTACGTAATAAAATTATAAAGTGACAAAGTTTTGTTTTGAATTTTTTCCCTGCTTGTTCAATTATCAGTTTGTCGGCTCAACTTCTCAATCTCAATCAGAAACCTCAATTGTATTTTTTCTAATGGAACTTGGAGTTGAACTTCATATTTCCTTGGCAAAAGGCATCCATTCGATTTATGTAGTTTAAAAAAAAATAAACATGTGACTAAAGGTGAAATCGCAGAGGACGCAGAATCCCACCTGTAATTCCACCACTAAGCGGCTCTCTCGACTCTTAGAAATGCTCGTGCTAACAACTAATGAACCAACTAAACCAGAAATAACGTGTTAAGAGGAGAAGAAGAGGAGTTTTAATTATCAAATGGAAGCACTTTGATTTTAATAAATGTTTCAGTTTGTAATAGAATTGAGACGTACGAGGTGCACAAATAATCTTTCTGTTGCCATTTGTTTATTTAGGTTAAAAGTAAATTTTGTCTAAGGGCAAATGTAAATTGATTTGAGATTCAACGAATGATGACGAAGTGAAAAGGATTCTAATAATTTAAAAGTTCGGGAAAATCCAATAATCCAATAATTTTTATGCGGTTTATCCAGCGAATCGATCGTTCGTCTTAGCACTAACGAGCGTTTCTATCCATAAATTTGCATTTACTTATTACAAATATAATATGTGAATTAAGAAGCTAACTCAACGATGTTCTCGAATTATTACGCTCGATTGCCGCTAGCATTCGCTGTCGCGGACCAGTTTTTGGGGCTGAAGCCTCATCCTACATTGTGCCAGGTTCTTACCACCTTTAACTTATTTTTATTTCCTATAGATTCTATTTGCAACAAACATGTTAATGAAAAAATAAATATTTCATAATTAATTAATCATAAATTTTTGACATAATCTGATGTGACTTCCTATTTACTGGTTATAAATATGAAATTAATTTGAGGCGACGTACGTTTGGATCGATGGTACAGGTGAGAATTTACGATCGAAGACTCGAACATTACTCGCTTCTCCTAAATCAATTACAGGTATGCAACTTCCTGGGCAAAGAAAATAACCAAAAAAAGGATACACCAGCCTTTTTCAGAAATTTCTAAATTTTTTTAAGTTGTGATGCATTCCTATAGCGTGCAAAATCATAGCAATCATTTATCGAAATTTTTAAAAATTATTTTTCAAAGATTCAACTAGATTGTCTGACTTAAGATTCACTTCAGATTATCCAGTCTGGAATTTCGATGGTTCTTCGACTGGTCAAGCAGTTGGTGGTGATTCAGACACATATTTAAAACCAGTTGCGCATTATCCAGATCCATTCCTCGGAGGGCATAATACACTCGTACTTTGTGAAACGTTTGATAATAAAATGAAACCAACTAGTTAGTCAGTTCTATTAAAATATATGAGCCACTGGATTTCAATTTTTTTCTGAAGTGATTCCTTCTCAAAATGCAAAATGCAAAAAAATAATCAGAAAAAGTAATGTGATATGAAAATATGTGATTTTTATTAGTGATTTTATTTGTATGTGACTGCTTTGGAGAGAAAAAAATGTAATTTTTTCCCATCCAAATTCCCATATCCTAAAATTCTGATTTAGCGATTCAACAAATACAATTCCAAATCTTCCATCGTTTATTTTTATCTTCAGAAACAAACCATCGTTATGAATGCAATAAAATATTAGAAAAATTAGAGAAGGAAAAGATCTGGTATGGAATGGAGCAAGAATACCTCTTTTTTGACCGGTTCGTTGTTTACCCCTATTGACAAGAAAAAAGAAGAAACAATTTTTTGCAGAGTTTAAGAAATTTTCAACAAAATTCTGATTTGATTTTAGTGATGGTCATCCTCTTGGTTGGCCAAAACATGGTTTTCCAGAGCCTCAAGGCAAATATTACTGCGGTGTCGGAACAGATAAAGTTTTTGGACGAGAAGTTGTCGAAGCGCATTATCGTGCCTGCTTACATTCAGGAATAAGAATTTTCGGAACCAATGCTGGTTTGTCGGAATTCTTTTTTATATTTTTAAAAAAATTCTATAAATTTTATATTATTTCAAGCAATATTCTTTGGGCTAAAACGTTTAGAAGTCACGCCTGGACAATGGGAATTTCAACTTGGCACGTGCGAAGGAATTTCAATGGCAGATCAGTTATGGATGGCTAGATACCTTTTGCATCGCGTAGCCGAAATGTACGGAATCATTGTATCATTTGACCCTAAGCCTAGCATCACCTGTAAGTTAAGTTTTAACCATATTTATTTCAATTTCTAGGATTTTGTTCAGTGCTAAAGTCTTCAGTTTTGATAAAAAATCATGCAGCATGCAGTATATTATATATTATTTATCAAATGATGGATGCTTTCTGAATATATGATTTCGCCACATATATTTTAATTTAATAGCTGGTGACTGGAACGGTGCGGGTTGTCATACAAACTTCTCCACGGAAAAAATGAGAGCAGACGGTGGGATCAAATACATCGAAGAAGCAATGAGCAAATTAGAAAAGAAACATATGGTAAATTTAGTCCATGACTCTGGTCTCATAAAGTAACGTAAATCCAAGTTCATATATATTTGATGTCTGGAGGAACCTTTAAAAATGTCCTCGAATGGACCTCCCATTTAATGAATTTTTAAGCAGTAAATATACCGCTATATCCAATGCCTATAAATACAGGAACATATTGCTGTTTACGATCCTCATGGTGGTAAAGATAATCTACGACGTTTAACAGGACGACATGAAACGTCAAGCATCGATAAATTCTCATGGGGAGTCGCTAACAGAGGGTGCTCCGTCCGGATTCCACGTCAAGTTGCCACTGATAGAAAGGTTAATTTATGACCTATTATGCTAAAGTCGTTGTTTTCTTTATCAAAAATAGCATTAACTCAAAGTTCTGCCGAGTTCTGTTTCTCTACGATTAAATATAATCGAATATTTTATTTAAGGGATTCTTGGAAGATCGTCGGCCTTCTTCGAATTGCGATCCCTACTCAGTGACTGGCATTTTGGCAAAGACCATTCTGGTGGATTAAATTTCTTTTTTTTCTCAAATTTTTATTTTTCAGTGCCCGTAAATAATATATATTATTTAGAATAGCCAAAAGTTAATGAAATCAAATATGATTATCATATCTAACCTTTACAAATCATATCAAATGCATTCTTAAAATTCATATATCTCACATGTCTCTCAGCAATTTTGTACAAAAATATATTGCTAAAATCCAATAAAAATATATGGAAAATCTATCTTTGTGCCATAAGTCTGAAAAAATTAGCAAGCAAACATTACACTCATGGTAGACATTATTTTGGAATTTAATAACTTTATATTGTTATTCAGTGGCTTTTTTATGGAACTATCTTAGATCAAGTTTGCGAATAACCAACCTGAATTATTACAGGAAAATAATTCCATATAATTTGATAAAGTAGCAAATTGCAAATGAAAAGGTTGAACTAATAATTAGGCTGCGAGAAAAAAAATGAATATCGAAGAGGAAAGAGCATAGCAACTGGAAAGAATAGAGAAGTGCAGGAAACTGAAAAAGCTAAAAAATAAAAAAGGAAGATAAAAAAGGAAAACAAACAAGCATTTCCCCACCAGCGTCATAATAGACTAGACTGAAACATCACTAAAACTCTAATGTTTTGTTTCCATAATAACTTTTTGATAAACTGTCTGAAACTGATAAAAAGCGCAACAAATAAAGAGATTAAAACTGAAATGAAATATGACAACATAGTGTCAAAAAATATAAACACATCAAAATTTCATACCAGTCAAAATTTTAAAAGATTATGCCACAAAAAAATCATAGAGGAATGCTAACTACTGAATTATTTCTGCGTTCGATATATCGTTTTTTACATTCAAGAATTTCTTTTTCACCATTGCGTTGCTTTAAAATTTCCTTCATTACTTTCAATCTAAAATATTAAGAAAAAATTGACGAAATGAATTAATCTACTGGCTCCATTCTTAACATTAGAGTAAAGACTGAAATTATAAACTGAATTATGGTAAATAGCTCCTATAATTCATTGCAAAGCATATTAATTCATGATAATTCATGATGAGCATATTAATTTTCAATGAATTTGAAAAATGAACCAAACAGAAAAGAATTCACAAATACATTGCACTATATATAGCAATTTTTACTAAATTTATTATGCTTATTAAGAGATAAAATTTGATAATTTAATATAACCTTTCTTTTTTAGTAGGAGGTTTGGAAACACTTTCGTTCTTTTCTGTCACTGTCATTTCCTCCTTACTTTTGCTCGGCTTTACATGAGATCTGTGTTGATTTTCTCTTCTTCTATGGTGATCTTCATCATTTTGCTTTGCTGATATTCTCCGGGAATTGCTCCTGAAATACTCATGTTCTGAATGAATACGAATAAATAAAATTAATTAATCACAATAAAAAATCAAAATATGCTTTAAAAAACCTTGATCTTTCTCGCATTCGCTCATTTCGTCCTTTCTTGCTATTAACGTGTCGATCTTTTCTCTCCTTATATGAACTTGTAGTCTTCATTTTCTTGGTTCGATCATCGACGCTTCTTGATGGCGAAGGAGTGAAACGTTGCCTAATTTTCTCAGCTTTTGTCAACTTTTTCGATTGGTGCTTTAAAATTTTAGCAAATTATAGAATTTTATTTATCAATATTACTTTGATGGTATTTTTCTTCTTCTTAATTTTATTTCTTTTTAATTTTAATATGCTTCCACGAAAAAAAATGATGGACACTGAAATAACACTTAAATATTCAGTCATTTTCTTCAACCATTTAAATAAGTTACCAATATATTCAGACCAGGCTTCAAATTAATTTCAACTGATTGTGCTGGAATCTCATTATCAGATTCATTTGAATCTGAATAAATGGACTTTTGAGTTGCTTGTTTAGTTCTTTCCAATTTCTCCGAAATAGCTTCATCATCAGAATAATTTGAACATTGTCGAAGACGCTTAATTCTCTTTGACGCCTCGTTTTCAATTTTTTTATTTTCCGCTGGCTTAAAATATTAAAGGATATTATATTATAGAATATCAAATACATACAAATACATATTAACATAGACATAAAATATTGAAATAAAATAAAATAATATTAAGGGTATAAACCAAAACACTTCTAATTTATTGCCTTGTATCGAACCTCATCTTTTGTTACATTTGCTGCATTTCCACTACTAGTTTGTACTTCACCCGCAATATCATTAAGCATCGTACGATAGAAACCTGCCGTCCACATGCCACTCTTTTGTCGCTCAACAGCCGTTAATTCTAAACTTTTTTAAATTTTTCAGAATCAAAATGTAATTATGAATAAAAAATAAATTGAAACTAATAACTAAAAACTAACTAAAAAAATAATTGACTATCAAAATTAAATAAAATCTGAAACTAATAATTGCAATATAATTGAAGTACGATGTTTATATAAATCTGATATGAATAAAGGAATAAAATAATAAAAAAACTTTTTCGCAATTTATAGGTGAAGAAATTTTAATTTGAATTTAATTTTGAAATTTAAATGAAGAAAAATAAGAAAAAAGTGACCATCCAATCGATTTTCAGTTTGTTCCTGCAATCTGAATTTTTCCATTTCCTCTAATTGCTGACGATACGCTCCAGTTACGAATGTCTAAAATTTCTGCTTTAAATTATCGTGGGCAAATAGCAAAATTTAGGATCATTTCAATTTTCAAATTATTTAGCAGAAAAAAAATCAAAAGAAAAAAATGTTAAAAGTAGAAAAGAAAGTAGTTGTTACAGACAAATAAACAAACGATAATATTCAACTAATCAAAGTAAAATAACCTCTTTATCATCGAATTTTCCGTTTTCGGCTTCACGTTCTTTAATTTGCTTACGTTCCTCTCGACTCTGCTGTTCTAATATACGCCGTTTATGAGCTTGAATTATTTGTTGAGCGTATTTTGGCTAAATACCGAAATTAAACATTAAGCAATATTTCTACACAAAAAATAACAGAAAGAAAAGTAAGAGGGCAAATAAATCAAATACATTACAAATCAAAAAAAATTCTCACTTTACGTTGTTTATCCGCCGCTTTTTTTTCAACGATTTTCTGATTCTTCTCTGCTTTTAACTCGTCATAAATTGAATCATAATCAAATACCGTTGGATCTTCAGCTAAGGCACGCTCATATTGACGTTGTGCCTGCATCTGCATTCGAATTACGGATGAACTTGGCTTTTCAGAGCACATTACCTAAAAAAGAAGATTTAAAACTAAAAAAATGTCAGTGACATTTCAATGTGACCAACGTTTGCTGAAAACTTAATTTAACTTAAGAAATGTACGCATCCCAAAAATTAATTCACTAAGAATGCAAGCAATATTTAATTTCAATATAAAATGAAATACATGAGTGTCCACAGTATCATTATCATCCGAATCAGCAAAGGCAGCAACAGATATAGGACGAACTTTCGACGTTTCCAAAAATTCTAAATTTTTTTTCTTGATGATCAACCCATATTGCCTAAAAAAAGAATTCAAATTGATTCCTTTAAAATTTTTGATTTCATTTGAATTTGATTTCATTTTTGATTTTAATTTTTGATTTTTTGATTTGAAAGCATTCTCCATTCAAATCGATTCCACCCTTCCTTTCTATTTAAACTTTTAGCAAAATTGGAAAAAGCAAAAACACTTTAAAGATATGTATATCAAATTCCAACTTTTTTGGTATATTAATTGATGCCGAAGACATAGAATTGGATATCTGAAAAATAATTATGATTATGCCATGTAACAGATAAGTCCAAAAAACACAGTAAAAACAAGTACGACGGCCAGAGTTTTGTAAAGTTCAGACGTCGAAAAAGATTCGTTAAAACTCCAAAACTCCAATGTAAAAAAGATATCATCATGGCTTTCCACTTTAAGTAGTAACAAAGAAAACATAGGCAAATACAAAAAATTTTATATGTGAACATGTTTTTATACGTCAAAATAAATGTAAAGAAGCAAATGCTCAAAACTGAGATAAGATTTTGCAGTAAAAAGGAATCTTTCACAGAATCAAAAAGAATGCCTTGCTCTATATATCTCCAAAATATATGCGATTTGATTTCATCTAATCGAATTTTTTTTAAATGAAAGCCAAATAAATAAATTAATAAGAAAAAAAAGAAGACCACGGCATCACTGGAAAAATAACAACGATAACGATGAAAAATAAATAAGAATTAAATAAAGAGAAAATAAAGAAAAAATTTAAACTAGCGACATTCCATAAAAACAACTGACTGAACTCGATAGAAAAAGTATTTGCTGCTAAATATTTGGGGAAATCTTGTTCTTTAAATTGATCATTGACGAAATCTTTTTTTGATTTAAGTTACTTCGAGGTAAACCGACAGAATTAGAAGTTTTTATAGAACTTTTATTTATTGACAAAAAATATCAATTCATTCTAGGCCAAGATATGCATTGATCCCTTGAACAAATGTTACTATAAGAGGCTGCCAAGCAACTAAATAACGAATCCAATCCAATAACTGCCCATAGAAGAGATGCGGCTTTTCCCAACTGTGAAAAACACTATATTTAAAATAATTGCAAACACAATCAAAAATTTAAATTATTTTTCATACTGGCTAATGAAATTTCGAATTTATTTCGAGTCATTATTAAATGAATAACAACTTTCCACATTTGTACAAAAAGAAACACTTACGGATTTTTGAACATCCGCTTTAAATCAACTTTTTCTTTACAATAAGGACATGTTTGTTGTTTTCCTATGACACACCATCCACGAATGCAAAATTCATGGAAAATATGTCCACAAGAAAGCCGATATGTTGTTTCAACTTCAGCTTGTGATTCATTGCCTTCTAAATGATTGTCACAGACAGCACATACGTCTGATTCCAAAATTCGCTTGGGCAAACCATCGGGTGTATAATACTTAAAATGAAAATAAAATGAAAATTGAAATTTCAACAAATAAAAAGCTTAATGTTATTGATAATTAAACTTACTCCAATTTTGCAAGCAATTCGATCGGTGCATATATGAGCAAAATCGCGCCCTAGCACACCATAATATAGACCATAAAATAACAAAAGCAATCCGCCATCCATACAAACATTAGGTTTAAAATTAAAAATAACGTTTAGACCAAGAAGCGTAAACATAATGAGCAAATACCCAGCGATTCCAAGTACATAACTAATATTATGTAAAAACAAAAACCATTTATAAACTAGTCTGAAATTTTTGAAAAATTTTTGAAACATTTTTGAAAAAATGTTTTAAAAATCATAGATAATACAGCGACTCAGAACGACTAGAAATGCTTTCCAATGATATCACAATTTAAACCGATATAGAGATATGGAGATATGATTTAAAACTTCATATTTCTGAAGGAGTGCGATTCATAGCAGAAATAGCAACTAGGTAATTACCACACCTATTGTTACAAAAGATATAAAATGACTTTTATATATTTTAATATATAATTTCATAAAAAATATAAAATACATCGAAAATAAAAAAAATTAAGGTCAAGCGAGAAATGGAAATTTAACCTAGGAGTTGTTCCAGAAATTTGTGGGCGAGTAGCCTTATACCAGATTATTGTAGAAAATACCGAATATAAAATCCAGGTGATAAGAAATCGCCACCATGCCCGTTGCACACATACAAATACTGGTATCAACCACATTCCCAACAATGTACATAACTGAACATTTAAAATTCTTCAATGCTGATATAAAACATAAAATTTTATTTGCAGCAGCTTATAATACCAAAAAAACTATGCGTTGTACATTCGGAACAATCGGAATCAAACCAGGTTCGTCGAAATTAACCAAGAAAGCAGAACTTGAGAAGACTGTAAGTAAAAACATTCTAAAAATCCTAGTCAATTTACAATGATTCGCAACATCAAAACAGAATACCCATAATGCGAAAGATAAATCAGTAAGGGTAATTGGATAAAAGAAAGGTGAAATTATGGCACTGTCATGTCTGGAGCAGTATATGACTGGTCAGGATAAGCCTCCATATTTAATAATATTAATGAATGATTATATTTTGAAAGCACCAAAGATGTTGCCACTGTTATAGTATGATTATATTATAAACTTCGAAAAATTTAGGACAAGGAAGAAACTTCTGCGATGCCCCAATTAAAGGAATCTTACAAAAAAGAAATTTACAAAAATTTATGATTATAAACATAACAATTATACTCCAAAATTTATGGCGAAAAATCCAAATCCGATTACAATTTGTAATAAACAAACTATTAATTTCCTATTAAAAACTGAATATAAAATTAAAATAACCTGATAAGATTTGAAATGGCGTTTTTTCCACTGTACAAGTGCAATTTGTGCGACAACAAGTGTAACTATAAGAATTAAAAACATTTCTATATGCATTTCTTCATGTCCACGATGTTTCTCATGTAATTTTGCATGTTCGATTCGCCACTTTTGTTCATCTGTTAAGTCATCCAACTAAACCCATTTTAAATTACTAATCGTTTAATATTTATGAATAAAAATTCCGCCATAAAATATGATTTTTTTGAAATTTCGGCGAAGCATTCAATTATTTTCTTTGCCGATTTTTTATTATGCAAACTTTGACAACAAAAAGAAAGAAAATGGAATTTACAGGTAGAACAAATTACAAATTACTTAATTCCCGCTTGAATCATAAGCTATGAACTCATCAGATTTTGATAAATAAGTAACTTCAACAATTCCACGCCATTTCTAAGTCCCTTTAAATTTAAGTAACTTGGTAAATATTAGAATGATGAGAAACATAATGATGTATTAAAATATAAAAAGTAAACTAACATCAATTTCATGTTGCAGTTTGATTGCAGCAAAATGTTCATTGGCAACACCATCCATTGGGCCTAACGATCCAACCGCTGAAAAAAATTCAAAATATATTCATTGCGAGGATGAAGCAATTCAAAAGTGACGAAACTATACGCGAGTCTTGGCAAGTAGAAGCTAAAAAATCATCCGGAATTTTAAACCTGACATTCGAACCTTCAAATTTTCTTACCAACATTCCTTACATTTAGAATATAACACATTTTCTCACTTTGATATGGCAGATTACAAGTGCTTGCTTAATTCACGAAAGAATATTTTCTAAATAAATATTTATAAAATATTTATAAAAGTATTTTAAACCTTTATGTTTCATTAAATTATAAATTTATATTTATAAAATATCTATTCACTTAGAAGCGGAATTAAGCAAGCCTTTATTTTCACTAAAAACATTTTTGGCTTTATTCATTTGTTATAAGCCTTAACGTCAATGCTACTACAAGTAAAGGACTAAAGAAGTTACAGAAACCCATCTTCAAAGCGTCCTTCCCCACAGATTTCTTATCAGAACTATCAACTATTGGAATAAATTGCCTAGTGATATCTTTGCTTTTTCCATTTTTAAAACAAACTTAACAATATATATCATTCAGATCCAAATCTTCAATCCTCCTCCGAGATTTTATTTTAAGTTTTATCTCTCATTTGTTCAGCTCTTGTTTGATTAATTCATGGTAAATTCTGCACTACTGGTACTTTTTCTTAAATAACTGTTTGAAATATAGAAGGATTATCTCTGTTTTAAGAACATTTCAGGTTTTATTACTTTCACCTACCAATAGGATGAAATCTTCTCGCAAAAGAACACTTGTGAGCGGAATTATAGATAAATTCCCAGCATTCTCGTGGTACTTCACTCCAGCTGAATTTTGCAAAAAACAATAATAACGAGTTAAGACTAGGAAAGCGAATTGGAACCCTCCGGCAGGGCAGCGGAAAATCCTGAAAGTGGAGTGGACGGTGGCGGAGAAGAGTGGATTGGACCAAAAGTGGCGAATTCGAATCGGTGCGCGCGCGCACTTGAAGGGAAGAAATGAGGAAAACGAGAAGTTAGGAAAAGTGAATAGGGAGAGTGAATATAAAGTTTATAAAAAAACGGAGCCAAATTTTTATAAAAGTTTTATTTTAAAAAAATATTAAAACGGAAATTAACCATTAATGGATAAAAGGAATCGAAATTTAGCAAACAAACTCGTAAGCAATAATAAAAAAATAAAATCAACAATTTATAAAAATATTTCTTTATAAAAATACTCCCAACGATAAGCAAATGGATAAAAATTTGTTAGCCCCGAAAGCAATAGTTGACTGCGGCTGACTCTTATCAAAAGTCGGCCTATTTCCAAGCTGACTTTTATTTTTAGTAAGGTCAGGCATGTTCAGCTTACCACGTCGTGTGATCATGCGATTTCTGGTTATTTGCTTGTTGAGTGGTTTTTCGTGGGCTTGGAAGAGGTTGAAGGGTTTGGGGGCTTATCGCATTTCGCTTGCCATAGTGGCAATCAATTCAGAGTAAACGACTGTTTATTTGAAGGAATCCACGAATAATGCGGAAGACTTGAGAAATTTCTACAAAATTATTTCTCGTTTTTATCGTTTATATTTTATTTCCTTCATGCCATTTTCGCCAATGCTATTTGTTATTATTTTAATTTGAGCACTCAGCTCGTGTTCGCTATTTCGCAGCTTTCCTTTTTACCTTTTTGTTTAACTGTTAATTCTCTTCTTTTTCGAAGTGACAATGCCTCATTTCTGGTTTAGCAAATTCCTAGCAATAACGATTTAAGGCTGATTTCGAGTTGAATTAGCACTCGCGAATTAAAAGTTTGGCACGAATAAGCTTTTATCGATTATCGCTGCTACATTTCCCATTTATTTATTTTATTTTCTCGAACGATTTTTTTCCGGGGAATTCTCCGTTTTTCATTTTGCTTGAAAAAAGTATTTGTTTATTTTCTGAAGAATTTTTATAATCTGAATTCGGATTTAAATGAATTTTAAAATACAAATAAATATTTTAGGAAATTAGTTGGAATGAATTAACGAAATTTACGAAAAGTCAAGAATGGTTTCAAAAACAGAAACTTCGCAAAATATGAATAGTGAAAATACTTCAAATTCTTCAAGCAATAAAAAAGATGACGAAACGGCGCGGTTCGTTACCTCTTTTCCTTTATTTTTTGTAAGAGAAAGGTAAAAAATTTTAAAATTTTAAAAAAACTTCTGAAATTATCTAAAAATTTTAGAAATATCATTTTTGTTGTCATTTACTTTTTTATATTTCGCATTCATATGACTTTTTCTTTTCATTTTCCAAAGGTTGTTAGAAAGTTTTGTTGTAATTTATGGGTAAATAGTATGGAAGGTTCGATATCCATTAGTACCTTGCTTTGGTATTTAGTATTCTTCTTTTATTATTCTATTTTGCCAGTGGCGTTTTGCTTTTCTAATTGTTAAATGCGATGAGATTTAGCAATTATTTTTTTTCCAAAATATCACTTATATTTTGACAATCTTCGTTTTTTTAAATTTTCATATTTATGCTTTATTAACCACATGCAACATTTTTGACTGTGCATTAAAATAATGAAACTTTCACACTGGAGAGAAATGTAAATCTAGGTGGGTTTTCAGCGATACTGGAATTTTAGCTATAGTTGCTGTGTTCTTATATCGAGAGAATGCATAATAACCTCTTCCGAATTTCTATTTTATTTGAATTGTTCTTGTTCTATTTTCAAATTTGCTTTACTTGTATTTATATATTTGATTTATAATATATGAGATTTCGATATTTTTTTGAAGTTTCAAAAACTGAAAAAACAATAAGAATATTTTTATTTTCAGATTCGAATGTAATATATGTTTGGATGTTGCTCGGGATGCAGTCGTTTCAATGTGCGGCCATTTATTCTGTTGGCCGTGTCTTCATCAATGGCTTGATACTCGTCCCATTAGGCAACTTTGTCCTGTCTGTAAATCAGCTATAAGTAGAGATAAGGTGGCTTATTTCCAGCTTATTTCATCTTGGCATAATTTTTCGTGAATTCGATTTCAGGTTTTATATGTTTAGCAATCGAAATTGAAATTTAGTAAGCACTGAATTAAATTGTATTAAGGGTTAAATTCATTAATTCCAGGTGATACCATTATACGGCCGAGGAGGAAATGAAACAGATCCGCGTGAAAAAGTGCCACCAAGGCCCCGAGGGCAACGAACCGAAGCACCACAAGTAATTTTGTTCACGATACAATTTTAAAATGCTTTTCACTTCCTGCATATAATAGATTTCATTTCAGGGAGGTTTTCAAGGATTTCCTGGTTTCCAATGGGGTGGAGATAATGGTGGAGGCGGTGTACAATTTTCGATGGGTATAGGAGTTTTCCCCATCTCTTTCTTCGCTTCATTTTTCAATGCTGGCTTTGGTGAGCGGAGACCAGATGCTCGTAATTTTTTAGTATATTTGATCATGAAAATTATTTCAACAATGAATAATGGAAATAGATAAAGTTCAAACTGCTTCTTTCTTTCTTATTAGAAAAAAAGAAAAAAAGATAGAATGAGATTAAATCTACAATGCTATTTCATAAAAATTTGATGTATCAAAAATTGTTTGCCTTTTTTAATGAGATTTGCATGAAATTATCTTCCATCAAAAGAGCTTTATATTTTTCATTTATTTATTCTAATTTGTTTTATATCAAATCAATTCAAATCAAATCAAGTTGAATCTAAACAGTGCAAAAAAAATGAAAATATTTTTTTGCAGCTGCTGCTGGGATGCGTCCAGCGGAAGACGAACAATTTTTATCGAATATTTTTATTTATCTCGGAATATTCTTTGTCGTTTGGCTTCTTTTATTTTAAATTTCAATTTTTTTGTTTTTTTTATTTTTATATTTTTATTTCACTTCTTACTTGTTTTTTCAAAAAACTGTTTAAAAATAGGATTATTGCAGTGGATATGTTGAGAAAAAATTTAACAGTCGAATAGATTTCTTATTTTTTTGCTTCTTAGCGGAAAAACTAAAATGCCAAAATGGTTTCCTTAAATTTATGTACTCATGGTTTACTATTTTCATCTTTATTTTTTTTCTTTCAGAAATATTTGTTGTCAAATATTTCATTTAGTTCTTGCTGTTATATAACACCGTTTGAATTTAGATTAACCATTTTTTCGCATATTGAATCGAGAAATTTGTATTTTTAACCAATTTATGTGATTTACATTTTCGGAACTCATTTTAAATTTGTGGTGAAGTTTTAACTAACCGATAAAAATTGAATAATTAAAAGGCGATTTAAACAAAATTTCACATAAAACGATTTAGTTAAAATGATTCGTTTGAAAGCAGAGGGAGGAATAGGTGATTATTTTAAATTTGAGAATTTGTATTCTTATTGAATGGAATTGGCTAAAACAAATAAAAAGGTAAATTGATATTGAAGGGAAATTGAAAATGAAAGAAATTGTAACATACTTGAGTTGCAATGTTCTTTACCATTTTCTCATGATTTTTTATCGAAATAATTTCTCATGATTTTTAGAGAAATTAGGAAAAAATTTAGAGATATAATAATCTTATTTTAATGGAAAATTTCTTTAATGGTTGTTGTTGGAGTCTAAGAATTCAAATTTTAGAAAAAAGAGCAATTGTTTTCTATTTTAAGTGATTTATATGATCCTTATTTCTCACAAATTCTCAAAAAGTGAATCTGAATTAAGATAATTTTCATATAAAATTAGCGCCATGTTATTTAATGCCTGGCACATCGAGCATATTGCCAATTGTCGTGAGTAGCACGATTTCTAAAGTTCCGTGGATAAATTTTGCAAAACACTGATAAAATAAGAAGCAATGTTGAGTTGATTATAATTAGTTCCAAGGCGATTCTTTCGAAAACAATGCTGCTTTATTCGAATGATAGATTTAGGATTTAAAACTTGCTTTATATAAAGATTAATAATGTGGAAAGGAGTGAACTTTGTAAGATTCAAACGTCGTCGTCCTCGCCTTTGTGATAATGGCATTATCAGCGCAATACGTATATTTATATATAAACATATTTCTATCTCCAAGTATTTTTTAATGTGGAGATGTGGAGAACAGTTAATAGTTTCTTTTTTTTGAGGGAGAACCCAACTGTAAGATTACTCGGGATTTTCAAAACTCGGCATTATTTTTGCTTTTCTTACACGTCGGTATGTAATCCATAGTTACTCTTAAAAATTAAAACCTTCTAATTAGAAGTCAAAGAGAAAACTTAAGGTTAAAAGAAAATTGGTGGACGGTCACCGGCTGACAATGCATTCGACAAACGTGATAATATTCATCTGTTGTTTAACGCACCAATATGGAATGAATATGGCGTGTAATGAAAATAAAAGTTCATTGCCAGAATTTTCGACCTACAATCGTAAGTTGCTTTTTTCCAGTGCCCTCCTCCAAGATGCCATTATAACCTTAGGCGAAATTGCTAACCATTAGAGCTATTGGTAAAACTGATGGAAATACAAGTCTGCCAAAGCCGTGAAAAGATAACGCTGAGTATATCACCTATCTCAGAACGTTTTGTTCAATTTTTCTTCACCTAATTTCGCGTTTGTTGAATTTCACTTCCACATTTAACGTGGTCTCATTTTTAATAGTATCAAATTAATGATTAGTGCTTATTATTTCTGGCTAAACCCGTTCCTCCTAGAAATTTTTGATAAAGAATCAGTTGGCGGTGGAAGATCGATTGCATCACCAGCATTGCATTTGTGGTTTTTTAAGTTTATTCCTGCTGAGCCAAACTCTTATTCTCTTAACACAATAATCTGAAATTACAGTCCACTTAGGTATTTCTCATTTTCAGTATATTAATTTAACATTTGATTTATTAATAATAATTACTAATTTTTTTTTAAAGCGTTCACCTTTCTAGTTAGGCTTGTCAGACAAATTTTGCCAGGAATTAATTTGGCGATAGAACAGTAAATCATCCCGAATTTTAAAAGATAGCTCCTCTATTCTGCCTGGGATAAAACCCCCAACAGTCGAGTAAAAGAGCGCAGCAACCCACTGAGTTATTTTATCCCTAAAAAAATATTTCTCCAGTAAAAATTATTAATGCGACATTTTCACATGGCAGAGGCAAATATGGGAGCTTCAGTATGGGATGTGATTGTGAAGACATGTGATAAATTTGGATCTGGAACAGATGCTGCAACTTATCTTAAAGTTTACTATGAAAAAGATAACGCTAACGAGATTTTTTTATTGGATAATCCGACCATGTAAGTCGTGGATTTCTTCTAGCTAACATAAAAATTTTTAATTTTTTCGTTGATTCTAATTCTGATTCGTTAATCGTTAATGGTCGTCTCGTAATTCCAGTTGCTCAGCTCATTTTTTGTCCAAATTCAATACATTCCTTTTGCGAGCTGATGCTTATTCCTTGCCTTGTTTTTCTCAGTGATCGAGAATTGACAAAAGAATTTACCATGAAATTGTTATAATTTACCAAGACATATAGTGATAATGTATCATTGAAAATTTCACACTTTTCATAAAAAATAAATTTATCATTACCATAGAAAGAATCATTTAGAAATGATTTCGAACGCGGAGACAGAAACCACTTTAAAGTTTTGCTTAGAAGTGATAATATAACGAATATTGGATTATTTTGGTGGCCAAGTTTCACAATTAGCGAAGATTGGTGTGTTGATTGGGTTCGTTTTAGTTTAGTTTCTCGTTTATAATATTTTGCAATCTATCGACTCATGGAATTAATTTAATGGCCGAGATTTTTTGAAAGCAGCCAGCTAGCTAGCTTTACCACTAATTATTTCCATCCTAGAGGAGTTAATTAATTGATAGTCACATTTATAGGTGGTGATGTTGAACAGTTATAAAGAGATTTGTTATCAAGGAATTTTCGATCGGTGGATATTGCATTACCGCGATCCACCTACATATGCGAATAAATTCGATCGTGTTCGATTCGTCAACTGTATTCAACCTTATCAAAGAAAGCATCACTAAAAGATAATATCTTAAAGGTGAACCTAATGAATTTCCATAAATGGTGATCTTAATTCGAGGGAAGTTCGACAAATAGAGATATGTAATTATTTCCATCTAATGTGTTAAAATCTTGGTGCTAAATTATACTATACAATGCTTACTTTGTATGCTACCGTAACCAATAGCTTAGCAACCCACTGGTGCATTCTTTTCGAATGGAACATGAAATTTGGAACCTTTCTCTAATGAAAACTATCAAACTATCACTTTTTCTGGTTTAACAAGCTTAAAAGGCCGTTAATCGAAGTCATTCATTAGAATGTCACTTCAAAATAGGTCTGTTCTTAGAACAATCCAGTTTCCTATCTGTAACAAATGTAAAAGGCTTACTAAGGAATAATCTCTTAGTGCACTGTTTATTATCGTTTTTTTCATTATATGCCGTATTAGGCCATTCGGAAGTTCGCCTATTTCGGTTTAGATCGTAGTAGAACTTCAATAAAAAACACTGAGTATTGCTTTATTTGTTGGTACTTCTTAATATAATAATTCACTAATTTCTCTACGAAATGCTTAATTGAGGATTAAAGATTTTTTACCGTCTCTTTCCAGGTTTTAACCGATGATTTCGTTCTCATTTGTGCGGCTACTACAAACGATAAAATTTTAAAAAATAGATGTTTTAATGCCATTTTGCTTAATTTCAATCGAAATAATATAAGTTGCAACTTTGTAAAAATAAAAATACGTTTTAGTCGGGAGATTTTATCGGTTCATTAAAATTTAAACTATATTGCTTTATGGAAATCTATTTTATGGACGGTTAAATGCGACAGTTATTTCTAATGGAAAATATAAATCATCACTTTCCGTATTCACTTTATTTGTTTTAGTTAAATGATGTAAAAACGTAGTGGTTGGTTGAAGGCCCTGTGGCCTAATGGAGAAGGCGTCGCTCTCCTAAAGCGAAGATTGCAGGTTCGAGTCCTGCCAGGGTCGGCATTTATCCTTTGGATTGCATTTTGCTGTCGTCCAATTTGGAGGTAATAAATGGAGCGACGCTTTATAAAAACACTGCTTTAAGGGATTAAAAGATGCAAAAATAATTTAGGCGAGAGCCACGCTTTTTTATTGATTACATAATTTATAATTCTTTGTTTATAAATTCAGAAAATTAAAAAGTAGTAATTTGTAATTATTTGATTATTATTTGAAGTAGTAATTTGTAATTATTCAATTTTTAAAAAAGCCAGCTTAGTTATTAATTATTTCCTCTAATAGTCCACCGTTTCACTGGTTTGGTTCCTTGGTAAATTGGAGAGCCAGATGGAGGAGAAAAAAAGAGATTCACAGTGGTCAGCTCGGAGATGGAGTCGTACGCTCGTTAAGTGAAGTCCACACCACCTTCTTCTAACAGCTCTCACTACCATTACTGGTTAGGCTAGCTCCGCTGGCTACAAGACAAGGCATCTCCAAGCTGCCCGGTACGACCCATCGCTAATAGTAATAGGAGCCATTCCTTTTTCCATCGTCTTTATATCATTGCTCCCCCCTAAATGTTCAAATCCTTCCTGGCTGTATCAGTCCAGGTTTTGACTGACCCTCCTTGCTTTTGACGCCAACTATCACAGAATTTAGCAAGTCACGAAATATGCCTGATGTACGATGAAGAACTGCCCTAACCAGCTAAGGCGACGCTCTTTGATTATTAATAGAGGTGATATTTGAACAAAGATGGATACAGCCATATGCGATTTTATTCTCTCGACGGATCTGTAAAATGTATCTTAGACATGAGGGGTGAGAGGCTGATAGCTTCTTAATATAGTTTCTTAATAATATCTTCCACTCTCATTGGCCAAGTTTCGAAAAGCGAGTTCGAACGAATTGCAGCTATTTGGACGCTGTCCACACCATCAAAAATATTTCAAGAAATTCGAGCATTTGAAAATTTGACAAGCTCCATCTATATTTTTGCTTCTTCAACGGACTTGTGTGAATGCGAAATCCGAAAAAAACTTATCAATGTTCTCTAAAACCAGCTCACCTGGCGAAAATCCTTCGCGATCACCTCAATTTCTCGGAAGCCTGTAATATATTCCTCGACTTCTATCACCTCTACTTAAAGAGATCTGATTAAATTCCCTTGCACTTTGCAAATTTAATCAGACCAAGCTATGGTCCCCGAATAAATTATCAAATTCATCATGGGTCTTTTACCATAAAACATTTGCCTTAAATAATTAGAAATAATCTGAAAATAATTTTTTGAGGGAAAAATAAAATTTTTCCCACAAATAAACTACGAAACATATAAGTCACAAATGATTGATATGGTTTACCGATATTTACTTCAATAATCATTTTCTGTATCCAAGGACCTGCTAAGAAAAATAGACCTAAAATCGAAAAATCTTGGTGGTACCAGGTATTCATCTGCACACTTTTGCCTCAAGTAACCTACTAGTGAAACCCATTATTCGTTTAGTTTAGTCTGCTCCATTGGTGACTAGATAACATCATTTTCAACCCGGCATCACTGATTCTGGTTAACTAATTACTAATCACATAAATCCAAACAATACTTTTTATAATTTTCACTAGAAAATTTTCAAAAAACCATAAAAGATGATATAAATGAAATACAAAGACAACTATGCAATATTCATTAATACCCAATCTTACCGCTGGAAGAGATTTGAAGGATTATCGGATCTGTAAATGCGAAATAATATAACAAATGTGTCTTGTATAATCTGTCTTCGACAGGAGTAAACCTGCCATGTCAAAAGTCCGAGTGGCTGTTGTGGACTCACCTGTAGCTCTATCCCCAAGTGATTCTATGGTGAAAGATATTCTTGACACGGCATCCTCGACTTCCGACGCGCATCATAATACTCTCAGCCCAGTGGTACTTACGACAAGTATACAATCATGTCTGACAAGGCCCATTCCGCTTTGATTAAGTGGAAACAGTATGGCCTATGCTCGTTTTAAAGATAAGAATATCGGATAAAGATAAGTTCTATGCGGAACTTCAATAGCTAACAAGATCTCTACTGATATGATCATAATCGGGGGAGAATGAAATATGCGCCACAATGCTGCTGTGACCTCGACAATTGGCAAATATGGCATCGGAGAACGGTGCGCCAATGAAGAACGTCTTCTTCTTTATACCGAAGATCATGAACTTTTTGTTACTAATATTTGGCATTGTAGAAAACGTCTAGTCACTTGGAATTTCCCGGATAACCAACGCTTCAACCAGATTGATTATATCTTGGTCGGTCGCCATTGGAAGAGGTCCGTACTAGATAGTTCCTATCGCAGTGCTGAAATGGGCAATCTTTAGGGATCATGTTACGGTTCGAGCCAAGATCCGCATAAAATTGATAATTCGCAGAAAATAGCATCTTCCAAGATTCTTAAACTGTTTCAGACTAAAAAATTCGGGGCAGTGAGCGCATTTCAAACTGAATTATCGAAGCATCTCAGTGATACAAATATCAATGATTTTTCTGGAACGGCAAATGAATACTGGTCTAAATTGAAGGAATGTCTCCGAAAACCAGCCACTTCCACGCTAGGGCATACTAGTAGGAAGTGCGCTAGTTGGGTATCGGAAGCAACTGTCCAACTATCTGAAAAAAGCTGCCAAAGTATTAAGTGATATTAGGTGATCCTGACTACTGGGTGCTTCGAAGATTTGCAACGAAAGCAACCAGGCGGGACAGAAATCACTATTGGAGTGACATAGCCTTGAGAATGGAGACGGCGGCTCGATTAGGCGATAATAGGGAACTATTCCGCCTTCTTCATAAGTTGCAACTAGCAACTTGGGGGAAGCGATCAGTGAAATGGTAAGAGACAGCAATGGCGTGCCAGTTAAGAATAAGGACCTCATAAGATGGTGAGAATTTGAGGCCAAATTTAACCATGAAGCGTCATCCGTTGCCCCTAATATAGCTGATACATTCGTCGAACCATACGTCCAACCACTAAAAGAAGAAATAATCGTTATCAATAAGCATAAGGCCAATAAGACTGCGGAAGAAGAGGGCATTTGGATCGAACTTTTCAAACGTTATCCTTCATAACGCATCTTCAACAAAGTACTCTTTAGTATAGGAAAAGAAATATTACCAGATGATTGGAGCAAAGCAATTCTACTCCCAGTTCTTAAGGAAGGTGATAGGACAATTATCGAAAAATCAATCTATTAGACGTCTCAGCGAAAATTTTTGCTTCCCTTTAACTCAACAGACTTATGGAAGTACGGGACAGCAGGATGCGGCCTAATCAATCTGGATTTAGATCGGGGCGCGGTTGTGCTAGATATTTATATTAAGAAGGATGTTGGAACAACGCTTCAGAGTGTTTCATCGACTTTGTGGGTGCCTTTGATTCAGAGCGGTGCTTTGGAGGGTGATAGAAGGCGACGGTGTTCCAGCGAAGATCATTCGACTCACCCATTTTATGCCATTTCTATTTTATTTTAATGAGACATTCACGCCGGCGCAAGTCTGTGGAACTGACTTATGCAGAACTGACAGACTCCTTTGAAATAAAAACTGAGACCCTTCAAGGACACCACTTGTTGGCACTCAGGGGATGTCCAGACCAGTCCAGAGCATCGTATCATAGATATCTTAAATAAGCTGATAATACATTTCTTTTTGCTGACAATTATGACGAAATGCAAATAATGTAAATAATGTGTCACCGACTGCAGCGAGAATCGGACTCAGGGCCAATGTAAATAAAACGAAAATTTTTTCCTCTTATGTGCAACAAGCTGATAAAATGCTTCTTTTTACAAATTCATTGCCGGTTGAGGAGGTAATCGATTTTAAATACCTTGGATCCACTCTAGTACCAAATGGCCAGGCAAAAGATGATATTATAACTCAGATCACTGCAGCTAGAAATGCGTTCTTCCGGTTGACGAAATTTTTATGGAGTCGTCGTGAAATCACCATAAAAACGAAAGCCCACATCTATATGGCAATGATTCGTTCGATCTTGCTATATGGCTTTGAGAGATGGCCAATGAGAGTGAGGATATTATGAAGTTATCTAACTTTGACCACTTTTGTCTAAGGTATATTTTACGGGTCCGTCGAGCGAATATTACATGATATCACACATTACATATAATATCACATGATCGCATCCATCTTTGTTCAAACACCACCTGTATTTATAATGTTATCACAGAGCGTCACCTTCGGTGGTTGGGACACGTTCTCCCTCCTCCACCACAATAGTTGTCACATATTTCCTTACTTGCTAAACCGTGTGATGGATGATGTCAAAAGCGAGGAGGGCCAATCAAGACCTGAACTGATACGATCAGAAAAGATTTTGAACGTATAGGTGGATTTTGAACGTATAGATGGACGGCAATATATGGACGATGGAAAAAGGAACGGCTTCTATTACTGTCGACGATGGCATCAGACCGCGTCTTACTCTTGTAGCCGTTGAAGGCAGCCTAACCAATAATGGTGGGAGCTGTTAAAAGAAGAAGAATACGACTAAATACATTGAATACTCATACTCACTGAATATACCAAACTAATCAAAAATTAAAATATATATATAGATATTATTTTATAGAGATATTTCTTATATATTTTAAAATTTATGTTTAATGAGCATTGCAGGCATTATCTAAGTAAAAGAGTGAAGAAAAAATGATTAAATTCTTATGAACGAAACGCGTAAAATATTTGCTTCTAAGACTATTAGCAGACGAATGAGCTTGGACCTACATAAATTTATTGACTGGTCCATCATTCGGTAGAACTGGTGCTAAATCCCAGTTCACAAGCGGTATTTCCATATTTTCAGCAATGGAAAGATAACCTTCATGTGTTCGACTCTCATCCCCGCACATTATCATCATTCCGCCCTTTTGAAGATCCATACAAACTGCAATATAGAGATCGTTCTCATTTCTCGTTCATTCTTATTTTAGGAAAGAAATTCTCTTGAATCACTAGCTGAACCACCTATTGCAACGATGGATGTTTCTTTTAAAGCTTATTAATTATAAAACTTACTAGTAATGAAAAGTAGGCAAATTTCATCGCTAATTTAATACGCACACATACAACGCAAACCTTTATTCATAATAAACCACGTTCCTAGGACGGATTGTTTTAACTGTGTGTTGATTAATTCAATCTTATATGGATTCCTTTTATTGCTATTTTGACTCTCTTCACCGTGTTTTAATGTTAAAAGCACATCATCATTGTCTTCAGAAGTTGTATATGAAACTAAATTTTATTTTATTAATTTTCGAATTTTAGATATTCAAAAATCAAAGAAACAATAAAAAATTTGGAATCCAGGAATCCTGCAAGAATTCCGCACCAAACTTACCAGAACAAATTTGCAAACAATTCACGCGAATATTTGGCTTAACGCTTGAACTATAGATTTATAAAGTGCTAAGTGAATTGCCAAATATAATATCGCTTGCAAAAAAGTGGTGGCCACCACTGCTTATTGGGTTGGTTACATCGGCTAGTAAGTTTGAAAAAAATACTTAGCCAGAAGCCAAATTTATAACCTTAAAAGTGCATTAATAACGGTAATTAAGAATCGGTAATATGCAACGGCGGTTCAAATTTCCAGCTGATATAAATATTTATTTATTGTCCAAGAGCAAATTTAATAAATAAAATCACCATTTCTGTTTGGCAGATAAAGACTCAGTGCCGCGTGGATTTCATTTTTAAATGGGGTAGACTTAATGCTAAGTGCAGAGGTAGAAATAGCTATTCGCATTACCTACTGACGCTTGAGTTTTAGTAAAAATGAAATCCACGATTTACTTCTTATCTATTTGCAATCTACTTCTCGATTACTTTTTCCTTTGTTATTCTTTTAAGATTTAGAACAAACTAACAAATTGGTATTTTTGCTGGATAAGCAGTAATAATCGAATAAAAATAGAAAAACGACACCAATATTGTCAACGATAAATCCATAATTAATAAGAAATATTTTTAAAAATTGATGAAATTAACGCCAAAAATGGAAATTGAATTTATTTCAACTTATTTTATAGAAAATTGTATTACACTGAAATATTGCAATAAATCAGTGCATGGAAATAGCAGACAGTGGCGAAGGATGGATGAGGATTGGGATAAAATCCATTGAATATTCGGGTAAATATTTTGAAGCCGAAAATCCACAAAAACGTTTAGACGCAGTTTTTATTGGCAATACACGAGTATTAAATGTACGTTTGGAAAATTTACGAAGAAGCTATAATAAATTGCTTGTTGAATTGAGTTATTTGCCGGTCGATCGCGAAACTCTCTCTCAATGCATGTTTGTCAATTTAAGAGTTTTTCCTATTAATGGAAGAGAAAGCAAAATGATTTTGACAAAAATCTTTGATTAAATTATCTCAGCGCTTATATTCTTCTTCCTCTTCTTAAGAAATATTCGATAAATAAAAACGATAAACTCAATCATAATCAATCAAAAAACGCCTAAAACCTTTGAAGCCTTAATTTTTTCAAAATTATCAAAATTAAAATTACTTAAAAGTGTAATTAATCAAATCAAATATCATTCTAAAATGATTAACATTTGTAAATCTTAGGTTCAAGCAACACGAAGTTGATTTCATTCCCTTGACGAAAGTAAAATTTTCATTGGAATCTGCAATCCCCTTGGCTCTTGGAAAGTAGGCGGACATTAGGGAAAGGCAATCCATCAGTTTTTATAGCAACGTATGATATGAATTCTCGGTATATGGAATTCTTTTGATGGGAATGACATTTCATAACCCTTTATCTCCAAACCTATCTCAGATTTCAACCAAACTATAAAACATTTGATACCTCTTTCAGAAATTATTTAGTTTGAATTGTATGCTTTTTAGACCAATTATAAGATGTTGAATAAGATTTGCTATCTCAAAAAATTTTGAATATGATAAATTTAAAAATAATGGAAATTTCGAAAACATTGAATTTACTTTCGATATGAAATTGAGTTCTCAGTCGAATAAGGAATAAAATTAGTGGCAAAATTTCATCCAATTTCTTAAGGCACCGTTTCTTTTAAATAAAATCATTGATTTGAGGATATCGGTTCAAAATTCAACGAATAACTTGCAATTCTGATTGTTTTATTTCTTCGATAAGTTAAATTAGCAAATACAGAAATAAATTTGATAAATTGTATTACCATATTTAAATGAATCTGATAAGCTGTTCTGATATATTTATTCTATTTTAATATTTTATACATGTATTGCTTTTTTAAAGGGGAACAAAAATCTGCAGAAAAGCGACAAGCAGTTGATTGCTGTGGTAAAGGAGGTGGCAAAGGAATATGATGCACTGATGGTATGTTATTCACTTTCGAAGACTTATTTGACGAATGGTCACTTTCGTTATTTTTGATATCCTAAAAAATTTAATGCTAAAAAATTTAAAAAACTTATAAGAGACAAGAGACAAAATAAAAAAATTAATGCGAGATAATATAAAAAGATGAACTTAATTTAGAAAGAAAATCACCTATACCTTAAAATCATAATTTTTTTTTTCAAATTTTGAATTTGAGTTTTTTGGCAGAAATATCAGCGCATTTACACCTTTAAATAGGTTAATATTGGCACCAGTATGAAAAATCGGCTCACAAAATTCATAACCACATTTCAAATAAAAACCATATTTATTCGTTGTTGAGAGGTAAACCTAAAATGTATCACAAATTCAACTAGATTTAGGCTATAAAAAATGAAAAATTAAATTTCAGCGACAAACAAATAACGTTAATAATTTTGGACCATACGATAAATGTTATATCCAATTGAATCAAAATATTTTTTTAAAATAGAAATATTCTTAATGCAAATATAATATTAGCTGTCTCTTTTTAAATTTCATCATAATTCCTCATTTTAATGAATTTGAGTTATAAAAACAAATGAAAAATAAAAACTTTGTGAAATCCGAATTGAGAAGCTTTTTTTTCAACAGCGTTGATCAAACGCGCTCCTAATCGACGACCTCGCAACTTTTTCGTTATAACAACTGATTCAATCCAACAACTTTCATCATCACCAATTATTGAACATAACTTAGCGTGACCAATTAATTTATCTAATTTCCGGTCCAAGAATATTAGTGACATTGGAGGCTTCGAACTGATAGTCTTCTTTAAACTGTTTTCGCGTGCCGCCTGACTTCGAGGCCATTCCTTAAAGTTTAACGGTAAATAAAAAGCAACATTTCATTTCTTTTTTTTTCTTTTCTTGGAAAGAACAGAGGGTAAAGAGAAGAATAAAGGAAAAAAAATAATTTCTTTTAAAATAGATGTGATTTTATATTCTTTTAATGCCAAGTTTATTTTCGGCATCGTTCAGTTTATTTTTGATACTTAAATTACCATATGAACTTTTGACTTGTTATGTAATTTTGGAATGAATCTAATTAACAAAAAGAAGAAAAAACGAATTCCATTTAAGAAATTGTTAAAATTAAATATTTTTTGAGTAATAAATTCGATTTTTAACGAACTTCTTGAAATATTTCAGCCAAATAAAAATTAATTGGAAATCGAACGGAAAACTTGCCAAGTAAACAAATTTATTTATTTATTCTTTCCAATTAGCTGAAATAAATTTTTTTCTTTAAATTTCAAATAATAGAAAATAAAGCGGCTAAAGAAAACGAAAACCTCGTTCAAAAGTTCTATGCAAGGCGAAACAAGATCGAGCCGATCGACTAATGCAACCAATAAGTAAATATCGCGATCGTCGCCATTATCGCTGACATTCCTCCCGTCCATTTTCAACTTTCGTCATTATTTTTCATCTTTTTACAAGTAATATAATTCATTAAGTGATTAATATTAAATTCGGTAAAATACTAAAATAAATCAAAAAACTTAATATTTCATCGAATAAGAAAAAGTAAAGTAAGGGAGAGACTTTGGAATGAATGAATGAATGAATGAATGAATGAATGAATGAATGAATGGAACACCGCGAAACTCACTGCTCCGATTTGCCAGCGTAAGGCATAACCAAAGTATAAATGGTGTTTGGAAAGGAATAAAGCCAATGACTGCAAGTTTTGCTATCTTCTTTTTTATAAGAAAATCAAAAAATTACTTCGCAAACCTACAAACTTAAAAGGAACGAAGCTCAAAACAGAAGTCACAGTACTCATAAAATCGTTGTGAAACCATTCAGTAAGTTTTCAAAAATATTTGTAACGTGGGATGCAACTTTATGGAACTTGATTTAATATAACATATTGTTGCGTTAAAACTAAGAACTGGCGTTCGTCAAGTCTTTCCCTTACAATATTCAGCTGTGCGATAGACTGGATAATGGACATCGCTTGTTGGTAATCAAGAGTCCAGAATACAATATCACAGAACGCTGGTCATGTAGTCCTTTTTGCTGATGGTTATGAAAAATGCAGTAATGCTAGGCAAAGTGTCGACAGTTGCAGAAAGTCGGATGACATTGTAAATAAAATGAAAATATTTTCATCTTATATAAGAAGCTGATGAAATATCTATTTTTAACATATAAAATTTCACATGATTGCGTCCACCTTCGTTCAAATACCATCTGTATTAAAAGTACCATCACTTCGCTGGTTAAGGGCACATTTTTCGTTGCCCACCACTGAAGTTGGCACATATTTTGTTAATCGCTAAATCCTGGGATAGCGTCAAAATCAAGAAGGGCCAACCAAGATCTGGAATGATACAGTCAGGAAAGATTTTGGACGTATAGATGGACCAGCAATATATGGGCTTCGATGGTGGAAAAAAGAATAATTTCTATTACTGTTAGGTAAGACATTGGATCGAACAGCTTGGAGTTGTTTTACCCTTATATGCAGCGAAGCCAGCTTAACTAGTGATGATAAAAGTTATTAGAAGAAGATTAATTATTATTATTTATCATTATTACTACCAAGTGTTATTATCACTATTATTCTATTATTATTCCATTAACATCTTTTATACTTTTTTATACATCGTATTCTGTTAACAAAAAACATAAATACAATATGTTATTATTATACCTTCTATTCGATTAAATATTTGAAATCGAATTTAAATTTGAATAAAAAATTCATATTCGATTAATACAATCGCGCGCTTCATTATCAAATATTATTTGCATATTTACTGTTCCAATATCAAAAAATTTATTAACTTTTGTTCCACTGCTAACATATGAATCGGGAATTTGAAATGAAACTTTTCGTTGACAAGGCTGAAATATTAATTATTTTTATATTAATTTTTTTATATAAATGCAAAAAAAATTTGTCAAAATTCGTGAATCTTGACTCTTTTTTTAGGTTGTAATTTCAATGTTTCTTAATTTTTTTATCGTCATTTTTTCAAAAAAAGGGAGCTGAAAGAATGAATGAGTGTTGAAGGGTTCGCAAGTGTGATGTGCCCAAATTTTCTACATGATGTCATAAACTGTCGAACAAAGAAAAAAAATTAAAAATTTTATAAAAAAATAACCATAATTCCATCATCACAATCATGATAAATTTTTAAAATTGGATCAATCGTTGTTAATTCATCGGTCGTGCCACTCACTTCGAAATACCCTTGGGCATTTGTCGTTGATTCTTGAAGAAGATCGTCCAAATCTGGCCCTACAGAATTTCTTTACTGGATAATTATTACTAATAATTATTCGTAATTTCCTTTTTTTTGCATATCAAAGATTTATAAAATCGCTTTTTTTTTCCTTTACTTAGTCCTTTATTTCTTTACTCGATGCATTGGGAATTAATTATTAGAAAAAAGATAAATATTTTATTAATTTCGCAATAAATTCGAATATTTCTGAATAAATAGAATGAAATATTCAACTAATATGTAGCATATATTAATCTTAAGATTAAATAATAAATAATAATAGGGGCTTTAGTAAAAAAGTTTATCAGATTATTAAGTTTAATTTTTAAAATGGACAAAAATAGACAAAAAGTGATAAAATTTATAAAGTAAAAAAAATTTCTTCCATAATATTTGATTTCACCAATCGTTGAGTATTTTATGTATTGAGCAATTTATTTATATATAACTGTAAAACGACTTACCACTGTCGTCATCCCATAATTTAACCTTAGCATTAGCTAAAGGCTTGTCGCCACATAGTAGAACGCCTCTTACACCGGCACTTTGTGAACGAAGTGCAAAGCAAACTTCGAACAAAATGGGTAAATAAAAGAATATGATCATTATTCTATAATGATAATAGTATAAAACCGTTTGAAGCGTTTGTATCCAAGTGAATTTCTTCAAATAATTTCTTATATTTGTTTAATAATTTAATTATATGAAAGGAATTGATAATTATTTTAAAAGGAAACAAATGAAACTATCGAAAAATTAGACTGAAAATATCATAGCAAAAAATTTTTTAAAAATTATGTAAACTAATATATTTTTCTCAGTGTAACAATGGTTTTCTAATAGACTTCTCTAGAAATTTATGGATAAATAATGGATAGCCGTGCTGGAACTGCGCAATAGAAAGTATGCATTTTACTGTTTGCAAGTGCTTACGAGGTGATTTGCATGCACATAAGGAGTTCATTATTAATGCATTTGGCTGAAAATATTACATTTCGATTTTTTATGAAAGGCTGCTTTTTAAAAAGAATTATTTTTACTTCTGCTCATTATTTCTGGTTTCTCCACCGAGATTTAGAGCAAAATTTTTTTTGCCATAAGGTTATCTTAGGATGGAAATAGAAGCAGGCCATCAATATCATCTTGGCCTCACTTTTGGCTTCATCCGATCACGGAGCAATAAGCAAGCCTATTGATTGTTGATGTCACTTGAAGTAATGTATTTGACCTGCTGCAAACTTATTGGTTCAGTAAATCCAGTGGTAGCATGCAAATGCAGTAAAATTCCGTTTTTTTCTTAGCAAAAAAACCAATTCTTTCAGATACTATTTACTATTTGAAGCAGGTTATATACTAAATTTTTTTCTCAGTGTCCTTAATATTTAATAGATCTATGAAGATACGGTCTGTAAGCAGGTAGGATCTGCTTGCCTTTTTTTCACCTTTTTTTTCTCTTATATATTTCTTCATTTTGCAAGATAAGTCAGCTATTCTGCTTTTACTCTCCTTTTCGAAAAACAAACAAATTATATAACAAATTATAAATTATATAAATTATCAAATATATATATATTGAATTATTCACCATAAGAATTAAATTTTCTAAATCCTTCTGAATTAAACAACAAATAATCAAGATAAATTCATAAATATATAAATACAATAATAATAAATATAATAATTAAACACAAATAATATTTTTTTATCTTCAGCTAATTGATTTTTGACTTGAAAAATTGTCAAAATCTCTAAAAAAAAAACAACTTTAAACTAGTTTTTAAATCTTATAATTTTTAAAATTTGAAATTTTTCTGACTAATCTTTTATTTCCTCCCTTATTATGTGAATTTTTTCTATCCTCTTCTCTGAGTAGTAAATTGGCATAATAGCTAATTTCATTGGAACTATTAACAAGAAAATGAGCCACAAGAAAAAAAAATATGATTTTAAGGATCGTTTTATTATATTCAGATTTGTATATCATATAATAAATTTTATCAAATTTATTCTCATTCCATAAAAAGTAGTGGTAAAAAAGGAATCTCTAAAGAGCGTAAATTCGTTAAGGCAGTACGCTTAGACAAATTTTTTAAAAAAAAAACCAGTATTTTAATTCCATCATTTCATCTAATTTATCAGATTCTTTCATAAATATTTTATCGAAGTGAAAAAAAATAGGAAAAAATAGAAATAAAAAAGTATTAAAGTTAAAAAGCAGTGAAATTTGTGCAGTTTGCCCGATTTTTGGTTTTACGGAAATACATCGCTAAATCTCATATCTCTGCTGCCTAAATCAAAATATTGTTGCGCAAAAAGTAAAGTAATCAAGAATAAAATCTAATGGGTTGTACCGATGTATTCATTGTATTTAGAATAAACCGGAAAATCGTGTTTCACATAATTGTCTTTTTTTTCCGTATTTCTATCGAATATTGATAATCAAAATATTTTTTCATCATCAAAAATCAATGAACAAACGGAACAGAAGCTTTTAAATATTTTTGTTTGATAATATTTCTTTAATTTATAGAAATTACTTCAATAAAGCTTTTCTCACAATGATGCCACTGTTAAGATTGTAATCAATTGTAATCGCACTAAAGCTAAAACAAGAATTCTTAAATTGAGGTCCATGGACCCGTTGGGAATCAGTGAAACTTGGATGAGAAAAAACACTATTATTTTTATTATGCTGGAAATTAGCACTTCCTTAACTTATGAATCCAGCTGTTCTCAGTGCAGTCCGTATGGTTTCAAAACATTTCTGTGAAGCCACAGAAAAGATCTGGGATAATAGAGGAGTTGCCCAGGGGATTGTGGAGCTCTAGAGGGATTATACTAACTTATAACTTACAACTTAAAATATATTAAATTTATTTTCTATTTTTAAAATATTTGAAAAATTAATTCCAAATGTCTTAATTTAAAACCCCAAACAAGAATTTATAAGAAAAAAGGATTTTTCTAAACGAAAAATAATAAAAAATTGGAGGCTTTCGGTTATATTTAATTAGTTTCCAGGCAAATCCAAATTATATCACATCAGAACTTTTCAAAATTTTATTCTCCATTTTTTATTCTTTTTTTGTTTCATTTTCAGAACAATTATTACATTTTATTTTAAATCAATTTTATTTTCAGAACGATTATTACATTTTTTTCGAAAATTGGTGTGGAATTTACGAAATATTTACAGTTTTTCACTTTTTTATCATTCATTTTTTCTTGCTTTTTTTGTCTTGAATTATATAAATTCTTCGTTTTTAATAAATGCAGCCTTCGGCAATGCTCAAATCGCTCTGAGTGAAGATGTCCTGTTGAGACCGCATTCTATGGAACCTCACTAGTGCATCCGTCGCGTCGATTCTGCATTCCACCATTTTTGAAATGAGCTTACTAAATATATTTTTTATAGCTAAAATAAATTAGCTTTTCATTTATTCTTTACTTTGTTTTGAATAAATGTTTTGTTTTGAATAAATTTTTCTCAAAGAACAAAACTATATTTATTAATATGAAAGAATATTTTCATTATTCAGATTCTATTTTATACTTTTTATTATTTTTGAGTTCTCAAGCCAATTCTTCCACTTCAGTGAAATGGAACTTCCTGAGTGAAGGAGGCCACAGAATTAGGCAATTCTATGAGAAGGCCCATGAGATAAAAATTTTGAAAATCATTAACAATTAAAACCATTAATTAAGACAACGAACACAGTGTTAACTGCGCAATCCTTTCATATCGTATCATTTTTCCATTAAAATCAATAGAAAATAAAAACATTTAGTTTATAACTGGTGAAAATAGTGGATTTTGAGAAAGAACAAATCATTCTGATGATGGAAATTTCATCTTATAGGCATCTTTTTAATTTCCAGTTATTTTGAGAAGCACTTTGAGAAAACATGGATAAAAATTTATCAAAAGTTATACAATAATCATGAGGAACAAAAAGATTAAATATTTACAAAAGGCTTTAGCGCCATTAATGTTTCGCGGGGCTTTATTGCAGATCGGCGAATAATTTATAAGAGTTCGATGGCCTTCTTCTGCTCCACAATAATTCCGTCTTAGAATAAATACGTCCTAAATAAACGAATAAAACGAATAAAACAGTTTTTAAAAAATAGAAAACAACATGTTTAAAACTGTGGTTGACTGGGCTTGCATTGTTGGCTCAACTTTATTTTCAGACTCTTCCCCAGTGACTCTTTGAATCTCGTTCATAATAGGCAGTGGAACCAGCTATAAGAACCAGTGGAACCAAGAGTAGTGAGTGCTGTTGGAACTAGAAGATTTAAAAGAAGATAAAATTGACTGATCATATTTCAGTGGGAGAAATATTGAAAGATGATTAAATATATGATAATTCATAAGGATGCTGCAGTGGCTGCTCAATCCGCTTCGATGGAATTTGCTTCAACAAAAAATGCGAGATACGTTTATTTTTTTCTATATGAAATTTCTCAAGCAGTAACGAGACTAACCAGAAATGGTATCCACTAACCTTAAAAATCGCTAATCTGAAATAATCATTTCTTTTTTTAATAAAACTAATTTTTAGGATTCCATATTTTATAAATTTGTAAAAAACAAACAAACTTTAATATTCTTTATCCAATATATATTACAACTGCAATAAAATTTATTATCAGAAATTTTAGTTCTCCATGCTGGGCTTGAAAACGATTCTTCGCCAATATTTATTATTATATTATTTTTTATAATTAATTCACCAATATTAATTATAGACGAAAAGGCATAGTTCGATATATTTTCGATTGTATTTTCATGAATAACGAGACGAGCAACTGTGTAGAGACCGCTGAATGCTTCATTACCGATCCTTTGAATTTCATTCGAAGATAGTGATATCTAAATTAATTGCTTGAAGAACTGGCAATTTACTGATTAAAATGATCATTAATATTATATAAAATGGTTTAAAATGCTTTCTTATTATAAACTAATTTTCTCATTATAAACAATAAATTGAATAGTTATTTTGGATTTTTGATTAATTAATATATTTGAGATAAAAGTAAAAGATTTCAGTAAAATTTGTGGTGCTATCGATTACTGAAGCACTAAAAAAATTTATTTTTATTAAATATTTGGTGGCTTTTTTTATATCACTCTATATTTCTGGTTTGGTTTAATGATTACTACTGCTATGGTGAGGTCAATCCATCAGAAAGTCACTTAAGGGCTGACTGAAGGGGACTCCCTAAGTATAAAAGTAAAGTATTTATATTATTTATAATATATTTAATATTTAAGTATAAAAGTACAATGAATGATGCAGAAATTTCCAACTTGAAAAGAACTTTTTAATCCCTCAAACGGCTTTCATTAAATTATAAAATAACAATACAATACAATACGACCTCGTTAATATGCGATAATTCGTTGAAAATCCCTTTGGTGAGCGACAAATATGAATTACTGATCTCTAATCTGAATGGTGCAAAACATTTTCAACGAAGTTTTAGTACTTTTGAAAAATTTTCTCTTTATTCTTATCTTCTAATAAGATCCATCCATCAGTTTCGGCTTAATTGGGTCTGTTGGCCTGGTGACAAAGTGACAACCTTTCGCTAGAGACTATGATATGCCATGCTTTATTTAGAAATATTTCTACTACAAAGAATTCAATCAAAAAGCTATAAGAAATACTGTTAAATATGGAACATTTGCAGGACGAAAGAACGGAATTTTTGCCAATATTTTCCTTCTATTTTATAATATTTGCAAGAAAAATATTATGCAAAATCATATACCTATGAATACGAGAAACATTCTCGAAAGCATCTGAAAAAATCATTGATGCACCACGAATATTGAAAAAATCAATTTGTTTTAAGCCAGTAAATACATTTGAACCAATATGAAGAGATTTACCTTCGAGGGTTAATTCCCTTAAGCTATTCGAATTTCTAAAAAGAAAATTGGCTTGTTTGGGTTATTGATTCATTTATTGGATTAAACCCACAAGTGTAATTAATTTTGATATATGAATCTCGTTAACATTGACTGTGGAAGAAATAAATTTAAGAATGATAAATTTTCAAGAATCTCATAAACGACTGTTAAAGTGTCTGAAATGCATTCAAATAATTCACCCAAACATTCCATATTTTATAAAATTAAAGCTGTTGTTTAAAAGTTGAATTCGTAAGCCGTGTTTATTCGAAATTATTGCAAAACTATTCCGATATACTTCAGTTATATTCGAGTTGTTCTTCAGCTGTAATAATCTGCAATGGATTCATTTTCGCAAGAAATAAATGAAAAATAAATTGTAATAAACCGAAAACTGATTCGCTGAGTGATTATTGTTTCGCTATTTTGCCATAAAATCATTTGGAAATTCGCTATTTTCATTGGCTAAGTTAAAAGATATCAGAAGAAGATTATTTGAAACATAAACTGCGAATAAAACCGACAAAATGGTAAAATTTGAAATATTCACTTTAAATTTTTGAGCCCTTTAAATGCAAATTTCTCAATTACTCGTAAATTATAACAGTTTTCAATCCTCAGTTCTTCCAACGATGAATACCTAAATAAAAATAAATTCAGATTTTACTTTCCTTCATTTTGCAAATATCAGCAAATGACTTTCTATAGTGCCGAAATATTGTAAGCTTAGCTCGTAAACTATGGAAGACCAACAAATCGTAAAATAAGGAAAGCAGATCGCATAATTAAGGGTATGCAATTGGATATACAGTTAAATAGTTCTTAGGCAAAAATTCATAGCATTTTTATAGATTTCGCACCTTTTCCCTTTCATAATTACCCTTTTAAAATATTTTTAAAAATTGTTTTGAGTTGTTCAATTATTATTTACATAAAAGATAAGTGGTGAACGACCTCTTAAAAGCATTCTTCTGCAATATCGCAATCTCGCAATTTTTAATGACTAATATTCTCAGGGCATTCGACCAATTCGTTGGAATTTGTTCGAATTTCCCTCCATCACAGTGTAACTGAAACATTTAGCAACGGATTTTTGCAAAATATAAAATTAAATATTCTTTTAAAAAAAATTTTCCCATAATTTCTCCCTAATAAAGGATCCCTAATAAAGGAAATCCCTAATAAAGGGACCCTTTATCGAATCTGTATTTTATCGAATCTTCGAATCAAACCCATAAGTCGCATCAATTTCTTAAATTAAAGCCGAAAAAAAATAATAGCTGTGAAAATAGAATCATCGAATACCAATTGTTTAAATTCGGAAACAGTTTTTTCAGCAGCGCTTTCTCATTTACCAATTCTGATAAAATACTCATGGATGAAGCTTAAATAGATTATTCGTTTATTGATCCTTGTTCATTTCAATGAACATATATACCATACTAAAATTGGAACAATACAGAGATTATGGTCCCTGCGCAAGGATAACACGCAAATTCATGAAGCATTCCAAATTTTTTTGGGGATAGAATGGCTCAGTGTGCTCAATTTGAAGCGCCGATGCTGAGGTTCTATCCCTCGCAGAAGTAAACCTGTACAAAAATCCGAATGATGCTGGCGACTCACCTGTATTTCTATTGCCAAGGGACTCCCCGGCATATTGCCCAATGCGACAAGCCAGTGAAACGAGTTTAACCAGTAATGGTGAGGACTTTTAAAAAAAAAAGTTCCTTATAAACACTAAAATCATATTTATAAAAAACAATGCTTTTTGCATGTTCTTAAGATATTTTATTGACGAAAATTTTAATGGCAATAGATGTTCTTTCGGCGAATTTGTAAATTTCATATTTCTGCTTAACTATAGGGATGTGAAATCAGATCTTTTGGAAATAAACGGAGAATAGAAAAATCTAAAATATATTATAGCGAATTAAATCGGTATCTATATCTATCAATATTGTAGAGACATAAATTTCATCTAAAGCTTATTATTCATTAATATTTCTTTCTCCTTTTATTAGAAAAATTATGCGTTAACTTACTGAATCAAAGGAATCGCACTGACATGATTCAGAGCAGAAGTTTAAATTCTGAGCATTTATATTCGAACATAATACAATAATTGTAAATCCAAAAGAGTGGATATTTCCCATTTCATCGTAGAATATTCGTCATTCTTTTGTAGTATTTTTCACAGATATATTCTTTCATTCTTAATGAAATAAATTCAGTTGAGCAATTGAATAATTCAGAATGAAAAAGCGCAGAATTATTGTATAGGCGTAGGTATTGTAAAAAAAGTAAGTAGTGAAATAAGCAGCACGGACCTACTGAGTAAATCTATCATCGGTAGTCAACTGAGTCATTCCTAAACTATGCTTAGAGAACATGGCATTTATCTTTTTAGCCGATAATTTGAAAAACCAGTGTCACCACAAAATGGTCCTCTGGTGAAATGGGGTTGAGGCGAGGAGCCGTTATTTTTTTTTAGGAGCACTCACAAATTACTGGTTGAATGAATTTTTCATAGACCGACTCCTGGTATGATAGAAGCATAGGGAAATCCGAACTTTTGGAAAAGCTCAGTATCTGTCCTTATTCCGAATTAAGCAATAGCCCACTGAGCCATTCTATTCTCCCTTTATTTTTCCCCGGCAGTCAACAGCCGCTCAACGAAGAATGGCGGATTCGAATCCACGCCTCAATTCCCGGTGGCACTTGTCTTGCCATTGAGCCACCAGTATTATTATTGCGATGTAAACAAATAAGTTTCTTAGTCAAATCCTCTTTAATTAGAAATATAACATTTATTGATCTAATCTAAGTATTTAAAATAAAAGGTAACTTTGCATTTTATCATTATATGACCGATCCGCTTATAGTAAAAATTTCTGATTAATGAATTTTCTGAAAAAAATTTAAACAATGTGCAAATAACGAATTAAGCTGTTGATAAATCTAAGTTGTTGATAATGAATAAACATTAGTTTTGATAATTGTCATTTTGAACATAGAATTTCTTAACAACCTTGTTATCACATAAAACATCATTTAGCATCTAATCAATCTCTTTGAAACGATGAAATTGCTTGTATTCAAAGTAAAAATATAAATCACCTTATCATTACTATTAAAATTATCAAACATAATAAATTCAGTAAAATAAGGCCAATTAAATTTTTGAAAGGCTAAAATCATATATTTTAAGGTTGCTTTTATTTCTATGATTACTGTGGATTTCTTATAGCTCAAATTCCAGTTTCATCTATTGTCCCTATTTTCATCTCAGAAATATACTCGCGAAATTATAGGCAGTGGAAGACCACTTTCAGCATCGGTCGGCAACCTAAGTTAGCAACCAGATAAATCAAATAAATTTTATTAGTAAAATAAACATGAAGCATGAAGCGATAAACAAAAGAAGCGTTTGGAACCTTTAACGAAGGCTAACAAACAACAAATGACTTATTTACAACATTTAATTAATAAAATTACGCGACAAACTATCGCTCGTTTGCTTAAGGCTGCGATGGCCGAATGTGGGATGTGGGCAAATAATTTGAAAAGATCGCTCACCGTTTTTTTCCGTGGTTGCGATAGGAATTTCAGAATATTAAGATCAGCGTTTCGTCGATATGAATGAGCATTTGAAAAAAAATCCCTCAAATTTATCTTTACAAATATCAGATATCTGCTTAAATAAGTTTCTTAAATAAGTTTCTTTTCTAGCTTTTAACATTAATTATTCTCTTTTTTGCGCAGAAACTCACTATTTCTGGTTTGATTTGCAAGAAGGTAAAACCATTGCCAGAGAGTAATTTGCAAATGGAATTACATACGAATCTACATCAGCACTAAGAATTTTATCACAGTCCAACCAATATAGATGGTATTTTGTAGCATAAATATATAATCATATCGTATCACCTTCACTTATTTTTGCCAACGATGCCATGTCTCTTCTCACTTTCATCTACTTTCTCTAATAACAATTTCCATTGCTGGTTTGGCTGGCTCTCTTGGTTATCAGGATAAAAACCTTCACCATCATCTCAATACAGTTGGATCTTCAGCACCACTTATACTGTAGCTTAAAAACAATAAGAAATTACAATAAATAAATAGGAAATTTTCTCGAGACGTATATATCTACACTAAAAGGAGTTAAAATTTTTAAGAATTTTAAGAATCATTAATTTCTCATGTTGGCATTGTATTATCTAATATCTTTGAAAACTTTTCACCATGAGGTCAGTACAATTTTACTTTTTGGATAAATCTGAAAAAAGCCCGTATAGATGGGGTAAAAAATCGAAAATATTTTCGCATTAAATTTATTTCCACATAAATCCGATGGAATGAAATCTTTTAAAATTTCAAAAGCACTTATGTTTATTCCGAAACCTTCTACATTTTGAAATTTATTCAGTGGAGACTTTTAATATTCCTTATAAAGGCTTATTTGTTCTATAAGGTTTATCCGTTTCCATTATTTGTGAGAATAAAGTATAGATGGTAGATCGATAGATTCGGAATGATCTTACCTTAGTCGCCAGTTGAACCAGCCAAATCAACGATGTTGGAAGGAAAAAGAGGAGAGATGAAAAATAATATCACATGAAAAAAATTGTAAAATATAATTTAAGCAGTATTTATGAACGAAATATTTAGAATTTAAATGATATTAACAGCACTGCAATTTATATCTTTTCTTTAGGCAATTGCAATCATTACAACTCTTCTTTTGAACGCTTCTAACAGCTGCTTAAATTTGTATAAAACTGGCACATATGTGATTTTATAAGCAAAATAATGCTATAATTTTGTACAATCAACGAGACAGATTCGATTAGAACAGATATGCAATAAATAAACTAAATTTTAATGAAAATCCGATATTTTTTATTTAATTTGAAAGAAACTGATAACTGATGAGTTTGCAATTTGTTAATTTCAAGTACTTAGAATAATGTAAAATAAATCAGTGGTTAATACCAATTCCTGTTAGAATGGTCCCTTAGCTAGCTATCAGTAGGGCAGAGATTTTTGCAAGAGAAGCATGTGGATATAGAACACAAGTGAGTTGACAACAATAACTAATTCTTTTAATGATAATTTTATTGTTATCTCGAACACTGAGATGATAATCTGGGAAATATCTCGGCTATCCCATTCTCTAGAATAGTATTGGTACATGCCTCCTTATGTAGAGATGTAGAGACTAATAAATGAATACATGCATCAACATCAGTCAAATGCCGGAAATTGAAAAGTTAGGCTTGAAAGAATAGAACCAAATTGTTTGACAAATTGCTTAACGAATTAGAGAAATATTAAAATATTAAATATTAAATTATTTAAAATGATTTAAATAATATTTATTAGTCTAATTTATTAAATTTTTATAACTTAAATTAATTTAAGTTATAAATTAATTAATTTGAGACTAAATGTTAAAGGAGTAGAGCGAAAAAAATTTTCAGGTGTTAAGTGATAAATGATAAAGATAATGGATATTTGAATTCCATTAGAGTTTTTATTTCCATCAAACTGATCAATTTTCAGAAGCTTTTTATAAAAATTGCTGCTGCAATTTATTGTTTAGCACTAGATTTAAAAAATTCTTTTTTCTCAGCTAAAATTCTCAAATTTCTTCAATTTTTCTGATTTATTTGTAAAAATTTTCGACCAAAAACTTTAAGTTGCTTAAAAATAAAAATCAAAATAATTCTTTCTACTTGTTGGTTTAAAATTAAGAAATTTCAGAAAATCATCCCTTGTAATCCAACAGACAATTTATTCAGTCACGATTAACAAATTATCAAGAAAACGATTTGATTAAATCTGAATTTGAAGCATGCAAAAAAAATTCTGCAAATTGTTGAGCGGCGTAATGCTTTGGCCAAAATCAAGCATCATGAGGTCGATTCCTGTCTCCTGGTGAATAAACTGTCTATAAAGATGGAACCCGGATGGCACCAAGGTCTATTTATGTCTATTTCCAATTGATTCCTTAGCAAAACAGTCTCATTCAGATAATCAATGTAAATCAGCCAAACCAGAAACGGCGAATACTGTTATATCGGAAAGACAAAAAATACATGAAAAGATTTGCAAAAAAACTAAGGCTGTGATATAAAAAAAAACTAATTTGCCGGAATCTTTTCAAATAAAATGAAATTTTTTTCTATTTTACGACCACTTCTTGTTACGATTAAATTTCCGCAATAAATAATTTCTTCAAATTCTTTTTAAAATAAAATTTTCGTTGAAGAGTTTTTGCATATTCATTTTGGAGTTAATATGTGTCATAAGCATTTTTTTCACAAGATTTTTTCGTGAAACGCTTCCGGAAAAATCCAAAAATGATTTTTCTTGAAATAGTTTTAAAAAATACCATATAAACAGATAATTTTAGGAAATTTCATTACTTTCATTACATATAAATTATAAAACGAGTGGTGCTTCTTGGAAATGAACTAATTCAGCCATTTTATTCGGTATTCGAATAAGCTCATCAAGTTTTAACCATCCGTCACGATTTATATCAATATATGTGAAAGCTCTTAGCACATCGTCCTCCGACACCTAAATAATGTCAAATTTCCAACATTTTTTAAAAAATAACTTAAGAAAATTTGATAAATTTAGTTTTAGCCATACTTTTCAGTAGATATTTTTACCTTTGCATTGATATTGGCAAAAGCGTGAATTTCCTGGATGCTAAGCCGTCGGTCACTATTTTGATCGATTAAAGAAATTAGTCGTTGGGCCAGTTCTCCATTCCGTTCTTCCTTAAGTGAATTATAACAGACTATATTTCTTATGCTTTTGCTTTTACCATTTAACATATCAGTTCCATCAAAACTTAATTTTTTTTGCCTAAGCCGCCAGTTATAATTACTGGTTGCCGTGCAATTATACAGTAACAAAGTGGTGAAAATTTCAATCTTAATCAGCTCTATAAAATTCACATATCGAAAGTCACTAAAATTTAAAATTGGGAAAAAATTTGGTATTTCCAAACTAAACTAAAAAATTTTTTTTAAATTTTTAAAATTATTGAAGTGATAGAAGACTATTTTTACTAAGACTATTAAGACTATTTTTATTACTACTATTGTTATTGAAATGTTTTCTTATTTAGAATTTACTATTATTTGTTACTATCATTTACCATTTACCATTACTATCATATCGTAGCATTTTTACCATTATTATTTCTACCTGTGTTTTCGGTTTTCCATAAATTGCACGACTCTCAGCTGCATTTATAAATTCACTCATCGTGATTTTACCATCACGATTAGTATCAGCAATCTCAAAAATGCCATCAATAATACCACTTGATACGTCCTTTTCATAACGTTTCGCTTCATCGCGTGTAAGAATGCCGTCTCCATTCAGATCAATTTTCTAAATCGTACTTTCATTTCTGAAGGTTTAATCTTTTAAAATTTTGAAGATGTATAGACTGATATATTTCAATAGGTTGGCGGTTAATAGGATTTTTTTAAAAAAGCATTTCGTCTCTAAAAAATCTCTTCAGTGTTCATGAAAGCTATCAATATTTCGAGAAGTTAAAGAATATTCTCGACATTCCTTTGAGAGATGCAGGGATGGTCGAGTAGAGAGCCGTTCGCTTCAATCGGATCACAAATCTGATTGCCTGATCCTGACAGGAGTGCATCCAAGTGACTCCGTGCCATTAATTTCTAATCGTATTAACAGCTAGCTAGCTGAGGTAATGACTAACCAGAAATGTTGAGTGGTAGCACTAATCACTTATATTTTTTAGAATAACCTTGAAAACTTGTTCAGTCTGATGCCTCGGTTGCATTGAAAGTGTAAATGCAAGGGGAACAAATTCAGAAATATTCAAAATCGAGTCCGAATTCTTATCGTGTTTTTGAAATAAGATTTTAATTTTTCGTTCATCGATATTTTTATCACGATTCTTACTCCATTGTTCGAATTCATTATAAGATATTCTTCCGTCATCGTTTATATCAATTTGCTCAAAACGAATTACTGAAATGCTACCAATAAAAATTTTGAAATTTCAACGAATCATAAAAATTTATTTTTGTTAGATGAACGAAGAAAGTGATTAATGGTTAATCTATAAAATTATTTCATTTGGTGGCGAGGCTTCCATCTTTCACGAAAGCGTGAACCCTAATAGCCATCTTCCATAGAAGTGATGCGAAACTACTGAAATCCGGAAATAAAGAATAAAAAATAATTTTCATACCTTCGGATTCACAATCTATAAAAATGATGGAAATATACATTAGTAGAAGAATCCGATGAAGCATTGCAAATTTTCTAAAAATTTTATGGTAATTTAATGAAAAAATGTTTTTTCTGGTCACAGCCGGTCAAAATCACAATTATATGAACTAATTAAAAAAATTACATTTGGAAATATTCTTTTATACTCTTTACTGATAGGAATGACTTATATAAAAGTGCAACCATCTGTCCAAATATTTAAAATGCTCGTTGGGATGGGGCAATGTGCCGGGAAAGATGGTGAATGAGGATTTTTTGGGGGGAAAAAATGCATAAATTTAGGAAATTAATTTTGAAAATATAAGTTTAATGAGTTTTGATGCACTGCGAACGGTCATGTCTGGGTTTTAAGTTCTGTAGCCCAGTTGAGCTTCTTATTCCACTTTTAAGAAATTCATTTCTATTAATAAAATAATAAAACAACAATATGAATTAATCTATATCGTTTCTTTTCTATAACATTTAATCTATAAAATTTCTTTTTTTTTAGGAGTCTTCATTATTACTGGTCAGACTTATTCGCCTGGCTTATCGTATTAGACAAATATACCAGGAAGTCTATTGGCAGTAGAAGTACAGGTAAGCCGCAAGCATCAATCGGATTTTTGGACAAGTTTAACCCTGCAGGAAGCAGAACCCCAGCTTTCGTACACCAAATTAAACAACAACCCACTAAGCCATTCTTTGATAATATTGTGAAAAACGGATACAAATGTCTTCAAATAGAAAATTTAAGCAGTGAAAAAAGTTATGACAGCGTTTAAATCGTTTTTGCATCAAATTAAAAACATTGATACACATATAACACAAATAAGCTCTTTTAATTTGATTAGTCGAACAAAGTTTAAATAAATTAAAAAAAGGGTTTTTCACCATGAAATCGGTTGCAATGGTGAGTGGAGCCATTTAAATAGGGTTGTTTCTTATTTCGTATAAAAAATGTCATTGAACAGCGAAACCGGAGATATTATTAAGTGTTGCTGAATTTCAATAGCGATCGTGTGCCGTGCCTTGCCTTCCTTCATTTATTCATTATACCTTTAGGCATAAAACCGGATTTTATTCAAAATTATTTCTATACGAGTTTCCTTTCCCTTAGCAAATTTTCATTTATAAATGATCAATTATATTTAAATTTTTATTTAAAATAATAAGTATGCATTTTTTTAAAATTTAGAAAATGTTTACTTAAAATTTAATTATTCTTAGCAAATTTTTTATTAATTGAAGATTTAAAATCACAGAATAATTTGGTTTATCAACAAAAAGGAACGTAATAAAAATAACATGAATTATATTTCGTGCTTATTTCTTTTCTTTCTCATGTTAGACTTCTGAGTGTTTACTTCACGGAATCGCTAACTTGTGGATTTCACAGAGAGAATTTTCGAGGAAAACAACATATTTCAAGAGTTTTTATCCGATATCCTTAGAAGTTTTAGAAATTTTAGAAAACACTATTCAAATATTTCAAAATTCATTAAAAATTTTTAATTTTTGGATATTTAAAATCTAAAATTTTTTGAACATTTGTGTTCAAAGAATCGGAACTATTGAATCATTTTGTCGTTAATAAAATTCGAGATTTTTTAAATCCAAGCTTTTTGATCCGATGATGAATCAGTAAAGAAACATAAAAACAGCTTTTAATTATCCCAGATTTTGACAGAAATCAAACCTAACACAAGACACAAGCCTAAGTTTTATAATCGTCAAAGAGTAAAAGCCGAGTCACTTCTTCAACTGAGATTTCAAGCAACTTGTTATGATTACACTTTGCCTCCATTCTTTGGCTATTGAATATTTTTAGTTTAATATTAAACAAATAGTTTTTGTTAAAAAAAAAGCACAGTGCGATTTACTTTAAATCATTTATATTTTTTCATCCAAAAAAATGAAAAAACAAAATTCTCAATTTATTTATAATATTGCGATTTTTTTTAAAGATCCTCACCATTACTGGTTAAACTCGCTCCATTGGCTTGTCGCATTGAGCAATATGCCAACGAGTTCCTTGGCGATAGAAATATAGATGAATAACCAGCATTAGCCGGATTTTTGGACATGTTCACTCCTACCGGAATCGAGCCGCACCATCGCCGCTCCCAATCGAGAAACAACCCACTGAGCCATTCTATCCTTTAATATTGCGATTTGGATCCTTTGGAATTCGAATTGGTCCGTAACCAAATTATATGAAAAAATTGGTTTTTTTCACAATTACCTGAAGATTCACAATATAAAGAGATGGATTATTTGTTTGCCAGCGTATTTAACAAAAAAGTTAGAGAAAGAATAGGTTTGAGCTTAGAATTCACCTGGAATTCAAATTTCGAGGAGAACTTTAAAGTAAAAATCGGTTTTATCAAATGCATTGATTTTAAAATAAAAGACGAGTAGAGAAATTTCCAAAAATTGCTTCGATTACTGGCAACATGGATTTAAAAAAAAAAAATGAAATAGAAAAACAAAAAAATCTATAAGCAGTGGCCTAAGCCTAATAACTGCTGGCTGGCTGCTGACTGTTCAAGACTGTACCTTTGAAGAGCAACTCTTATTGGTTCAAATCGCTTCAAAAACTACTGATACAATACCTTATCATTATCGTATCGATCGTGTTATAAGCAGTGGTCTCGATGATTAATGTTAAAGAGCTTTTCGGTTTATCATCTAATAAAAGAACTCCTGAAAAAATTTTTCTAGGTAGTGGTAATTTTATAAAAAGATTATTCGAAAACTCCTATCTTGAGATTGGCGCAGATGCTGAGGTTCCGTTTCCCGCTAGAGTGAATCTGTGCAAAAATCCGGATGATGCTGGCGACTCACTTGTATTTCTATCGCCAAGGGACTTCCCGGCATATTTTTCCAATGCAACAAGACAACGGAGCGAATTTAACCAGCACTGGTGGGGACTCTTTAAAAAAAATCTTAAGATTCGCAAAAAAGAAAGAAAATACGTTGACATAGGTTCTTTCTTAAATTAACTTAACTTAAATTATATGTTAACTTCACATCATTTTAGATTTTATGTAATCTTTATTTGATCTCTGCAATATTTCCAGTTTAGATTCGTCTTTATTGCAAATTCTGCGTCCAAAATTTTGGTTCCCTCGTGTTCCTCAAAAAAAAATCGGTAGAAGATGCAGTTGTTGCAATATTCACTTTTAATCGAACTTTTCATAAGAAAAATTTTTATTTGTTCATATTTTCACCATTTTTCACCACATTTGCCGGAAATTCCGAAACAATTGTATTGCAAAATTATTCAGAAATAATTGCATCATAATATTATAAATTATGAAATTATTTTTATCGTTTGCTAGTTTTCATTGCTTCGTTGGATCTTCGTTTGTCGTTTGCTTAGGCCAATTTTTCATTATTTTACTCCATTTTGCCATATTTTAGGGTCGTTTTTTCATCTGTTGATTTGCTCGTATTTGATGTTCAACATTGGCTTCAATCTCATAAATCTGCTTTTTCTAAATTTGCTTATAAATGTTATTGTTTCGCACATGGTTTTAATCGTATTGTTATTTGGAAAGTAATAAAAATTTCAACGATTTGTAAATTCTGAAATCAAATCAAATCGTGAAACCATCGACGAGTACGTAAGTCACTCCTTTCAAATATTTTCGCCATCTGAATTTAACCAAAACTTTTCACGACAACATTCATGGAGGAACATTTTGTGAATGAATACGCCTCAGCTTTCATTGCTGCAGAAGCATTGTCACCGCAGATGTGAAGTGGAGGATAATGCGATCCACTCGCGAATATTTCCTTAATCGTCCCAAGCAAAATTCAAAATCCTTGTAGCGAAATCTATGATGTTTAAAGCGACCGTCGTTTGGTTCCATCGTCGTTTCCTCCACTATAATTAGACTGGTTTTTCTAAAAATATTACTCGTCGTCTCGTTCGTGGGACAAGAAATAATTCATTCAAATAATTTTTAAGAAAATCATTATTAATCACATCTTAGCTGAGCTATTTTACGGATCATCTTAGCTGGACTATTTTACGGATCATCCTAACTGAGCTATTTTGCGGATAATCCTAACTGAACTATTTTATGGATCATTCTGGCAATCCTAAAGTTATTAAACAAGGCACAGCGAGGAAATTCTGTTGGCCAGGGAAATCAATCCGATTCCTTTAATAAATGGAAGTGTCTGCAAAATTTTCTGGATTCAATCACCTAACAAACGATTCCAGATGCTATTAGAATTCACAAAAATCTTCGAATTCGTAGGGCCGTAAAACATTGATCGCCTGGCCGCGGCTGCTATCGTTGTTTCTCAATGAATTTCTTTTAAATTGTTCACATTTCATTTTCATTTTATTAAATTGTTCGATTAAAGAATTTTTGTGAAATTAATAGAAATAAAAATTAGTTAATAGAAATTAACGGAAATGGAAATTGATTAATAAGATTTTTTTCCTCCAAATTTTCTATTTTTAAATATTTAAATATTTATTTTTAAATATTATTTTTAAATATTTAATTGACAAAAATATTCAAATATTCAAATTATTTAAAATATTCAAATTTTTGTAATAATTAAATAATTCCCTTTTGTTTTATAATTTTTATTTAATTTTTTCGAAATAATTTTTAAATTATTCGTCCGCCTTACTTTTTTGAGGCCCACTTTTCACTTTATGCGGCCCTCGTTGTTTCTTTCAATTGGCTGCCGTCTCTGCGATCAATCGCTGTGTACGAACGGGAGAGTCAGCGAGAGACGGAGGGCGACGGACGGAAATGAGAGGCCCTCAGTTGGTCCATTGCACCACGCGAGTTTCGTAGCAGCGAAGGGCCGATGCTCGAACCGAAAATCTAAGCAGTTTACCACGCAGCCAAATTCCGCACCGAAGAGTCGCATGCATTGCGACTCTTTGCAGTTGATTATTTCTCGAAGAAGGCGATTTTTTTAAGGAAATGGCATCTTTTCGCGCAAAGAAAAAGAAATCAACGAAGGATTATTCAAATGAATTGCAAAAACGAATAATTCGTAAAAAATTACGCAAAGGAAATATCGACGATTCGTGGCGCAGAAGTTCGTTTCATTTAAATTAACTAAAATAAAAAAGAATTTAAGGAGGCAAAGAATTTTATTGGATGCAAACAATTAAAATTTAATAAATCACTGAGAGATTTTTCGAATTTTTTATGGAAAACTTGTAAAAAAAATAAAAATTATTCCGAATTGGAAGTCAGAAATTTTCGAGTTATATGGTTCGAATTGGAGTTAATTTATTATCGCATTGCTTATTGCATAAATATTCGCCCGGTGAAGAGCCGAATTTCTGTCCATTATCGTGAGCCTCTCGGCTTTAATATTCGCCTCAGAAATCTTTGCATTGCTTCGTTACTGCGATGCCAAGTTTAAATTTTACTCCTTAAGAGTTGGCTGTGTCCCTTGTCATCCCCCTCCTTACATTCCCTTCTGACTTCCATCATAACCTCTAATTCTCATGCTGCCATTTTATGATTTATGATTGTAGAATAATTACAAAAGTTAAGGGATAACGATTGGTTAAAGTGGTAGAAAAAAGAAGCTTTGGAGAATTTCAAAGGAGAACTGAATTTTGGTTTAAGAAAAGATATATTTAACAGTATTTCAAGTCGTAAAATATGTATCATTGTGGAGAAATTGATTTAATGTGGACCTTTATCAGTTGTGGGATAGGATGAACGATGATGGCGTATTTACGAGAGAAAGAGGCGGAGTTTGAGGAGAGTATTGGTGAAACATAATGGGAAAGCATCAAGGAAATATAACGTGATATTACCAAGGATAGTACTCAAGGAATATAGCGAGCTGAGAGGAAAGAAGTGTTGAGGTGGTGCTGTGGAACTATAACATTAGACTGGTGCAATGGGTTTTCAGGTATTATTAAAAGAGTCGGAAGATGGAAGAGTCAAGTACCAACTAATCAAATCATCACATTGCCTTTACATCTTCCTATACAAATTGCGTGTTTTATTTACCCGAACTTTGCGTAAAGTTGCGAACAGCATTCGCAACATTTAGGTCATCAATGGGATCAACTTGCTTCATTTCACTGTATGCGGAATAAGCATGTTTCCATTGTAAAATTTATAAAATGCGTATAAAAAGTGTAGCAATGTTACGAACAATATTAGTGATGTTGAATGTTTATGGTCATTCATACTGAAATAGAAATGTTTTCATAGGATGATAAAGTATTTCAACTCATTACAATGGGCTTGGATGAGGTTTCACACAGGTAAAACTAGCATACTATTGTATAGAAATTTCTTTCCATATTTTATTCATTTCACTTCATTTTAATGATAAGACCAATATAGTTTTTGCAAGAGTATTGTTTATCATTTTTTCTTAATTCAAGAGAAAATGGTAAAACGTGCAAAGCGAGAAGAACAAGTGATATACAATTTAGAAATGAAGCAGTCGACCTCGAAAGGAGAATTATCTCAAAGTCTTACTGAATCAGCGAATCATTTAACTGGGAATCACAGTAATTTTTTTCACATTTTTCTATCAATTTTTGTTAAAAATTATTTCATTGGATTTGCATCGACTAAATGAAAATTATTTCTCGTTTTTTGCTTTCTCAATATATTTTTATTTTAGGGAAATTTTATAAGCTGAGTATCGCTTTGCCTGGATCGATTCTAAATAATGCGCAAACTATGGAATTGCGAACTTATTTAGCAGGACAAGTACAATTCATTTCATTCTGTTTACTTCACACTTATGCTTTTTATGCTTTTTACATATCTTTTGCTTTTTCTTTTTATTTGCGAACTGTATAAAGGGGAAGTCCTCATCATTATAATTATATTAGCATTTTTTTCTAAAAATGCTCACCATTTCTGGTTAGGCTGGCCACTGGTTTGTCACGAATTTTGTAGTCTCTTGGCGGTAGAATTGGTGGTGATTCCAGCATCGGCCAGTTTTTTGAAGTTCACTCCTGGAGTTGCGTCGATCTCTGGAAATAGCAAACCTACTGAATCATTGCACTCTATCTCCAGTAGTAGTGGGTGATAGGAAAAAATATCCATTAAAATTAAAATTATTATTTATTTTTTTGTCTAGATTGCTCGAGCTGCAGCAATATTTTGCGTCGATGAGATTATTATTTTTGATGATACGGCTCGAATGACCTCTGAGTTTGTTTTTTGGTTTGAAATTTTTTTTACAAAATGTTGTTATTCTTTTAATTTGATTTTAAGGCTGATTTTTGATCTTTCTCATATTTTATGTTTCGAGACACGTATTTTTCTGGGTCATGGATTGGCTCTACTTCAATTCAACAAGGTCTTGAGTGTAATTTCCAGTTAGCAAAAATTCTTGAATATCTGGAATGTCCTCAGTATTTACGAAAGGCTGCTTTCCCACTACAAAACGCATTGAAATACTGCGGTATTCCATTCTTTCTTTCTCATTTTTTTTGTTATGACTATGAGTAAGAAAACCCTTCACAATTACTAGTAGAAAAAGCGAGGAATAGGAAGAATATTTCACAATGAAGGAACAAATAATGAGTATAATATAAGATATAAAATATGATATAGTTATTTTATTGATGTTACTCACATTTTGGTGGATGCAGTTGCCTTTTTTAGCGGGCAGTGTAGATGATAAGTTAAATTTCATCTTATATATATATATATATATTACTTTGTTAATTATGAATTAATGAATACATAAATTTGTCTTATTAACTCTTATTCCATAGGTATTTTGAACCCACTTGATTCTATCCATCATTTGCGGCAAGATGACCTTCATATGCCTTACCGTGAAGGCATTGTGTTGGACAAGCCTGTTAAGAAAGGTCGAGGACCATTTTGTTACGTTGGACTTAAAAAAGTTTGTATTTCTGGAATGTATTTTTTCTTTAGAAATAGTTTTCTTTTGTAATTTAAATTTATTAAGACGTAGTTTTTTCTTTAATTCTACTTTTTAAGTTATAAAATGAGTCAAATTGATCAAATTGAGTCAAATATCGAGCTTATTGATATATCGTTTCGATTTATTTTATGTTTATTTTTGTTACATTATAGGAAGTTCAGCTTGATTCTGAAATTAATTTGCCTCCAGGAACTCGAGTTACTGTCAAAATTGCGGATTTTTCGTCCGGTAACTTTTTATTACTACCTGTTTTTTACCAATCAAATGCTCTATGTTTCATGATTATTATTTTTTTGATAGTGAATTTTATAGAAATGAAAAATTTTCGTGGTTCATTAACTAGTCCAGCGAAAATCCGGAGTGAAGCTGGTTTGTACTGGGGCTACAAAGTTCATTTGGCGCTTAGTTTGAATGATGCCGTCCACGTTAAACGTTATGATGTCATAATTGGAACATCAGACAAGGGTGATCCAATCGAGAAGTTTACCTTGCCTCTAGGGGAAAAAAAGTGAGTAAATTTTTGAAAATCGAATTTATACTTATGTTTCACAGTAAAATTAAATATTTTGCATTATAGTGATATTCTTATCGTTTTCGGAGGTTTGGAAGGTCTGGAAGCAGCAATAGATGCCGATGAAAGTATTGAAACTAATGACCCTGCTCAGTTCTTCGATTTTTATTTAAATGCAGTGCCAGATCAGGGTAGTCGTACGATACGAACTGAAGAGGCTATTCCAATAAGTCTTACGGCTTTAAAAATGAAGTTGGATTCTTAAGAAAACGTACATTTCCTGAATAATATCATTAATTATTTTTCTAAATTAATTGTTTATTATTTATTTTTCATTGTCAATTGTAATGATGTTATTTCATGAGTTTAGCTGCATTTGGTTGTATTTAGGCCTACATTATCCAGTTTAACAGATTATTCTTCTTTGGATGGTGATCTCTTGGTAAACATTTTTTTAAATTAATGTTTAAAGAATCATATAAAAAATTGGCTTTAAATGCCACGTTTTCTTTTTCAAAAGTTTCTTTTTGGCATAAAACAGTGAGGTTTGACATATCCAGATCGTTTATAATTTCCTAAAGATTTATAAAATAAAGCAAAATAAAGTGATTTTAGGATAATTGCCATTTTCTTGAAAAAATTTGATTTTCGAACAGGCTGGATGATTGGTCCTTTTTTTTCGGTGGGAGGGAAAGCTTTTGTTTCACTCTACAAAAATGTGACAAAGAAATCAGGAAATTTACGTTGTATAGCGGTATTTTTATTTTTTTGAATTTTCGAAATTTTCATTCGGAAATTTTAATTTTGGATTTGGCTCGGTTTTTTTATTTGAAGTGATAAATGGTTATGAGAAAGAACATGTTATTATTTTCATGATCAAATTCAAACATTCAAAATTCAAACATTGAAAAATCTTAATTGCAGTTTTTTTGGGTTCTTTAAATTTGCAGTGTTTGAGTGTTTTACGCACATCAGTTCGATTTCACAGCTCAGAAATTTCTATATTAAGTCGTACAGCTCGTTTTTTTCTAAAATGGCTTGCTGCTGGCGTTTTGACCGGTGGTTCTGGCATTTTCGCATATAGTGTATTTCGAGCTGATGCAAGATTGCGAAACGATGAGTACTATTACTGGGATTGGAAAGTAGATTTTCTTAACGACCTTTGCTTACTATTTGAATTTTTTGATGGTTGAAGAGATATCCATATATTCTTTGAAATAGTAAAGAAATTACCAGTAGTGAAATAAGCTTTTAAGAGAAGGAATAACTTTTTATCCTTCAAAAGTGAGCTTAAATTTATCTACCTCTTGCTAAATCCTTCAGTTACGTATTTATTGTTCACTGCCATTCAATGCGCTTTCACGAATTACTGGTGGTTTAGCAAGTGTTTATATCCCTGTTTGGTTACGAAAGCCACTCATTGGTTTGATTTTCTCATCTTTTTATAGTCATTCTTTCAGCTTTTTGTTCAGTGAATTATTTTACTTTTTTCCTTCTGCCGTCTTTTTCAGGAACCTATGTTCGCACATATAATTGTAGAATGGACGAAGCAGTAATTGAGGATATATGCGCCTATCAAACATTTGCTGCATTTTTTAATCGCAAGCTTAAAACTTTACTCAGGCCTATAAGTGATGCATCTTTGGTGATGTCAATTTTATTCGTTTTATCTTACGCACTTTAAATTTTATCTTCTTAAAAATAGTTTAGTTTCATTGGCAACTACTACTATATTGCTGTATAATGTAATCATAGCGATTATCTATTTTAGGTTTCACCTGCTGATGGAATCATTGTTCATTGTGGCAAAATAAATAATGATAAAATCGAATTTGTGAAAGGTCGCCATTATTCTCTCGAAGAATTCCTAGGTTTATCGAGGGTGAACGCAAGTGAGGTCATTTTACAATATTTATAAATATATAGTTATATTTTGTACATATATATATTTGAAATTCTTTAATTTGACTTGTATTTTGGGTATTTTTTCTAAATTTCTTGCATTATAAAGCAAAATGATTTTTTGGGCAAAATGCTTTTCCTTTGCTTACAGAATTTTTATAAATATTGAATATCGCAATTGCATATTGACAAATATTGAACAATCGTTATATAAATAATTTTGTTCTGTTATATAAATAATTATAAATAATTTTCTTTTCAATTTTTTACATCTTTTCCCATTATCTACTGTATAGGTATTTTATTGGTATCTTCATCATAATTTGCATTAATATTTATTTTTAGGATGGTTGTGATTTATACCAAATGGTTATTTATTTAGCTCCTGGTAATTATCATGGATTCCATGCACCTGCAGAATGGATTACTGAGTATCACATACATCATCCTGGTTTTTTTAAAAAATTATGTTAAATCAATAAGCAAATGATTTAGCATATAGCAAAATCTCTTAATTTTTTCATTTAATTTCTTTTTCTTCAATTCAGGGCTACTTTTATCTGTTCGCCCAAATTTATTGCAACGTCTTCCGATTTTGTTTTGTTTAAATGAAAGAGTTGTACTGAATGGGCAATGGAAACATGGTTTCTTTTCTATGATCGCTGTTGCTGCTTCCAACGTTGGTGACATCAGTATTGAAGGAGTAACTTGAATTTCTTTAAATTTTTAATTTTTTTGATTCACTAGTGTTATTCAATAAAATCGTCAACATTATTACTTTCTGGGATTTTCCCCCTTTCTAACATCCAGGAAAATTCGCATAATTCCAAAACATCGCGATGGGTAATCAAAACAAAAGGAATTCACTTTTCAGGATTCAGAACTGCCTGCAAAGTCAAACCATTTTCTGAGAAAGGATAATTCATCCTTAAAAAATAGTTTTGAGCGTATTTACTCACGCGGTGAAAAAGTGGGTGAATTCCGACTCGGATCATCCATTATTTTGGTTTGTTCTTTAGGTTTTCCCTTTGTGTTTAATTAACATTTTATGATTTTCTGAAAATTTCCGTTTTAGATTTTTGAAGCTCCTCCAACACTCAAATTTGCTGTAAAAGCTGGTGATAATGTGCGATATGGACAAAGTCTTATAATGGAGGATATATGAATCTTCGATACTTCTCGCCTCTTTATTGTTAAATTAATTTAACAATTTAATTAAGTTAATTTATTTCTGTGAAATTGATAAAATAATTTATAGCAAATCAAAATTTGTTGAAATAACTCTATTTATATAAGAATATAGTGAATAAATTTTCCTGTATGTTAAAGTTAAAATTTTTTTATAAATTTATGAATTAAATTTATAATAAATATAAGGAATTGATAAATGTAAATGTCCTGATTCCATAAAATTTTTTCATGCTCATTTTTTAAGATTTATTTCGGATTTTCGCAGTTCCAGCATTGCTGCGTATATTGATGGTTTATAGTGATTTTATTCTGGAACAATTAATTAGGAAATGAATTTGAGAAGTTTAATATGAACTATATTATTCAAATGAACTATATTATTTATATATTATTTATAAAATAGTTTACAACAATTTTGGGGCGAACGTTGCAGCAATCATATCGTTTAATCATAATTCATCTTTTTAGCTACCTTCTGAATTCATGAATTCATGTTCATATTTTAATGGTGAGGTGGTCGTACAATGGTTGCATTAAATATATTAAGAAGACTAAAGCGATTTTTTTGTGAATTGCTTGTAAATGCATTAAAATTTATAAATGTTAATACTTTTAATAAAAGCTTAGGAAAAAATTTGGGATAGTTGGCTGCAGCCAAAGACGTTTTTTAGATATTTCATTTTTGCATGAATTTCTGTTCAATATGATGAAAAGTCATAAAAGTTGATTTGTTGCAAAAGATCCATTCAGATTTTTATTTGAAAAAGACAAATGTATATGAAATAGAATGTATTAAATATCAATATATTAAATATCAAATTATGCAGATTTTTTTCCAAAAAATTAGCGAAATCAAATAGAATATTCAATAAAAAATAAGAATATATGGTCGAGTCGAATAAATACTTCTCTACTTTCAAGAAAAGATCAAAAATATAATTCAAAAATTTGATGATTTTGATTTCACTCAGTCATTAACTTCATTAACTGAAATATTGAAATAGGTCCTTTGTTTCACGTTTATTACGGTTAGAATTTGAACCGTCCTGGTGATCTACTGGATTAACACGGAAACGAAATTGCTGGCCCTCATCGTTTTTTGTTTCACGTTTATTGCGGTTAGAATTTGAACCGTCCTGGTGATCTACTGGATTAACACGGAAACGAAATTGCTGGTCTTCGTCGTTTTTTGTTTCACGTTTATTACGATTAGAATTTGAACCGTCCTGGTGATCTACTGGATTAACACGGAAACGAAATTGCTGGTCTTCGTCGTTTTTTGTTTCACGTTTATTACGATTAGAATTTGAACCGTCCTGGTGATCTACTGGATTAACACGGAAACGAAATTGCTGGTCTTCGTCGTTTTTTGTTTCACGTTTATTACGATTAGAATTTGAACCGTCCTGGTGATCTACTGGATTAACACGGAAACGAAATTGCTGGTCTTCGTCGTTTTTTGTTTCACGTTTATTACGATTAGAATTTGAACCGTCCTGGTGATTTACTGGATTAACACGGAAACGAAATTGCTGGTCTTCGTCGTTTTTTGTTTCACGTTTATTACGATTAGAATTTGAACCGTCCTGGTGATCTTCTGGATTAACACGGAAACGAAATTGCTGGTCTTCGTCGTTTTTTGTTTCACGTTTATTACGATTAGAATTTGAACCGTCCTGGTGATCTACTGGATTAACACGGAAACGAAATTGCTGGTCTTCGTCGTTTTTTGTTTCACGTTTATTACGATTAGAATTTGAACCGTCCTGATGATCTACTGGATTAACACGGAAACGAAATTGCTGGTCTTCGTCGTTTTTTGTTTCACGTTTATTGCGGTTAGAATTTGAACCGTCCTGGTGATCTACTGGATTAACACGGAAACGAAATTGCTGGTCTTCGTCGTTTTTTGTTTCACGTTTATTGCGGTTAGAATTTGAACCGTCCTGATGATCTACTGGATTAACACGGAAACGAAATTGCTGGTCTTCGTCGTTTTTTGTTTCACGTTTATTACGGTTAGAATTTGAACCATCCTGATGATCTACAGGATTAAGATCGTCATCTGAATTCAGATTTTAATGGTTACGTGGTCGATTACAACTCACATGAATTTCTGTTCAGTGAAATGAAATTTGTTTATTTAATCGCATTGTTAGTCACAAAAATTAAATCTGTGCATATGCTTAATAAATTATAAAATGGAAATTGGCATTAACCACGTGTTTGATCATTTTTTTCACATGGCAACAACAGAATTCACCGAACGATCAAACATCGTAGAATTTTTGAAATTTTATGGAAATCAGATTCAGCTATTGGCTAAATTTTGGTTAACAATGAAATTATATTATATGTGAAATTATAAAATCTTAAAAATTCTCCGAATGTTTGGTGTTTTCAGTCTTAATGCATTTTCTATAATGCAAAACCTCATAGATAATAATAAATAATTAGATAATAAACATAAACAATAAATAATATTGCATAAAATAAACGTTGAGAACGGAAGCCTTTTGGAGAGCGCCTTAAGTGCCAGTGGCAGCACTGGTGCGAGCTATTCGAAGAGATCAAACGAAAAAATGATTTTTAAAAATAAGTATGTATTCTGATTTTTGCCAGAAATATTTATCGGCATCTTATGAAATTTATGTTCAGTGCTTATCGTATAGCACAGCTCGATATAAAAGACATTATCTGTTAAAATATTAGAAAAGTAACTCTAATTTCAGAAAAAGTAATAGAAGTAATCATGCATATTTTTATATAATTTTGAAAATTCAGTAGTAAGGATGAAAATTCATCATAATCTCACTGGAAAATGATGCGAAATTACGGATGACGCATCATAGTACGCTCAATTCGAGCGAAATCCCTACAAAATTCGCCATGTATAAATTCAGAACGCACCTCACAAATTATCGAATTCTGCCCGGTTGAATTCTGCCTGCAGCAGTGTTCTCGATTTCATAAAATTTATTTTGTTCGCCTGTTTTTTTCGTTATTTTCTTATAAAATCCCTCAGTAATAAAGTTAATCATGGTGATCAAATTTAATAATTATAGCTCATGCACCAATTACTCTTTCTTGCTTTTTCTCAGATTTTTCGTGAGGTTTGAATAAAACAAAAATTCAACAACACTAAATCCCTATGGTCCCTAAATTTTGGGAAGGTTAAAAACTTTTCACTCATTCAGATACATAACGGGCGCCTTTTCAACGGATTCACTAATATAGGGCAATCGAACCCATTTCTTCCAATATGATAAATAAAAAGTCACCATTTACTTGAAATAGAAATGAAAAAAGAATCCATAATGAATTTCAACGCACTTTACATAGATCATACCTTAGAAGGTGATTCTTCAAGTGGCAAACAAAAATTTCAAAAAATATGAAAATCAAGAAGGGAAAAAAGAGGGAAGAGGAAAGTTTTTAGTATTGAAGCGTAAAGCACTTTTGGTACTTTGCAATTATTCTATTGTTTCAATATAAGTTAAGAACCGAAACCCAAGTCCATATAGAATGAATGTACAAAACTTCTTGAAAATAAAATTTGCGATAGGAAAATAATAAGTACCATAACGAACTGCAAAATTTTTGTTGGAGGAAGGATGAAAATTTTATCTTTGCCCACTTATCTGAAATTAATATTTTTAAAGCGTTTTAGGAATTAAAAAATTTTTTTGCTTTATTAATGGTCGAATATTATTATATTATCTTCTATACTTTTCAGAACAAATTTAATTGCACATTTCCACGTCGATTTCCAGAAAATTTGCAACAAAAGATATTAGAAAATCATACAAAAATCCGTAATGTTCACACATACATTACTGCTCGTTATAGCCTCATTTCAAATAACAGTACAGGTGAAATTATTAATGCTACAAAGCAAACTCGACTTTTATCGTTTTATTAAACATTAGCAGAAAATGAGAATTTGCATTATATTACCAATTACTTCACCAAATACTTCAAATTTCAGTTTTCTCAGTACGAATTCGATAGAAGATTGAGAGGATTGAACGTTCAGCCAGGAAATATCTTTAATAGCGATTACGAAAATCAGCAATTTCGTTTCCGTGTTAATCCAGTAGATCACCAGGACGGTTCAAATTCTAATCGTAATAAACGTGAAACAAAAAACGACGAAGACCAGCAATTTCGTTTCCGTGTTAATCCAGTAGATCACCAGGACGGTTCAAATTCTAATCGTAATAAACGTGAAACAAAAAACGACGAAGACCAGCAATTTCGTTTCCGTGATAATCCAGTAGATCACCAGGACGGTTCAAATTCTAATCGTAATAAACGTGAAACAAAAAACGACGAAGACCAGCAATTTCGTTTCCGTGTTAATCCAGTAGATCATCAGGACGGTTCAAATTCTAATCGTAATAAACGTGAAACAAAAAACGACGAAGACCAGCAATTTCGTTTCCGTGTTAATCCAGTAGATCACCAGGACGGTTCAAATTCTAACCGTAATAAACGTGAAACAAAGGACCTATTTCAATATTTCAGTTAATGAAGTTAATGACTGAGTGAAATCAAAATCATCAAATTTTTGAATTATATTTTTGATCTTTTCTTGAAAGTAGAGAAGTATTTATTCGACTCGACCATATATTCTTATTTTTTATTGAATATTCTATTTGATTTCGCTAATTTTTTGGAAAAAAATCTGCATAATTTGATATTTAATATATTGATATTTAATACATTCTATTTCATATACATTTGTCTTTTTCAAATAAAAATCTGAATGGATCTTTTGCAACAAATCAACTTTTATGACTTTTCATCATATTGAACAGAAATTCATGCAAAAATGAAATATCTAAAAAACGTCTTTGGCTGCAGCCAACTATCCCAAATTTTTTCCTAAGCTTTTATTAAAAGTATTAACATTTATAAATTTTAATGCATTTACAAGCAATTCACAAAAAAATCGCTTTAGTCTTCTTAATATATTTAATGCATCCATTGTACGACCACCTCACCATTAAAATATGAACATGAATTCATGAATTCAGAAGGTAGCTAAAAAGATGAATTATGATTAAACGATATGATTGCTGCAACGTTCGCCCCAAAATTGTTGTAAACTATTTTATAAATAATATATAAATAATATAGTTCATTTGAATAATATAGTTCATATTAAACTTCTCAAATTCATTTCCTAATTAATTGTTCCAGAATAAAATCACTATAAACCATCAATATACGCAGCAATGCTGGAACTGCGAAAATCCGAAATAAATCTTAAAAAATGAGCATGAAAAAATTTTATGGAATCAGGACATTTACATTTATCAATTCCTTATATTTATTATAAATTTAATTCATAAATTTATAAAAAAATTTTAACTTTAACATACAGGAAAATTTATTCACTATATTCTTATATAAATAGAGTTATTTCAACAAATTTTGACTAACAATTGTTATAATAATAATTATTCAATTCAATTCTGAGCGCCGATGTGGATTTTCAACTTGCGATAGGAGCAAGCATGTCCAAAAATCTTTGTGCTGAGGGAGTCATCTCTACTTCTATGCGACAGATTTGTGAAGTGAAAAGCAAGGAAACGAGCCTAATCAGTGATGGTGAGAGATCTTAAAATAAACAAAAAATTTTTATTAAGCACACTAATTATTAAAACATATTTTTTCTTTTAAGATCTGAGTACTCCCTGCGTTGGCTTGTTAGACATATATGCAAGGGAGCCCTTGGCGACTTAAGAATTACAGACGGGTAACGAGCTGGACTTATGGGCAGGTTTACTCCTAGCTGGAGTAGAACCTCAGCAGTGAATCTTGTCACTGAGCTACCGATGCATTAACACATTTATTAACACATTTATCATTAACACATTTCATACCAAATTTCGTCTCACGTAAATCGTATGTACCGCAGGATTTAGCTGTTTTAGTCTTCCTTTTTCGTGCTGCTGAACTTGTCTCTAGCAATCATTTATAGATAATTTTTCTCGATTACTCTCATCAATTTAGTTCGAAAACCAAACCTCAAAACCAAAATTTGATGATTTTTTATTTTGCATGGCTTTTTCATTAATAAATTGTGCGAAATAGCGCATTTTCTAGGTTGCAAAAAAAATTAGTACAATATATCGCCTAGGTTTTATTATTCATTTGCAAAATACTGCTAAAATATACACAGTATACAATGTATGCACACAGAATATAAATTCCACAAAAGTACTTGGAAAAACCTGGAAAAGCATTTCATACATCTTATCATATGTAAGGAATAGTATGACCCAGTGGGTAGTCGCGAACATTTTGGAGTGCCGAAGTTGAAGATCTATCCCGCGAAGAGTAAATTATTTTTCAAAAATGCAAGTGGCGGAGATGACCCATCTATCGCCAAGTGATTCCCTGGCAAAACTGGTAGAATTTGCCTGGTCAGACAAGCCAACGAGTCTAACCACAATTGGTACGAAAAGAAATGAAAATCAAAATTATAAAATATATGGAGAAACCGAACTATAAAACAAACAACTTAACTCCAATTTCAGCCAATCGAAAATACAATAAAAATAATCAAATTGATAAACGTTTTAGTTAATATTTACTAGTTGGTAAAAATCAAGCGAAAATCTGTTAAATACTTATTAAAATTATTTACTGAATTGGGAAAATAAAAATTTTCTTTAAAAAATAGCTAAAAATATTGAAAAGAATTCCTAAATTATAAAAAAAAATCAGATAACTTCAATATATAATAAACAATATTTACACCGATATAAAAAAACTAAAGTCACAGCATTCTATAATAAACAATCTCTATCCATACAAACTCAATTAATGATCTAAAATTCTTAGATTTCCTGAAACAATCTTATTTTCTAATATTGTTCCCGGCGCAATATCAATACGATCACCATGATTTGCAAGAATTATTACCGTTCCCTGCAAGAAATGGAAAAAATTAACGTTTAAAAAACTAAAATTGAACTTAAAATCTCTTCAGGAAAAGAAAATACGCTACAAAAATATAAAAATAATTGAACTTCGAAAGTGTAAAGGTTCGATAAAATGAAATGCATGTAGTGCTAGAATCTCTTTTTCTCAGGCGATCTTCTACTACTAATAAAATATTTTGCCAAGCAGGCCTGCGAAGATAAGTGATCTTTCCTATGGATTTTTATAACAAATTGAACATTTTTGTCACTATTAGGAAATTAAATTTTGACTGCTTTCTTGGCAATATAAATTGACCGATTCATTTCGGATAAACACTATAAAATTAATGATTAAAACTAATGCAAAGATTAAAAAGCTTTATATTTTTATTATTTGAAATTGCTCTTCTTCATTTTGAATCATAACTTACTTTTAAAGTCACATCTCTTCCAAACCAAACATCGCCTGAAACAGTGAGGTGGTCGAGCTCAAGCAAATCTGGGATTCCTTGAAATCGTTTAAGAAATTCACTGACCTTTAAAATATTTATTTAAAATTTGTAATAGCGAGAAATTTTGATTTAGATAAAAATCAAGAAATAAATTCCTTCAAAAAAAGTATTCTAACATGTAAACCTTATCAAAGCTGCTACCCAATTTAACAAACGGTGTTGTAGGAAACGAGCGAAGTTTGCTGAGAGTAAGACTGCCACTATTTATATCATATAAGTTCGACATCAATAACAACAAATCCGAAGTTTTTTTTACCGGAAGAAAACGCGAACGAGGCACATTGATCCCTTAATCCAGAAACTGCTAAATGAAAAATCACAATAAAAAGATGCATTATTCAAAAATACAAAATATATTACCACGAGATCCTCTAAAATTTTTTATAGCAGCACCAGCAGCAGTTTCCAGCTGAAGAACATCAATACCACGATCAAGATGTTTTGGATTAACTATTATTTCCAAATCCAATTCTTTGTTTTCAACAACACGCTTTATTGCATCTAATTTCGCCCACAAATTATTGGTATTGAATATTCCAAAAAAAAAGGAAAAATATTAGAAAAATAAACATCGTAAATATTCAAAAGAGCACAAATTATTATTTTTTTTATCTTTGAATCATTATTATCTAAATTATTATCTTTTGAATAATATATTTTAATCAAGACTAGGAAAGGCAAGGAATAACTGAAAATTTGGTTTCATAATTTCAGAAAACTGATGTGGCTGTTAGAAAAAATAATTTATTTGTTATAAACTTTAATTCATTGGATGAACCTGAATTTGCTAACACTTTTAAATTCATCCACATATTCGTTAGGCACTTGTGCTATTTCCAAAAGCATCAAGCGATTTTCATACTGAATAAGTGTACCACCCTGAAAAATTAAGCCAGATTACGAAACTAATCTCAAGGGAATGTCATAATTTATAATCTTGTTAGCAAGAAAAAACTAAAATAATATTTAAAAAATTTTAAAACCTTTATATCAGCTCGAGTTTTGTCGGTAACCTCCATGATAAATTCAAGTTGTTCATCATCTTTTTCTTCCGTTATATAATTAAGTATGTTAAGATCAACTGTTGCTCCCATGTTGTCGATATTTGATAAAAAGCAGAACTAAAAAAATATTAGCCAAATTTTTTTTCAAAAACTGTTATTACAGCACACAAAATGTGTAAAAAAAACCTACTTTTTTGCCTTCATTTAAAAATTTGTCCAACAATCCGGAATTGTAAAAAGATTCATAAAAATTACCATGGCCGGGAGGATACCAGCTAAAACAATCAAATATTAATTGTTTTTTGCATTTTTATTGTTGAAATTAATTAATTAATTAATAATTAAGGAGAAGAAAAAAAACCCTTCAGTATCATTGTCAGTAACATTCTTAACGATTGGCATCATTGATTCCCGGAATATTCTAGGATATCTCGATTGGCAGAACGAATGTACATCGACATGAACGTTTACGTATTTACGCAACAGTCTCTTCGTATCATCGTCAGTGTTAAACGAATTCATAAGCACGAGGGGTACATTAACGTTGTAAGTACGATTTATTTGCTGCAATATTTTTCCACAAAATCAACTGTATATATATATTCTGAGAATGAGGTTGACAATATGCAAAAGATAAAATGATGACTTATCTACCTAAAATCTTACCATTTCCCTACGTCACCTACGGCTCCACTCGAGTCAAAATCGCTTCCTAGTTGGAATTTGTGATTGCACCAATTCTACAATGATTCTGATCAAAAAGAAAAACAGTAAATAATCATAATAATAAAATGAAAAAAAGAAAGACCTGGATTTGTTGTAATGTAAGATCAAGAAACGTAAGATCGTTTCGAACAGCAATAACTGATTTTGGACCTTTGCAACCCATCGATGTACCCAAACCACCATTTAATTTAACAACAACAAGTTGATTTAAACGATCAGCAATAACCTTTTCATCCAAATCAACCGATTTTAACTTTAAAATTTTAATTTAAATCAGTCTATCAGTAAAATTTTAATTCAGATCAGTTCAAATAATTAATAACCTTTTTAATATTTGTTATGGAAAGACAAAAATTATATTTTGTTAATTATACTTATTTTTCATTTTTATAATTTGAATCAACTTTTTTATAAAAAAATTTCAATATTATTCACTTCTTTAATTCGTTTTCTCAAGTAAAAGACCGAGTGAATATTTGCCTTACTTGGTCATAAGAAATTATAGCTTTATCAGGTAGTGGCTGTATTAAGTCCCAATCGATGAAACTTCGTTCTTTCAAATAGCGTTTAAAAAGAATCTTAAAGGCATTCAATTCTTTTTCGATCAACTGAAATAAAAATTAGAATAATATTGAATTTATTAACTTACAAATTTTTCACAAAATCTGAATATACTAAAAGCGATTTTCACCAATCAAAAATATAACTGATTTTTTAAAATTTTAAAAGAATTAATTAATATAATAAAAAGTTGAAATTCTAAATCAAATAATTAATAATATAAAAATTAATAATAGCGGCAATAATAAATGATAACAAATATTGATAAAAATATATTAAATATAATTTATTAATAAAATAAAGGCCAAACCAACATTTCGATTATCTGGTGCAGCTGTTTTTAGCAGATTATCAACTTCTTGTTGCATACCAATAAGAGTATCGCGCTTCGTCGATGTCTTCCATTCTTCTGAGCTCTAAAAATAAACATTCGACATTTCACCTCAATTTCACCAAATGGAAATATACTTCATGGAGGAATTCGTTTCCCACTACATAAACATTTCATCCACTTCAATAAAATTTTTCAGCGATGCACTGTTAATCGAGTTTGATTGTTTTTCAGCAAAATTGCATATTTTATTATTAAAATTAATTTATTATTTTACTATTTATTTACTAATTATTTCATTTATTACTATTTATTATTTTACAGATTTCAGAAGAAAATGCGTTTTTAATAAAATATTTCCTAAAATTCATTTAAAAAACACAAGAGTTTTATCGTTTATTACAATATTGTTACTAAATTTCTACTTTTTATATTAAAATTTCTACAAAATATTTGTGATTCAACTTTTACAACAAATATAGCGGTTAAAATATAACTGATTTCTTAAAATTTTTAATAAAAGGAATTAATTAATATAATAAAAAGTTGAAATTCTAAAATTTGGTTAGCCCCATTGGGTATTAGTAGGGTAAAGAACTTTTGCCAGAGAACAAGCGAGTCGCCAGAAGCACTACGATTTGTTTAATGGTTAATAAAATTTTTTCGAACGGGGGTTCGAAATTTGGCATTCGAGAGAATAAGCAACTCGCTTATCTTCGCGACCACATTAAAATAAAATTTATTTTAACGAAATTTTCACTAAGAAAGCTTTAAAAAAATACGTTTTCAGCCAATAAAAATCAGCCAATAAAATTTTTCACTAAAAAAGAAGTTATAGAAAAAGAAAAGTTTACGGCATTAATAATATAGCATTAATTGATACAAATAATCGAGTCACCATCGGAAAATATTTAACTGGAAAATATATTCTATAAACTGTTTTTGTTATATATTGTTATAAGGACCACAAAAATGGAAAAACGATTTTTATTAGTAGGGTAGGGTAGGCGAATTGCTATTAAGAAAATCTGATAATTAATATTTGATATATACTTGACATTTATATTTATATTTATATTTACTTGATATTGATATTGAATACTTGATATTTCGTGAAGTCAATCTCTTAAAATAATCTCTTATAATCTCTTACGGTACCCATTTTAAGAATAAGTGGCTGGCGCTTATTATTTATGGTGTTTGGCTCGCATTACTGGATACTAGTGAAGTACAAATGGGACGCCAGCACAGTTTTAGATTTTTCAATGAGATACTTACTCTTATCGACAGCTGAATCCTTCTTTCTCAATACGAAAATCATCACTAAAACCACTATTCGCTCGGCTAACGCAACACAAATATCAATTTTAAAAATAAAACTTAAGAAAATCGCTGGAAAAAGTTTATATTTAAAATTAATAATGAAATGAAATAAAATAAATAAATAAATAAAATCCCTTTTGAATCGAATCGAAATCGAAAAAAAATTGGAAAATTCCTTAAAAAACTCATTTGTTCCATTTTTTTAATAAAATATCCATCACATTTTCGTTCACGAAAAAAATATTTTTTCAGTAATTTTAATCTAATAACTTACATTATTTTAGTTTAATGGGCTCCAACGACTGTTAAAATTATAGGATTATTTAGCAAATACAAAAGTGGATCCCCAGTATCACTTAAATTCCGCAACTTCAATATTTTTGTCAAAGGTTTATTGCTAATTGGACAGATGAATTCTAAATATAAATACAATTGATACAAAAAAAGTCTCTCACTCCCTTGGGTCATCCTCATTCAGAGCTCTCGGAGGATTTTGCCAAAAGTCCCAAGCGGAAAGACGGGTCGTCATTGTTGCAAATTCCATATTAACCGCCTGGCGCTATACCGTTATTACTGCTTACTTACTCTTTACCACTGTTGGAGAAATGTTCTGGATTGTTGTATAAATACAACTGAAAATACTTAGAATACATAAGGGAAAAATAAAGTATCACATCGAACTTTTCAAGCGATTAGTTTGATTTGCGAAAATTTAGATAACATATTCAATTCGTTCAATATTCAATAATATATTTTGCGTTAGCGAAAGTTACTGCTGCAACGGTACCTTTACTGCTTAGGCATAAATATAAAATATAAAAATCTTTCTTTCTTTTAATCCATAAAAAAGTAACTAAATTTGATAATGACGATCTGCCGAATATGCATCGACCATGATTGTCTAAGCCTTAATTTGAATTTCTTGAATTCCATTGTGGTTGTAGTATATGAGTACAAAGTGAGTATACAAAATAGTTTAGCAACTTGTTAGCTAAGACGCTATTGTTAATTATCAATTATCACTTCACATTTCCAAATAATAAATAATGAATGAATAATTAAACTTTTTCTATGGTACCACTAACAACTATTAATCAATTAGTGTTAAAAAATAATAGTTGGAATCAAAAATAGATATTCGAATTTAAAATAAATATTCGATAAAATACAATTAGAAAACAAATGGAAATGAATGATAAAATGATAAAATAAAACGATAATACTATGATAGAACTAAAAATGAAAAAGTTACACGTGAATGCGTATTTCTAAATTAATCATCCAATTGGCACGATCTTTTCATCAAATTGGCATAAAAAATTTTAAAAAAATTAATTTTTCACGAATTTTTTTATTCTCTCTTTAGTCTTAAAATATCAGAAATCATATTTAATATACTAAAATTCCAAGAAATAAAAGAATACGAAAAATTCGATGAAAGAAAAAAAAGTGGCGAGTGCTACATCCACTCTTCTTCCTTCCGCACTGTGAGTTCAATTTCTGATTGCTCTTATCTTATCATTAGAAGGGAGAGTCAGGTGGTGCTGAAAAAAATTCAAGCAAATTTTACCCTCAAGAATTAATGCTACCAGAAGAAACAAGAAAAAAAGCAAGATAAAATCTATTAAGCTAGATAGCATTTCCAAAAGGCAATCTTATGCTAGGAAGTTGCCTAAATATTTTGTTTCTTTATGCAAATATAGAAAATAACTCACTTTACAATTCGGCATATTTTATTCACAACCACGAGGCAAATGAATCTTACAAAAATATTTTGAAATATATTATTACAGTATAGAATTTTAAATTATAGAAAAATATTATAGTAGTATAGAATTTTATTTTTATCAGTATTTTGTCAGATTCGCTCAATTATCAGTATCAGTTTATCAGTATTCATGCAATTATAGATATCGTTTATTTTATATCGTTTATTTTTTCCATAAAATACCAATTTTCCCAGTTCTTGTTAAATATCGCCTTACATTCTCCTAAATCTGGTTTTTAAAACTCTCTCAGTTCTATTTCATCTTCCAAATTTTCCAAACCATTTTATTTCTAAAAAATTTCTCAAGAAATTTCAAAAATTTCTAAAATGCCTTGAAAAGGAATCTTTTGCTCTAACATTAAAACCTTATATATCGTAACTTTCCAGGGCAATATTATTTATCATAATAAGTTCATATACCTTGTTGTATTGCGTTTAATTCTCTCTAATATCTCGTCAAATCAAGAAAAACTACCAAAACCCGGCAGCAGAACTTTTTTTTTTATTGTTGGCAGCGTGGTACAGTACCCAAATATTTTCTAAAAATTCGTGATGCTATCTGCTAAATCTTTATCACTCCACCTTTCTGTAGTTTTATCACTTTTATCACTTCTATTACGAAAAATATTAAAAATAACAGCAATAAATAGCAAATAGGAAATAATAATTAAAAGCATTTTACGCCTAAAACGCCTCAATTAAAAAGGAATTCGCCAGCAGAGATCTTCTAAACGAGCGATTTTTCAGATGAAAACACGACGTAAGCGATCATTTTATCAATAATTTACTAAACATCAAAACCCATCTAATGTTTCCTTGTCGTATTATCATGAAAATTATTCTTAAAATCGTTATCACTAATCAACTTTTCCAAAAATTTGGTTCAGTTTGTTTCTTTTCAAAACTTTATATCGAAAAACAATTTAAATAAAAATCAATTTTTAAATAAAAATAAAAAATTATAAAATAAATAAAAATGAAAATTCTAATAATAATTAAAATACTGAAAAAAAACCTTCGCTGCTTTATCAACAGAAGTTCGAAATCGATAATTCATCATTTTTTCCTTCTTTTCACGTAATTTTTCCTTCACCTTGTATTTTTCTACAAAATATAAATTATTTTGCAACAAGAAATTCGATAAATTTATAATTATATCGCCAAAAACTTGAAAAATGAATGGTCGGTAAAGCAGTGGAATTGTGAAACAAATTATCTGCTTAATACTTGGCTGATATTTATTAAATTTGCTATGTAAGTAGAAATATCCGAGCGCAGCTCGAAACTCACCTATTCCTAATCGGTAATCCCTGCTCTCTGCTGAAATGGACTCAATCTGACAGTCAGTTTCTGGCCACTGCAACCAGAAATAATGGGGATTTTTACAAGATTTTTACAATGGGGTTTATACATATCCATACACATGAATTTACTGATCTTCCATATAAAATCAATAAAATAATTCTTTGCTTAGAGAAAACAGAAGTAAAATTACAAAATGTACTTATTACAAAAATTGACTTATCAGTATTTAAAATATTAAAATATTTTGAGATTTTTGAGATCAAAGGAACGAAAATACAAGTACAACGTGCATTTGGTCGTTTCTAAACAAACAACATAATTACAATCATTATCACTGCTTTGCACTGAATTGATTTTTTGATAAGTACGCAAAACTTTTTCGATACATGAAAAAGTCGATCAATCGCCAATAGAATAGCGGTTGATAAGGTGATGATAATCGAATGATAAGACGAATCTATTGTAAATAATCGCGTTCTAACACATTAAGATAAAAAAGAAAAATTTCAACATTCGAACAATAGTTTTTTTATTAATATAATGTAAATGTTGCCGAATCAGCGATTAATTATTTTTATGCAAAAAAAGAAAAAGTAGGAAAAGTCGTTATCGTTATTTTTATTACTTATAAAAATACTGCCACTACTACAATTTTTATTACTATTATTATTATCTATTATTATTATTTATTATTATTTATTATTATTATTGATTATTATTTATTATTATTATCATTAACATTAATACTATCATTATCGAAGGATAGCCGAGTGGTTCAGATTATCATTTAACAGAGAAAGGTTTCTATTTCTAAGCAGATCTGCCACTAAAAAAATCGGGGTGGTGCTTGCGACCTACCTAAATCCCTCAAAAAGATTCCCTTAGCGAAAAATTTCAAATCGTATTAACAGCTTATGGAGCAAACCTAACTAGAAATGACTAACGCTAATTTTTAGAATTACTATTTCATTACTATTATAATAGTTGCATTGTTACATATAATTATAATTTGAATCACAAACTGAAATGGAACTTAAGAAATTATATTGAATTAAATTTTAAAATTGAAAAAAATTCATTTAAAACATGAATTATCAACTATCCGACACCAGTGATCTGGATTAGGACCAAGAGCTGATCTTCAATTCCAATTTTTATTTGGTTATTAGTTTAAACCCGTTACTTCGTTCTAGTATTCAGTTAAGATGTACTGTTACGACTCCACATTGAGTGCCAGTTCTCTAATTATACCAGAAAATTTATCACAAGACAAAAGCTCGGTCTCAATGCTTCTTCATTAGAAGCGTTTGCCACTGGATAAAATGCTTAGTGATGTCATCCATCTTCAGTTTTAAAAAGAACGCTAAGTATATTACAATTCAAAATATCATTTAAAAAGTTATAGCCTCAATCAGCTCATATAATCAAATAATATATATATATTACCATTTGAAATTCAATGTTCTTAACCTATAAAATGGTTTCTAAAATGGTATAAAAATTTTCTGATTTAAAAAAAAAAACAAACAAACAAATAGGACAAAATAAGCTTTGAATGCAAAAAAAAGCATAATTGATAAGCTTCGTATAATCGACAATATTTAACCAAAAACTCTGGTTAGACGTTGATAATTTAATTGCAATGAATTAATAAAAATTTTATTTCTATTCAACAGTAAAATATTATATGATAATACATAAATAAAACAACAATGATTTATAATTTAAAATTACACCAAATAAGAATTATAAATTATAAATGAGAAAAATTAAATCACTGAATCCTTTTAGAAAATTTTTTCCATATCTTATTGTTTGCCAAGCCTATATGCAAATCATTCTTCGCTTTAAGCCTTTTCATAAAAGAAATATCCTTGGCTATTTGTGCCGCTGATCCATCTTTAAAATCATTTTTACTTAGAATTAAAATTAATGCATAAATTTTGATATTCTTAGTTGGAAATTCGATTTAAGTCTCAACTAGATAAAAGCTGATGCCGAAAATAAATTAACTTTAATAAGACTATTAAAAATTAAAAATTAATGAATAAATTAATGATGATATATAATATAAATCCAAAACTTAAATTGAGCCATAATTAAAGAAATAAATTTAAATAAAAGAAATTATAAAAATAAAAATAAAACCTGCACTACCAGTCCAACCGAGTTTTTTATATGCGCCAAAAATTTTCTTGTTTAATTGTTTCTTTTGCTTGATGCGTCCATCATCATTTTGGACTGATCGGAAATGTTGCTTATAATAACGCATCAACATGCGATGTCCCACTCTTGCCCCTTAAGAAAAAATAAATTTTAAAAATTTCGTGCCTTAATTTTTTTATCATTATAAATCAACTTTATTTTTTGGAAACAAATAATATATTAGGAAAATTCATAACTCTAAATTCAATGCAAATATCAATGAATAGAGAGAGCTTATAATAATGCATCGAAAAAAACAAAAATGAAAAATTGCACGAATCATTAAGAAATAAAACAGCCTTTCTTTTACTAAAAGTATTTATATAAAAAACAAATAAAAACCTGATGGAAGCAATAAGCTGTATCCATCATCAGCCAGTCGAAATTGGGAATTCAAATCATCCTCACCACCAGGATATAAGGGACTAAAAAAATGGGCAAGCGATAGAAAATTGATAAATATATTGAGCTTTGTCTCTGTGCTTATTTCCTTTGCACAATAATTACCTGTAATCATAAAATTCTTCGTATTCCAACATTGCCAATCCCTCACGAACTACGCGACAATGACCTTTATCGCGCATATGTTTTTGACAAGCATCTAGTGAAGCGAATCTTTTCTTTTCACTGCTACAAAAAAGGCAATAATGACCGCAACCTACTTTTTGACCTGAAAATAATACGGCCAAAATTAAAATGCAACTTGCCACCCATTGCATCAAATTGTCATTAATAACTTATTTATCACCTGTTATCATTCATTTTATCCACTATAACCTTTTATATAGAATATGACAAAGGAATAAGTAAATAAAAACATTAAATAAATAAGTAAAAAAATAACACTAACCTAAATAACCAAGCATTCCTTCAACGTCTATGCAATATTGCGCATCTGGAAGAAAAAACCCGTGGCAGCCTCCCATGTGAAGCAAATTGGATTCAATATCACTGGAAATATGACAGCAATAAAGGCAAGAATTTCCTGGGATGGCCTGAAAAATCGAGTTGTTTGAAGTATTAATTCGACATTAATATCTGATATTAAGATCTAAAATAAATGTTTTTACGCTTATTTCCATCAAATATTAAGAAATGAATTTAAAAAAAGTTACCATAATACCTGTGTTTCATCATATTCTTCATCATCTATCTCACTGCCACTATAACAACTTTCATTTTCATTAGAAGTATTTTCATAGCTCATCTTCCCGTCCGAAGAATTACCGATGTGTGGTTCATCCTTCTTTTCAGCTGACTGAATCGATCTTGATAAAGTGTCAGGAAGCTTTAAAATATAAACTTGAAGAGAATAATATCACAGTATAATGAAGCAGTAAAAACGTACATTATTGCAAACAAAATTTCCCCAAAAATAAATGAATAAATAAATAAAAGCAAAATACTTTTTGGGCTTTTTCTGACTTTTCATTAGCACAAATTCTTGCTTCAATTTCACGATGTTTTTTCGAAGAGATATGATGATTAAATGTATTTTGCGACTGGAAATTCTTCGAACAACTAGAACAGAAGAATGATTCTGGTTCAGAGCCATTGCCGCAAGTATTCTAGGATATAATAAATGATAAATAAGGCTTAATAGCAAAAATATGATTACCATTAGCAAGCTAACACCAATTACAGTAACACCAATTACCCAAACAATTACAGTAATTATAATGGACAAAAAAGTTTGCTGAAAATGTGGAAAACTTACGCTGTCTTGAAACAATTTTTGCTTCAACTTGAACTGCTCTAAAGAAATTGGAGGAAGATCAGCTACCTTAAAATTAATATTAAATGAATATAAATATTAATATTTTATGAACGGAAGCTAAAACAATAATCGATCGTGAAAGAAATTAAAAAACAATCTTTCCCTTAATAGATATAAGTATAAAATTGAATAAATATAGAGAACCAGTAAAAAAACGGCTAAACGATCGATGTAAACTTGATTAAATAATGACCAATAAACCAATTTTAAATAAAACTAAGCTCGAGATTAAAGAAACCAAGAAATTTTAGAAAACAATCCAAGCAACGAATGAACCTTTCGTTTAAGATTGTAACAATGCCATTCACTTTGATAATGATCACGTTGAACATCGCTTGCAGTGAAAGCAACTCGACATGTATAGCAAGTTTGGCCAAGAGAATAAATTCCTTCAGTCATGAAATTCCTTTTAGCCAAGCTTAAAAAAATGTGAGCAAAATTCTGTTAGTGTTTCCCGTCAATGTTTTATCAAAAAATATTTTCCTTCATCGAATTTCAAATCAAATTCGTCAATTTTAATTCGAAAAATATCACAAAAAATAAGAATTTGTTGTCTCAACTATTTTATTAAAATTATAAAAATCAGCTGAATTATTGAATTAATTTTAATTATTTTTCCCTCAAAGAAAGAAGAATTAATTAAAAAATGGAAAAAGTCTTTCTAAGTCTTGATATAAACTAAACTTTTTTCTTGTACCGTTGTGCCGATTCCGCTGGCTAGAAAAGTGAGGCGCTTCCAAGCCTCTGGAGCCTGGTGCCAAGAGAACCCCACTCCTTCTTTCACTACCTATATATCGCTGGACCGGCAATGCGTTCAAAAATCTTTCGAAATCTATCGATCCACACCTTGAGTGGTTCAACCATCCAATTGCGCATCCAAGCTTAGCGAACAAGAAGATAAGCGTCAGTTTCTTTAAAAGGAGGCGAAGAACGCGGCGTAACCAACGTAGGCGACTGCTATGATGGCGTTGCTAAAGCAGATGGTGTTCGAATGAAGATGGATGGAACATGTAAAGCCGCTCGACGAGCGTATTATGCGCCTTAGGCAAAGGTCCTTAATAACTTTCGCTCCACTGGCCAAGTTTCGCTGCCGTTTAGCAAAATTGTGCGCAAGCAGAGGCACATTTTTCTTTTGAAAATAATTTCACGTACACTGGCTCGCACCCCCTTCCGCAAAACGGAAACGGAGGAAAGCATTCCTCCTTCATTTTCATCTTTCGCTTGGTCATTTGCTATTCGAATGGATTCGAATGAAAAAAACAGACTCTTCTACATCCTCAGCCATAATAAAAAGGGACGTTTTAAAAGCATCTGATACGCAAGACGAAAGACAGATTTCGACAGCACCTTTTGTTTTTCGTTACAAGAGAACTGTGTGCTTGCAAAGCAATATTCGCGAGAGGCCGCACTGACTTTTACACCTCGCAGAAGACGACGTTCTCTCGCACAGACGACGCTGAGAGAGTGACGCGAAACAGGCTGATATAACTCCTTTCTGCCGAAGGATAAAAAGGCTGATGCACGCTAAGCCGTCGAATTACCACTTTGACAGGCTTTTCTACTAAGTAGGCTGCATTCCATTTTGTTGTTTACCACCTGCCAGGCTCCTTTTCTGTCCTCTCATTATTTATAAAAGAAATAAAATTTAAAAGCAAATCGAACAACTAAAATATATAGAAAAATGCGAATATGTAAAGAAATACCGACTACAAACAATCCTTTCAGGAACCGTAAATTCAAATGTCGGAATTTATTTATATATTTATTTATAAAATTATGGCACTGATAGTTGAACAAGAAAATAAGAAAGATTAATTTCTTCTTTGATGCGCCATTAAAAAATTTATTAAAATTTTGTAATTTTTTTTCTGCAAAAAAAGGTTTAAGAAATGGATAAGTGGGAAGGAAAAGATCGCAGACGGTGAGAGAAATTTTCCTGTAAACCGCTTAATATTTCTCACTTTTTTTAATGTAAATTTTAAATGGGCCGACATACACCGGCAAAATGAGAGATTTTGCAAGGCGGTGATGACGAAACCAATTTCGCGGTTTCCACTTGAAGCGTTCGTGTAAGTGTTCCTTGGAAGTCTGAGCCAGTTTTAAGGAAGTGGTTAGGCAAATACAGAGGAATACCGTACAAATTTCCTTCATGCTGCATAAATATTTCTCAAAGAGAGAGGAAGAAATTCAGTGAATAGTGTCAGAGAATTGGCTTCAAAAAAATTTGCATGTCCACGAAAAGTTCTGAGGCACAGTGATAGATTAGTCAGCTCACTTCCGGCACTGATATTGCAAGTATATTTAATCGATATTTTCCGAATGTTATGTGGGAAAGCATTTGAAATGAAAACGATGACTTTGCTACGGGTTTACTTTGCTTTTATTTTTTCACAAATGAATTAGGTATGAATTTTTGTGAATGAATTCTTCTAAACGAAGCATTCGTTTTCTCACATTAAATTAATCAATTTTATTTATCCGTAAAGTAAAGCATTTTATCAGCTTTTTACGCCGTTTGCGGTAAGTCCGCGGATTTTCATCATCTCAACGTTTATTCAATTTTTTGGCTAAAACGCACGAATTCCAATAAATTTGAAAAAGTATTTCTATTAATTGGGGCGCTCAAAACTTCCTCTATCGGTCGATATTTCGTCTGCCTTCCCATCTGTTTTAATGTCGTCCATCACGGGAAGTGGCAAGTAATGCACGTGACGTCGAATGACGGAAAAAAAGGTGCAGCGATATAACGGTGCAGTGATAGATGTTGGCAGCAATTTAGTGAACGTAACAGTGCGAGGATTTATTCGCCTAGAGCGTATTCACCTCAGAAAGGGTCAACTGGATAGTTTCAAGATATCTTCGACTCTTATTGGCCAAATTTTGATTCAGATGCATTAATCCAGTCGTAATGCGGGCAGATAGAGGTGAACATTCGTCGTAAGGCTAATTTCGCAACGAGATTGCGAAGAGGCTTCGTAGGACAAAAAAAGTCGCTCTGTATCTCAGCGGGAATTTCATCTTTTGGCTGGGCGTTGGCTGTGAAGGCGAATCTGAACTATTCAAAATCAGAAATATTTTGAACCGTTTAACTCATACAAATTTGATCTTATCAGCGTCCAGTTCAAAAGACGAGGAGATTTTCATATCTGAAGCAAAAAGCAACATCATCTTCATCTGGAACTTTATAAGATTAGAATAATGAAACAAACAGCCAGCCAGTAACTGATGCGTCCCACCTCGCAGGTCTCCACACACGCATCTCCGTCAAGGAAATGTTCCTAGTATAGAATTCTAAGCTATACGACTTGGCCAATAACCTAAAATTTTCTCTTAAAAATTAAACTTTATCAAATTTTCGTAGTTGCGATAATCTATTATTTCGCAGCATAGTGATAATAAAATCGAAACTATCGTATTTCGTAGTTTATTTCATCTATTCATTCATCTATTTCAGCGATCGTTGCGCGTTTCACAGTTAAGCAACTAAATCAACGAAATGTAAGGTAAATTTCACCTGAATCTTTACTTTACAAATACTAATCGCCAATCCTTCAGTTACCATATATTCATAAAATGCGTACAATAGCAATAGAATGCCTTTTTCTTCAAATGTCTTTGTTGTCTAAAATTAGTAAATTATTCGAGTGCACTCGCGCATTGACCGCCAATGTTTGCCGCATTGTTCTGCAGTCAATATTTTCCTAATCCTCGTTTGGTTTGTGCGAACGTCCAAGTTTTGGTTGTTCTCACTTTAAATATCTTTAGAAAATCCATTCCGACAGTTATAGCGAAGTTTTCCGTAGCGCCACTGCCTGTTTTCTAGGGAATAATTTTATCCCATTTCAGTAACATTCCAAGTGCTAAACTGCAAATAGAAATGCTCTTTTTAAAAATTTGCATAAAATAGAAGAGAAGAATTTCATAGCACAAAATAAAGAAATATGCTTAATGTCGACTGATATGATTGATTAATTGATTTCATTTAAATGGCGTTTTTCTATTTTCGCTGAGTTTTACAGCGTTGTTTAACACAAACATTGGTTTTACAGCTTTAAGTGGATGGGAGTTTTGTCTTTATTAAAATGAATTAAATGCATGAAAATTAAATTAACACGTCAAATAAACACGTTAAATTATACGAACAATTTTTTTCTTCATCGCGAAAAATACCTTATGAAATATCAGAAAATAAGCGAAAAAAAGAGTCGAATTTCTAAAAGAATCGAAGAAACCGAGAAAATGAAGTAAAAATTATCAAAAAAAATGTCCTAAAAAATATCACAAAATCAAAAAAAATCTAAAGTAATTTACTGCATCAATTTTTGTGTGTTTTCATTTATAAAATTTTAATCATCGATTAAATATGATTAAAATATAAAAAAAATATAAAAAATAATACAAACTTGCTATAAATAAAAATTTAAAAATTCCTCCTTTTATTAATCTCTATAACTAATTTTTATTAATTCTTTATCAAAATTTTTAATTTTGAATGTATGAGTTGAATGTTAAGTTTAAGTTCAAAAAGACTATCTTCCTTAATCCGCCATGATAAAATGATAAAAATGGTAAGGAAAACAACTTATTATAAAGATGGCTTCAGATAGAAATTAGATTTAAACAGAAATTCTTCAAAATTCTTGAAAAAAATTTGAATTTGCAAGAATCTTAACTTTGTGATCTGCCGAACCCGCTGTCTTTCACGCCTGAAAAGATCTCCTATGAGTAGAGCAACCGAATTCAAAATGGAGTTATTCGAAGAGGAACGTTTACGAACATTTTAAAGACGTTTTATTCATGAACATGAACATCGCGGACTAGGAACGTTGTCTAGGAAGGATTCCAAAAATTTCCTTGCAATACGTAAATTTAAAGGTATAAATTCAAATCCAGAAAAATGTTCCAGGCAAATACAATGGGAATTTTACAGCAAATTTATTTAATATATATAAAAAATATTTCATCTTTACAAACTGACAAAATGGAGAATTTCGATGGACTTTTTAGCCAAAAATTGGCAGAATAGCTGGTTTCACCTTTTTTTTTAATTTCAAGTTCTTTGACAATCATATCATTTATAAAAATTTTCCTCCGTATTTTTTTCCGTTTTTTTAGTAATATTTCGGAAAATTAAGAGGTTTATTTATTGTCACCCAAGCGAAAGCGATACGATATTCGAAATGAATTTCATTTTTGTAATTTGCAACATTTTAAATTGCAACAACATTTTTTTGAGAACCATTCTCATTATTCTACATATCGCTCTGATATTTCTGACATTAGATTAAATAATCTATAAAAAAACAAAAAATAAAATTTTTTAAATTTTTTATTTGTTATTTCAGTTTTTTTCCAAATATTGCGAGCAGTTTTTCTTTTTCTTCTTCTAACAGCTCTCACCATTACTGGTTAGGCTGGCTCCAACGGCTACAAGGGTAAGACGCTTCCAAATGGCGCGGTCTGATGCCATCGTCGAATGGAAGCCATTCCTTTTTCCATCGTCTAAGTCCATATATTGCTGGCCCACCTATACATTCAAAATCTTTCCTGACCGTATCAGTCCAGGTCTTGATTGGCCCACTTAGCTTTTGACACCACCCATCACATGATTTAGCGAGTAACGAAATATGCGACAACTCTTGTGGTGGATGACGGAGAACGTACTCCCACCTAAGGCGACGCTTTGTAACATTATTAATACAGGTGGTGTTTGAAGGTGGATGCGATCATGTGATATTATATGTAATGTGTGATATCATGTGATATTCGCTCGACGGACCCGTAAAATATACCTTAGACAAAAGTGGTCAAAGTTAGATAACTTCATAATATCCTCACTCTCATTGGCCATCTCTCAAAGCCATATAGCAAGATCGAACGAATCATTGCCATATAGATGTGGGCTTTCGTTTTTATGGTGATTTCACGACGACTCCATAAAGATTTCGTCAACCGGAAGAACGCATTTCTAGCTGCAGTGATCTGAGTTATAATATCATCTTTTGCCTGGCCATTTGGTACTAGAGTGGATCCAAGGTATTTAAAATCGATTACCTCCTCAACCGGCAATGAATTTGTAAAAAGAAGCATTTTATCAGCTTGTTGCACATAAGAGGAAAAAATTTTCGTTTTATTTACATTGGCCCTGAGTCCGATTCTCGCTGCAGTCGGTGACACATTATTTACATTATTTGCATTTCGTCATAATTGTCAGCAAAAAGAAATGTATTATCAGCTTATTTAAGATATCTGTGATACGATGCTCTGGACTGGTCTGGACATCCCCTGAGTGCCAACAAGTGGTGTCCTTGAAGGGTCTCAGTTTTTATTTCAAAGGAGTTTGTCAGTTCTGCATAAGTCAGTTCCACAGACTTGCGCAGGCGTGAATGTCTCATTAAAATAAAATAGAAATGGCATAAAATGGGTGAGTCGAATGATCTTCGCTGGAACACCGTCGCCTTCTATCACCCTCCAAAGCACCGCTCTGAATCAAAGGCACCCACAAAGTCGATGAAACACTCTGAAGCGTTGTTCCAACATCCTTCTTAATATAAATGTACTTCTTAATGTACTTCCATAAGTCTGTTGAGTAAAAAGGAAGCAAAAGACTTTTCGCTGAGACTTTATGTCTAATAGACTGATTCCTCGATAATTGTCCTATCACCTTTTTTGAGAATTGGGAGCAGAATTGCTTTATTCGAATCATCTGGTAATATTTTTTTTTCCCATACCAGAGAGTATGTTATGAGGGACCATGGTTAAAGATATTTATATTTAAAGAATTCAGCCCGAAGACCATCTTTTCCTGGAGCCTTATTGGCTTTAAACTTATGGATAACGGTGATTATTTCTTTTTCTTTTAGTGGTTAGACGTATGGTTCGACGAACGTATCAGTTATAGATGGCGGTTCATGGTTAAGTTTGGCCTTAAATTCTCTCCATCTTATGATGCCGCTCTTTCACCATAGAATCACTTGAGGATAGAGTCACAAGTGGGTCCCTAGTAACCACACAGATTGTTAATATGACATGTTTATTCCAAAGACAGACTTATTTTATGATATTTATAATATAATTACTTATTTTATTTTATAATATTATTTATTTTACAATATTATTATGAATTTTATGCATACATGTATATATACATGTATATATATATATATATATATATATATATAAATTTTATTTTGTGTAATATCTATATTATTTTATTATATCTATCTAATATCTATATTATTTTATATATCTATATTATTTCTATATTAATAGCTATAAAAGTGCTATAAAACGAGCTCTATTCTAAAAATTTTTATTGCTCATGCCTGCCAATTGACTTTCGTCAATTGCTTGATTTTTCACGAGAGTAAAATTTAGATTCGAAGTCAACGTGAGACCTCCAACGGCTGAACTTATTTCCGATTTAATAATACAGAAAAAGTGGACATCAATTATTTACATGTATGATGGAAAAAAATGTTTGTTTTTAAAATAACTTCGAAAGTTTTAATATTTTATTAAAATAATTTTTATTCGTGAAATGATTTATGTAAATTTATTCTGCGCCTACAGCCGGAAAAATTAATTAAAAATTGGTTTTGAAAAATTGCTTCTCAGAATTTATTATTTATATTTTTAAAACTTCATTAACCAAATATGATAAACGCCGTCGTTTCACCATTTTAATAATCTCCCACTGAAATAATTCATTAGATTCACCGTACACCAATATTATCCATATTTTTTAAGATAGAAACATTATTTTTATTGCAATAAATAAGATATTAATTAATAAGATTCCTAAAAAAATGTTGTTCGGTGAAAGAAGGTAAAGCAAGCCTTCGTAATTGTGTTTAATCGCTTTGCGAATATTTTTGTAGCGGCAATAAATCTTCAATGGATATTTTATTATCTTCACATGAAGAGTAATACATCAGTAAATGTTGAACTAATAGAAGTGCCACAAAATGGAAATGAATTTCCTGATTTCCTACGAAAATTCAATTTAAAACGACTCATTAATGAATCCGTTAAGTAATTTTTCGAATTTATTTTGCCTTACTTTTGTTGTATTGCAAAAACGTTTAAAATAACCTATATTATAATTTGTATATTCGGCAAGAGGCACTCGTCTATTTTTTATATAGTCCTCTGGCCTCCAAATCTGGCCATTCTCTTGTAAAATATCTTCTTCATTCATGAAATACACTTTGCCGTAAAACGTTAGTAATGGACCTTTAAGCCCTACTTTGCCACAATCCCCTATTTCCACGAAGCAGTATTGTCAATAGAAAAAGTTCCCGTCACCGGGGTCTTCCAGTAAATATATCGAGTTGTTTGTTAGATTAGTGGCTAAACTATTATTGGTTTATTCGCTTAAATACAGCTCGGTAAAATTCGGGTGGAAAATCTAAGTGAAAAGAGATGGAAAAATTTGCCGTAAAATAATATGAAATATTTCTGCGAAGAAATAATCTTCCAACTTCTTTTTGCGACACAACATTAATTATTCATTTTTGTAGCGGGTTATCAGAAAATTATTAGGGAAAATTTGTCACAGAAAATCGAGACTTGGGTTCGAATCTAACTGGCACACCATGTTTCGTCAGAGAACAATGCCGCCCGTTGAAGAAAACAAACGATAGTAGAATGGTCCAGTGGGTTGTTGCTTAATTCGGAGCGCTGAGGCTTTCCTCCCTTCAAAAATAAACCTGTCCTTCAAAAATCCAGATGATGCTGGCCACTGTACGGTTATCGTCAAGCTAGCCAACACGACAGCAGAACGAGTTTAACAGTGAATGTTCTTTTAAAAAATCCTTTGATTGACAAATTTTTCAAAATCTTTTATAATCCTTTAGTCACTTCCTTTAATCATCTTTAGAATTTCGTCAAACACCACCATAAAAGAGCGTGAAATGTTAAAATGAAATAAATTAAATTTATAGGCATATAATCTTAGACATTTCAACATCCGAACGCCAACAAAAAATGCTTACAGCTATTCGTTCGGCGCAGTTCAATCAACTTGATTATCATTATATTGTGGCCAACTATGTTCGTTTATAGTTCTATAATTTGGTTATCCAGCAATTTTTTATTTTACTTTATTTCATAAATTTAGAACAAATTTTCTTGAGTAATACTTAAAAAATGAAGAAATTTTTGTACAAAGAATGGCAATTTTTTGCAGGATTTTTTACCGTATGATGTAGAAATGTTTCAAAATGATAACATAAATATAACTGGATTTCAAATAATTAACCGAGAGGTTAAGGAATACTGGAATTTGAAAAAATTTATTACAAATGAATCGTTCAAAATTGAAAAGAAGCGTAAAATGAATTTAGAGGTATATTTTTATCATCACATATTATAGCAAAAATTAATCCCATTTCTCTGGCAAAATTGGTAAGCCATACATAGAAAAAATTCCCGTCACCGGGGTCTTCCAGTAAGTATATCGAGTTGTTTGTTAGATTAGTGGCTAAACCATTATTGGTTTATTCGCAGCCCGGTAAAATTTGGGTGGAAAATCTAAGTGAAAAGAGATGGAAAAATTTGCTGTAAAATAATATGAAATATTTCTGCGAAGAAGTAATCTTCCAACTTCTTTTTGCGACACAACATTAATTATTCATTTTTATAGCGGATTATCAGAAAATTATTAGGGAAAACTTAAGGAATTCAGGCAAAATTGATATTTGTTCATGATGCTATACTCGTAGCGAAGGAAGCTTTCGACCAAACTCTGAAGCGTAATGATTCGTTATTTTATCAAAATTTCCGACATGGCGATTTATATAATCGTGGATATCCTGGTATTTACTGCCATCCAGAAATGGATATTAATAACCCACATAGGCCATTCACAACATTTGAACATGGTCATGCTATCGCACGAGGTTTAAGAGGAGTTCGTTTTCTTATCTTATTTTTAAGCGACCATAAATTCGCTCAACAATTTTGAATATGAATATTAACTTTCGACATCCATTTTTTATAACTCGTTATATGTAAATTTGGTGAATTCATTCAATTTAAGAAAAACTACTTTGAGTTATAAATAATTTCAGGTTAAGATAGATACTAATGATGGGACATTAAGTGGACGTATAGAATTTGATCGTTTTGGATTGCGAAAGAATTTTGATGTTACCGTAATTGATCTTGTTTCAAACACAAAATCAGCCTTCAACAAAAAAGAAGTTTGTAAAAAATTTTTCGAATTTTAGAAAGTTCTACACGTATCCTATTTCATTCGATTTCTTTAATTAGTTATTTACAAAATTGTGAAAAAATTTTTTTGAAGTCATATAATTTGCTAAATTCAATTGTGAATAATTGTGAACAATAATTAACTTTAATTGTTGTTATCTATTGAAGCAAAAAAATAAATTAGTACTATTCGTGCTATTTTTAAATTTTTCAAGTGTGTATGCAAGTTTAAAAAATATTTTATTAAGATTTTTATTTTATTAAGATTTATAAAAATACATATAGATTTAAGTGCAAAATTTTTAATATTTAACAAGGCAAATATAACAAAATTTGGAAAAAAACACTTACAAAAGAAAAATTTGTGCAGATGATGACTTGGAAGCAAGGAACTGGATTTCTAGCAAATCGGACTTTTGCTGAACATACGAGAAAAAGGTTCGAATCATCCAAATCAAAGAAAATTGTCAAAGTTGTCACCATTATTGTCAGTATTTCACTTTTTTTTCGAAGATCGAACAGTGTGATATTTGCTTTTGCATTAATAACTGTAAGATGGGGCTATTAGATATATCAGAATGGAGTGAAAGTGTATTTTTGTTAAATAATATTATGGATAATTTCTAAAATTATTTTTGAAATTAGATTCTGGTGAATGCTGAAATTAGCAAAAATATTAATGCAGTTCATTCGAATAGTGCTACGAAACTGCATCTTCCATTGCCTTTACCTTTAGCGCTATTCAGATTTAAAGAATTAACCTGGCGAGATAAAGCTACTTTTAAAAAAATGTCTGTAGAATCCATTCTAACTCAATATTGAACTTCTTATGATCATTCTATCGTCTAAACATTCAAAAATGTTCTGTAGACGTCTTCTTCATAATTGGACTTAAATGCTTGGTTACTAGGAATATACGAAATTCTGCTAATTAAATTTTCAAATTTAAGACAGAACCATTTGTAATGGTAAAACGAATTTGTGAAAGTGAATCAAATCGAACCGAATGTAAAGGTAATGAACGATTCGAAGGCTTCTGTATTGACTTGTTAAAATTATTAAGTGACAGGTATTTCTATCAAAATAAAATATTATTAATATCATTATTATTAAAGTATTATTATTTATATCGTTGTGCATTTACTTTTCTATTGATAAATTATTAATTATTTCTTATTAGAACTCAGTGAATAGCATAATAATTAACGATTTTTTTAACTTTTATAGAATCATTAGAATCCTTTATAACACCAAAAAAGCTGCAGAATTATTTGCTCTTTTAATTTTCGTAAATTACTTATAAATTTATTTATTTATAAGAGTTATTCTTTGAAATCCTTGGCAACTGTTGGCAACCTTTTTCAGTCAGCAACCTTTCTCAGAAATTTCTCAGAAAAAAGAATCGCGGCTGTCATAAAATTATAATTTTTCGTTTAAAGTATTAATTAATTTGTTGTTTCAGAATGGAAGATTTTCAATACGAAATAATTTTAAGTGAAGGAAATAAATATGGTGCTAAGCAACCCGATGGTTCATGGGATGGATTAATTGGTTCATTACTCAGTGGTGAAGCTGATGTTTGTGTTGCTTCTTTAACTATAAATCAGGTTCCTTATTTTATGAAATCATTCCCAATAAAAATTCCTTTTTAAAATTTTGGATCGTTGTTTTCTTGTTTTGAAAATCCTTATTTTGCCTTAAAAATTAAAGGATATTAATGTATTATAATAATATTTAAGGAGAGAGAGCGTGTTGTTGATTTTTCAAAGCCTTTTATGACGACTGGAATAAGTATAATGATTAAAAAACCAGATAAACAAGAATTTTCTGTATTTTCTTTCATGCAACCGTTAAGCACTGAAATATGGATGTATATAATATTCGCTTATGTTGGAGTAAGCAAATTTTGTTTTCTTATTTCATCGGTCCAAAATACTAATTGTGATTAATATTTTAAAATATTTAAAAATAAAAGCTGAAAACTAGAGAGACATATGAAAGTATCCTGCATTTCAACTTAAATTTCCTTTTGATCTTCAAGCTCCACAGCATTTTTGCAGTCTATAATCAATCTATAAGCTTTCGAAATGGAACTTAAATAAAAAAGATGACAATTATAACAAGTTAAAAATATAGCAAATATGAAATTTCTTGCAGGTATCTGTTGTTATATTTCTTGTTTCGCGATTTTCGCCTTATGAATGGAGAGTCGATGAAATCGCTAACGGTGAAGGATTCACAATCTCCAACGATTTTTCAGTCTATAATTGTCTATGGTTTACACTTGCTGCTTTTATGCAACAAGGCACCGATATTTTGCCAAGGTTTTTTGTTTTTTTTTAATTTTTCTTGACTACATTGAGATCCATGAAAGTAAAGCAGGTTTTTCCTTGATATTTCCATAGGGACTTTAATTCCATTTCCGGATTAGCAACAATTACGTTCTATAAAGGATTGTTTTTGAAAATTCTTTTTCCTGTTTTTTTATACTATGTTTTTTACTCTAAATGTCTCTTTACCGACTGTGGTGATTGATAAAGAAATAAGCGAACTTAAGTGGGATTAATCATCTTTTTAATCAATTTTAAATTATTTTAATCAGATGAACAGTTTTACGTATTGAATAATCTATCTTTAAATGCCTCTATGGCTTAGCGACCTCATCCTGATAATTATCGAAGTTAGCTGAACCATAAATGATGAGTACTTAGAAAAGACGATGAAGAATTGTTTAAAAATTATTTTTTAATCCAATTTTAGATCAAATATATAGTAAATATATTTTTACTATAAATTCAGGTCAATCAGTGGGAGAATAGCTAGTAGTGCATGGTGGTTTTTCACAATGATCATTGTTTCTTCCTATACAGCAAATTTGGCTGCTTTCTTGACACTCGAAAAAATGCAAGCACCAATCGAATCAGTCGAAGATTTAGCCAAACAAACAAAAATAAAATACGGTATCCAGCAAGGAGGATCAACTGCTCAATTTTTTAAAGTTTCTTTCGTTCATTCATTCTTCGAAAACAAGAAAAGAATAAGAAACAATTTGTTCCGTGGAAAATAAATTGAATTGATTACCGAGAAAAATTGTTATTTTATGGGAAAAATTTTCACCATTTTTCGAGCATTCACATTATACATAATTTTTAGTATTCGTCAGTTCAAATATATCAGAGAATGTGGCGATATATGGAATCGCAGGTAGACTACCATTATAATTCAACATTTTATTAGTTTTTACCAATTTTATTAAAAATGAAAATTTGTTGAAAAAAAATTTGAGAATCGATTTTATAAAATAATGGAACGAAGTTCTACGTTTTTACCGAAATGTATTGCAAGGCAAATTAAGCTTTTATTAAAAATAAAAATGTTGAACAAATAAGATGTTTAACAAATAAAATATCATGCTTAGATCGAAAAATAAATGAAGAGATTGAAGAGTTTGCATCATGCAAGAGAGATTGATCAAATGGCACTATGTTCTTAAACCATAAGTTGCCTGTTCATTGAAATAGATTAACCCCTTATTAAGTTAGGTTGGTGCTTAGGACCCATTTCGATTCCTAGCACCAAATCATTATCATCCTAGTAGCCAGTAGAGGCGGCCAAAGCATTCGGCAAAATTATCTATGAATGTCTCATTCTTTGCACAAATAAAATAAAATAAATACATTAACGCGAACTAAGGTGCCAACCGTTTTTACTTCAACTTATGCTGAAGGAATTGAAAGAGTTCGCAGCCACAAAGGGAGATATGCATTTCTACTAGAAGCAACAGCTAATGAATATGCAAATACACGAAAGCCATGCGATACGATGAAAGTTGGTTAGTAGTATAGAATGTTACAAGAAAAATTTTTAAATTTTTAATTTTCTAAATAAGATTATTTTGCTGAAAAAATTTCTCAACCAAAGCTTTAGAAATATTACTTAAATTATTATTTAAATTATTTAAATTATTTTGTTAATGTTGTATAATAATTTTGATAATTTCAGGCTCAAATTTAAATTCAGTTGGATATGGTGTCGCCACACCATTTGGATCTCCTTACAAGTATTTTTTTTCATCTATTAATTTTCTATGGATTTGCAAGTTTTTAGTCCATTTCATTGCTAAATCCATTTTCAATCTATTTCAGTTATTCTTATTTCAGTTATTAACTGTTTTTAAATAGCTTAAATGAATGTGGTTTTTAAATGTGGTCTACGATCAAATTATCATAAATACCATTTCTTAATGTAAAACCGTTATTAAAAGAGGAGCCCAAGAAATATTGGTAAATTAGTGACTTGCTCGCTCTTATCTCTATCCCCTGGTTATTCTCTGGTGGATTAATTTCATTCTAATAGCTGCCAGCCAAACCTGAAATTCAAAAAACAAGTCCAAAATTTTAAAGCGTCCCTAGAAATTATTTGGTTGTAATTATGTTATTGTTGTGGGTCAGAAAATATTAAAAAGTAAAGTAGATTAAATACTGATACCAATAGATAGATTTACCAATAGATTTACCAATACCAATAGATTTTAAAATTTATCTATTTCTATTTTGCTTGAAAAAGATTTTGCAGGGATCATATAAATTTGGCTATTCTTGCTTTGCAAGAGCGAGGAGAATTAAAAAAACTTGAAAACAAATGGTGGTATGATAGAGGACAATGTGATCAAGGAATTACCGTTGTGAGTAGAAAGAAGTTTCAAATTTGTTGAATTTTGGCAGAATAATGATTCCCGAATTCCCGAAAATGATTACTAGCGCAACACTATTTTAGTGTAATTAATTTAAATAAAAAAACAAATATTAAATTATATCAAATAAAATGGATTTTATAAGATTTTCATCATTATTATTTCAAATAATAATTTTAGGATGGGCATAATGCGAGCTTGAATCTAAGCAAAGTAGCTGGTATTTTTTATATTTTGATGGGTGGCATGATCGCTTCCATGATTGCTGCCTTAGGAGAATTTTTATATCGGTCTAGAATTGAAGCTCGAAAAGGAAATATGAACTCGTTATTAGGAAGCCTTGCGGTAGTACTTTTTATTTTTTTCTTGAGCCCAAATCATAGCTTATTGCTTTAGTGTCATAAATTTTTGCAAATTATCATAAATATTAAATTAAATTAAATTTTATTTAATTCGATTTCCCAACCTCGATTTCAAAAAATTTGATAGGAAGAAAATTTATTGAAAGTCAAAACCAAAGAATCTTATTCTTTGCTTTCAAGAAATTATAAATATGCCTGTGCCCAGTGAAACCTGGATAATCCTGGCCTAATCCCAGTGCTATTTAAATAATTAGTATATTTTAAGAAAAATTTACGAGTATCATTACTGGCACATCTGCGATTATCCTTACAAGGAGGTGCAACAGCACGACGAGGTAGCGAAGCTTACGATATTCTTCACCAACAAAAAGTGTGTTTTTCCTCAAATCTTCTATTCGAAATATTTACTAATCGAACAAAATCCTAAATTTTCTCATAAGTTTTAATTAAACTTTTATTTTATTCATAATATTAAGAATAATAATTTTGCATGAATTGAGGTAGCAGCACAACTTCCTTCATCGAATACAGTTGAGAAAACTCGAGAAGCTAAAGAACCTCGCAGAAAAATCTCTTATAATACTGCTGTTTAGAACGTTTGTCAATGAGCCATATTCCACTTGAAATTTCACAAGGAGCGACTCTATACAATTATTTGCAAACATTCATTATAGGCTTAATAAGCTTACATAGCACAAAATCAATTTATAATTCATAATCGAAAATATAACAAAGGAAAGCGAAGGGTACAAAATATCGTTTTAAAACTACAGATTAAAACTATAAATTATTTATTTAATAATATATTTATAAGCTATTTCCAGCTTAATCACCCGCTAAGTAAGAAAAAAATTTCATAATTAATAATAATTCAATATAAACTTTTTCTGAAATTTCGAAATATTGTTGAATTATTTATCAAATTTTTATTAATCGATTTGGAATAAAATTTAAAAATTTTCCATTTAAGCAAATCTTTATTATAAAATATTCGGGCAATATTAAAATTACATTGTAACATTATGGAACGCAACTAATAAAATTAATTTTCCTAAATATTTGATATAAGTAATGAATTATGGATAAAAAAAAACGACAAATTTGATGGAATGGATGTAGCTATTTGAATTTTTTTCGTTTTAATTTTCCTGTTTTCCGCATAATTTGAGAAAATAAATCAAAAAAAAAGAAAAAATTCTGGTAAAAATGAAATATTGCTGATTTTGGAAAATCTACACTTCTATGCTACATTACACTCTATGCTCTCAAAATAATCGCCTAATAACCAATGAAGCAACCTGAATTACAAGTGATGAGTAGCACTGAACAAAGAAGAGTAGTAATTTAGGCAAAATCCGTAGTATTCTTCAAAGATAATGGTGATAAATGATAAAAGATGTGCAAAACTATATAATCTTTGATGATGCCGATTAACTGCCTTTATCATAAAATTTTTTCAAATTTAATAAATGTTTGATGAATGATTGTAAGTAACTTTGCACAGTTTAAAAACTTTCGTTACTTCCACTATCGCTTTAATAAAGGTTTTTGTGGTGAATTTCTAGGAAAAAAGAACGTAAATTAGTAGTGTAAAGTTTTTCGTCTTTTACGGGAATATCAATTCGCTAAATAATGACGAGGAAGCGAAAACAAGTAAGAAAGCACGAAAGAACTGATTTAACATTTTCATCAAAAATTTATTTATTTCTATGATAAAAATGGCGATTGTGTAATCATTCGGCGATATTGCGTGAGGCGAATATTTAAGTTTTTTTTATTATTCTTCATAATGCGAACATTCGTTTTTTATTTTACCTTTTTTGAGGGCAAATGATAAAAATCATGAACGCGAAGGAGTGGAAATTCGTAAATAGGAATAAATAGGAATCACCATGAGATCTTCTTTCCACAAGCAAACATTCTTCTTGCATAAGTGCGCATTATTTTTGACATCTCCAGTGCTTACGGGTGAGAAGCCAAAGGTTCATTTGAGGATTGAATTAGGCGTGGATCCTTAAGCACCACTCGGATTTCCTTTTTAATTGCGGACACAAGGGGGCACAAACCGAATCTATATCAGTCAGAAGCAACATTTCTCCGCCATGCTGCACCTAAAAATAAGTTTAAAAAGTATATAAGTTAAAACTATTAACTTATAAGTTTAAAAAATTATTTGTCTATCTTCCCGAAAATGGCGAATGTTGCAACAATTTTAGTATGCTTTCTGTCTTTATAGTGAACCATCTCCATAACCATAAATAAAAATTAAAAATTATGATTATCAAAATTCAGTCGTTTCAGATTGTTTTGTTTTATCTTTCATGCTTAAAAATGATATTCCTTTGCATTTTTGCTTTTTTTATTCAACAAGTAAACAGTTATGGTTAGTATTTTATTGCTGTAAATTTGTTTTTTATGTATATGCAATATCAATAATGTGTTAGGCTGCAATTAGCAATAAAACTAGAAATACAGGTTTTGTACTTTCATCAGCAATTTTATTTTCTTATTTTCCCCCTATTTTATGAGCTATTTTATGGAATAATACGAATAGAGTTTACAGACTGCTTTATTAATGCAGAATGCGGTCCTTTCGGTGTTTGTTCAGCAGGGAGATGCTTCGGGGAAGCAGTGGGTCAGTTATAATTTCCAATTCGATCTTATTGCCATTTGTTGCAATATGCATTAAAATTTAAAACATCCACTTAGCCATAATTTCTTCATTTTTAATATTAAAATTTTTGTTCTCTAAATTCCTAAACTCTGAATAAAAAAAGAATTCCCTAAATGAGCCAAATTTAGGACGAATATGAAGGGCAATTTATTGAATTTTAAAGGTTCAAATTGTCTTATAGCTGTCTTTCATATTGTAATTTGGTTAAATATTTATCTCAGATTAGTCAGGATTAGGATTTGTGGCTTTGTGGTGGAAAGCAAAATCCGTTTAAAGGAACAAATAAATCGAAATTAATTAAGGCAATTCATTTTGCGAACCTGGTTGGATGTTTAGCCGAATATTCCACGCTTGCTATTATATTGTGAGCTTTTTTATTTATTCAGAAGATTGTTAATCACAGAGTTCGTGAGTACCTTTGCAAGAATTTAATTTAATTTCGAATTTAATTCTTTCAAATAAAAAATTTATGGGTAAGAAAAGATAATATTCAGAATAAACACTTGGATGAAAGCATTTTTCCCACAAGCTAAATAAATTTATTCGACAGGGTAGCGGCCCATATTCTTATGCGATGGCAAGAACCACTTGCGTCTTGCTGGGCGCTTCACTCGCTTCTATCAGTTCTATGGCCGAAATGATGTTCATTAATAGTAAGCTTAATTGAACAATTTAATTCAAGTATTTTATACGTATAATGTTTCTTTCTATTGAATTATTTATTATCTAGAATAATTTATTAATATCATGAACATGAGAGCAATATGGCCAATTATTGCTAAGACTACCATTTCAAAAATGCCATGGTTCGGACCCTTTCCACAAGAACAAACCTTCTCATTAAAAATCAAGTCCGAAATATGCTGAAAAATCTATATTGCCATTTTCTCAAAAGACCTTTGTAAAAAGGTTTCCATCCTAATAGTTGATAACGAGCCAAGCCATAAATGGTGACTGCTATGGGTAGAAAAATGTTAGTCTGATTATTCTAGGCAATATTGCATATTATAGAACTTTATTGAAAATTATGGTACAATTTCAAGGCTAAATCTAATTTCGACGAGTTTTTTTAATATAATCTGCAATATTGTTCATTAATATTTACTTTTTTAAAATTAATAATTACTTTTCTTATTGCAATCAAGAAGAATAAAGACTATAATTTTGAAAAGCTGTGTAAAATTACTATTTTAAAAACCAATTATTTTCATCCTTTTCCAGCTTAAATTCATTATTTATTTTTTATTTTAAAATTAAAAAATTAGTCGCTATTTAAACAATACCATTATGTCATTCAAAAATGCCGTTTTCGAGTCGTTTGTGTGGTTTTCCAAGAATATAACTTTATTGAAAATTTTTATTCTTTAATAAAAACCTTAATAATTAGCAAACTTTTAAAAAAGTGCATCATTTATTCATTTATAAAAATCTGAATTTCTGGAAACAAAGAACTGTAGAAAAGTGATTTCTACTTTTCCTCCTGTTCTCCTCCTGTAGATCCTTCTGTTTTCTCATTCTATTCGATAAAATTGTTTCTCTTTGATAAAACTGTCGAAGAATCGAGAAAAATGATAGTCTTTTGGCTTGAAAGGTTTGAGAAATATGGTAGGTAGAAAAGGCCTTCAACTCGAAAAATTTTCGAAAAATGGTCTTTGCGACATGTTGACATGCATTATCATGCAGAATGGTAGGATCTCTTAATGCACTGCTTTTTTTGTTATTTTTGGTTCCAGTTCCTTATGGTCCATACGACTCTATTAGAAGGCATTCCTATTTGATAAAATAGATCTGAATTGAAATAAATTGCTTTTATCGTGATACAAAAAAAAATCTTAAAAATGTGATGGCTGATACCAAAACATGATTGCTTTGGTGGCTTCCAAGGTTTAAACCAAGGCTTCATCATGTGCTTCATTTTCACTGAGGTATTTAGATATGGTTGGATCATCGCCATATTGGATTGGACTACATAAATTTGGTGAGCAATGGATATGGGAAGATGGATCGCCGTTTTTATTCGCAAATTGGCGATCTAATCAACCAGATAATTGTTGCGGTGCAGATGTTACTTGCACGATTGTCAATTATCGCGCTAACAATGGTCAGTGGGACGACGCTGGTTGTGTAAACGTGTGGAAAAATCCAACGAGTTTTGTTTGTAAAAAAAGTTTTTATAATATGCAATGAAAAATGCCTTTCGAGATAAAAGAATTGTGCGAAAATAAACTCTTCAAAACACAATAATTCTCCTCATTTTTGTCCACTTTTTTTACTTCTATTTCTCCAAATTTCGAGCGAAACGGCTGAATATTATAGTCAACGGCAGCGAACCTAATCAAAAATTGTAAATGATTAGCAATTGGTTTCCATGGTTCTTTGAAGGACAGTTAATTAATAAATTAATGATATTTCTCGACCAAAGTCTCATAATTTGACGAAAATTTTTGAAAATTTTTCAAAAAAATACAGATTATTATATAATATTCATCATAAATAAAAAAGCAATGATTCCTTTTAAATTCTCCTCATCCTTTTTAGCGTTCACCATTGTTGACTGAGTTCTACTGGTTCTCTCAACTTACACTGCAAAATCTCATGAGAGCATAGTCTCAGATGGTGTCTACAGCATCGCACTTTTACAACAGGTTTACTCCTGCCAGTGAAATGGAAATTCTACTAAATAAATAAAGTTCCTTTAAGATCTTTGTTTAATATTACGACATACAATTAATTTTAGGATTTTATAAGGGAACTTAGCCATATATTCACTTTCTTGAAATCGCATTATAAATTATTGCGGAAGAACGCGAATAATTCCATAGTTTTTCTAGTATGAAGTATTCATTGACAGGAAAATATCATAGAAATTCTTTTATGAATGAAGTCTTAACTAGCTTTTAATGAAAATTAAAGTCGTTCAGCCTAATAGGAAATTATTATAAATAAACATCAAATTATATGTGCCATTCATTTCTTTCGTTTTAAATTTACTAAATATACATCTACTGTTTATGACCTATCTAAGTATCTAAGTGAAATAAACGCTGACCACAGTATTATTACTAGGATAAAGCAATTTTGCCAGAGAGCAGATTGGAGGTAGAAATATAGATGAGTTAGATAGATAACGACCATTTCTGCTAGAGGCAGAGGTCGAACTCCTATTAAACTCTTATTAAAGTGATAATGACAATCGGCCAGACTTAGTTCATGTGGAAATTTTTAATGCGAAATTTAATAGGGATTATTTGAAAAATAAAAATACAGGCGAGTACCACTACCAGCAGCACTCAGGTATTTTTTCAATCAAAAGTTTACTCCTATCAAGGACAAGAACTGAGCTTTTCAGCGCTATAATCTGCCTCAATATTCATCCCTCTTTCCCAGGTCGTACTTCCAAATATTAATAAATGTGAATGTAAACATTTCCTTCTGCCCCGCGCATTATAAATATTAATTAAATATTAAATATTTTTTTTTCAATTTAATCGAAATATTATATATTATTATTACTTTATACTTTTCAGAAGGAAAAATTGATTTAAGATGGATTAAATACTCTTGAAACTATTCATTTATGTATGTAATCTGATAATCTGAATCCACAAACTCTAATTTTCTTCTAAGAGAGTCATAAAAAATGGTTTATGACGGTAATTTCATAGAATATTTCTGGTACTAAATTGCTTACAGAACTTTAACTGAAATTAATTTGAGAGCAAATTTAAAAAATTCAAGCATTTATTATGGTTATAATTATAATTTTTATATTTTTTCTTCATTTCTATTTTTTTTCTTCATTTTCATTATTTTATAATTTCTGGTGAGGAGGGAAATAGAAATAGTGGATCGTAAAAAAGTTTGATTTAGTGAGATGCTTTAATTCCCGTGAGGGAACCGACGTTGAGGACATTTTTAACCTAAGCAAGTGGCTCTCATCGTTTTTTGTCCAAAGACTCTCTGGGAAATTTGCTCACTTCTGATGCACCCTTTATTCGAAAAATTGTACTTTTAGTGAAGAGCAAATAAAAAATAAACTTTTGTTAAAAGCTGTAATCTGAGGGGATTTGAAAACGTAAGTCAACAAATGATGTTTTCTTTTTTGAGAAAAGTTGCTTTATTTAAAAAAAAATAAAATCACAGAAAAATAAATAGTAAGAATAAAATAAAAGTTCTTGGAAACTATTTCTATAAGTAAGAAAAAATTGCACATGCTTTGTAAAAAACCACTCAAAGCACTCTTCGCACAAATTTGGAAAAAAATTTTTGGAACTGTTGGTGAGATGAAGGAAGGTTTTATATATTTGGAAATTTGCGCTTCAAACTGAGCAATAGCCCAACTCTGTTCTTTACTTCCTTCCTCCTTCGGCATTCGACGACGTTGTCGAAACTTTGGTTTATCGGCCATTCCCAGTTATTATCGATTCTCGGTGTCTATCATCTTGCCCACTAATCCATAGCACAAGACATTGTTTTTTAATTGACCATATGATCTGCTTTGAAAACTACTGGCCTGAACAATACGCTTAGGTCATACTTGTATTTTATAAATTTCGCTTAAATTTACTTTTAAATATAAAAGATATAAAAAATAAAGAAAAGAATTGCGAGAATAAAATATTAATTTTCGTGTACACAAAAAGAAAAAATAATCAAATTTGCGTGTAATTTAAAGAACAGCTGATTAGCTGAATTTAGTCGATTAACAGTCGATTCAATTTGAACAAATTATTAATATTAACAAAGAGCATTTGTAAGATTGATAAGCAGTATAATCTCAGAACGGCGCCGCTAATTTAATAATTTTTTTTAAAATTTTGCTTATTTCTTTTATACTATTTTGTAGGTTATTTTATCAAATCTGATCCAAATTAATTTATCTTCCGTATGAATTCCTCCTTCGATCAGATTCACTCTTATGATGAAGCCTGAAGAAGAAAAAGTAAATCTATTCGAATGACAATTTTTAAAAAATTTTCCAAAACAACATAAAAAACTCATAATCCAGATGTTATCGTTCGTATTTATTAATGACGCACATAAAAAAAAATCTTTTTTCATCCTCTGGAAATCATCATCCTCCACCTCTTTTGTCAGAGGCCTAGGAGTGGGAGGAGTTTGAGGGTCCTGCATAATGTAGTAGCTGTTTCCAGAAGTCAATGCACTCTTCTGGACAGAGATTTTTCTGATTCTGGAATCTGTTGGAAACACTTTTCAGCTTATACCTCATAGCTCTGAGTGCTCCTACAACCACTGCTTTTAGCATTTTAGCATTTTTTACATCTTCTCTAGCTCTCCTTATAGGTCCAACCTTCTCATATTCTTTCTTATATTTTTTTTTATACTGGTATTGCTATATATCTTCTTATATTTTTTTTACTTGCTATTGCTATATATCTATACCTTGTTTTCTGGCCTTAACAATTGGTCTGTACTTGCTTGTCCATCTGGATCGGGAAGTCCCACAAGATCTTGGCTTTCTCATTGCCCACGGTTTTTGTTGGATCCCTAGCCTGGTTTTGGAAGGGTCTAACCTACATACTTTATATTTCCTTATAAACAATGCCAGCTGTTTCATTATGTCGTTCAGTAAGCTCTGCATGGTGTAGTAGTAAATCCCTCTGTTTCTACGGATTTAATACTTGGTAACACTTGGTACTTGTTCTTGCTATTATGATCCCCTTAGTATTTTAGCCCAACTTTCTCGAACTATAGGGTTTCTCAATCTCAGCCATATCTCAGTATATCTCAATATATTATCTGTCGGTGGCACATTCCATGGAAGATCTTGTCTTGCCATGGCACTTCTTCTGCTCGGTTTTTCTCCAGTGTCTGTTGATGCTTGAGGCATTTTCTCAATAGCTTAATTTTTGATACCATCTTGATATACTTCTGAATGTGTCATTCAGGTTTCTAGGCCTTCATATCGACAGTTTTTCTTTAACCACTTTGCCAGCTGCGTATTTGATGATTGACACATGTTGATAGAGTGAATTTTTCTCTTTGAAATGGCTCTCTATGATGTAATTTTGTGGTACCTGGGTTTTGTTGTCTTTTTATCATCATGGACCTTATGAATTTTGGGACGATTATAACTAAATCATTCGTGTCACTACTCCTTCCTATTTTCCCTCACTTTATTGTTATTCAGCAACATTTTTTCAATTCAGTTAATTAATTTGTTAATAATCTTTGTAAATGTGTTAAATAAATGCTTTTATATATAATTGGTTTATATAACCACATAAAACAGGCAACATGTAATTGGTGATGGCTTCACGAAAACTGCATATTAATTTCTAGTGATTATCTGGCTTAGGGGATTAGAAGAATGTCGAAGTTATAAAAGGAAAAATATATCACTTGATATATGCCGCATAGGCATTTATGCGATTATTTTTGAGCTTTTTGATTTCCACTGTCGTCTTCCTGAGTTCTTAATGAACTCTGTCGGCTTTGCATAACATTCTTAAATATGTGGCGCATTGGGCCACAGACTTTATAGTCCATTCAGACTAGATTGGTCTTCGGAGACTTTGAGCGAATGCTTTACCTAACATTTTGATATTGTTCTCAATTCCTTTGAGCTACATTGGCATATATGGTCTTATAATTTAGCATCTATAATACCTTTCCATATTGCGGTAAGGCAGATTATTGGCGGGTAGTGGACGATATTCTTCCCACATGAGGATCATTCATGATCAGTACTATCCTTCCCTGTGTTAACCAGTCTTAAGACTCTGCTGTCAACAGATGGTTAAGTTGTTGTGTTGATAAACATTCATGAACTGTTTTTTTCTTTTGGTGATAGATGTGGATCATATCTGACGTTAATTTTACTTCAATTTTGTTTGTGATCCACTGTATCTACTACTATGATAGTAGTTGGTTCTCTGGGAAATTGAAGTGCCTTGTCCTCAGCTCCTGCAACCACTTTCATGTATTCTTGTATTCTTACAATTTTTGTTCAGTTTCTGCTATTGGTCGCTTCGCTCTGCTATCACCATGTTGATGCATTGCATTTGGCTATTAACCACTGCACTGAGTACACTCTGGATAATTCTTTAGAGAGAAGCGCATTTATCTTTTTGGCCTTCTCCAGTGAATCTTTTCAGCCATGAGCAACTTCCAGGGCTTCTGGTGTAGTGTATTTCTTGTATATATATATATAATAGAAGAATATTTTAAAGAATTTTTAGAATGCCATTAAATCAAATGGTTAGATACGGTGTTTTCGGTATATACATGCTAGAAGGTGCCACCATAATCATTATAATAATATTTGCCGTGACTGCAATCACTCGAATTTCTGGATTAGCATGCAAATATGCAGTAATTTTAAATCAGGTGTGCTTTTTAAAACTTGCAATTGTTCAAAACAATTTAGAGAACCATCGATTTGTAAATTTGTGATTTTCAAGAAATTTAATATCATAGTATTAAGCAATTTATCACATTCATTGTCTTTTCTTTATGGATTTAAAGTGAAAAGTTCCATAAAAGAATTACCATAAGGAAAATTATAAAGAATTATAATTAAAAATTATAACCTAAAAAATTATAATTCTTAAAGTTAACCGACAATAAATTTTTCTTTATTTCTAATTTTTCTCTTTATTTCTGAAAAATTCATTTCTTTACCATTAATTTCTAAACATTTTATTGAAAAATATTCGAACAGGATTTGAGCTTATATTTATGTTTATCAAACTTTTGAGCTTATATTTATGTTAATCGACAAATGAGTGGTTTGAATTGAACCAAATAATTTGAAGCTTGTCGCACAAGCAGCTTCTGGATTTGCACTTTTCGTCGCTGGTTTTGGTAGAACAATTGTTTTGCTTGTAACTGAAAATAAACCAGTAAGTCAGAGACACTGTGCTTTAATGCCTTGGAATATACTTTTTGCATGGTTAGCGATTCAGATTTGTGGAAAATTAAATTTTCATGTTTTTCATGAAAATTCATGTTTTTCACCTTCATTTTCCTTTTCTCATTAAATATAGTAAAAATGATTTAAATTGGAAAAAACCAAGCTTTTATTCCTTCAACAAATTTGTAAATTTCTGGATCAGCTCACTCACCAAGTTTATACGAGTAAAATTTGAGGTCAGAAGGAATGACGGCTTTCGCTATGGCGATTGTTGGTACAGATCGCTTAATTTCGCTTGTATTCCCACTCTATTATTTCAAACATTCAAATCGTTCTCAAATAATTCAGGTTATAATTTTCTCAATATTTTAAGGCCAAGATATGAAAGAATGTTAATTTTAAATTCAATTAATACCCCAATTCCGAAAGTTGGAATTGTTAAAACATTCATCTTGCGAGGAAAATATGCCATTTAACCGAATTTCTACCGAAAGAGTATTAAATTTTCATATTGTTAAATTTTTTTGAATATGAATATTATATTTAATATAAATTTTAATTTTAGATAGTTATTGCGACTGCGGTAATTACCGCGAATCAAATTTATTTGACACTAGATAGTTTATCATATACAGAAGCGAAACATGATCGGCTGTGCTGGTATTTTCGGCTTTTGTGATATCTCCTTCAATTAGTTTTTATAATTCTAAATTACCTTCAATTTTATACTTCTAAATTTTTTCTGAGTTCGTGACATAATTCAGAAATTGGATATCTTAAAGGATAGTAGGGAAGCCTTCAACCAGTTGTTTTGCATTTCCATCGAGGCACGACATCAAATATTTTAGTTTATTGGATTGTTGGAGATTTCTCTGAATGAGGACCAGTGATGGCGAAGATTAAATTTATAAACTTATAAGCTTTTATGAATAAAAAAACCATGTATTATTTCATAGCATCAAAGCCATAATGAGAAAACCTTTAATTCAATGATTTCTAAGTAGAGTAAAATAAATTCAATTTCTAAGTAGCGTAAAATAAATTTAATTTTTTTTAGTTTAAATGAGGAATTTAATTAAAATCCAAGAAAAAAAATTTTTTTTGAAAACTCTTTTATATAAATTTATAAAAATTTAAAAAAATGCCGAGATTAGTCGTGAAACAACATTAATTGGCGTTTAAAAAAATGTTGAATGAGTAAATGAGAAAATAATACAAAACGCAATGACAGTCAAATGCAAGTGATTATTTCATGAAACGAAAGGATGAACTGATAAATTTTGTTCGATAAAGAAATAAATTAAACACCTCGAATCTCCACAAAATCCTCTCTCATTCCATATAAAAGCTTTCTTTAGATGCCGTAGTTAAGACAGAAAATTAGCGAGATGCTTAATGACTATGATCTTTGAGTGCTTCTTTTAACAACAACGCCGACCATTTCTGCTTCGTTGGCTATTAGCTCGAGATTTCTTTGCTACAGAGTCGTTTTGAGATAAATAGTACAAATGATTCCCCAGAATCCCAATTTCTTTAAACCTTTAATAATGAGTTATCGCCAGCGAAGGCAAATTGAACTTATTTTGTGAGAAAAGTTTTTCAAGTAAAAATTTTTGATGCCCAAGAATATCAAAATGATGTTCTTTTAAATAAATCCTAATTTATGGTTTATTTTATTTATTTCTTTTATGTAGGAAAAACTTTGTTTCAAAAATTCTAAATTCCAGGATTCAGAGTAGTATGAGTTGTCGCGAAAAGGATATATTGTTTTACACGAAGGTTATAGTCGGATGTGTTGTAAATATTTGTGTACATATTTTGGTTGGCATTATTACTCGAAAATTTTGGAAACGAACAATAATTCAAACTAAAGTATAATTGATATTTTTGAAAGATATCTTAAAAAAATAAAATTGATAAATATTTTCTTGCCAACCGCTATCTTATTAAATGAAATGCAACGTTATATACCTTTTTTGCCCTAAGATGTAGCTTTTTTCAAGAGGAACGAAAAACGTAGTTGAAATAAACCTGATAGGTTCGGTAGCGCTATATCTATTTCAAATGAAGCCTGTTTCAGACCAAATGAAGCCTGATAAAACTGAATTTTTTAAATCTTATTTTAACGGTTTTAAGTTGTTTTTATTTCAGAATAAAGTCACCATGGCTTCCTTCCGAAAAAAACAAATCGAATTTACGCAAACCATATGTATATTAAGCATATTCAACGTGGTACTTTATATGATACCAGTTTGTTTAGAATTTCTAGTTGTACAAGGTGACAAAACAACATTCGACGAAGCATTTGTAGCTTATTCGAAAATCAGCATTAATTTAAATCCAATAATTTGTATTATTGTTATTTGCGCACGACAAAAAGACATAGGAAATGCCGTGAAAAAATTGGCTAACGACATCAAAATAGGAACATACATAGAAAAAAATAACAAAGTAAACGATGTTGTAAATACTTCCTCCAAATTTCGATTGACGAAAAATTAAATGTGCAGAAAAGTCAGTCAGTTCACCGCAAAACTAAAAAATTGAACAATTTAAGTGAGAAATTCATTGATCGTTCGCTATATTCGACCATTTGCGTAAATACAACTTGTTCCCTTTAATCTAATCGTAATTATAAGTGTTTATGGATATTTGAAGGGGTTGGTGATCCCCAAATGATCCTAAATTAATTTAAGACCGACCGAATTAAAATGGATGAAACAAATGAGAGAAATGTCGAAAAAAAGAAGAGTTATCAATACATTCAATTGTTTCCAGGGCGAAACTAATGGGAAAAATGGTGATTTTTATTCGGAGCGCTACTTAATAAACGAATGAATTTCTTTGCAGTTCACTTGGATTTTCTCTTCTAATGTAGAAATTCTTGGCCTAAGATTTGTGCAGCGCTTTCCTTAAGAATCCCTGAATTTAGCTGGGAGAAAATTTGCTTCTTTTTTTTTTCTTCATTTCTATTAATATTGCAATTATAGTTAATTATAGTCTTTCGCTTTCAAATTTAGAATTTAATTATAAAAGTGAACAACAAATTAGCAGTTATGCGATTTTCAGCTATAAAAATCGCAGATATATTCATATCAAATTAATTTTCTATGATGTAATCTTATGTATTTTATTTGTTGTTTAAAAAACTTGTCCGAAGGAGAAAAAAATAAAATATCGCCAAGAAAATTGAGAGCTTTTGCAGAGCTTTTGTACATTACATGAATATTTTGTTAGACTTTCGATAAAAACTTCGCACTGCTTCTTTAAAGGGCTCTATAGAGCTCTATAGATTTTCGATGAAAGAGCTCCCACCGCTCGCTGCATTGCGTAATTTTTGAAGACATATAAGATCCGCTTATGCGTTCAAAAAATCTCTCGTGGCCATATAAATCCAGATCTTAGGTTTACGCCTCTTCCATTCAATTCTTATAGAGGAATATAGGTTAAATCCTATGATAAGTTACGAAAAACATGGCCTTAAATAAAGTGAAATGGATAGATGCAGCCGTGTGAAGTTCCATCCGTTCGGCATAAGATTTTGATTTTGCTTAGAAAAGAATAACAAGAGATAGATAGTTCTTTGATATCTTTCATGCCAATTCATCTTGCTTTGCAGCCATACAATAGAATTGCATGTAGGCGAAATGAATTTCAACGCTGAGGCTATTCCACAAAAAATCTTCCAGCTGTAGCTATGTGGGATGTAATTCCGAGGTATCTGGTATATTGAAATTGAAATTGACAAGTTGTCACGTGAACTATCATCGGCTTCTGCATATGAGACGAAAAAAGTAGTAATTCTCATTCTCATGAGTATTGCACGGTCGCAAATCTGTTGCAATACTCCAATTAAAACGGCTGGATTGTTAATATTTTCATTTCTTCTTCTTCTAACAGCTCTCACATTACTGGTTAGGCTGGCTTCAAAGGCTACAAGGGTAAGACGCTTCCAAGCGGCGCGGTCTGATGCCATCGTCGACAGCAATTGAAGCCATTCCTTTTTCCATCGTCTAAGTCCATATATCGATGCCCCTATATGTTCAAAATCTTTCCGGACTGTATCAGGCCAGGTCTTGGCTGGTCCACCTCGCTTTTGATGCCAACTATCACACGATTTAGCAAATAATTTCTATTCTTCTCAACTCCTGTGGTGGATGACGGAGAATGTACCCTAACCAGCGAAGGCGGCTCTCTGTGATAAAATTATTTATGCTAGTAGTGTTTGAACGAAGGTAGATGCGATCATGCGGATTTTATCCACTCGGCGAACCTGTAAAATATACCTTAGACAAGATTGGTCAAAGGCAGATAACTTCTTAACATCTTCCACTCTCATTGGCCATGTCTCAGAACCATATAGTAAGATCGAACGGATCGAACGGCAATATAGATGCGGTCTTTCGTTTTTATGGTGATTTCACGTCGATTCCATAAAGGTTTCGTCAATCGGAAGAACATATTTCTAGCTGCCGTGATCTGAGTTATATTATCATCTTTTGCCTGTCCATTTGGCATTAGAGTGGACCCAAGATATTTGAAATGAGGCACTTCCTCAACCTGAATTTACAAAAAGAGGCATTTTATCAGCTTCTTGCACATAAGACGAAAAGTCTTTAGTTTTATTTACATTGATCCTGAGTCTGATTCTTGCTGCAGTTTCTGACACGTTATTTAGTATTACTTGCATTTCATTATAACTGTCAACAAAAAGGACTACATCATCAACGTATTTAAGACCTGTGATACGATGCTCTGGACTGATTTGGACACCCCCTGAGTGCCGACAAGTTCTATCCTTGACTGGTCACAGTTTTTATTCCAAAGAACTCTGTCAGCTCCCCATATACAAAGATCTGTACCGAAATGCGCTCATAAGATGCCTTTATGAGTCTAATGATTTTCTCTGGAACACCATCACGTTCCATCATCCGCCAAAGCGCCGCTCTATCAATTGAACCAAAGGCAGCCGCAAAATCGATGAAACACGTGACAGTGGGTTGCAAATATTTGAAGCGATGTTCCCACAACCTTTTTAGTGTGAATATCTGGTCAGCACAACGCGCTCTGAAACCAGCTTGATTAGGGCGCATCTTACTGTCCCGTACTGCCATAAGTTTGTTGAGTATTGCCATAAGTTTGTTGAGTAAAAGAGAACCAAAAATTTTTGCTTATGCGTATAGTAGGCTGATTCCTCGATAATTGTCCTATCACCTTTCTTAAGAATTGGGTGCAGAATTGCTTTGCTCCAATCATCTGGTAATATTTCTTTTTTCAATACTGAAGAGTGAATTTGTTGAAGATACGTTATGAAGGATGATGAACAGCATTTGAAAAGCTCAGCCCCAAGACCATCTTCTCCTAAAGTTTTGTTGGCATTATGGATAAGCTTATGGATAACTGAAATTATTTCTTCTTCAAATGGAGGCTCGCAATTGCAAACTGACATTCGTGTGCTGACATTCGTGCTTTGGCAGTTTTTTTAGATAATTAGACAGTTGCTTCCGATACCCAACTAGCGCACTACTAGTATGCCCTAGCGTGGAAGTGGCTGATTTTCGGAAACATTCCTTTAGTTTGTACCAGTATTCATTTGCCGTTCCAGAAAAATCATTGATATTTGTATCAATGAGATGCTTCAGTAATTCGGTTTGAAATGCGCTCACTGTCCCCGAATTTTTTAGTTTGAGATAGTTGAAGGAACTTGGAACTTGGAACCTGCTTTCTGCGAGTTGTCAATTTTATGCGGATCTTGGCTCGAACCATAAAATGGTCGGATCCATGAAGATTGCCCGTTTCAGCTCCGCGATAGGAACGGCTATTTACAGAACTCTTCCAAAGGCGACTGACTAAGATATAATCAATCTGGTTGAAGTGTTGGTTGTCCGGGGAGTTCCACGTGACTAGATGTTTTCTATGATGCCAAGTATTAATAACAAAAAGTTCATGCTCTTCGGCATAACGAAGAAGACGTTCCCCATTGGCACACCGGTCTCCGATGCCATATTTGCCAATTGTTGAGATCATCGCAGCTGCATTATGACCTCGCGAACATTCCAGTCTCCTCCGATTATGATCATGTCATGTTTCGGTAGAGACTTTGTTAGCAGTTGAAGTTCCGCATAGAACTTGTCTTTATCACGGTCATCTGCCGACAGCGTTGGAGCATAGAAACTGATGACCGAGATATTACCCTTAAAACGGGCATAAGCCATACGGTCGTTTACCGGTTTCCACTCAATCAAAGCGGAATGGGCCTTGTCAGACATGACAATCGCTACGCCATTTCGTCCCGAGTTATTCGAAACAGTGATATAGCCAGTATCTCTGCTCTAAACCAGGATTAATAATTTCTCGATACCCAAAGTGAGGAAGACGGACCTCCGACAAGCAAGCGATATCCACACGATATATAGACAGGGTGTGGACAGTGATCGCTTGGCTTGCAACGTCCATAAGCGTTCTACGCTGCTAAGGCTAATACCTCGCCGCGCGTGAAGAGGGTTGTTCCTCTTCCTGATAGGTTTCGAGCAATTACCCTGGCTTGAGAACACATTTTATGTACCATCCTTGGGATCGCTTCAAGCCCGGATTGTAAACTTATCGCATGATAATATAATATTACATAATATTATGAACTAATTTGTTTTTCACATAATTGTTGTTCCACTGGCAGCGAACGATAATTAAATTTCTCGCATTATTAAATAATGAATAAAGGGATGTAATCTTTATATCAATCAGTTTCAATCAGTTATTTTCAAAGACTATATTGGTTCCATACGCACAGACTTATCATATCAAGTAATGCCGAGATTGTTGAGAAGTAAAGGTTGCTTTGGAACCTATTGTTAAGAGTAAATTTTTTATCCGAGTGGTATTTAGCGATTCCTGCTGCACCTTTTTCCTTGTTAAGTCATCATAAATCTTTTCTTGAAAGCCATTGCAATAAAAAAAATTATGGTAAGTTGCCAATATTTCAAAAGATCTTCTTTAATTTAAATAGTTGGTCAGTATTGCCATGCCACGCTGTTATGTACTGCTATGAGTCCATTTAGTAGAAGAGAGGAAAAATGACAGACTGATTCATCAATCGTTGTCAAAGCATGTCCTTCTATGTTTTTTGGGTGAACAAGATTATTTTATTCCAATCACTTGATGTGAATCCTACAGGTGTCTTCAGAAGGTCAAGTAAAGATATTCTAAGAAGATTTTAGTCTGACCGATGCTTCAAGTTTTTCCCGTATTTATATATTATTTCTTACTTTCTTAACTTGCCTCCATATGGCTCGCAGATGATTTTTCATGTTTTCGATAGCATATGGATTTTAATTTAGGATTTTATAAGGAAGGAGGTCTTTAACGGGCATTCTTTAGGCCATTCTTAAGACCACTGCTCGAATTGTGGTTATTTTGCGATGGAGGTCGAATCGCTACTTCAACATCAAATCATTCCGATTCGTATCATTTCGATACTATCCCACTATTGTTCCACCATGCCATTCTTGATTGCTATATGCTTGACGTGTTGAATGAATGCCACATATGCTTCGTTTATTATACAAAGTGACATATCAAGGCGCTCCTTCCTATACAATTTTACCGATGCATGTATTTACGTGGTGATAAACAAGAGATAAATGAATGAATAGAAGAGATGATTAAAGATTTTGGAATTATTTTTAATTAATATGCATTTCTTTTTGGATAATGCTACGACTCTGTTGCCAATGATTCAGTGGCAAAATTTGCTGGATCGAATAAGTCAACGAAGCGAACCTAATGGTGAGAAACGGTGCTCTGCGAAAAAATTTGAAAACTTAAATGAAACAATTGAAAAATCAATTTGCATTTTATATTTTTTAGTTGTTTAATTATCCATAAAAAAAAGCGAAATTTTGTGTAAAATCTTCTTAGCTGTAAATATTGTTAGATTTGCTTCATCGATTTTTCATCTTAAATTTAATATCCATCATTCATTCCATTGGATTGGATTTGTGTTTTTATTTTTATCCATTTAATCCACTTTATTTTTAATCTTTATTATGCATTATTATCGTATGCAAATTATAAATGGGAAATTATAAATCGCGACCTCGAACATCGTGTGCAGGTTTCTATGCATTCTTTGCAAGTAAATCGAGTAAAACATGAAACTTTGTTAGCAACTGATTACAGAATTATAGGAGCAGAGAGTAGTAAGCAACAAGCATTAACAGCGATTTAAGATGGTTTTGCAAGACTGTAAAGTTTCCTTGTTATGACTGGGGACGTAAGAATTTGTCACACTGAGCAATTAAGCGTAATGATAAAATGGGACATTTCTTCTACTACTACGATTTATACAGCATAAATTTTTCCATTACTTTTGGTAAAAATCGAATCAATTTAAAGTCATAATAAAAACTTAACAGATTTTGTTTAATTCTTTATGACCTAAAGAGAATCAATTGTGGAACTTCAGTTTGTAGTTGATAAGGGTTAATGGGCTTAAAATTATTTCTTTAGTTGAATTATTTCTGAATTACTTCCCAGAAATCATTCATTACCTCTGTTGAAAACAAAAAATTATTATTATTATTTATTATTGCCAATAATGGAAATTTTTTAAGATGAATTAAAAAAGAAAATAAGTGAAGGATACGCAGTTATAAGATCGCGCTTAAACGACGATATAAAACCACGAGTGGAATGTTGGAATAATTTGCAGAATGCTTGCTTGTCTGTGTTATTTTAATTCTTTTTTTGTTGCATTTTTATAAATAAACTTTTTGCATTCGAAATTAAAGCGAATGAATTTAGCGATGGTCAATTTTTTTTCACCTGGAATTCACTTAGAAAAAAGATGAAATGGATTGGATTTTCAGCCAAGGATCATTGAAGAATTTTGAAGAACACTTCGATATTTGTAAGACTGATGAAAGAACCGACGATCATCTTTTGAACATTCTTCACCTTGTCTGTGCTGGTTACAGCGAACAGGTTTTGATATTACATTGTTTATAAATAACATTGGCTGCTGCTAGGGATGCATGTTCATTTCTGTTCTATGTGACCCTCTGGCTCATTTCCGCGAAGTCCATGGGAGTCAATCAAAGCGTTCTCCTAAGAAAAAGGAAAAGAAAAAAATGATGTAAAACGGCGAGCGAAGGAAAAGGGAAGGGACTACTTTTGGATCGGTACGCTTCCACTCTTTAAGGCTCTTTTATCTCCTTCATTAAGACATTCTACTGACATCTTTGCTTCATATCTTTTCTTGACTTCCTTTCTATTTTCTTAGTGAATGTCGTCACCTTATAATATATGGAATTTTTTTGCTAATTCGTTATTTGCATTACTAAACTGCAATGCACCAATGTATCACTCTGTTTTGATCAAAGCTGTCTTATCAATCTCCTCTTCATTGATTATTGGTTGATAAACATTTATAAAACAATTACAATCCACTTTCCACTTCTACGACCCTCGCACTAGCCTTTTTACTTTTGACGTTTCGCAGCAAAAAAAGAATATCGTCGCCAAAATATTGCTAAAATTAGGAAACACATATTTCTTTAATATTGTGGGTGATTTCACTGGCTCATTTACTGAAACGTTTCCAATCTCCCCACACCTTCCTTACTTTTCTTCAGCGAATCATCCACACTGTACTTTGCATTCATTATTTTTTATTATATAAATTTTCTAAAATTAGCCTTTATCAAGTTTCGAAAAAAACAAATTCTAAAAATTAAATTTTTAGCAAAAGGAGAAGTTGAATTATTTGCTTAAGAAATGCAGTGAACGCGATTTGCTCAATTCACTTTTGAATCAAACCACAAAAAATGGATTTACAGCAATCCATATTGCTGTTTATAAAGTTTTTTGCTTTCTAAATTTTCAATTTTAAAGATGATTTGCGAAATTTCTGCAACCTCCTAGATTCTGAAACCGGAGATTTGTTTGTCTGAATTTCTGGATTTAGTGTGAAAGAGAAACGATTGAAGAATTATTATTGTATGGAGCAGATATAAATTTTGCTGGGGATGTAAATCTACCACCAATTCATTTGGCTTCGATGTGTGGTAATATTGATATCGTTGAATTACTGGTTGATAAGGGAGTTGCGCTACAATCTGTCGATTTCGTCCATTTTAGTGCTCTCCATTGTGCAACATACTTCAATCATGAAAAGGTTTCTTTGGTTCTAAATAATAAATGCAAAAAATCATAATTTCGGCAAAGTTAACTAGAGATAATTGTACTGATGAGGTCTAAAGGTGTAAATTTATATTTTATACTGAGTGGTTATGAATTTCTATCACTACATAATTTTCCCATAGAAGGATCTCATTTTAACACTCAGCTAACCCAGCCAAGCTAGAAATTCTGCTAAAAGATGAAGAGGAAATTTGTATTCAAATGAAATGAGAAAATTAAAGATGAGAAAAATTAAATTTAATTTGCAAATTTAATTTATTTTGTAATATATTATAATATATTACTAATTGCACATCTTTTGTTTTTTTTTCTTTTTCTTTAATTTAAAAATAAAGAATAGAAACAAATAAACAAATATATATATATATATATAATTTATAATAATATTAAAAAAATAATATAAAGTATTTGTCTGTCTTTGACAGGAGTAAACCTGTTATATTAAAAGTCCGGGTGATTGCTGGAGACCATCTGTGACTCTATGGTGAAAGGGTCAAATATTCTTGATACGGGATCCGCGACTTCCGACGCGCATGATACTTCCAGCCCAGTGGTACTTACGACAAGTATACAATCATGTCTGACAAGGCCCATTCCGCTTTGATTAAGTGGAAACAGTATGGCCTATGCTCGTTTTAAAGATAAGAATAGAATGATAAAGATAAGTTCTATGCGGAATTTCAATAGCTAACAAGGTCTCTACTGATATGATCATAATCGGGGGAGAATGAAATATGCGCCACAATGCTGCTGTGACCTCGACAATTGGCAAATATGGCATCGGAGAACGGTGCGCCAATGAAGAACGTCTTCTTCTTTATACCGAAGATCATGAACTTTTTGTTACTAATATTTGGCATTGTAGAAAACGTCTAGTCACTTGGAATTTCCCGGATAACCAACGCTTCAACCAGATTGATTATATCTTGGTCGGTCGCCATTGGAAGAGGTCCGTACTAGATAGTTCCTATCGCAGTGCTGAAATGGGCAATCTTTAGGGATCTGATCATGTTACGGTTCGAGCCAAGATCCGCATAAAATTGATAATTCGCAGAAAATAGCATCTTCCAAGATTCTTAAACTGTCTCAAACTAAAAAATTCGGGGCAGTAAGCGCATTTCAAACTGAATTATTGAAGCATCTCAGTGATACAAATATCAATGATTTTTCTGGAACGGCAAATGAATACTGGTCTAAATTGAAGGAATGTTTCCGAAAATCAGCCACTTCCACGCTAGGGCATACTAGTAGTGCGCTAGTTGGGTATCGGAAGCAACTGTCCAATTATCTAAAAAAGCTGCCAAAGTATTAAGTGATATTAGGTGATCCTGTCTACCGGATGTTTCGAAGATTTGCAACGAAAGCAGGCAGGCGGGACAGAAATCACTATTGGAGTGACATAGCCTTGAGAATGGAGACGATGGCTCGATTAGTCGATAATAGGAAACTATTCCGTCTTCATAAAGCAACTAGCAACTTGGGGGAACGATTAGTAAAATGGTAAGGGACGGCAATGGTGTACCAGTAAAAAATAAGGGCGGCCTCATAAGATGGAAAGAATAGAATTTGAGGCCAAACTTAACCATGAAGTGCCATCCGTTGCCCCTAATATAGCTGATACGTTCGTCGAACCATACGTCTAACCACTAAAAGAAGAAATAATCGTTATCCATAAGCATAAGGCCAATAAGACTGCGGAAGAAGAGGGCATTCGGGTTGAACTCTTCAAACGTTATCCTTCATAACGCATCTTCAACAAAGTACTCTTTAGTATAGGAAAAAGAAATATTACCAGATGATTGGAGCAAAGCAATTCTACTCCCAATTCTTAAGAAAGGTAATAGGACAATTATCGAGGAATCAGTCTACTAGACGTCTCAGCGAAAATTTTTGCTTCCCTTTTACTCAGCAATCTTATGGAAATACAGAATAGCAGGACGCGCCCTAATCAAGCTGGATTCAGACCGGGGCGCGGTTGTACTGACCAGATATTCACGCTAAGAAGGATGTTGGAGCATCGTTTCAGATATTTGCAACCCACTGTCACGTGTTTCATCGACTTTGCGGCTGCCTTTGATTCAATTTATAGAGCGGCGCTTTGGAGGGTGATGGAACGCGACGGTGTTCTAGAGAAGATCATTCGACTTATAAAGCCGTTTTATGATCGCAATTCAGCGCAAGTCTGTGTATATGCGGAACTGACAGAGCTCTTTGAAATAAAAACTGGGACCAGTCAAAGACACCATTTGTCGGCACTCAGGGGATGTCCAAATCAGTCCAGAGCATCGTATCACAGGTCTTGAATAAGCTGATAATGTATTTCTTTTTGCTAACAATTATAACGAAATGCAAATAATGTAAATAATATGTCAGCGACTGCAGCGAGAATCGGACTCAGGGTCAATGTAAATAAAACGAAAATTTTTTCCTCTTATGTGCAACAAGCTGATAAAATGCTTCTTTTTACAAATTCATTGCCGGTTGAGGAGATAATCGATTTTAAATACCTTGGATCCACTCTAGTACCAAATGGCCAGGCAAAAGATGATATTATAGCCCAGATCACTGCAGCTAAAAATGCGTTCTTCCGGTTGACGAAATCCTTATGGAGTCGTCGTGAAATCACCATAAAAACGAAAGTCCTCATCTATATGGCAATGATTCGTTCGATCTTGCTATATGGCTCAGAGTGGGAGATATTGAAAAGTTATCTACTTTTTGACCACTCCTGTCCAAGAATATTTTATGGATCCGTCGAGCGGACAAAATCCACATGATCGCATCCACCTTCGATCAAACACCATTAGCATAATAATAATGTTATCACAGAGCACCACCTTCGCTGGTTAAGGCACATTCTCCGTCATACACGACAGGAGTTGACGCAAATTTCGTTATTTGCTGAACCGTCTGGTGATTGGCGTCAAAAGCGAGGTGGGCCAATCAAGACCTGGACTGGTCAGGAAAGATTTTGAACGTATAGATGGACCAGCAATATATGGACTTAGACGATGGAAAAAGGAACGGCTTCTGTTACTGTCGACGATGGTATCAGACCGCGCCGATTGGAAGCGTTTTACCCTTGCAATCGTTGGAGCCAGCCTAACCATTAATGGTGAGAGCTGTTAGAAGAAGAAGCATATCTCTCTAATGAATTAATGAATTTATGAAATTTTAGATATTTTGGAGAAAATAATTTTTATTAATTTAAGAAAATGAAAATGTTTAAAGAAAAGAGTTGATAGTTATGAATAACATATCTTTGAAAATATATTTTTCAGTTTTAATTTGTAATAAAAAATTTTTCATTGTAATTCTTATTTTCTGTGCTAATCTAAAAAACGAATTTCGTATGAAAGGACAAAAATCAATATATTATATTGTTGAAAATGAAGCAAATCGCTATCTTTAGGTCGTTCGGTATTTGCTAAAAAGAGGAACAGATCCGAATTTCAGTGGTGGAGCTGGAGACCGAGCCTTACATCTAGCAAGTAGCAAAGGTCAATTAGGAATCGTTTCGGCACTTTTAGAAGCTGGAGCTGATCGTAAGACTTTCGTGGAATTTCTTCAAAGCTCAGGAGCCAATAATTCTTTCTCGGACTTTCTCCTACATTCCAAATCTGAATAAATCTGAGCACTGAGTATTTTCAAATACTGAATTAATTATTTTACCTGTCAAACAAAACAAAATTTAAGCAACGTTAGTCGATGATGAAGGAAATACTTCGCTACACTTCGCCGCGAAGACGGGTCATATCGGAATTATAGATTTATTACTGCTCAAAATTGATATAACTAATCAAGAGGCTAATTTTTTCGAATACATTATTATTTAATTTTAATGGTACTAACCATTAATTTTGGCCGAAATCTAAAAAATTAAAAATATGCTTCCTATTGAGTACCGCCAGGAAGCCAAACTTTTCTCCTATCCACACGAAAATAACTCGAAGTATCTCATAGTTGGAACTGCATTCTGATTATAGCAGCCGGTCAAACCAGAAATGGGAAAAAAATTGAATATTATGAAATGTTGATAACCAGTAAAAATATGGAAAGTTCCACAAGAATTGGGCCCATGCTGATCCTTTAATTTCCAATCATTTGGAAGTTCATAGGCTTATAGCATAAGTTCCCAAGTTATTTGAATCCAGTCGAGTTATTTTTCGAAGGTTTTATCTAATTTTTATTTTATTCTTCGCCATTTCCTTGGCTATTATTGTTATTGTGCTTTTGAACAATTTTTTATTTATTTCAGTTGGCATTAAAAACAAATATTTACGGTGATACACCACTGCACACAGCTTGTTATGCTGGTCGGTTAGATGCTGTTAAGAGACTGCTAAATGTTACAGGTTCGAATACGCTTAACAAGGTTCGCTTCTGTTTAATTATTTAAATATACTATTTTTTCATATATAATATATAATATATTATATTATTTTAATATATTATATAATATTTTATATAATTCATTTTATTTTTAAATTAATATCACTGGAGTAGCTAGCGGAATATAATTCAGCGGAATATAATTTTATCGCTCCAATGAAATTTAGGAAAACATATTCTCAGAAACACCTCTTCATGCTGCTTGCACAGGTGGCCGTAACCTGGAATTGGTAGCGTTTCTTTTAAAACAGCCTGGTGTTAATGCTAATTTTCAAGGACAAGATGGACATACCGGTATGATTCATTCAACTACACAGTATGCACTATTCTATAAACTATTTATAATTAGTTAGCTAGTTAGATAGACGAATCAACGCAACAATGCTGAGCATTAACTTTTGGTAGTTAATGCCAAATGCTTATTAATTATTGATAAATTAAGTCAAAAATCGCCGAAAGTCCCGAAGGTTTATCGTGACCGCAAGTTTGTTCATTTAATTTTCAAGGAGTTTATTTTTTCCAAAATGTCCCTTTTTTCATTCACCACAATTTTTAATTTAAATTCCTTGATGCAATTTGTAAAATTTTTTCGTAAAATTTATGCACAAACTTTTCTAGAGACTGAAATAATGCTGGAAGAAAATAAAATCAAGCATATATATATATATATATATTAAATAAAAAATAAAACTTGAAAAATTTGCATAAATTATATAAATTAATTATATAAACGATCGAATCTATTGTTCGTTTAATACTACTTAAAAATACTACTTTTTAAACATGCAAATTAAAATTATATAAATATTAATTCATTAATATAATATTAATAAATATTAATTTAGCGCTTCATAGTGCATGTTACCACGGCCACCTTAGATTTGTACAACTTCTTCTGGAAAATGGCGCTGATCAGTCGTTAACAGCTCGTGCAAATGATTGCCCTGTTGCTTCCGTGGCAAGTAACCATTACATTTTGTGCAACTGTCATATTGTTATACGATGACTGTCATATTGCAATTCAGCTTGTACTCGGTTAGATGGAAATGAATCGCTGCATAATCCAGTTTCATCGATATTAAATCCGAACAATGAACAACAGCAACAGACACCTGTAATTTGGGCTTATGAAAAGGGGCATGATCAAATAGTTGCCTTATTGAAATATTATGCTAATAAACGTCCAGATTCTGATGTTTGCTCCGAATATAGGTTTTAAATTTGTCTTTTTAACCTCACCTTAAAAATTTTCCTTTATTGAATTATCTATCTCGTTTTATTACTATTTTCGGCATATCATCCCACTATTTTTCGCCATCATAGAGAAGAACAAGTGTGTTGTTACTACTCACCATTTCTGGTTATTGACTGCATTGATTGGATCCTAGCAGAAGTCCTAGTGTTGTCCTAGTATTAGTAAGTAGATAAATTTATATATATAATTTTCATTGCTTAAATTCGATATGAAAAATTTTATCACATTGTATTATGCGAATATATTTGATGAATTTCTAATTATTTTTTGATTAGCCTTTTGTATTCATGCAAGTATTTTAGCTCGGGCGATAGTAGCTACACTCCTCTACCAAGTCCACTTGGTCGATTGCGTTCGATGACGAAGGAAAAAGCTGCTGTACTTCAGCTAAGAGCGTCATTACCCAGTGTATTTCATTTATCACTCGTCGATATCGATTTCCAAGTAAGAAACCTCAAGATTAACACCACCTCAAGATGATTATGGCTTCATAAAAAAAGCAGGAGAAAGGCAAAATTCATCAAAATTTCTAGGAAGCAGTTGGTAGTGGATCTTTCGGAAAAGTATATAAAGGAACTTATAAAGGAAGAACCGTCGCTATTAAAAGGTAAATAATGTAAATTTGTCGCTCGTAAAATAAAATTAATAAAATCCACAGTAGTGACAAGAAAAAGAGTAAAGTAAAAAAAGTATAGCGAAGCAACCATTGTTAAACGAATCGAAATTTTCAATTTAAGTTAGTAAATTGGACCAATTAATGAATTATTTGGTGCCATTTAAGCAGATGATTAAAATCGAGAACAAATCAGAAACTGTTATAAATCGGAAATGTTCGATTTTACGATATATCTTCTTCAATATAGGTACCGAACAGTATCGTATGGATCGAAAACTGAAGTAGATATGTTTTGTCGAGAAGTTTCAATATTGAGAAAATTGCAACATCCCAATGTTATATGTTTCGTTGGCGCTTGCTTGGAGGATCCAAGTGTATATATATTTATTCATTCTTTGTAATCCTAGAATTATAAAAAAAAAATTGGAATGATTTGTCGAAGATTTCGAGCATGGAACATTAAAAAAAAATTTTTTTTAAAAATAAATTTTATTATTTCCAGCAATTTGCTATAATCACAGAATTCGTCACCAACGGATCGCTTTTTTCACTTCTTCATGAGCAAAAGCGGTCAATATTTTCGTGAAATTCTAGTTTTTGGAATCACAGAGTTAGGAAAACTTTAATCGTTTACTCATCACTTATGCATAATTCATTTAAAGAATTACTTAAGGTTTACTGTGAATAAATTTTTAAAAAAATTAAGCTAAATCAATGAAATTTATAATAATTCTATTTAGAGTTCTTGAAATGGCAATGCGATTAAATATTGGAGTTGATGTGGCTAAAGGTATGCGATACTTGCATGAATTACCAAAGAATCCGATCATACATCGAGATTTGAACCCGCATAATATTTTGCTGCATGAGAATGGAAGAGCTATTGTTGCCGATTTCGGGGAATCGAGATTTCTGACTCAGAATGACGATGATAATATGACTAAACAACCTGGAGTGGGTTTTTAAACTAATATTTTACCCTTTTTAAAGTATGGCTAGACTTTTTTATTCGAAGTTCATAGAAGTCATATTTAGAATCTGCGGTGGATGGCTCCAGAAATTTTCACACAGTGCGGCAGGTACGATAGAAAGGCAGATATATTTAGTTACGCTCTATGCATTTGGGAACTTCATGCTACTGAATTACCTTTCGCTCATCTTAAGCCAGCAGCAGCTGCTGCTGAAATGGCATATAAACGCGGTATGTGGTGTTTTATTATGATATAGTAATCCAGCAACCTATCCAATGATATCCATCATTTCCGCATTTTCAGGTCGACCACCACTACCAACGGAACCAACTGCACAATTTCCAGCACATATCTTGTCTACGATAACAGTGGCATGGCATCATGATCCAAAATCACGACCAGATTTCGTGGATATTCTAGCCAATATAGAGAAATTCGCTTCAAACACTGCAAGCTTTGAAAAATTATCAAATATATCTGAAACGAACAGAATCCTTCCTTCAGTTTCTGCACTGAAATCTCAATGGGAACAAAGAAGTATATCAAGCGGTTAGTAATCTGCAAATGATCTATTGTATAATATAACAAACTTTGAATTTATAATGCCAGTACAAAAGATCGACGAGAAATATTTCTTCACATCAATGCAGAGATATTAAGCAAATCTTTTCCTAAAACAAAGCGATTAAAATACTAAAAAAAGATTTGGAAATTGAAATTAAATTGAAATTAAAAATGAATTTCGATGGCTTAAATTCTAATGATTTAAATTTTATAATAAAAAATCCATTCCTCGTCTTCCGTGGGTGATATAGGTTATCCATCTGGAGGTCCTTTATCAGAGTCTTGAGATTTCTGCGGTAGATTTTCCTAGCTGCGCGTTCTTCTGGATCGAGATCTCTACATCTATTCTGGGGATAGGATGGCTTAGTGGGTTGTTGCTCAGTTGGAAGCGCCGATACTAAGGCTCTATTCCCAGCAGGATTAAATCTGTCCCAAAATCCGGGTAATGTTGGCGACTCACCTGTATTTCTATTGCCAAGGGACTCCCTGGCATATTTGTCCAATGCGACCAGCCAGCGGAGCAAGTCTAACCAGTAATGGTGAAAACTCTTAATAAAAATAAAATAAATACATCTGTTTGCATATTGGCTACATGTAAACAGGATTTACAAAAAGTTTCGCCTGATTGTGTTGCAATTACAAATTTAAGTCGGTTGATTTAAAATCAAAATATGGATTAAATTATCCCTATAATTTCAATACATTTCAGGTAAAACTTTTTGAATACACTATGTGGACTTATCCTGTTTATAAATATCTCCGATTTATTCTAATAAAAATTAAAATTGAAGGACTGGCAATAGGAGGAAATTCTTCGTCAGTTACATTACATCCTTCGTTGACCATCGATGAATTAAAACAGCGAATCGATCAGAATGGATATATATCACAAATTGATAACTGCTCGGATATTAAGAGCGTTAATATGAATCGTTCTTTTAAATAATGGTCGTTTTATGTTATCAGAAAAATATTCTGATGTGGTTCTGATCGATCAGTTTCGTGCAACAGTATTTAAAAATTTTTTTAATTATGTAATAAATAAGTTATTAGCGTTGGCCATTTTTGGTTAGGCTAATGGTCGCTGTTAGTACGATTAGGAAATTTGTCCGACAGTCATTTGGCGACAGCAATAGAGCATCACCTGGGTTCTTTTAATAAAAGATTTACAACACCATTTCAAATTCTGCACTCTTTCGTGCTCTGAGCTGCATCGCTGACACTTTGGGATTTTGGGTGTAACGCTCAGGCGGTTTATGATTTGGTTTATGATTTTAAGATAACCATTTATCACCTTGATATGAGCATCAAGATTTGGAACGTCTCTTTGATAGAAGCGAACACATGCAAGTGGATACCTCATTAAGCGGTCTTATCGCCGACAGCTAATGCAAACAGCCAAACGAGAAATGGCCAACACTATTATTTCAGCAAATTTCAGCCAATAGAGGTTATATAGGAAATAAAAAATTTCGACAATGAAACTCACTGTTATCAATCGAAATATGCCAACTTTTCCTGCAAAACATTGGTTATCTATTTATTATGCAAGTATACTGGTTACCTATAAAGTTATGCAAGTATACTGGCTACCTGGGGATAAAATGGTTCAGTGGGTTGTTGCTCAATTGGGAGCGCCGACACTAAGGTTCTATTCTCAGCAATAGTAAACCTGTCCAAAAATCCTGGCGACTCACCTATATTTCTATCGCCAAGGGACTTCCTTGACATATTGCCCAATGCGACAAGCCAACGAAGCGAATTTAACCAGTAATGGTGAGGACTCTTAAAAAAAAATACTGACTACCTATGAGTTGTGTGGGGAATAATTCGATGATTCTTCACTTTTAGCTTTTTATGCAAAATAATGCGCAGATGAAATGTACCCAAATACAATTAAGCAAATAATTAAGCTCAGCTTCTGAATGTGGTAAACATCTCCGAAATGCGAAATTTAACTAATTAATAACCGTAGATTCCCTTTACTTTTCAATTTCTTGCAACAAATTCTGCAGCGAAAACACTTGCACCTAATGCATATCTTATTAATAACATTATGTGCGGTAAAGGAGATCGCAGGAACCTTTTCGTCCGAATTATGAAGAAAACGACAGTTGGAATAAGTTTTGCTGGAATTTGCTGAAATTTTAAATTTTTAAGTCGCTGCTTCTTTGCAGAAACAATGGTATTGCCGATCTTCCCCTTTAAAATCTTGTTTTTCCTAAAACAAATCATAAATTTTCAAGTTTAATAAGTTTATCTACCGAAAATCTTCTTCAGATCCATATCGGAGATATAATCGAAGTTAACGTCGATGCAAATTTTCACACTCATTGCTCAATTTTCTATAATCAACGAACACATGCAAAATCTTTATTAGCAAAAAATGCGAACGAACCATATGAAGAAATATATATGAAAAGCAGTGATCTCTCCTATTCAACAAATAAATTATGCAGAATATTAATCGACTTTAAATCATTTTTTGGTAAAGCAACACTGATTTATTATAAAACTAATATTCTGCATTTAACTGATAAAAATTCATTACAATAAGAAAATGAAAAATTTCAGAGAAACATGCTAATGAAATTATTAAATTATAATTATCATTTATCAGACAATTAAAAAGTGACGTTAAAAATTCTGTGTAAAGCAAAAATATTAGTAAAATAATAATTATAATTATTAAAATGTTCCTTGAACCAAAAAAAATCACAGCTATAATAAGAAAAAGAAGGAACTTTAGTACCATATAATTAAAGGGAAAATGCATGCACAACTATATAAAATATGAAAAAGCTAATCACATTTTGATCATAAAGTCTGAACGATAACTGCAACCATTTTAATGAATAAAAGATGAGCAAAGAAATTTGAAATTTAAAAATTTGAAATTTAAAAATTTAATTTATTCTAAAAGATATAAAAACAATAATAAATGCGATCTAATTTAACAAACTAGCCGTTTCACTAATAATAAAAGAAAAGTTATAAACCAAATTCTTATCAATTTTCTTATCAATGAACGATCGATTAGCTGATTCGATTTGAAAATAAAAAATAATGCTCTTGAACTGATAAACGAAACATAAAACATAAAATCGGAATGTATTAGAATGAAGAAAATGGCAATAATAGGCAAATAATTTAGTAAAAAAATGAAGTGAAAATAATTTAAAAATCAATTTAAAAAGACTATTAAAATGAATTTAAAAGACTATTAAATCATGGAATTTCATCATCATCAGTATTATTACTTATCATATTATTATCACTATTAACGACTGAAAGAGAACCATTCAACGTGTGCAATAATTCATTTCGAACACAGTCGCTTAAAGCTTCTTTGATTACGGCTGACATTTTATCAAAAAGTCGAGAAATATGGATTTTGTGTTCAATTGACTGCTTAAAAATAAATTTTGTTATTAATAGTAAATTCATCAATAGGGATATATCTCCAAACCTCCTAACTTCCTTAAAACTTATGACATCCCTTAATACTTCTTCGAATCACGGTATACCGTTTCAACACTCGTTAAAATCGAAATTCCTACTATTTTTTCTCAGTGTTCTAAAACATTCCTATTAAACACTCTTAAGACCCTTGTGTTCCTCATTATAGTTTGCCATAGTGGTGATGAAAAAATGAGCCAGAAAGTAAATAACAGGATTTAAAGTTAAATTATTGAATGACCGTGGAAAAGACGCTTTCCATCCATAAAAATTAGAGAAGATGACGATTATCTTTCTTTCGAGGTTTCATGCCCTGTTTTTTCCATAGTACTAACCCAATCATTTTATGATCCAGCCTCATTCTCAAACATTATATACTAATACTGGTTCCGTTAATTCCGTTAATTGCTAGGGTGAGATCCTTGCACTAAAAAATTAATAACAGCAGAAGGGCTAAGAATAGGCCATCGCCAGTCCATTTCCATCGCATTTTTAAGAGATCTAATGAGATCTAATTCTGCTGAACAAGAATCACGCTGCTCGTTGCAAGGAATAAAAATATTATCGTCTCAGTCTCCCAACATTTACAATAACATATTAAAATTGCGATAAAAGGCATTTTACCAGCCTAGTAGGCATGAATTTGGGTATGATGAAGCTGAGAGATCCTTTCGAAACGAGAAATGGCGTCCGTTAGGATTGTACCCTTTATTCCACAATATCAAACTGTTATATTCGTTCTGTTCGATTTACTGGATTATGGATACTGCTTGCCGGCACTCAAGAGATAGTCCAGATATAATAGAATTTAGATAGCTGATAGTGCTTTTTTTGCTGATAATTGTGAGGAAATGCAAGAGATATCAACAAAAGAGCAAAAATAGGACTCAGGATGAACGTAAATAATGTCGACACAAGATAATATTGATAATATACCTATTTTTATGATTATATGATTTTTACTATATTTTTACTATATTTACTAGGTTAAAGAATAAGTATTTTAGAGCTATTATTATATCAATGGCTGAGCGAAAGGCTGAGACTTCAGTCAAGATGACCGCAGCTTGAAATGCGTTTTTTAGTCTGGCGAAACCTCTGCAGAATCGCGTGAAATCAAAATCAAAAAGAAAGAGCAAAAAGAAAGTTGGCATCCGTCTGGCACAATGCATACCATCTTGCTATATAGCTATGGAAAATGGCCAAGGAGAACGGAAAATATTAAGAAACCATCTAGTTTTTAATAACTTATGCCTAAGGCACAATGCTCGCTAAGCCGTTAAATCTCACATGATTGTATCCTTTACTCAAACAAAAATGTTTACACTAACAATATTGCGCCATCGCAGGAATTTATGCATATTTCGTCAATTACTGAACTTTGATGGATTGCGCCAAAAGCGATGAAAACCTAGATTAATACAGTCAGAAGAGTTTGAAAATAGAGACATCTCAGCTACATATACGCTAGGAAAAAGGAATAATCTCCCAGGCAATACATCGTATTGAACGGCTTGAAGATATCTTACTCTTATAGTCAGTGAAGCCAATAGTAATGGTGCAAGTTGTTAAAAAATTAGAAGAAATATTATAAAAACTAAAATTAAAGATCAGAAAGTTCGCAAAACACTTCATAAGCATAAAATTAATAAAACCTGTTCAAGTTTACGTTTCAGCTGCGCAATTTCATCGTCACGACTAGAGATTAAAGCTAAAAGTTCGATATAGGATGGTTCCCCTGTTGATGCATTAAAGGTACTATCCGAATGACTACCAAACCCTAAAAATTTGCGATTAGTATTCATTGAAATAAATAAAAACATTCGAAGTCAAGAGAAAATTTAATCAACAAACGGCATCTAGCATCGCTATTTTTTCCCAAAATTAAGGATCCTATTAAATCATTCGCGCCTTCGGATAAATTCTTTGTTATTCGACATGAAGTTGTCGATGTAATACGTGAAAGGAAATCTGATGTCGAAGAAGATTCAGAATCGAAACTGAAAACAGAACCGAATCTAATAACAGCTTTCTTCCTCAAAGATTCTAATTTCTAGTAAGACCAGCAGTTCCACTACTACTCCATTGATGTGCCATCCGACAGCATAAAAAATGAATGAACTTAATTTTTCTATTTGACTATATGAAATTATTATTTGAAAAAAACTGAACTTACTCAATTTGTGGACTTTGCACACTACTATATTCAGTTTGGCCAACTGTTTCGTCCTCCATTTTTACTGATTTTAGTGCACTTCCAAAAGTTGACGGATATTTTCTCTTATAATTAGCACAAAGCTTTTTGATTTGTTCAACGGTTAAATTTCCCAATTCAGCACCGTATTTCTCATTCGTTAAAGCAGCAATCTTCTTCCAAAGCTCATTTCTTTCAGCGTTCATTTGATATGACCTTTAATGAACGATGTCAGAGCAAAATGACCACATTCAAGGTTACTCATTTATATTTAACTAAATAGCGACTGCCTATTTCTCAAAAATTCTTCCAAGTTTCTTTTTTCTTTATAACCCCAAAAGGAAGAAAGCTAAGCTTTTTAAACTTAATTTCAAAGTTAAAGGCTTAAAATAAGACAGTTTCCATAAATAACAATTAATTTAATCGATATAAAATTTGTCACTTGTTAAATCAAATGAAAGTGATCAAAACAACAATACGTGAACAGATCAACTTAACTAAATAATAATTTGATTCTAATTCCATTTCCTTATTTTGGAAACGATTCGCTTATAGCGCTAGTGAACTGCACCGAGAATAGTACCTGATTCGCCAGCGTTTCTGCGGATCATTTCTAATCGACTTTTCCGTACTATAGAAATTCAAATGATTCTTTTAAGATATTTATATTGAAATCCCCACTTATAATCATTGGGATTTTCTTGGGTATTCGGAGTAAAACAGCATTCGGCATTCTCAACAAATTGGGCCAATAAACTCTAATTTAATTGTTTTTGCAACAAGCTGATAAAAATATAAATAATTCCATTCTCCATGAATGCTGTTTGGCTCACTGAGAATTTTTCACTGAGACAATTAGTCAAGTAGTGTCAATGAATTTATTTGTTGCAGATTTAAATTTATATGGGGACTGATAGTAATGACGCGCCTGATAAGACTATTAAGGATCGCCTCATTAGGTAGAAGAAAAATTGAAGCCAAACTTAACCATAAGAAGCCATCTATTTTCCCAGCTCTAGCTAATTCGCTTGTCGAACCATACGTTTGCAACTTCGAACCATCAACAGAAGAGAAAATAATTTGTTATCCATACGCTTAAGGTCAATAAAACTCTCGGAGAATTTTCGAGCTTCGAACTTTTCAAATCTCTCTCATATCGCATCTTCAACAAATGTACTCTCTGGTATGGCAAAAAAAATAACCAGATTGAAGCAAAGCCATTCTGCTTCCAATTTTCAAGAATAGTCTACCAGAAGTCTCTGGAAAAATTTTCGCTTCCCTCGAGCTAGATTCATGGCAATACAGCGAGAAGCGTTCTAAGCTGGATTCAGACTGGGATTCGGTTGTGCTGACCAGATATTCACGTTAAGTTAAGAAGGGTGTTAGAACATCGCTTCAAATTTATGCCACCCATCGCTACGTGTTTCATCGATTTTGCAGCTGCTTTCGATTCGATTCAGTCGATAGTGCTCTGGATGGTGATGGAATGTGATAGTGTTCCAGAGATCATTTGACTCATAAAGGCGTTTTGTCAACGTACATTGGCACAGTTCTGTGCATATGGGGAAAATGACAGAACCTTTCGAAATAAGTTCAGTATTCCACAATATTCTATCCTCTGGACTGGATAACATCAATAGGACCATCAGTGCGTGATCAGCGTTGCTTTCGCTGCGTTCTTCATCTACAACAGGAGTTAAGAGTTAACGCCTACTTGCTAAGACTTATGATGAATGGCGTGAAAAACGAAGACCAGTCGAGACCTGGACTGATACAATCAGGAAGGATTTTGAACGTATAGAAAAACCAGCGATATATGGTTTTAAACGATGGAAAAAGGAATGGCTTCTACTACTATAAGCGATGGCACCCGTCGGACAGCTTGGAGACTCCTTCTTGTAACCAGCGAAACCAGCCTATCCAGTAATGCTGAAAGCTGTTAGAAGGGGATTGACGATTTTTGTTCTATTATTAATATTGTAATACCATTCTTCCAGGTAGAAAGGTAGGAGGTTTAGAATGGACGACACAATCAAAATTAGGTATTAGGTATGTCCATAATTTGTTTAACATTCAGCTATTCAGCAAAGTACCAGAAGGAAGACCGTATCACTAGATCTCTGAGTTTCGCAAAAGAAACTGGCAATCTTCACAGACCGCATTATAGATCGAATTAAGATCTGCATGAAACTTCACAGAAGATAATGCCCTTCAAAATCATTCAACTATCCCAATCAAAAGATTTTGTGGATAAATTAGCGCATTTAAAACCAAGTTATCGAAATATCTCAATGATATAAATAAATGGAGTCTTTGAACTGGCCAATAAACATTGGACTAAAAATAAGCAAGATCCATGCATGCCAGAAAATAATGCTTGAAAATGCGCTAGTTGGGATTCGATCCAACTTTGCGAAAGACCATGCATGTCAGGAGATCCCTAATATATGGGAAACTTGGTGCTAACATTTCCTAAGCTGGGTCAAGTCAACTGTTACCAAGTGGGGTGTTCTTCTGACTGAGGTAATCACAGAAACGACTTTTGTCCGCTGACAGAAGCAAGCTATTATTAAAAATGAAATTTACTCTCAATTCTTTCTGGTGCAGTGATCTCACGTTAACAGCTAGTGCAACCTGTCAGAAATGTTACTGTTAGAAAAAAAATGAAATTCATTGGGAAGACTGCAAATTATATAAATAAATTAGTAAGACTTTAATTGCTCATCAATATTTTCATGTAAATCTAAAACAACCTCGAATTACTCTCGAATACTTCGAATTTTTCGGCCGTTTGACAAACAAACATTGCGCGTTCCTTCTTTTGTTGATTAGTAATTGGGATAGGAGTACCACTAACAAGGCCATCTGTCGATGTTGACTCACGGCTGAAGGTAAAATTTCGATGAACGAATAAATGAGTGATAAAGAAGAAAGAATATCAGGAAAGGGGCTCGCCGAATTCGATTCCAAATTGCAATGCCAAAGCATCCAAAATTACAAAAATTTGAAATTTAAAAAGTAATAAAAATTATGCAAAAGAAAAAATCTGAAATGAATTTTTCGAAATTGAAATTCAAAAATTAGAATTAAGAAAAAATAATCGAGAAGGAATCCAAAACAATTTAAAAAATAATTCTTAATTTAAGGAGAACTTAAAAATCATACGATAAAATTATCGAAATCAGTATTGCAATTAGGCTTACTAGCTGGCGTCACAATTTATACTGAAGCAAAAGCAAAATCATTATGCTTCAAAACTCAAACAAAGTTAAATCAGGATGGTGCCCAGGAGATATCACCTCCCATTATATCCTCATGGGATTCTCTGAAAATCGACAGAACCAGCCAAACCAGTAATGGCGCCGTCATAAAGAGGAAAGAGATAATATATTATAATGTCATATTGAATCGTAAAAATAAAAGACAAAATTATTTCCACTAACCATTCTTGTAAGAATTTAAGAAGATCGTTTGATGGTTTATCATCTTCGCGTACGATGTTTTCAACGGATCCATCTTTATTAAAATTTCAGAATTTATAAATTCACTTTAGTTTATTTTAGTTACTAAATATTTTAATTCGAAAAAAATTGGAAATTTTAAGCTTAGTTACGAAAAAATTAAGCAACAGGAAAATTCAGTTCAGTTTTACTTTATTTTTTGATCTTCTTTATTTTATAATATAAGATTATAACAGAACAACCTTTAAGAATACCTAGTAAATTAATATTGTCAATTGTTTCACCACTAATGCCTTCAACGACTGGACTGACATGTATCGAATTGATATCATAAATGGAGCCAGAGTCGATGTTCTGAACTTTATTCATATTTCTTGCTACCACTGATCGTCGTAGTGATAAGCACGCATCCGAATTTAAGCCATAATTCGATGGGTCCTTACGTTTATAATACTTGCATAATTTTTTACATTGTTCGAAAGTCAATGGTGTGAGATTTGGGAATTTTTTATTAATATCATTGGTAATTTTTGTCCAAATCTGATTGCGCTGAAGATTTGCAGCCGGTGATCGTGATGCGCTATCCTGAAATGTTAAACTATTAGTGCATATTTTAATACAAAAAATCTAGGTGATGTTTAAGACCACCAATACTTCTATCGCTAAACAATTCTCTGGCAAAAATTTCTAATCGCGCCAACAGCCACTGAAGCATACTTAGCCAGGAAGAGTAAGCGCTAACAAGCACTACTTGCCTACCTGATATAGAAGATTTGAAAATATCGCAAGAATCTACATACCACTAATGCTTCGTATTTGCTAGCCATATTAACAATTTCCATGCCTCGTTCTCGATTAAAGCGATTTGCATCAGACAACGATGGTTGACTGCAAAATTCTTCTCACCAAAAAGACAATCAAATAAATCACAATTAAAAAAAATTATTATATCAATTATTAAATTAACAATTGTTAAATTGTTAAAAATTGTTGTAATTGTAATTTTTATTGAAAATCGTCAATTGTTTAATTGTTATAAAATTGTTAACTGTCATTGTTATCCGTAAAAAACAACTCTCCAAACTCAAAAATAACGAAAATGCGATGCGGCAATTTAAAAAATAATTCTTCATTTTTTGCATATTTACAACGAATTCTTTGCAAAACCGTAAAACGACTGAAAGACTGAAATACTAACGCTTTGTAACCAAAGGCTTGAGCGATCGACTGATTGGCTTTAGCCAAGTCGTTGATTGGTGAAATCGACCTTTTCCCATCATTTTCCGTGCAACTGAAATGACCGAGCTGACCGCAATGATTTATTCATAATTATAAAAATTAATATTTAAAAACAAAAACGAGAAAATTCGGAATATCGTTTCAAATGAGAAAATGCATCGCATTTTGAAGTTCGTTCCTTCAAAAGTGAATTTATAATTTATTTAAAATCAAAAACTTAAAAATAAAACGGAAAACGGAACCTCTTCGTAGAATCGTTCTCGGCGAATCCATCACTCTCGTCACTCTTTTTTTTCTTTTTAGCACTAAAATTTAAAAAAATAAAAATTATCACTTATTTCTTTATTTGAAAGAGAAAAAAAAATTTATTAATCTACTAAAATTTATTTAATAATTTTGATAATATTAAAAAATAAAGTAAATAAAGTAAAAATAAAGAAATTAAGAAATTAAAAAAATTTATGAGGGAAGTGGAACAACTTAAAAATAATTAGCAACAATTAGTATAATTAAAAAAACATGAACAACTTAAAGGCAATGAACTTAAAAGATAACAAGAAAATAGAAAAATAAACAAGTTATGGTCGTCTTCGCTGGTGCCCTCAGGTGACGATCGCTTCAAACTTTTCTTCTCGTCGAGCATTTCATCCATTTTTTATTGCATTTATCATAACAAAAATAACGAAAGGAAGAAATAATGATAAACTGAAATCTATTTATTTTAAATATTATCGAGGTAATAAACTTGTATCACAACGAGTAATTCTTATCATTTAGTTATCAGCAAATCCAATGAACTTAGTTATTTGCTATTAATAGAATAGAATAGAATAAAATGGCGATTATTGAAGAAAACTTGGTTTCTTAACATAATCTAATCATTTCAGTATTTTAAATATTAACTTACGGGTTAATATACAGTAGTGATCACTTGAAGGTGACAAAAAGAATGATAAGAATGAGAATTCTTAGAATACCCCTCTCTATGACCTCTAACCTTTCACCAAGTTTTGCCAAAAAATTTTCGTCACCTCGTTCTGTCACCATAAAACCTATCGTTTCTCATGTGCAAATCGATAAGAATTCCGAAGAGAAGTAGAGAAACATTACTTGAATAAATAGTATGCAAGTTGGTAACGAACTACAGATAAAAAAAACGAGAGATCAAGCTAAATGACGTCGAATCACTATATTTGGAAAGGAGGTCAACGAATATCAAGTGACCCGACCTTTCTGCAAGCAATCACCCATTAATTACATACAAAGAAATGAGAGGTCAAGCTAAATAACATCGAATCACTATATACGGAGATCAAAACAATCGAGTGACCTGACCTTCCCGCAATCTTGAAGCACTCATCAGTTTTTATGCATCACGTATCTCCATATCTCTAAATATATTTTATCAAATCCGAATCATAAAAGATAATTAAAAACTCTTTTCAGAATATGAGCTGAGGGTATTTTCGTTTTCTTTAAATAGCGGCACAAGCCTGTTAATGTTGTCACCAGAGATCCCAGCGGCTATCCGGGTTCCTTTTGTAGTGACAGGTTGGTTCTTTATTCTCATCAAAGGACAGGTGCCAAATCCATGTTTCTTGCACTCAACGGATGCAAAATATGTGCTTCTTTCTCTATTTTGTGTTTTTATAGATCAAATTTATTTATTACCCGGTATTTGTTTAACTGACATGTACAGTATGCATTATTTGAGCAAGACATTTTCTTCGCAACATTTGTAACTTGCAGATCATACTTATATAACTGTGGACCATACCTATACAACCGTGGACCATGCCTATAATAACTGTGGACCATACCTATACAACCGTGGACCATGCCTATATAACTGTGGACCATGCATATATAACTATAGACCATGCCTACTTTTCATTAATTCTGTATGGAATCAAGAGATTCAATCCATTCGAATTTTTTAACCGAAGTTGTCTCTTAGCTTGTCTCTTTGCGACAACTTCCGTTCATCTCATTCATATATATTGCGGCAAGCGACAAGAATCGAACCTGTGAACTTAATCGGATACCACGTGATCATCTTGTACCTTAGTTGCATTCCGGCGCAATTCACTTTTAATATTATCGAAAGTGATAGTAAGTGGAACTGGCAAAGGTACAAAGTGAACGATCCACAAAAAATGGGTTTTATTTGGGATGAAAATACTTCTTATATTCGACAAATTTAAATGCCCTAATTTTGTTTGAATATATCAACTTCTGAATCAGATCGCAACTTGAAGTTTACACCATCATCGTAAGACCGATTTTCGCTAATTTGGTAGGAGGACGGTGAGTCGGACCACTACTGGTTTCTCAACTGGTTATGTCTACCACTTCTTTTCTTTATTTATAATGTATCGACGTTCGCGAATCGACCACGAGCACCAGCGATCTTCCTTTTTCGACAATTTCTTGCTATGCTCAAAGATCTTTTTTCGAGCATTTGTTATTCGAGAAATTATCTGAGGTCATTCATCACTAATGGATGACCCAAGTCGTCCATCTGGCGGATCTGTCTCATCAAAGAGTCAGCAAAGTACGTCAAACCAAAGATGTTCGCTCATTCTGTTGGAAGAAGAAAATCCTTTTGAGTCTTTATCATCACAAACTTTGAGAAGTTTCAGTATTATATTTATATATATATATATATATATATTTCATTACATTTCATCAAATTTTCTTCGAAGTTGAAACATTTATTTCGAATTCCATTTCGGATAATTGCAACAGAAACTTCTTCCGTCCGACAAAACGAAACCTTCATGGAATTCTCCTTAAACCGAGATTCATTCATCATGCAATAAAAGTGGAGAATGTCATCAAAAAACCATATCCTTCACCATTTTTGTTTAAAGTACCATTTTAAATAAGCACCAGCAAAGAATTTCATAGTTTCACTCATCTTCGCACGATTCATTGAATGCACCACCATCTCTATTACCAGTATCGCCACAAAGAGTTCGTTGCCTACGTTGCTTGGGCAATTCCCTTTTTAGTAAGTGAACTGGCCAAAATATCTCTGCCAAACCTTTCGATGGCACAAAAAGCGAGAAGTGAGAAATTTTGAGAAATGCACAAATGTTTAAGCTTGGAGTGTGAAGAATGAAGAAGGACAGGCCCCCATTATTTTCTACTGTGGGGATTTCGGGCCGCGAAAACCTGGAAGTCTCTCTTCCTCATAGCCAATGCAATCCGCCTAGCCAATAACAAATAATATTTAGCGGAGCTAAATCGGAAATGAAAATGATGAATTAAATCAATTTTGAATCAATTTTATTTTAGAAAATAATTAAAGTATAATAATTAATATGAAAAATGAAGGAAATATATAAAATATAAAAGAATAAAAATGGAAGATAAAGTTGATGGATTCTGACGATGACGAAATTGCGAGTTTTAGAATGAAGAACGATCGACTCAAACAATAGGCAATGGAGAGGCACCTCACACAAATAGATACGCGAGCATAAACCCGATTATAAATTAGGTCATGCGATATTGTTCAGGCATTGGGAATGGGTGGGGTGACCAGTTCTAGCAACTGCACAAACCTATTACTATCATTATTTGTATATGTAGAGGTGTACACATGCATATGAATGTAAGTCCGCAGGCATTTTAATTGCACCACCAGTTATAGTGCACGAATCACTGAGACTTTTTTTTCTTTGGATACACTGACCTTAGAGAAAATCCATGAATATTTATGAAAGAAAATTCATCGCAAAAAGGATTAAAATGAAAATCTCATATAAATAAAATTTTTCTCGCCTGAAACTGGAAATTTAGCAAAAATATCCATAAAATAAAGTCGCTAGGTGATCTCAGCCGTTAGCCACGTTATACTGCCCACCTTAAACGATTTCTTGATAAAAATTTTCCAGGTCACTTATACTGCTTGCTATTCCATCTAGACTTCATTCCTTCGTCGACGGGATCCTAACCTTTATCTCTCAATATAGTGGTCCAAACCAGTGTGTACTCGACTATCCCCCTCCCCCCACTCTATTTATTGACTAACCTTCATTTATTTCAACTACAAATGTTAAATAAAAAATTTAAATTAATGGATGAACTAATAATAAAATAATTTTAATGATAAACATTTCTTAATTAAATCCCATACCTGTAAATATAAAAGAGAAGAAATATTTAAAAATAAACAGAAAGGCATAGAAGGTTGGTTGGTTTAGTTGGTTGGTTGGGTTGTAAGGACGAAGCAGATGGAGCGGACAGAAATATCGAAGAAATCAGGTTTATGATAAGGATTCAGTTTACGACCAAACAATTTTCGATGATCTAACATACATGCCATACATTAATATTTATTTTTCGTCGAACCTGTCCATGTCGATGATAATTAGCAAAAATGACCAGTTGTTGAGTTATATTACATTGAGGTGGCTGTGAATGTTTCCACTCGTAAGATTCAGTCTTATCGTTTAGATTTAAAGGAAAACAACGGTATAGTAAAATTTCAGGTATCAGTAGGCCAAATTATTCGATAATGGATTAGAGTTTATAGCGGTCGAATAATATATTACTTTGACTGAAGTTTACGTTTAAGCAGCTTAAGTTCCATTCTTCCTCTTTGCACGAGAAAGAAATTTGGATAATGGTGGAGGGAGGGATAATGGATCCTCCTTTACTTCCATTCCCAAATTACTCTCTGGTGAAAGCTAGGTAACCTAAATGTCAGCCTAGTGGGCAATGGAACCAATCGAATCAGAAATAGTGCTTTTAGAAAAAGAAAAATTGCGTAATATATAAAAAATACATAAGAAAAGCATACAGAACAAAAAAATGCAAATCCACGAATATAATCCAAAAAAAGTTAACGAGACAAATAATTTAATAAATTGTAAAATCAATTAAAATTATTTCTAATATTATAAAATTATTATTTTAAAAATAAAAATCAAAAAATATGGAAAAAATTTCATATTTTTCAAGTAAAATACGAAATAGCTTTTTTACTATTTTTTTAGGCGAATAACTAAACTTAAATAAGAAAAAAAATAAAAAAGGTATATTGGTGATAATGTTGGTGAATGGTGTCGATATTGGTTGGAGAGGGGAAAAATGGTAGAGGGGGGACCGATTCGGAATAATAAAACAAGTTCTTCGTCTCGTTCTTCTCGTTCTTGTTCTCCATCGATGGCATCAATCTATATATAATATATATAACGTATGATGTGGAGAAGGGGAAGAAAGAAAGGAAAGGCATGTGCCATCAGCCATCATGGGTTCGACCCGAACATATCAACTCGATTGTCGGCCTAGAAAGGCATAAATTTATTGAAATAGTGCTTTCGAGACGAGAAACACTGAGATTGAAGTGTTATGATCGCGATGTTGTGATGCTCATGACGCATGCTCACCATCTTCCCTAACACACATCTCACGTTTATTTCCTTTTGCACCAAACCAAAAACAATTTTTAACATCTTTCATCTATACTTCTATAATAGATTAATTTTAATAAATTTCTTATTCTACTTTATTATCACTGATAGCCTTTTGAACTTTAACAACAATCAATAGGCCAGTGAGGTTAATGAGTTGGTTAGCTTGGAGAGCTACTAGTAGGCTAATTAAGAGACCGGCAAGCGGTCGGTTTTTTAGGTTAGACTCGCTCCGCCGCCTGTTAGAAAGCGGATCGAATTTTTTAAAGGCATTTGCTCCCGTTGGAGGCAGAAGCCGAACTCTCATCTCTCAATCTGAGTTACCACTCGGTTATCCTATCTCCTCCATTTTTGGTTCTGACGTCAGAAACAATAAAAAATGGATGATATAAGACAGCTATATTGATTTCATTCATACTTAAAGATCGAAATAGTATTACTGGCAATTTTTCATGGTTTTGAAATTGATCACTTTTATAAATTTCAGGGTTTTTTTTCAAAAACGGTCGTGAACGTTACGAAAACAAGAACAAGAATAAATATCATAAACAGTGGTGTGAACGATAAAGCAAGCAGACAGTTAGATCCATAACAAACATCGATACACTTGCTGGATGGAACTGCAGAATTACTTTTACCTGTACTCCCTCACTCACATCGATACACTTACTGCATGGAACTGGAGAGTCGCTTTTGCCTGACCCCTCTCATTCCTCAGATGATTCTCTGGCAAACTCTAATTGTAAATGGAAGTAACTAATGAAACCAAGCAAATCACATGGCGTATGGTACCTTTTGAAGGGAAATTGAGATTATCGAAGAAAATGCAATTTTTAGCTATTTTATTTAAAATCATGGAATACTACAATGATAAATGACAATGATAACTGACATCAAACAACTATTCTATTGTTATCATAACGAAACGTAAGAAAACTTTCGTTATTTGTAGCAGTTTAGCGATATGAATATGCATTATAAATGTGATATTATCAAATCTATAAAAAACTAACTTTTACATAAAAATTATTTGCAGCAACCTAAATGAACTTCAAGACGACAATATAAAACAGTTCACAATCAATTGCTCGAAATATTATTGTGATAGCTGGAATCGATTTTCTCGAATATAGTATGGACCCACCTGCTGATGTCCAAACGACAAAGCGCTGACGACGATGTTATGCGTTTGTCGAGCCGGGGTAGTAGACAAATTTCTCCTCCAACTATTGTTAATTGTATTTATTGAATTTGCGAATGTCTTATGGAACTCAATCGAGACAAGCAAATTTAAACAATCATAATCCTTCCTCATAATTCTTAGTTCAGTTTGACAAATCGCTATTCGCCAATTTGCACATTTGCCATATTCTAATCGGTGTAGCTGTATTTTCAAGGTTCGATTACAGTCTTTTTAATGGGTAACATTATTATTAAATTTTATTGTCTATCAAACATTTCATGAAAAAATATTTTTATTTTCCGATAGATTTCCTGTACATGGGACTTCCAATAAAACAAACAATATATAATTTGCAAAGCTTTTAATAGTGATTTCTTAACGATAGTGTTTTGATCAAGTTAAAAATGCTTTTCGTCCAGCTTTTTTAAAAATATTTTGTCGCGCGAGACAAAAAATAAAACAATCACAAAGAAAATAAAAATATTAAATAAAAAAACTTTCAGAAAAATAAAGAAGAAAGTTTGTAGATAAATTTTTTAAGAAACATGGTGATGCTAATGATTTCCATTTTCCCTGATTTAATTTTATTATTTTAACTAAAGTTTTTGATCTATTAATTGTTTACAATGAAAAATCGAGAATAAATAAAAATTACATATCCGATTATTCACTTTAACAAATTTCGCATAAAATGACTGGAAGTAGTACTTTGGAAGGGATCACGAATGACAACAGAATCAACTAATAAAAAAATGTTTATAAAAGAATATCGCAAAATATTGATTATTAGACCCAATTCAAAAAAATGACTATTAATTTGAGATAGTACCAACCAGTGATAACTTTCAAAATACATAAAAAAAAATAAAGAATAATATTTTCTTATATATAAAAGAAGTAATTTAGAAAGAAATTATAATGAAAAAATAGAACCCTGTTGTGTATGCCCATCAAATATGAGCATATTATTTAATGGAAGATACTGATGGGTTATAAGTTTTATAGCTTCTTGAGCAACAATTCCACCAATAAATGCTGCAATAACATGAATTTCAGCATTGCCATAACGACACATTTCACTTACTACTTCTTCAGGAACCTTTTCCAGGACTTCTGCGGCATCAATGATCTATAATATAGTTTAAAATTATAAAATATAAAGTTTACGTTTAGGAAGAAATTCAACGGTAAATGAAAACAAAATCTGTTATTGACATAACACTTAGAGATAAGGACAAAACGACGCGAAGTCTCAGGGTTATCACAAAAATTATAGAAATTATCGGCAAATGCCACTGAATGATAAATTATAGTTAAATGAAAAATTTCAATAGTTCATAAAAGGTTCACTGAATGAATAAATTCAGTAACAATAACAATAAATCAATAACAGTAGCAATAAATCATGAAATCATTAAGCCCTTTACCTGACTGCTTTGCAAAATAGCACTGAACCTCTGCTTGAGATCATGGGAGTCAATAATGCAAGGTACACCATTCGTCCCAGGGAATCGAGATTTTTCCATTTGAAATCTTACAAACAAATCATTAATTAATTATATAAGAGAAAAGGAAAAAATAAAGTTGATGATCGAAAAATAATCTAATCGAATTTACCTATCAACAGCTTTAATTAACAAATACCATAGCACCGGAGGAATGCAAAGGACATTAGATATGTGATGCCGAGAAAAATTAGAATTTCGAATATTCTCAATTAAACACTGAAAAAATAAAAAAAAAATATATCATTAAAAATGATACTTTCATTCATTTCACCTTTGATAACATCAATACTCCCTTCAAGACACCAGAACTGAACTCATAAATTAAAAAATTTAATTCAAGCCTAACCTTTTAAAAGAATTTATCGAGTTTCTCATTTGTATGACAAAGCGAATAAAATGAATTAAATCAATCAAAAGCCAAAAACATATGACAGAAATAAACAAAGATGAAACAACTTCATTTAATTATCGTAAAAAAGTTTTGATAACTTACTTCAGGATACTCCATGTTTGTCTCTGATTCTATGAGCGATCCATTTATCACTCTGATCATTGATGCTTTTTTACAGAATTGTTTACAGTCATTGAATTTGAAAAACTCTTGCGAATAACCTTTTTCGTTTAAAATTGAGCAAACATTGCGATAAACCTATTATAAAAATATAAAAAAATTAAAAGCCAATTTAAAAATTATTCGAAAAAAAGAAACGAACTTCTTTGGCATCACAAATAGCTTTTTGACGAAATATTGAGGCAAGCCTAACATACGTTTTTGTATCACTAATCATATCAGGCAATTGCCCCGAAAGAGGTAATTTATTATGTTGCAATACGAAACGACGCAATGCGGCTACATGTATCCAAAATTGGGAATGATCAGGATCGACTGCTTTCGGATGTTCTAAAAGTTCTTGGGTTTTTTTTGGCGTCTGAAAATGAATGAAAAGATTTAGTAAAAAAAGTAGTATTGAAAGATTTCTGTAATATAATAAAATATAATACTAAAATTATTATAACAATTAATAACAATTTTATATCACAGACGTTAAAACATACACATGTCTTGTGTAAAGAACGAATAATAGCAGCTCGACCTTCCGAAAAATTTTCTTCATCATGTAAATTTCCTTCAGCTTTTGGTTTGCGCAAAGACAAATATACCTTAATTAAAAATTAATAAATGAAAAAATTATAAAAAAAGAAATTTAGAAAAAAAGAAAATATAAAAAAGAAAATGGTTCCAATAAACAAATGTTTGACTGAGAAAATATTCAAATTCAAATAAAGAAAAATCTTAGTATTTATTTAGAAATTGTTTATGAATGGAGGAATCACTTGCTCAAAATCCTTTCTCTTCTCATAAGTATCAGGAAATGCATGTTTCTGATCTTGCTTTTCGCGCCAAACTTTAAGCGCCTTGATATAAAGAATCAAATAAGGTATATGAGAATGTTCATCATATTTCAATGAACCCAGATCAATTTCATCCGAAAAACTAGCAAGTTCCTCGAATGGTTCATCAATTCTTAAAGAAAACTATTAGTATTTAATATATTTAATAATTATAATATTATTTAATAATTTATGAAGTGAAATTTTATACATTTGATTCTAAATATTTGCAGTGACCATAATAGAATATACAAACAATAATTTAAGGAATAATTTGTAAATAATTTGCGAACAACTTTATTAGATTTATTACGTTTTATTAGGTTAAACTGAAGTTGAACTTATTCGGATTATTTTATCAAAGAATATTTATTGTATTTTCCCTCTTTATTAACATAAAACTTTAAGCACAAAAAGAAAATAAGAGCAAAAAAATCTTTCATACTGATAAAAAAACAAGAAAAATTCACATATAAAGAAAAAAAATCAAATAAGACCTCTGACCTCAAATCGGGAAGAGGATTTTCATCATGACAGTCTGTAACTGTGTGTTCTTTCACAGATATCCGAACAAATCCAACAAGACCGTAAGACCTGAAATGCCCCTGGATGATTCCAGTAAAACATTCCTGAATCGCGTTTTCCTATTCCATTTTCAAAAAATTTGAATATATGGGTATGACATATTGAATATCAAATTTATTCAAAAAAGAAATTAAAATCAATTTGAAAAACAAAATTTATAAAAATAAATTTGCTGTCTATTGTTAAACAAAAAAATTCGATCAGTTTATCAGTTTGTTTATCTTTTAAATTCTTAAATTTCTTGTACTTTGTATTTTGAAACAGAATTTTAAAAAAATTTTAATAATAATTCACAATTTTAAAACATTTTAAAAAAATAAAAGAATACAAATAAATAAAAACCTTGCATAAATAAAAGGAATATTTTTTATAAATAGATATTTATTAATTTTATATGCAGTTCTTTGCAAAAGATTTGATGCAATAACAACAGAAAATTCACTTAAAGAATCGCTATTTTGTGAAATATATTGTTCCGCACTTCGCAGATCAAATTTGCCTTCCACAGATGGATTTAATTCCTATAAAATTTCAAAATTTTTCGACTGAAATTGAAATAAAAAAATAAAGATTAGAGATTAGCTTCATTTTTTAATATTTTACTATAAATAAAATTTATGGATAAGGACAATTAATCTTTTTGAACTTTTTTGTCACTGGAAGAAATTAATGAAAATGAAAAAGGCACGCAGAGTTCGATTTGATTAATGCAAATAAATATATATCCACAAATATAAAAAGACAAAAACGATAAAAAACCACTTAGTTATTAAAGTTTCCACTAAAAATCTTAATCCACTGAAAATAACCTAAAGTTATATGTTGAGATTCGAGAACTTTCTCATGACTGTATTCTACTACCAGAGGTTAAGCATGAGTTCGATCCCAATGCTTTGGCGGCAGTTTTACTTGTTTTGCTTGTTCGGATGGATACTGTGGACTCATAGTATCCCCAACGAAATTTCTCCGACGAAATAGATATAGATATCTCAAGAGTAATCAATGAGTTAAACCAGGAACGATGAAATAGAAAGAAGAAAATAGTATTAATTTTTAAATAATTTATTATTTCATAGTGAATGATAATGAAGGAATAGAATGGCTCAGTGGGTTGTTGCTCAATTCGGAGCGCAGATACTAAGGCTCTATTCCCAGCAGGAATAAACCTGTTCAAAAATCCAGGTGATGTTGGCGACTCACCTGTATTTCTATCGCCAAGAGGTTCCCAAATGTGTCCAGTGCAACAAGCCAGTGGAGCGAGTTTAACCAATAATGGTAAAAATTCTTTAAAAAAAAGTGATAATAATAAAGGTAAAGCGAGTCGAATGGTGTGCTGTCTTGACAAAGGCCATTACTTCATAAGTTTGATGTATGGTAATCCTCAAAATAAAGAGCAAACTTGCCATTAAAAATGAAATTCTAGGAATCCACTTCTACAAATGTTTCTATTCCTAAGTGAATCTCCTTGGTATAAGCCTCGCACCTATTTCAACGAGTGAAGCCAGCTGAATACTAAAGTAATAAATAACAAAAACAGAAATGTTTAACCTTAAGTAATCGCACGGCGATTTTGGCTCGAGGTTGCATTAAATCCGTTTTTTCTATAAAAAAGTTACTTCCCAAATCGGGATTCGTAACAACTTCTGAATCGACAATAAGAAATGATCGAATGCCAGCGAGTACGAGACTTTTTAATATTTCACATGCTAACGCTGATGACCCGAATACACAAATATCTGCTTGAGCTATTGAATGCTGACCTTCGTCACCCCAAAGTCGCAACTGACGATCGTAGCGGATCTCGTCTTCTTTCATTTATTGCTTCCAATGATTCGTTATTTCGTCTTAAAAAACGTTAATTCAATTAGGTTGTTTCATAGTTCAGCAAAATTTTTAAAATAAAATAATTATCTAAGATAGAGAAGGAATGGCTCAGCAGTTACTGCTGACATTTGCGAGCGCAGCGACGCTGCAGTTCTACTCGCAGAGCGATGAACTCGCCTTTTAAAACATCCGAGCCGTTGGTCGCCCATATTTCACAACTCTGTTGTAAAATTTGTCTGATCCGATAAGTCAGAAAAGCCAGAAATGGCTAATTTTCTAAACTGGAAAATGAAAAACTTCTAAGAAGAAAAATATTCGTTTTCAAATGGAATTTTAGAAAAAAAGTGGAAAATACAAAAAATAAAAAATTGCAAATAAAATTTAAACAAACAAAAGAAAATTTTTTTAATTTTTCCTCTTTTTATTCGAATTGGCGAAAATTCGACATCGCTAAAAAGATTTCTATGAAATTAATTTTACTAAATGAACTTAATGGAACAATTTTTAAAAAATTGCAAACATTTGCGGCCTGGCCGCTCTTTTCCGCGGTCGCTTTCCTTTTTTATTTTGTTGCTGTTTATTTTTATTTGTTTTATTTGTTCATATTTATTATTTTAAAATCTGTTCACTATTATTGTTTATTATCGTTGCCATTATTAATTATTATTTTTAATCATTGTGTTTATAAACATTAATTATTTATTAATTCCATTATTAATGTTTATATTATATTAATTATTAGTTATTATTATTATTATTAATACAAATATTATTTAATATTAGCCGATTTTATTACTTGTTTGTTTTTCGAATAATTCGCACGCATCATTTAAAATTATCTAAAATTATCTCATTTCATTATTGTTGCTCAACTTCTCGTTTAGTATTTTAAGCATACATTGATCGCGGAAAATTGCCCGCATCCATATTCTCTAGCAAAGTGGAAACGTGGGCAATTGTCCATTTGTCGTTTTGCTGTGGGCGCCGTATTTGTCGAAATTCTAAAATGCTAGCAATAATTGAATTTCGAACAAAAATTGACCCATTTGTTTCAACTACTAAGTTACGGTTGTTTCCGTTACGGTTTTTCGCTTTTCCTCTAAAATATTAACGATCCACTCTTTTTAAAATGTATAAATAGAGTTCAGCCTGACTGACCAAGTCTGCTAGTTGTTTGGGGTACCAGCCGCTTTGCACTTCTGTCAGTCATTTTGGTATGCTAAATTATTATCTTAGATTAGCAGTTCATCTTCCTTCATTCTTCTTTAATTTTTATCGCTTTGACAAAGGATGATAGTTTTTTATTTAAATTATTCGAAAATTGACGTCGAACGATTATTACAATCAGAAATTGTCTTTTTGATCGATGAAAGGGCACAAAAAAACATTTTCAAGTAATTTTAACTATATTTTTTTCAAATTTTATTTTTCTCTTTATAAATTAAAATGATTTAAATTAGAATTTTATAATTTTATTGGAACTTTTTCGGAAATTTTATTTTTTAAAAATTTTTTCAGTATTTAAATGAAATTCGTCGTCATTTTTTATACTTTGCGCTTACAAAACTCACTTTTTATATCAATAAAAAAAAGTTACACAAATATTTATTTTATTTAATATTTATCCACATCGTTTATTTTAGTTCAAAAAACATTTTTGTTCAATTTAACAAATCATATGTTCGTTTTTTGCTTTTTTTATATTAATTTAATTTATTTGCTTTGTTTCAAATTGTTAAGAGAATATCATAAGTTTAAATTATTTCCTGAGAACAACCATCATTTCTGGTTAGAAATATTCTGCTGACTTGTCGGATCAGACAAATTTTGCCAGCAAGTCATCCAGGCTATAGAAGTGAATCATTAGCACCACTCGGATTTTTAAAAAATTGGTTTATTCCTGTCGGCGCTCCAAAATGAGAACAATAACCCACTCAGCCAATCTAACTTAATTATATGAAGACGAATAATCAGTCTAATCTATCGGTGAATTTACTGTATCGCATGAACATTGTTTGATCTGATATAACGCATATTATCGTGTAGGCAGCTAAAGCCAAAGAGCTACAGGAGTGATAGAAATTAGAATCCAATTCGGTTCAGATTTCAGATCATTAGTCCAATTTTTTTATTTTAGTTCAATCTTTTAGGTAGTTTAAATCATCAATTATCTTTTGAATGATGTAAAATTTTCTAAATAACTGGTTTATTCAATAAAATATTAAATTGCGCTTGTTTTCGAAAAGTTCGATGTAAAATTTTCAGTAAAATTTCATTTCGAATAAACGAATTTCTAAAAGAATTTATCTTCATTTACTTTGTCAGTTGTTTCTATCATTTTCGTCAGTAATAAAAAGAATATCTTTGAAAAATTAGTTGAATATTTCTTCTCTTTCTAATACATTTCGCTGTCTTCAAATCGCTGGCTACAAACCGCTGAATTAGATATTTTCAAGCCCATCGATCCACGTGAATCAATACTAATGCCTATACTTATGGTTCACTATTTTACTACACTTGTGACCAATATTAATATTAAAAATTGACATGTGCTACCAAGAGTGCATTTAATAGTGAAATCGTTGTGCTTGGCTGTCCGATCTTAAATTCATTATCATTTTGATCATTTGCCTTTCATCCTTGATCTTTTCATTTTATATAGAATCGCTGTTTCGGAATATTCCATTCATTTTAAAGAGCGGATGGTCGAGTGGTATATTGCTTGGAATGCTTTACTTCTATGAAGTTGGAAGTGAAACGTGGCTTATGCTGGAGATTCAAATGCAGTTCTGTGCTAATTCACTCTAACAAAGAATACTCTAACCATCGTAATCAATGGCCAAATAGCCAAGAAATGACTATTATAAAAGAGAAGAAAAATATCTTTATGATATATCTTTATGAAATTATTTGCAGAAAATATTTTGCGAAATTTAATAAATTTAGAAAGGAAATAATATACTTCGATTTGTTTATGATTGAACGATGATAACGATGAAAAATTTCTCTTCAAAATATTTTTCTTTCTTTTTCGTCTAACTTTAATTTTTTCATTGAAGGTGATAAATGATTTTTTAAAGCAGATGATACTGCTTTGCCACTCATACTTTCTAGCCGCTAACGCTTCCTTCTTATCAACGAACTGATTGTCGAAATTTCCCATTTCTTACCAATTTAATTCAGCTGTCGTTTGTTTTCTTTATATGGATCAGCTGATTCGAAAATTTTTATTTTTCAGCTTTCATTTCGATTAATTTTACGGCTTTATTTGTATCGTTTAAGTAAGTCTTTCCTAATTCTCGGCTTTCTTGGTGCAAAATAGCTAAAAGTCAGCTTTATATGCGATAACTTCTTTTTGTAGATTTTTTTCTTTGAACTCTCTAAATAATAGTGTTCTCTAAAGAGTCAGCTGATTCTTATTCTAAGTCGATTGCTATTTATTTCTTTCCTTTTTTGCTTTAAATTTATTGTTGTTATTGTTATTGATTGTTGATTACTTATCAATTAGTTATCATGTTAGTTTTTGCTTTGGTTTGAGTAATTTTCTATATTTTTTTTATTTTCGTAAAATTTGCTTTTTGTTACTTTCAATTTTTGCAAAATATTTCCTGTTTTATTTTATTTTTTTCATCTTATTTCTACTTTTTCTTTATTCATTCTTCCTTTACTTACTTCTCCTTCTTCTACTTTGTGCATTTTAGTCTGTCGGTGCATCGGTGATTTAGTGGTAAGATGGTGAGAATCGATGATAACCCGGACCTGGCCGATGCACCGCGTTTCACTGAGCAGGGAGATGCCAAATGACAAAAACGAAGAGGAGTTACTGAGTAGTGGGTTATTGGGCCCTATGCGCTTCTGCTTCGCTGGAATAATCTTGTCCTTCAAAAATCCTGGTGATATTGGCGATTCTTTTGTGCTGAATCATGTACTTCTATTGCTAAGTGAGTACCTGGCAAGGTTTGTATGATTCGACAGGCTAGCCCACTTGGTGAACAGTGGTGAATGTATTTCCACTTTTATTTATTTACATTTCTTATTTATTTCTACATATTTTTAGGCCTTTATCTACTTTTTATTCATTCTCCATGTGCTCTGTTCTTTCTGCTTTTGGTTTATTATCGTTTATAAATTACTGAATACTTTTGGGCTTCTTTTTTGTGGCATTAGTTATTTCTGGCCGTCTTAAAGGATTTATAGCCCTTTCATCATGGAGTTATTTGGTGACAGAGATGCGGGCAGCCAGTTAGACTTTTTCAAATGACATTCACTATTTCTGGTTTGATTGATTTCGCCAAAGAGCCATTACTTTCGGGTTTTCTCGATAAGAATTTCTCATTCCTTTCACTTTTGATTATCAGTAATTCTTATTTTTGCTAAATGGCAATAATAGTGATAATGAAGAATATGATAAGGGATTAATATTTAAAGATTTAACATTAATATTTAAAGATTTTTGGTATATATTTCCTTGTCGAAATTCACAGACAAAAGGTTTATTTAAGATTTAAGTGCAGTAAAAAGGATTAAGTTACTGCAGTAGCGAGTTGGATAAGAAGCTGTGGAGAGAGGCTGTAGTTCAAGTATAACAGGGAATGTGCTTACGGTAGTGAGTTTAATGTGGTAAGAACAAATCGTTTGAAATTTTCTTGGATATGAAAGTAAAGATGAGTATCCAGCACTCATCCAGAATGGCTTTTGATGAGATAAGCTTTACTTCCTAATTTATCTCGTTTGTTGCCCAGTTATATGCGTATTACGATCGATCTCTGTCAACTGAATAATATTTGCAGATAAGTCGTATGAATGCGAGGTCATCAGTATCTAAACTGGTATGCTTTCTAAATTTATAATTTAATATAATTTGTTTTTCATAATTTTAAGAAATATAATTTTAGACTAACGAAAAAATTAAGAGTCATTATTAAGGAAAATAGAAGATAGTTTTTTCGAATTATTTTGTGATTTTGATTTTCCGAAATTAATTTTAATTAATCTTTGCCATAGCGATAATGAAAGAATTTCGGATTATCGAATTTAATTATTTTGCTATTAAATTTATTCAAAAATAATCTTTTTCGATGCAAATTTCCTCATTATTTTGCAAAAATCCGGTTTTATTTATCTATATTTATTTAAGCAATTAGTAATTATCAGTCACCATTTTCCGGTTATTTTCTTTTTATTTGGTTATTGGGATGAGTCGAAAAGTTGAGGACTTGACATAGATGGTGCAGATAGATCTGCAGCATCACAAATAATTTAGAATATTGATAATTATTATTGACTGAAAGAAAGAAATTTTATCTAATTTTATCTCATTGATTTTGGATATATGAATTTTTTTTTTATATGTATCAAAATTTCATTTTTATCAATTATCATAACTTTTATCGACAATAATCGGTCATCGATCTTTGATATACTATAGTTCAATACGCCAACGTATTTTAAAATTATTTTTATATATTTTAGACGATCGAAATACGACAAATTAAAGAAACATTATTGGCAATATTTGCGCCGTTAATATTACAAAGAACCCATGGAAAAGTGAATTTTATTTAAATTTAAATTTTGTTTTTTTTTGAAGTAAACTGGATAGATTATAGAAGGAAAAAAGTGAAGAGCGATTTCTGAAGGATTTTCCTAACTTTTTTCTGTCGTGAACTTTTTAGCAGTCTGTTGAATCCTAAGGACCTTTTGTTGAACCTCCGAATGATATTTCTAAATTTGCAAAATATATAAAAGCACAATGGGAAAATAATATGAAAATATCTATGATTTTTATTGTTAGTGGGGTCATAGGTACTCGTATGTTCCTTTCGTAGTTGATAGTAAATACTGAGCGGAAATAACAAGCGCCGCTAGATCTCCTGAAATCTGTCTATAGATCTTCAAACATTTGCGAAACATTTCCCATTGTGCAAAAGGTCCTTAGGATTCAACAGAATGCTAAAAAGAAGAGTGGAAAGCTGCTTTTAATTAATAGATATTTAACTCAAAAAAATTTTCTTCATCCAGATTAATTACATTCGAGTTCATTTCAAATCTATTCTATACAGTCTTCAGCTAATGAATAAGTTGAAGCCGTTGAAAACTCTTATTTAAATGGCACTTATCATATATTGGTCATTATAATATAATCTATAGAATGGCTCAGTTGGTTGTCCTTCGATTGAGGGCCCAGTTGAGGTTCGGTTCCTCGCAGGAGTAAACCTGTACAAAAATCCGGGTGATGCTGGCGGCTTACCTGTGTTTCTATCTCCAAGGGATTCCCTGGCATATTGTCCAATGCGACAAGTCAGTGGAGCGAGTTTAACCAGTAATGGTGCGGACTTAAAGAAAATATAATCTATAGCAGAATTTATAAAACTGGTGATAACTATTGTTTTTTTTTTTATTTTACTGTTTTCAGATTCGCTATACAGCAGAAAATATTTACCAACACGGTTCTGTTGGATTTAAAGAAGTGTTGTGCGATTCGATACCTTTCACTTATGTTCGTTTCTTTTCTTTAAATATTTTTTGCAAAAAATTTGTTCGTTCATAAAATTCAGGAATTCATTTATATTTTTAATATTTTTTAGAAAAATTTTCAGGTTTGTGTGAATAGTAATGAATTAAATGCAAAATTGCAAACTGAAATTGATTTGTTCTGTTCAGAAGTATCATCGATATTAAATAATACTGAACGGGTTTTGCATGATTCGTTTAGTGATTCAGCCAAATATGAAATTGTTATTCCCAGCGCAAAGTTTGCCTTTTTTTCTGTAGTTTTAATCAGAGATGATAAGAGAGATTAGTAATTCTAGTAAAAAGGTCAGCATACCATAAAAAATCGTTCTTTTTACCAGAAATTATGAGTAGATTCAGAAAATTTAATTTCTCTAAAATAATATAATGTATAAAATATAGAGTCGGTTATCGTTTATTAAAAATCATTGCCTATAAACTTGGTTTCACCAACAGCGCAATGTTGATTGATTATTTTTCAGGACATTTGCTCTTTTTTTATCATCCTTTCATCTTTTATTATTTTTTTCAATGAGAACAATTCTTCAAAATGGATTTTTGAATTATTTAATTGTTGCTTTTGGAAATGCTATTTAAAATTGGTGAATGGAATTTTAGGATTGGATTAGAGTTCTATCAACGGCAGAGACGTTTATTACTGCCTCAAGATGTTCCGTGGGAAATATGGCAAATGGATCTAACTGTTGTTCGTGCTACTGATGATGGTTTGTTTTATAACTCATTTTCTTTTTCGAAGGTATTTATATCTTGAAGTCCCTGCGATTGATCTTTTTTATTTTATTTTTATTTGTACGAGCAAATTTCAGGGTATTTGAGTAGCCTAGCCGATTCATTAGCTGATGAATTAACCAGTTTACATCTTAATTTTATATCGGCAATAAATCAATCGATTTATCTTCCAAAAGTGCCGTCGAAATCAGAATTACTAAATGTCTTCGATGATTCTATCTCAGATTGTAATCCATATTTATATCGAATCGTACGACCACAACTTTCTGACGGTAGTTATTTTTCTGTTGCCGATTTTAGAGTTATTAAGAATGAGATAACTAGTTGAATTCAAATATTTTCAATTTATTCAATTTATTTAACCTTGTAACAATGCTTAAGGCTCAAGAAGCTCGAGCTATTGGCAAAGTGCTGGTGGTGCTACGGTGCGAAGATTTTTAAAAGATACTCTTTCATTTTAATTTTTTCTCTCGCAATTGAATTTCGTATGAAAAGCTTTAGTTTATCTCTTAGTTTTATGCGATTAGTTTTGATTGGATTGCTTTTTGACATCTTGCTCAAGAAAATAAAAAAGCGGACGATATATCCGTTCTTTATATCTTTGGTAAGGTCATTATGGTCTAGGCTTCTACGAGTAATTTGTTAAGCCTTTATTATATGAACATGATTCTTAAAGTTTGCATCAAACTCTTCATTTTTTCTGCGCTATACCATTGTTGTATATTTAGCAAAATTCGATATTAACATTCGTATTTGTTTCTGTGTTGCTGCTGTCGGAATTAACTCGATATTAAAAATGCTGGTAGTGCTTCATCTATTCTTCTATCCACAAGACTCTCTCTGCTAACGGCATTTATCCTAATAGTCAGTGGAGTGAGTCTAGTGAAATGTAACCAATAACTGTTCATTCATATGTGTTCATGTAAAATGTTCTCTAAAATGTTTATGCTCGTTTGAAATTTCAGAAGACTCAGATTCACAGTTCTTTTTTTTTAAATGTCTTTCTTTAGGTATTCAATTTTAATTGTATATTATGTAAATAATTTTAAGAAAAAATTCGAATCTCTTATATTGCATCATTGTAACCTCAGTGATAGATTATTTTTATTTTCAGTTCAGTTATCAAACTAAACAGGCGAAGAAGCAAAAATAATGCATCTAATCCGCTGTAAATTATCAGCTCATCGGATGCTTTTTGCTTTCGAACCGTTTATCATTTATCGTAGATTTTTCATGTATTATATTATTTAGTTTATATATTTTATTTAGTCAGTCTTGTTCTGTGCTTTAAGCATTCGAATTCTATATTATTTTCCATGTTGGGTTAAAAATTATTGTAAATACATATGGTAAATTGAGTTTGTCATATTTTTGTTTTTGTTTTTTCTTATGTTTCTAATTTACTTTCATGAATTTCATTTTCACCAATAATATTTCATAATTAAAATTACTATTTCTATTACTATTACTATTACTATTTGCTAGACTTATACATAAATTGAGGCACCGTAAATCGCTGGTTCGAGTTCTTACACCGCAGTTTCATTCTTTTCTGCTGCTGCTGTGTACCATCGGATGAGTCTTCTCTCGCTGCTATAATGTATCATCGTATAAGATAAGCGTTGGATTTGGGTTGTTGATAGCAATAAGTTTTTAATGTTTAAAGGAGGGGCAAAGATTTTTACCATATTTTCTATATGATAAGAAATACTTCTGCAGGGATCGAAGCAACAGTGTAATTTTCTACGGCTTAATGACGTTATTTGCAACCTCTGGCTGTTACATACTGAAGTTAGTTACGTACTTATGATAAAAGACATAGAAATCATATTAATAGAAATCAAATGGGCATAACGCAAACAATATTTGGAGAGTTGGAGACATGTGCATTTGCACTTGTTTTACTGAGGTGCTTCGCAACGAAAGGCTTCTCAAGGAGGCAGTGGCAGTGCAAAAAGTGAAGAAAAAAGGTTCGTAAGCAGTCGAGGTGGTGAATTTCTCCAGTTTTGCGTTTGGACGGATATTGCATGAGCATTTTGGGTTTCTCCCGTCAAAAGCGTTCTCATGCAGGATGCATAACTGATGAAAGTTTATTCATGAGAATGCAGAAAAAGAAGGCTTTCTTTTTAAAAGCGTTCGCAAAATGATTGCTTTTTGCCGAAAATAGTTTTTAGAAACGAATTGTATAATAATTATATTTGTATGAAGGATGGCAGCGTAAGTGGCCCATTGAAGACTCATTAATTGGACAGTTTTGTGCTATTTTCTTAGGCGATTCCACTTCACAGTACAGTTTAACTGGACAACGAATTCCACCACCTAAAAATCTCTTGGTACTTGTCTAACCAATGTTCATAACTCGATTGCCACGTTTTTATTTGTGGGCTGCGTTTTCCAGAGGTAGGGCCGCATTTTAGCTTGTGTTTATTTTGAATTTTCTAATTTCAAATTTCAATGATCATTTCAAAATGGTGTATGGACTTCGGAGGTTTGAAGAAACAGCTGAGCGCTTTGTTGCTTCAGCTTGGTTTAACCTAATAGAAGTGCAGTTCATAATTCTGTGGTGCTGAAGGCCCATCTGGACATTCTGTCTGCGTGAAGAAAATACCTCAACGTATTAGTTGCTGGAGCGCCAACCAAAGCTTATAAATGTTGTTAGAAGAGGGGAAAAATTTGTTTCGAGAAATTCATGAAATATTTGAAATGGACCCTCATTTTAGTGAATTAACCCTATTGAAGACAAACTTCATCGTCGAAAGTTTTTTTCCAAAAAATTTCAATTTCAGTCGCTTTATTTCGTAGCAGTGGTCTCCTTTTGCATTTTTGCCACCGCTTTTCCAATTTTTTTCAGTGAAATAAAAATGATTATAACAAGCGATTGGCTTGAAAACGAATTGGCTGATTTTATGTATACTTTTAAAGACAATTGTAGTGGTGATTTTATTATCAAAGGTTTGTATTATTAAATTGAATATTTCATTTTTTGTAAAATTTTTCGTTTCGAAATTTCGCAGTTTTCATGGTTTTCATATAATCAATTTATTTCCCCGATTTAATTTTCCATAAAATTTAATTTATTAAATCATTTAGTTTAAAATGAATTTAAATAATTCAACAACAATAAAATAGTCGTCGATTTCGCTTAGCCATTGTACGTGTGCTCAAATGAGGCGAAATTCGCTGTTTTTTAACCTCCAATGCACTTGCAAAGGATAATAAATGATAAGTGACAAGCTTTGCTTTTCAAATTTCTAGAGTAATTAATGATAATAATATAAACATAATAAATTATGTTAATATAAATTATATTTGTAGTAAATGAATTTTTAAAAATGTATAATATGAACCGTGATGATTTGGTTAGTGATTTAATTGCTTTTGCAACGAATCAGAATCGAACTGAAATCGATTTGCATTTACTCGAATTATATGAAAATTTGGTTAACTTTTAACTTATTTTTTTGTTCAAAATTTTTCCAAATATTCCAAATTTTTTAGTTTTTTTATCGAAAAACCTAACTATTTTTTCTTCTTATTTATTATAATTTTGATCGTTCAACCTGTATTATAGTTTCTGCTCTTTTTCCATCTTTTTCTTGTAACATTTTAGGTTTATATTAAATATTTATTTTTAAAAATAGATAGTTTTTTCTATCCATTTGAAACCCTTAATTTTCAAAGTACGAATGGCAAATGGCTAATATTTGATAAGATGGCTAATATTAAAAACTGCAATAAAAATAAATAAAAATGTATTTCACAGCGTTTTTTTCAATCTTAAAACTACAATTCGACCTTTTTCTTTAGAAAAATTTATTGAATGAGATAATTCTAAAGAAAGTAGTAAGAAAACAAAAAATCGTAATAACGAAATATTTAGGTCGAATTGTATTATTATTATTTTTATTATTTTTATATTATTTAAATATTATTTTTAGCTTATAGTCTAGATTTAAATTAAATTAAATTTCTTTTTCTTTTCTAAGAGGATTTTTGACTTTACTCCGTTTGTTAAATGTGGGAAATGAACCTGCGATAGTTTGACTTTAACTGAAACAGTGTCTTATCCATATACTTATCCATCTCCTGAAACATTTCAACAATATATCATTAAGTTGTATTCTAAGAAATCTTTCAGGTTTTAGTGAAAAAAATCAATGAATCGATTAAGGAATCAGCCAAGTCGAATTCTTCTGTATGTAAAAGGTCATGGTTAATTTATTCACCTGTTAACTTATTTTTATTATTTTGCTCTCAACTTTTTTAATTAGTTAGTTAATTTTAATTAATTAATTTTTTAATTAATAGAATTATTTTTCAGAAATATATTTGCTGAAAATGTTTGTAATAGTTCCTTTGCTGAGAATGTGGAATCATCTCTTCATGATTCCTCTTGCATTAATATTTCAGTGGATAGTGCAACAGTTCTTCATCCAAAGTATGCACTGTTCACTCCTATAAAGTAAGTCTTCTAATTGTCCTCAGTAAAAATTCCATAAAAGTTGAATATAATGAAAACCCTCCAAAGAACTTCTAGATCCATTATATAGTCCTATTTTTACATTCGCCCAATCTTCTGACGTAAGTTAGTATATATATATATATATATATATATATTATATAATTTCAAATAAATTGCCGTTAGTGTAGTGTAATTATTTACAATTCAAACAAACAAATAATCAAATTCAAATGCAAATTCCATTGTCAGACAAAATATGTTTTATTAATATAATATAGAAAAGCAGTATATACACTGCAAAATATAACCCGATAGTATATATAAGCGTGGTCAAATCATGACCTTAAAAAACTAAGGAACCAAAATAACTTTTCCAAAGTAAAGTGTAAAACTTTATATTAATCATTACAATATATAAGTGAACTGATGTATGAAGGTTTATAATGAAACCAAATTGCTTTATAATGAATTGAGAAGTGATGCATAAGACAAAAAATTGTATTAAAGTTGATTTCAAGGTCAAAGTTAAAGACTGGAATTTTCTTTGTGAAATAATCATTCCAAGTTAGCCTAGGTTACCATACATTCTGCGACAAATTCCGTGAAATTTTCATATTTTTACTAAGTTTCAATTTTAAAATTTAAATTTAAATTAATATTTAATAAGTACATAGAAATGCTTCATCGAATATTGCTTATCAAGAACGTACTGGTTCTGGTAAAGCTTTAATTAATTATATTGGAACATCAGTTATAAAGTCGAAATCGGTAGTAAATCATGGGAAAGCTTCTGTCGAAAATCTTCTTTCATGTACAGTTTTGAATGAATTGAAATATTATGGCAATATAAAAGAAGTTGAACAAATCGATGGTATATATGTTTTCTTATTGAATCTTAGGTTATTTATGGGATTTTCTATGGCTATTAATTTAAATTTTTCTCAAACAGTGCTATATATATCTGGCTTGGCTGGCTGCTAGAGTGAACCTTTTACATCAGAGGATCATTTAGGGATAGAAATAAAAGTGAAATTTGATTAAAGGTAATTTAGATAATTTATATGAATAAGTTATTGTTATTTGTTATTTTTTCAACATAGAGATTTTTTCGCTCATCGAGCTTTTGAAAGATGCAATTTTGGCGAACTGTGATGAATGCGTGCATTTCGAGAATTGTGATCACATTTCATCGGTAATTCATTTAAGAAATTTATTTTTAAAGATTTTCTTATTAGAATGAGATTTCCTTGCCAAAGAGTTTGTTGGGAACAAAACAAATAAACAAAATAATAAAATAACACTGATCCTCAATACTACCTGGATCATTCTGTATGGCAGTTTCACTTGTCGGATGTTAAGATTCGAGTCCATATCTTGCAGTCAATAAAGAAATTCGTTTACCCCGCCCTAAATCAGTAAATTTTTGATTTTAAATATATTTATATTTTATTTTACAATTAATATCATTGTTTTTTATTAAATCTTTTTTAATCTTTTATAAATCTTTTTTCGCTTCATATTTCTCTTGGTAAGCTTGGTATTACTTTAAGGATGAATTTGCAATTTATGGTCAAATTATTGAAGAAACTGGTGAGCAATTAGATTTCACAAATTGTTTTCTGCAGGGTAATGATGAAAAAGGGATTCCAGTACGGCTTAATTTGGAGAAATTGTCGGATTTCTCTTTATTTCCCGGAAAAGTAAATTTTTAAAATTATGGCTCTCGAACTTTATATCTCCAATGTCTACATTACTTATATAAATATACTTAGATATTATGGCCAAGAATAAAATAACATTAGCTATATTTAGCCTTATCTTTATTTATCATTACTAATGCTTAAAAGAGCAAAACATGAATAATTATCATACAAGCATCAAAGACTTATATTAAAATTCAAATATTTCCAGAGTTCCATTTTAGATTGTAGCCTTTCGTGGATTTAATGAAAATGGTTCTTGTTTTACACCAACATTACTATATGAACCAAAATTGCCAAAGATGGCCAAAATTACACGAGTTCAACAAAGTTTCCTGTTCTTCTTTACATTTTTATATAATTCGATTTATAGTTGATTTGATATATTACATATATAATTCGATGTATACTTGTTGAGAAGTATTATTCTATTTTTTTTCTCGATTTTTTGTTTCCTTTCTTTTATTATTTCTTTTTTTAAGGTAAATTTGAAATTTGGTGTGCTGCTGGTCCTTTCACTTCTCCGCACACTTTTTCTTTTGAACAACTTTATGATTTGCTGGAGCTTGCTAAAACTGAATTACCTGATGTGCTTATATTGGTTAGTTTTGTTTTTTCTTCTTTTTATTTTAAATAATAACGAGAAGCATCCATCCACAAGTAATCGTATAATAGTATAAGTAATCGTAATCGTATATTATATTGTTGTTATATTGTTACTGATTATTGTTATATTTTGTGCGATAAATATTTATTAGATACGTCCCAATGTTTAAAGGTTGGTCCATTTATCGATCGCACTAGTGTGGCATCAGATTCACCTGATTTAAATATAAGTTTTGAAGAATTTTTCGAATGTCTTTTGATAAATATTGGAGATATGCTGAGCAGGCAAGTAAATTTGATTTTTATTGTTAATTTTCGGTGATTGTGCGGAAATATAATGGAGCGATAGCTTTCTAGTATATTTCATTATTAAATTGATTTTTTTCAAAAAAATTGAAATAAATGGTGAAACTTAATACTTAATAAACTTAATCTACTTAATAAACTTAATATATACTTAATAAACAAAGCAATCCTGTTGTCAATTTCTAAAAAAGATGGCAGAATAATAATTATCGAGGAATCAGACCATTAGACATCTCCGAGAAAATTTTCGCTTCTCCATTACTAAATAACAGTTGTGATAGAAGGATACGTTTTTAGTAAAAGATGCATTTAGTATCTTTGATGGAATATTCCAATTTTTTTCTCGTTCAATCTGATTTGTTGCAGTTATTATTTGCAGGACAAATATTCAAGTTGTTTTGGTGCCAAATTGTAGATTGGATGCCACAGCATTTCCAGTTTTTCCCACAGCTCCGTTTATGGTCAGTCAAGATTGTCATAAACTTTTAAATAAGGTAATTTTTTATTGATGTTTTCACATAAAGTAGTACATAAAGTAGTACAAAAATTTCACCAAATGTTCTTTCAGAATATTATATTTGCCACAGATCCATGCATGATTCGTATTTGTGGTGTAGTGTTTGTAGCCACTGGCATGGATATTTTAAGGCATTTAAGCCGTGAGGAAATTCATCGTTCAGATGGTGGTGACCGAATGGCTCGTCTGATTGATCATTTAATTAGGTCTATAATTATTTATTTTCAATTTTTTTCGTTCTAAGAGCATGCATTATTGTATGAATTATTTCTATTTTGACTATTAAAGTACCAAAGAATCCCTTGATCTCTATAGATAATTCTCTATAGATAATTCTCCAACAGGCATCAGTTCTGTAAATTGCGAATTCTTTTGTTCATTAGTTCATTTAAATTTTTTCAAATTTATCAGAAATTTTTCAAGTTATAATAATCTATAGTTAGTTCATTCTCGTTTACTTTTCGCTGTCTTTTATTACTATCATAAAAAGTTAGGTACTGAAAGGTAAAGGTTCTTAAAAGAAGCGATTTAACATTTTTCATCACAGAATTTGAAACTTTATTTTTTTTTCAATCGCGATTATTTTATTTTATTTAAATAATAAATCATGTTATTAAAGGCAGCGCTCGGTCTATCCTTTGTATCCATCTTCACATGAAGTTCCCCAAATGCATGCTCGTTTAATAAAATGGTTCACCTTTAAGGAAATCCCTCATGTATTAATCCTTCCATCGGCTTTGGCTCCATTGGTCAAGGTTTCTTTTTGATTTTCATTTTCTTTTCTTTTTTTACATTAGTTTTTATTCGTAAATTTTAGGTTGTCAATGAATGCATTTGCGTAAACCCAAGCTTTCTTGCCAAGGGAAATGGAGGCTCGTTTATGAAAATGTTTGTAGACATTTCTCAAGTGAATCATTCGAATCCAGCTTCCATTATTGACTTTTGTAATGTGAAAGTCGTTAGAATTTAATATGAGTGTAAGTTTTGTATTTATACAGCATATACAGCATATAACATATTTTCCGTTGATTTCTGTAATTTAAAAATAAATATTAGGTATTGTTGGTTTTATTATGATTATATATTTATGTTGATAATTCAGGGAAGACTTTATTGTTGAAAATTTCGATCACATCTAATATCCAAAGACCGCTCATCAGTGAAAAGAAGGCTGATGGCATTTGGTTAATGTCAAAGCCATTGTCTTCAACGAAACAGGAATTAGCAAGAGGAGATGAGAGTGAGAATACCTGAAGCTTTCAATAAACACTGGAGAAAGACCAAGCAAAGATGGGGCTATGGCATAGCAACCCTCCGTGGAATAATAACAATGACAGATGGTTGAAGTGGCTAATACTAAAAAATTCTACCTGTAGTTGGAAAAAGCTGGACTAAAAGATAGCATTGAGGTATTGATTATACACTAGATCCATCGAAACAGAGATATCAGACAGGTTTTAAGGCAAAAAAGCTACCGAAAGCTACCTTTTAATACATAGTGACAGGATATAAGATGTAGGTAAAAACAGCTTATACTGAATAGTATGATCAAGTAGCTGGCATTGTCCCCACCCTCGCCAAGACCAGATAGAAAATAAAAGGTCAAGACTTTGCCTAATTCTCCATCCAGACAAATATTATCTATTCAATCAGGTACCATGACAGTAGACAGTAGATAGTAGAGAAATCAGTGCTAGTGATTTATATATATATATATATATATATATAGTAATATCAAATAATAGGAACATTAGGAAGAAAGAATATAAGAAGCTGGAAAAATACCTAGGATAAAAAAAAAATGAAAAGAATGCGGAAAGTGAAGGTCAAAACGACCCCAGTCTCTGGACTAAATTTTTGTATCTTTCATTAAAATTTTCTTGTGATTTGCTTGAATAAATTGGGTTCGATGCCTTAATTTCAACGTTTTTTAAATTCCGATATTTGTTAAATAATAATTTCAGGTTATTTTGCATGAAGAAAAATTTGTTGTAAAATATTTCGAGTGGATAATTTATTGTTAAACTTCATTAATTAATTTCGATCATTAATTTCAATTTTTATTAACTCGAAAGAGCAAAAAATAAAGGAAATTGGCACATGAAACACATATTTGCTTAAGACTTTCTTTTTAAAATGGATAGAAATTATTCGAATAAGAAAGAAAAAAGTTAGGCACATATTTATAATTTATGCTTTATTATTATATATTTTACGAAATAAAAAATTGTCACAGCATCAGCAATACAAAAGGATGAAAAAAGAGGGTAAATGCAAAACGGTTATAGTAATTGAGCGCCTCGTTCATAAGTGCAACACAATGAATATTCAAAGAATATTTAACTAAATGAGTATTTCTAAAATTTTTATATATCCTTAGGGAAGTCTCTTTTCATTTATCTTCAGTGTGATGTGATAGTTCCTGATTATTTTTATATTCCTGGTTGCGAAACAAGGAATAATTGTGTTAGTTCAGAATAATTGGAGTAATTCTATTCTATTTCATCTTTCTTTAGCCCACTCATTTCAACTAACGGTGGCCCTTGCTTTATCAATCAAAAAATAAAATTTTTTGTATAAATTATCGAATATTCGAAATATCAAACCGTCAGCATTCAAAATAGGCATTTCATTTCGTTATATTACAATGTTTCGTGAGGAAATTAAAATATTTCATGGAAATGTCTTATTGTGATTGAAAATATGAAAAGCGTAAATTATTTCGTAATTATTGAAATGGTTAGGTGATTGATTCTACGTATAAAATTGTTTCCAATAATGGCGCATAGTTATAAGTGCTGCTTGGTTAAATGTTTAAAATATCCGAAAAGTTCCTTTTTTTGAATTGCTGAATTCTAACGTGGTCGATCAGATTCAACTTCTCGTTTGAAACTGTATTCTTGTGACGCTTCACTAAAAACTTCATGTTGGATCGTTTTAAATAATTTGTGGGTTTGTAATTTTCATATCGCAGATGTGACAGTGGAACTGAGGTCGCGATTCTGCTCATCTGAGGCATAATAAATAGGTAAGGCAAAATTATTATTATTCAAACGAATGGAACTCCAAATTCGGAAGCAAACCAATTGAAGAAGTAAAGGGAAGGGATCTCAAGTATAATTTCATATTTCAATAAAAAAATAATTTGTGAAAATCAGCAGAAGTTAAGATTTAATTTAGTCTAATTTAGTTTGTATTATTTATTCGCTGAAAAGTGAGAGAATCGAAATGAACCTGAATTGTGTAGGATTACCATCGCGGTTCAACCTTCGTCCACTATTTGCTTTAACGTGACGGTCGTATGTCTCGTAACCGCCGGGAATTTGTTCAGTACGATGGTCCCTTTCATACATATTTCCTCCAGTTCTTGGCATTGGCATCAATAATGAATCTCGAAATTCATTCTCCAGTCGACTAATATCATCTTCGCGTCTAAATTAATTGCATTGAATTCGTTTTAAATTTTTTGAAATAAAAAAAGCTTAAATTAACCTCAAATTAACCTTTGCTTAAATTTGCATACCTTCTAATTGCATGTTCAAAACCGCGTCCCTCATCCCAATCAGCATAACTTCTACTTTTCGAAATTGGTTTATAAAAATCGTTTGAAGTAGAACGTCCACGATGTGGCGGTGGCATTGGTGCATCTCGTTCAATGTCAGCACGAGGTAAGGTAGGCGGAAATTCTACAAGTGGACCATTCTGTTGGTGGCTGCTTCTACGATACTGTGACGGCGATGATCTATAGTCATCATAATTACCCGTGTCGAAAACATCGCCTAAAACTTTTAATAATAAATAATCACTTTAACATTTTCTTAAAATTATTGGAAACTAAAAAAATCATTCGAAAACTATGGAATTGTTTTTATGCAGTGAATCCATTTGGATTTGGAGCAGCAATAAGGTTACCATTAAAAAATCTGTGAGGAAATCTTCGTCCAAGTTGTGTACTTTTATTGACCGTAATAACCAGAACTGATGAATTGCTATAACCACTGTTTATACATTTGAACTAACTACATACAAGTTATAAGAAATTTTGCTCAGAGCACCTATTAAAGTATGAATGAGTTACTGCATCTAAAATTTTTATAAAATTTTATTTATATAAAATAAAATTTTTGTATCTCACAAATGAAAATTTTCAACAATCGCTCATTATATTATAAACTTTTTAGAAGGAACTAACGCGTAGAATAGCTTTTATGTACACGTCCATCATGCGAAGTATGATAAACTTCACGAATTTCGCCATTAGGATCATATTTCATATCACCGCGCCGAAGACTATCGGAAAGTGAGCCATAACGTTCATAATCCAGGCCTCCATTCATCATGTGGTGGCGTCCATTATCATGATATTGCTTAAAAAATTTCGTGATAAATCAACCAATAAATTATAATGAAATAAGCTTATAAAATGCAACTTCCATTTCTTCCTGTTTTTGTACAAATAATGCGAAAAAAAATTCATGTGTCCATTAAAATTACAAAAAAAAAATTATTATTGACTAAATTACAATAATGAAATTGTTTATAAAGCTTTGTTGATCTATAACAGAGTAAATTCACTGTTATCGCTACGATTTATCCTATGGATCCTATGAGTTTTTTAGTTTACTGTGCTGAAAAATCTCTTTTATATTCCCTAACTTTATTATTCATGTTAAGACGGAAGACGGCCTTTTTCTAAGCTGCCGACATTTTTAAAATACTTATGGTAGAAAATCTCTTCACCCCATCTCGTTCTCGACGAGTAGTGATTGTACGCATGTAACTCTCGTGTGATGGCGAATAGTTATGGCGAGTAAGTGAACCATTTTGGTGACCTAAAGCATAACATAAGAAACTACTCGGATAAAAACTTTTTACATTCGACTATAAATATTTGAAATTCCAATAAAACCAAAAAGTTACTTTATTGTTTGCTTAAGAACAAGTTTCATACGGGTGTTGTTGGGAAATGTGCTGTTATTCACACTTTCTGGAGAAAAAGCATCATCCTAATAATCAGTGTAATCAGACGAACAGGAAATGGTGAGTGCTTTTAGACGAACGAGTTTTATAAAAAATATTAATAGGTACGATGAATATTTTAGGATCTCACCATAACCTTGCGATTCGTACCCACCACTGTGATGGTAACTTCGATGACCTCTGCGCTTTTTCTCCTTTCTTTCTTTTCGTTGAACACGTCTTTCAATTTCTTCAGTTCGTTTATGTTCTTCAAATTTATGCACCGTTTCTGTCACCTTTGGTTTCTAAATTGTAATGAAAGTTATTATTAAAAGACAAACAAAATCAAAAAAATGGTAAAATTTATTTAATCATAATTTTTCCTACCACCAATGTGAACGACAATTTATTTCGATGAAAAAATCTGTCTAAAAGATATGATTGCAGACCAATTATTGTTCAAAATGCTTGAAAATACCGATGGTACAACGTTTTGTTTTTGCTCCATATGACTCGTACTAATAACATGTTTTGGCTCGTCAGCATACATCATTTGAGTTTTTGTCTCCAAATCCTTCCTCTTCATAATCCCTCTAGGCTTATCATCCTGAAATAGTCATATATAATAATCACAAAGCAGCAACAGCAATGACCATCGCACTGTTTTTACTTCGACACAAAATTTCTTATGGAACAACCCAAACAACCCAAATTAATTGTTTGCCAAATGTTGAAAAGAAAGTTAAACTCTTCAACAATCACTAATATTCTATGAAGATACGAGTGAACTTATACCACTGATGTGATTTTTTTAAAGAGTCCTCACCATTGCTGGTTAAACTCACTGGCTTGTCGCATTGGGCAATATGCCAAAGGGAGTCCCTTGGCGATAGAAATGCAGGTGAGTCGCCAGCATCACCCGGATTTTTGTATAGGTTCTCCTGCGGGGAATCGGGGAAAACCTCAGCATCGGCACTCCCAATCGAGCAACAACCCACTGAGCCATTCTATCCCCTGATGTGATACTGATGTGACTAACTTAAATAATACTTTAATTTTGATAAGTGTTCCACGTATATTGCCATTATCAAGGGCGGGTAGCGAAGCATATCGATCAATGCGCCTCGAATAATTTTCAGTGAATTCTCTTGTAAGAGTTGATTGAGCCGAATCAGCAACGGACCCAAGTTGTGCAGGCATGTATGGCCAAGGTTGTTTTTGTGTCTACAACACACATGAAACTATCCATTTCACTAGGAACATAAAATAAAACTATTGAAAAATAACAAACAAATCTCCACACTCCAAATTTTGGTGTTTATAGAAACTGTGTAAAAAGAAAAAAGTGAAAAAAAAGCAAAAACAGAATTTGGACAAACGCTGCCAAACAGAATTTGGAAATTGCTATAAAATAGAGGAAAAGTGGAGAATATCAAACATGAAATCTTTGAAAGTATCACTGATTTTTACGAAAGTCGATTACGAACCTGTAAAAGACCATCGTCTGCTTTTGATCCACCATTTATCGAAACAACGGATCTTGGCGAAAATGAATGAGTTGAAAATTGCCATGTTGCTGATGAAGCATCCTGAAGCATCTGAACCATCAACCAATTGATATTCCCATTATGATGTTGTATTTCAAAAACTTTACTTCATTTAGGTGATCTGCTTAAAAATAATGTGCATAATTTTTCCTAAGCCAATTCATTGCCCAAAGGTTTCAACAGGTCAAGAGGTAATTTTTCTCAACCATGTTTGAAATGTCAAGCCAAATAAGCAGAACCTGCGAGAGAATAATTGGCAATGAACACTTAAAAACGTTTCAACGTTTCATAATAGTCTACTTAGCACGACATTTCTGATCGTATCATATTAATGCATCGGATGATAGAATATCTTCGAAAATACGAAAGGGATATCTATTGATTTATACTCAAATAATAAACAAAGCATGATGGCAGAGCACGATGGGTCACCGACTGACCTGTGAACCTACTCGTTAACATTATATTTTAGGTTAAATTGTACGACTTACCTAGGATTTAGTGGAAAATTTCGAAAAATTTACAAACACGCAAAAATTATTTACAAACAAATGGACATTTGCAAGCAAAGCAGAAATGCCATAATTATAAGCAATAGTACTTAAAAAAGTGATATTGTGCCTTTGCGTACCGTAACATATCCCGACCGATCGTTCTGTGGTATCGTTGAATTTATGGAATAATCATTTGACGTTCTCGATTCCAATATTTCACGAATATTTTCCTAAACGTCAAACAGCACAACTCAAGAAAAATTTTAGTAACATACGAAAATTGTTATACATAGTGTGCTTGCTTGTTGACAATGCAAATGCTGCTATGCACTAAACACTCGTTCATTAATTCATTAATGTGAATATTTGACAAATCGTGATATTTGGTATGCTTTAAAAACAAAAACTAGAATATGTCGAAGAAACACCCCATACCAGGCCTTTTTCAACTTCTTATAGTAGTGGTTTCTGGTTTACTAGCTCCACTGACCACTATAATGGAATATCTTCGTTAACAAGACAAGATTTAGAGGCATGAATGGTATATGGCAATATTTGGATTTCACTTTAATAACAAGTTTTTATTTTATAAAGAGAAAGGAATTGGGTCTATAATGCTTTGCTTTAGTTGAAGCACCAGTCGAAAACCTCGTTCCTTATCAGTTTTTTCTGTAATTGAGAAATTTAAAATAATATATAGGTTTGAAAAATTGAAGAGACAAATTAAGAAAGGCTAATCGCAGCATTAATTTAAGGACAAAAACAAAAAAATTCCCCATATTCCAAATTCTTTCCAAATTCCTCATACTGCATCAGTTCTCTTATAATAAATATCTTTTCTTCTTGCACAATCATTCATTACAATCGTCCTATTCGGATCTTCAAAGCTGTTCTACTCCGCTGTTGTGATAATATTTCCCCAAACCAATTTAATAAATTTTCCAATACAACCGACGATCAAAATGAAAAATGAGTGTAAAATTCTTGGGATTTTCAAGGCAAAAAAAAAGAATGAAAATGATCTTCGAAAATTTTTCTTCTATTTTACAAGAATTTAGAATTTTTTTTATTACTACTTATTCAGTACTTATAAATAGCGAATAAACCTGTAAATGAAAATTTCCTCATTTTCTCAATTTTTTGAGAATTCACGAATTTTTCATAATTAATGTGAGACTAACTGATAAAAAAAACCATCAATTTCGCAATAGTAAAATCTAAATTTAATAATATTTTGATGGATATTATTTTGACGACGAACCTTAATATTTTGTGGAATCGGGTCTGGTGAAGTTTTCACAATTTCAGGATTAACAAGCTTGTAGTCTGTACGTCTTGCTCTAGATCGTTCCAAAAGTTTCTCATTTAAACGAGCTAGTTCATCTAGATCAGCGTTCTAAAATAATCCATAGCAAATGAATTTCTCTCGATTCTGCGTTAATATGGTAAAAACAACTGAATATTGTTTTACCTTATCAATTTAAAAAAAATAGCAAAATAAACGAAGTGCAAATAGAGAAGCTAATCTTGACTTTAAATCCAGCTTCTCTTGTTGAGATGGAATCTCAAGCTCAAACAGATTCAGAATTTTTCTGGCATTCAGTTTCACCGTGCAACATTAACATTAAATTAAATGTAACATTAAATTTTTTGCAAAAAAATTGTTAGTCTGGAAAATCATTTAAACCATCTGACAATTTCCGAGATCATTCCAAAAGTTTTTCATTTAAATTAATCATCAACATTGCATTACCTTTCCCTATTTACAACAATTTTCCCCCTTTTTTTAATAAAACAAATAATCGCTATTTTTAAAAATTGTGGTTTTTCTAAATCAGAATAAAGAAGAGAAGGACTAAGCCTTCATCATGCCATCTATCATTAATCATTGGTTAGTTTCGTTTAGGATGCACACACTTCTATTATTCTAAAAAAATATATGCAAATGAATTAAGAAATTGTGGATTAAGAGTGATCGCATTAGTGAAATGGATAGCTGTACAATATGCAATAATTGGACAAATGAATATTTAGCAGAAAATCTGAAAAAAAAATACCTTTTTCGGAGATTGTGTGGCCTGAAAAAAGAAAAAAATTAATATAAAACTAAATTAATATTAATATTAATATAATATATAATATAATAATTAATAAAAAAATTAATTAACTAACTAATTAATTAATTTCATAGTTAATAAAATAATAAAATATTACAAAAAAAATGTTAGTTTTATTTAAACAAAAGAGCTGAGGCAAAAAACTGGAGAAAAATAAGAAAAATCGAAGAGTGCAATTCGTAGAAAGCCTGAAATATAAAATTATCATTTGATAAATAAATTATCATTTGACTGCTGCAAATTAGTTTGTAGAAAAAATAATCTCTAAAAAATTAACCTTTTACTTGTGTTGCTTGTTGATTGATATCATTTTTCTCCGAAAGTATTTTAATTCATTCATTGAAATTTTAGGCAGTGAAACAGTCAAATAAGGAAAACAGCAGCTTATTAAAATTCAAATAGTGGGCAAAATTAGATAAGATTATAAGATTAGATAAGATTAAGATTATTTATAAAAAGTAATACACAATAAAATGAAGTAACATGCCTAGTTGTGCGTTAATAGACACGTTAATAGATACTACCATCTATTAAAACCATTTTGAGAAATCCAGTTTTCGATATTGAAATGAGCAGAATTAAAAAATCTAATGACTTTTTGATTGTAAGTCGAGCAGTCTGATAATTTTTGAAAAAAGCTTAAGTCAAAGTGAGAGAAACTATATATGGCTTTGGCGAATGAATTATGGAAAGCAATCTTTTCCAAATGTTATAAAATATATAAAATTGAAGAAATATAAAATTTATAAATAGATGAGTAAAACTGGCCAACTGTTTTTTATTTTGAGAGCAGGCATCAGCTTGGCTTATGCTAGGATAATTTACTGGGCCACTTGAAGATAAATGGATAGGCACAAAACTGGCCAGATAACCTTAATAATTCCAAGTTGGATTTATTTACCTAAGTAAAGTTCGAGCACTTATTGCGCTGAACAAGCTTTTTTGATTTTTTTCGAAATTAAAATCTTAATTTAAAATTAAATTAAGTTTAAAATGAAATTAAAAAACCAAATTTAGCCAATTTAGACAGAAATTATAACATTACGATGACCATTATACACAAAATATAAGTCCAGCAAAAGTTATTGAAGGATTTCTACGATATCAAACTAGCGTTGCCCTATGATTCGATAACCATTCGTATCTGCTGTATTTTGTAATTTCTGAATGGAAGAATATGGCGTTGACGATCGCGAAACATTTACACGAACACGGCTTGAAGAAGAAGGTTTCTTAAAGGTTTTAATTTACATAAAAATAAATCCAAATTTGTTCTAAGAAGTCTTTTTTGAGCTAATTTACCGTATTCGTTGGAGTAATTTTGATAATTCGCATCAGAGACCTCTTCTTTGGACTTTTTGGCCGTTTTTCCAGATTAGGAGATTGCACTGTTATTCGATTAATCGTATTAACACATCTCCGATTTCCAGAAGGAATATGAACATTCTCTGCCTGAATAAATTTACCTCATAATTATAAAAAAATAATTTATGAAATTCACTAAAAATATTCTCTGCTAAAAATATTAGGACGTCATTGGAGATATTTTGACACAGCACCGTCTTACTTTTTTGTTCTTGAACCATTCTCTTCGGTCAATTAACCTTCAACTGTGAGCAATGATGTCAGTTGAAGGTCGAAAAATGAATAGCATCGTACTTAAAGGACAATGATAATCTTTTTCTAAGGCATTCCATTTTCTAAGGCACCATTTAAAACTGGAACTTTTGATTAAATGGACATTTCATTATTAACCGAGTCAGTTCGCTTCGCCGACATTGGTTTGGAACTTTTAATTGATTTCTCAAAGGTATCACATTGTCGACGAACGTCAACGCGTCTAGGCGATACTCGGTCGGTTAAAGTTGATGTATGTGGAGGCAAATCATATGTACTTAATCCACCACTTCCTGAAATAGGAATACTGAGACGCCAAAAGTAGAAAATTAATTTAATGTAGTAATGAATGAAATCAAGATATGAAAATTGACCAAAAGAAGACTTTCACTAGACATTCTTCAAAAAAAGTAATCATACTGAATATATCGATGCCCCAGCGGCAAAATAACTGCCACTGAGACATGAGAATCAACTGACGTATCACTCACTATTCGTCGAGCGATTACGTAAGCTAGGAGATAAAAACCAACTACTTCCGGAAAGAGTGGACTTGTCCGAAAATCCGGATTCCGTGGCATAATTATCTAGTCAAAGAAGCCAGAGGAGGAAGTCTAATCAGCAATGATAAGTATTCTTAAAAAAAAATTTACCCGGAATAAAATATTGATCACCTTCGTCCCTCGGCTCATATGTCTCCACTGAAATCGTTTTACCGCGGGAATCTTTCTTTTTCACTACCTTTAAAAAATTTGCAGAATTTACTGATTCCTTTCAATTCTTTCAAAAAACCATCATTTCAATCTGCTCTATATCAAAGCGGACAACATACATGGTACTTGTTTTTTAGATGGCCAGTAGTGAAGAAACCTCTTCGCATTTTTCTTCTCTTTCCTTTCACTTATTTTCTCATATTTCCTCGCCATTTTACCTTGGCATTCTGCATGGCGCAGCGAATATGAGAAAAAGAACAAAAGGAGAAAAATCTCTCCCTTATTTTTGTATATGCATATTTGTGTTTTAAATTGAAATAAGGCGTAAAACCACGAAAATTAGCTTCGAATTCCTACGAAATCATGGAATATATGAAATGCTTGTGAAGATGAACTACTATTTTGATGCACCAAAAGAAACTGCCAATCCGAAGTGGAAACTGGTAAGAAAATTCGCTTATATCGGTCGTTATCAATCGAATATTCGATTATACGAAAATTTAATTAAGAATCAGCAAGACAATGTCAACATAAATCGAAACTCTACAGTAAAAATACAATAGTATAGACCTTGCCAGTTTTAAAATATTTTGCAATGTGTAATAGTTGAAAACTCTTTTATCTCTTTGATGGAAGTGAATAGGAAATCGGTGAATTTCCACCTTTAGTACCATTTGCTTTTAAAACGACTTGTCTTTCTCTTTTCATAATTTATGTTAAGTTTCAACTGGATCAAATATATCAAAAAATCCAAGTGATGTTGTTTACATTTCTATCTCGAAGTGACTCTCTGATTAAAAAATATTCTGATAACCAGTAAAGTAAAGCAGAAATGGTGAATGTGCAAATAATATTAAGCTAATATTAAGTTCAGTATTTTGGGAGTTCAGTATTTAATGCGCGTCGGGATCAGAAATGAAAAATAATTCAAAAATAAATTGAGAAGATTTTTTGAAATGACCGCTTATAACAAAAATTTTTTTGAAAATTTTCAATTCGTTCGATCTTGCTATATGGTTCTGAGGCGAATGAGAATGGAGGAAATACTAAGAAGCTATCTACCTTTGACCACTCTTGTATATAAGATATTTACATGTCCGTCGAACAGATCACATAATCGCATCTACTTTCGTTCAAACACCACATGTATTAATAATGTTATCATAGAGCGTCGCCTTCGGTGCTTAGAGCACGTTCTTCGTCGTCCACCACAAGAGTTGTCATATATTTCATTACTTGCTAAGACATATGACGGATAGCGTCAAAGAAAAGAAAAAATGGCTTCTATTACTGTCGACGATGGCCACGCCGCTTGAAAGCATCTTATCCTTGTAGCCGTTGGAGCCACCCTAACCAGTAATGGTGAGAGCTGCTAGAAGAAGCAGTTCGGTATTTTGACATTATTTCACTTTGCTTTTTCCTTTATTTATTTTTTTCACGATGATTATTGTTTAGGTAGCCAAATTTGGCCTAAAAAATAGAAAAATCTTTCGAAATGAGGAAAAATGCGCTGGCGAAGACAAGTCAATGCACTCTTCGCTCAAATATTTTATCGTTTTGCGATGCTATTGTTCATAAAACAAACAAGTACCGAGTCACTTTTTGCAATATCAAAATATATTGGGCTAATGAACCAGAATTAAGAATCTGTCAATCTTTTTTCGCTTACCTTAATTGAATTAGGAGCACGTGGACAAAATCCGCCAGAAGGAGTGGACCTTGGTCCTCGAAATAATGCTTTCGGTCGATGTGTCCCATCTGGAGATGGTGGTATAAGATATTTCACCTGTCGTTTAGCAACATCATCCAAAGAACCAGGACCTAAATAAACCTTAATATTTGCTAAGGCTGGTTTTTAATCTACATTATATTTCTATATATTCTTTTCTTCATTTCAGTAAACAGGAAAATGTTAGTAAGTAGAAATTTGTTGTTTCGGCAAGCAGTACAACTCCGATTGATGCCCTTTTAAAAAGTTTTATCGTAAAAAATGAAAGCAGATTGAAGGCTTATCGCAGCAACCAATGGAACCAGCCAAATACTCTGTATAATTTAATTGTAAAGGATATATTATAATAAGATGAGGTTTATAAAATAAAGTATGATTTGGAAGCATGAAAGAAACTTGCCTGAACCCTTTATAAAAAACCGATTAGAAACATCATCAGGGACGAAGTCTTTACGTTCATATTTATAATTTGAATCGGTCTTATATGGTTCCCATCTGTATTCTTCACTTTCGCTAAGTTCGGAACTAACTAAATTTCATTATAAGCCAAATTGGAGGTTATAATTCACCTTATCCATATAATACGAAATTGCTATTATATATTTTCTAGAAAAAAGAAAAAAAATTAAAATGAAAACCTGGAATAGGAGTATTCGATGAGAGCATTTCCAAATCAGTATTATAAGAAAGTCGCGAAGTTGACCAAATATACGGTGGGTCGGGAGGAGGTTTCCATTTCCTACCAGTTCGATGAATTTCGAGTTCAAGTTCTGGTTTTACAATGAAAGCCTCACGCAACTACAAAATTGCATGAAATTTTTTTCTTCTTTTTCATATTTTACGCATTTGAGAAAAGAAAGACTCGACTTTGGATTAGCCATTTCCTAAAAAATCTTTAATATGGCAAAAATCCTCTTAATTTAGTAGCTCAGAGAATTTTCCTCAGTGCCGAGTAATGTTGTTGTTATTGTAATAGATGTACCTTAAGGAGATCAACATCGAATCGTTCACGTTCAAGAAGTTCGCGGCTAGAAATAATTTCATTTTTCGCTATTGGCGATTGAGTATCAACGACATATGTTCGCTTCCAAGTTTGTGATGATGGAGAATACATAAGTTCTTGTGAACTAAGGTCTTCAGAGAATGCAGAGATGGGTCGAGTTTCGAATACTCGAACTTGTGGATTAGGCTCATTCTAAATCAAATATCGACTATAGAAACATTAAAGCATTAAGGAATTAGAAGATTTACTGATTTTCGGGAGAGAAAAAGAAAACGCGAAGAAGAAATCGGAAAAAAAATTTACTTTAATATTTGAAGTATTAATAGTACGATAATCCGAATTTGAACCGTAAAATTGAGCATCTTTTACCAACAAATTATCATTTCGAAATGGAGATTCAACTTTATCACCACTACGCTCTTTCCGATAAATTTGACTTGTCTGCATCTGCAATTATAATTTGAAATCTTCTTTCTTTAATAGCACTCATTTCTGTTGTTTCACTCGGGAATACAAGCAGAATGGTGTATCATTAGAGCTTCGAAATGACAATTCAACTCCTGATAAGTTCACAAATGAAATTCATAACTTGATCGAAGTCAAGTCAATGTGCCACTTAACCATTCTTTCTTTATAAATTTATTACCTTTTAATTCCTTATGAATAGAATATTATTGCTATAAAGCAATTCAGGTTTTTTTTATGATACGTGATATTTTCAAGTATTTTCAAGCTTTTTCGCGGAATTCTTAACTTTTCCATTAAAAAGCAGACAGATATCAAAAACTCGCTTAAATATTTGGATTCATTCATCTAACCAAATAGTAAGCACGAGTTGACAAAAAGAAACCTAAAATGCAGGAATTTACCTGTTTTTGCAAGAGCCTCATGGTTTCTCGCTCTTTCCTCCTTATCGCTTCCATTTCTATTTCTTTTTGACGCTTATATTCATTGATTCGTTCCGGATCCATTATATTCTTTCTTCTTATGCATACATTATTTCCACTCAACAACGAAGAAGTTGGTGGCGGTGGTGGCGGCCAAATGACAACTTTTAATCTCTGAAATGTTTTGATTTCTTTGATTTCTTTTATATATTTAGCCCAACTTCCTTTTTTCACGATCATTGCATGCATCCATTGGTTTTATTTGAATTAATATCTCAGCAAAACCACTCGCTGAATAAGAAAACTTAGGGGGTCGTACGGTGTGTTTAGCGACGGTAGGTTAATATGATTCGCGGAAGATAGAAGATTTTTGGATTTGAATATTAAAATATCATATCCAAAAATATCAAAATATCAAATAATAATATCAAAAACATCAAAGAGGAAATAAATAAGAAATGAGAAAAAAATGCAGTTTTCAATTTGCAACTTACTTCATCATTTTTACAATAGTTACTAAAAGAAGGATCTTTTAGGTTCGATTCAGATGCAGAAATTGGTTTTGATCTGTAAAAAGCGTTAGCAAATAAAATTTTAAGATCTGCATCAAGCAATCCATTAATGACTGTAAATGAAACTGACGGAATTGAATATTCTCAAGCAAAAGTACTAAAATAAAAAGATGGCTACTGTCAGGGTATTATTATAATCTAAGATTTATCATATACTTGTAAATCCAAATTTGACTTTTTTTAGGACTGCGAAGTTGATAATGAAATTTCCTTCCATACGCTTTAAAAATTTTAAATGAATGGAAACTTAAACGAAGAATTTTATTTCGCTTTTTTTTCTTCAGAAATTTTGTTATATTGAGCACCAAAAATATTAATTTTGATACCTTTCATCAGAATCTCCAATTCTAATAGGATTCAAATCACGTTGATCTCCTCGCTCGTTTAGTACTTTTGCTTGAGAATATTCAATTTCATCAGCTTCATTTACAGGCATTAGTGGATTGCTTGATGCAGACCTTAAATGTTAAGAACTATATAGAGGAATTCATAATTAGTCCCTTCCATGGATTAAGCAATTAACAATTTACAATAAAGTTAATTAAATTAAGCTAGGAATTTCAGCCAGCGAGTCGCTTGGATATAGGAGTTGAAATGGGTTACCAACACCATTCAGATTTTTCAAAAAAATTTTACTTATATCAAGGTCAGGGAATTGAATCTCCGATGATCAAAACGATCACAGATCACTACTGGCGATTTCACTGGCTATTAGGAGTGAGAAACTTTTGCCAAGGAGGTACTTAAGAATAGAATAGAATAGAAATACTGGTGTGCTCTAGACAACAACCAATTAAACATATAGGACAAATACTTCTTAATTCGCTCCTAGTATTTTGGAATAGGAAATGCCTTTCAATGAAATATACTACTGTGTAATATACTATGGTATAATATTACTGTGTAATATATTATGGTATAATATTAAAATATGGCAATTAGTAACCGTAATCGTTGTCCAACTTCTTCAAGCCTAAAGAATGGTCCATTAAATGAAACGCAAGGATAACGATATTGAGGAGTTTGTGATCGGTGGCGCTGTTTCCGTAAATTCATCTGCATTATATTGAAATGTTCACTGCCCACTATATTTAAATTATCATGGTTTGAAGATAAATCCTTTTGTTCAGTGGCAATTTGTTGGAACGAACTCGATTCTTTCGACTCAAAAATTAAGAAATATTAAAATAATGTTTAGAATTGAATAATATTAAAATATGAAAATAAATTTAAGAATTTTCAAATATTTGTATGAAAATTTATTGAAATTAATTTTAATTAATTAAATTAATTTTTAATTGATCAGGATTCATGAAAAAAAAAATAAAGAAATTTCGTTGGATTGAATGACGAAAATAAATTTATTTCCACATTAATGTTGGAAAATGAAAGAATTATAGTATTATATTAGTAATTAATTTGACTTGATGAACGAATGGCAAGAACAAACAATGAATAAATTAGATCACTGAGCTAAGCCACTAAATTAGCCTTATTTTAATTGACTAAATTTTAATTAGCCTTATTTTTTCTTAATTCTCAAAGTTTTGAAAATATCGTCGAAGCAAACCTATAGTAGACGAAAATGGGGTCCGTTTAGATCAGTAACGATAAAAATTTAGCATAGAAGTGGAGCGTAGATTTAAATTGCTGTGGCTTAGAATTTCATAGCTTAGATGCTTATATCGATCACTCTAACTTTTAAAACATTTTAAATTCTAAATTTTTATGATTATAAAATTATTGGCAATAAAAAAAGATAGAAAAATAGAAAATTTTTGAAGTGGAAAAGTAGAAATTGATTGTTGAATGAGTTATTGAGGAAGGGACTGTGATGTTATGTCATACAATACAATCTCGAACACTTTGACACTTCTCGCAAATCAAATAGCAAACAATGAGAAAGAGACACGGACACTTATGGTTAATTCAACTTTATAGATAATAAAAAATATACAAAAATAAAATTGTTTAAACAAAAGTTAATGAAAAGTCAGCCATCACAGATTGGGCTCTTAAGAAAAATGATGAAAATGCGCTTTTTAACGGTTATTATCCTTCCTAGACCAATAACCATATACCAAAGCAGTTTAGCATTGTACTATATTAAAAAATATATTCTGAAGTCATTGATGAATTTTCTTCAATTACTACTCGAATAATTGAGCAAATTTTAAAATTTTAAATTATTATGATAATAATAATGATAATAATAAACATAATAATAAAAATGATAACAGCAATAGTAATAATAATAACGATAATAATAAAACAAACTTTATTTTGTATTGGATTATTGTTTTCAGTCGAAAATTCTTGTTTAATTTTTAAGTGTTGCTGAAATCACTGAGATAAATATTTTAAAGAACAAAGGCTAAAATTTCCCATCAAATTATCGACACTACTATCGGCGAAATTTTGCAGAATTTACGAAATATTGAATTTACATGCTAATATTAAAAAATTCAGAAGTAAAAAATATTCGAAAGAAATTTATTCCAATTAATGAACGATTTAACCTCAGGTATTGTCGTATAAGGCCGTTCGTCAAATTTTTGTTCTACATTTAAGTCACCAAGTGATTGGGTTCTATTTGCCACAAAATTGGTCCTAATTAAGAATCTCTGCAATATTTTCAATGATGATTTAAGATATTAGGTCGATTTTTCCGAGATTTGAAATAATTTGAATAAATAATTCAATTAAGCGTAAAAGAAAAGTTGTAGTATATAATTTTCTAACGGCTAACACCATTTCCAGTTTGGATGATAGGATAAAAGTCTTTTCATAGTCTTTTCACCGAGGAATTAATGGAAGATAACTCCTCCAGAATCATTGCAGATGGTAGTTATATATTCCCTCCTAAACAGTTACTAGACAAATACTAGAATATTAACAATTTATTAAATATCAATAGCTTCGTCTAAGATGATTGCCACCGAAAATCAAGAAAGGTTCGCCTTCAAAATCTGACCGGTGCATTACTTTCATCATAGAGCACAAGAAACAAAGGCAGAATGGCCCAATGTTGCTGAATTTGCAGAGCCAAAGTTGAGATTTGGTTTTAAGCCAGGCATGAATAAACCTGTTCATCGAAAATCCATGTGATGGTAGCGGCACTGTAAAATTTAAGTGGTCCGACTGGCTACCACAAGTTTAACAGTGAGGTCTCTTAGAAAAAAATTCGTTAAAATATTAAGGATGAGGATAAAATATTTCTTAAGATGGCCTTTCTACTGTCACTCATACATGCTTTACAAAATAATTTAGTAAATATTCAATTATTCAATATTCAATTATTTAATAAATGTTTAGTAATTTGTTATTAAAAATAAACATGCTTTAGTTGGTTGTAAAATCAGTTTATAAAAATGAGATTAAGGCTGATTTTTTAGAGTAAACTTTGGAAAAGAAAATTTTGGGAATGACGGAGAATATGAATAAAGCTATCCGAATTTCAGGATTTCTTCCATTAAAAATTTCTATATAAGATAGATTTTAGCGAATAATTTTTTATATTCCCATTTTTTTACCTAAGAATAAACTTTCAGCGACTCACTCAATAGTTTGCATGCTCAAAAAAAACAGCAAAATTTTTAAAGTTCTCTCAATTATCCATCTTTTTATTTACTTGACAATTTGTTTAAAAAAACTGTCAAATTTTTCGTTCCAAAGTTTAAACTATGATTTTTTTTTCCTACCAGAAACACTAGTTTTATCAAAAATTTTAGCACTACTTGCACTTGAGTTTTTTGTAAATTCACCCATCTCATTTAATTGCACTCTTTTAATTTTTTAGTTACGTTAAAGTGATTAGTACCCCTCATTTCTAGTTAACTGACTGTTAATAGAGTGAGTCTTTTGCCAGGTATTCATTTGCGGATGGACTTTAAGATTCTGCGGGTAGCAAAGGCTGAATGTTCGCATTGTGCGATACTATCATTGTCTTCGGCACGAACCTATTAATATTATTGGTGTTGCAAAAAGAAACCGCATAATATTAATGATTTATCTACAGATTTTAAATGTTTGGAAAATATAACGAAGTAGGATTTGAAATGGAAATTTTTAAGGCAAAAAAATTTTTATCAAAAGAAAAGTTTTATAGAAAGGAAACTCACATGCAAATGAGGAGATATCATATTTCACGGCAAAATATTTTCTGCTGTAGTAATAATAGTAATCTTGTTTGTATAAATGCATTCACCAGATAACGATCGAATAATATCGTAAAGATAATTTCATCCATCTATTGTCATTATGTCCCAGTTCTTCCAACAAAAAGGAAATAAGGCCCTTACCAAGCCCGATGTGTCTCAGCTCTTTTGTTAAAACGGCAAATTAGTCAAAGCAATACGGATTAGAAATAAAGGCACTCAACAGCTTCACAAAAGGTTATATAGTTTAAAGGTTATTCATGTCTAATATGTCAACTGCTAGCATAACGCTATTATGCTAGGACTTCATATTCCTGTTCTATCAGCCTAATATCCAATGCCAGGCCTAATCACTCCAGAAAAACATGCAAGAAAAAGACGCAGACAAATAAGTCCCAAAAGAAATAGATTTCATGCATAATCGACGATATAGTAAGGGACACAAACCTTTTGCAAAGTTTCAATTGTCTGAAAATAAATTTTCTCAACGAAATGCTAATAATTATAGTAGAATTAAGAAATGAATGAAGTTAACTATTTGAAATAATTAATTTCGAAATGGAAACACAAATTACCAAAAATTTTAAAATTCCCAAAAATCATAAAAAATTAAAAATTTAAAGTGCTGAAGTGATATATACTTAAAACTCGCAGAAATATAGAAAATAAATTTTTTCCTAAAATTTTCAAAATTTCCGAGATTTTGAATTTTTCTCGAAATAAAAAACTCACTTTTTTTATTTCTTGCAGCTCTTTATCGTCCCTTTCCTGAAAATTATCCTAATGTGTCGGACGAGAATAAATACGATTTTACGTGCAAATATTCCTAATAGCAACGAAAGATAAGAAAAGAATCGCCATTTAATTTGAATTTGAGCAATGTTTTAATAGAAGATTGCAATTTCTATCAAGAATAAATTTATGCTGAAAATTCACCAAAACAAATAAGAATAACAGTTAAACAGAGACTTGAAATCTAACCTTTGGACCTGGCCAGTTGGGCTTATGCCACGGTTTATTAGCATCGCCTTCTTTAGCTTTCAAATATTCTCGTAGCCTGGAGGCTTCCATATCACGATGACGATCCACACTTTCGGTAAGATAAGCACTTGTAGTTATTGGACGTGTTTCGACTGACTGAAAATTACTTTTTAATTATAAAAAATAATTAAAAATATTTTTCTTCCAGCAGAAGAATGCGAACTTATTAATCATGAAATTATGACGAAAAATTTAAATTATTCAAGATTTATTATGAATGCTTTCGAATAAAAATTTTATTTTATATGAAAGAACCGGAAAACATTCTCTGCCCTTTGGTGTAATCAAGAATAATAATTACAAAATGACCCAATTATTTTAATAAATAAAGGAAAATTTGTATGTATGAGGTGTTGCAATTTCAAAATATATATACATAAATATTACTTTACCTTTGTGATATATTTATATATATATATTAATCTACATTCTACATAGTCAAATATTAGCCAAGATAATCGCGTATGAATCGCCCCTGCCTTCGGCATGAATGTTATTAAAATGATCCGAAGGTATTAAAAACCTACCAACTTGCCCTAAAAGCTGGTGGAGCGAACTTCACCAGAAATGGTAAGCCCTAACCACTTATAAAGCTAATAAGCTGAAAAAAGACATTTTATTTTAGCAGGATCAGAAATTTCGTGTGATTTCGCCTAACTATCTTAGTTCGCTAAAATGGAAAAAAAAACAAATTCTTTATAAGTATATGATACAGTTGGCTGAACTAACCCGAATTCTTCGTTTTTCCAGTGGATCCAACTTTAAAAATGACCTTTTTGAATGTTCACTAGGGAAATCGAGATTTCTCCGGTATGATCCGCTAACTGATTGACTTAGATATGGCATATTTGCATTTGAACTAATTTTTGGATCAATCATTTGTAATTTATAGTGATCTTGCGTTTCTTTTACCTCAAATTTTTTTCGTTTTTCGCACCCTTTTTTTCTATTTTAATATTTAAATATCGTAAAAGTATTGAGTGTTGAAGCATTTTTTGAGTAATTTTATTGAAATATTCGGTTTAAATAATTAAAAGAACTTTATAATCTCCAACTGCTTCCGGTAGGTTGGAAGTTGAACCTAAGGTAAGTTCTTGGCTCTGAAAATAAATTCCTTTTTTAAAGTTTCTACTATTTAGCGAACCATCTATCTAATGGGGCCGTTTACTTTGCTGTTACATATTTATTTACTTCTTCGACTTCTTTCAAATTATTTTTTGACAAATTCCGAACTTCTCAACCGTGAATACCACTTTTTTTGAAATAAATTTATTCTAAGAATTTTTGTTGTGCGGCAAAAATAACAAATAAAACTGGCCGAAGAATGCTCATTTACTTTCATGCATTACAGTATTACGTTGATCGATGCAAGGAAACAAGCAATAAATTTTTTCTCACTAAATTTTTTGCTTTCCTATATTTCATTGAGAAGAGAAACTGGCATAAGCGAGCTGATATTAAACAAGGACTAACCGATTTATTCAAATCATATTTATAAGTTGGCGTGACCGTACGGATATTTGATCGATACGCTTCACCATGTATCGTCGTTGGATTATCCTCCTATAATTCAAATTTAAAATTTTTGCAAAAAATTTGCGCAATAACAATAAAATAATGTTAAATTAAATAATTATAATATATAAATATACAAATGTAATAAAATAAAAAAGATTAAAATAATTCCATTGTCTTTCCATTTTTAATCGAAGAAAGGAAAAAAAATTTGAAATTTGCTTTCCTGTGTTTCGCTTAATCCAATTAAATCTTTCTAAAGTGGTTGAATGAGTAATTTTCAAAAGTGTAGAAAACTGACAGTGGAAAATGACCAGTAAATACTGTTGGAATGTGACCGCAGTCGAGAGGATTAATTTTTCTCAATTCATTATGGGATTATAAATTATATTGGGAAAACGAAAACCTTACAATCGACAATCGTAAATTTTCTCTTTTACTATTATAAAAGACCGCTTTAAAGCCGGTGAAATAGGAAATGATCCACTAATTTAGAATATAAAAGTGCTGAATCCTGGCATAACTATTTTAAAAATCTTATAAAGAAACATATATATATATAATATAATATATAAAAATGTGATTTTAACAACAAGTAATACGTCTGGTTTAATTGGCTTCATTGATTACTAGGTTGGGGAATTTAGTTGCAATTTCAGTTGTAAGACAGTTTCGAAATAAATGCAGATGGGTTTCCTACAGTCACCCGAAAATTTGCACAAAATTTGTATTTTAATAAATATCAAATGATATCATATAAAAAATGTCGTTTAAATCTTAATGAAATAAACATACAAAAACTCTAAGTCGCTCGAGAAACATTGGTGAGAATCGTCGATGTTGTGGTGATTCAATCATTTTTTATCTTCAGTTTAATTTATATAAATATAAGGCTTTGCTCGCCTAAAATTAGAAATCCGAACATATTTGGTAACCTTTTTCATGTATTTATATGCCATTTATTTATGCGTATTTATATGTATATGTAAATATTATCGAAATTTCTTTTTTAACAAATGATAATAAAAATGGAAAAAAGTAGCGATAAGCGTTTCGATAACATTGAAGTGTCACGATCATTTGCAAAATACGAACGATTATATTTTTATTTATGAACGATGTTTAAAATAATCTATATTTTTTAAAATATTTGATTTTTAATGGTGATTAGTGATAAGAAAATCTTGACTAGTGGAGTGAAACTAGAGAGTCATTAACTTGGGAAAGTTTATACCACTCAAATATTGAATAGTGAATTTTCTGGCTTTCCTAGTTCGCCATAACAATTAGTGCTAATTTTTGAGTGCTGCAAAAATACAAATTTATTATATTTCAAAAATACAAATTTATTATAGTTCATAAATTTATAAATCGCTACTGAGTCGATTATCTTAAAACTGTGAATTTAAAAATCAAATCAAAATTAAATCAAAAATAAAAATAGAAGTTAAAATAACAGAAATGAAATAAAATTAAAAATTATAATTATATGATTTAATTAAATAAATATGCAATAAACACTGTTATAAGTATTTGTATTTACAATTATTACAATTAATAAATGATGAAAAAATTTAAGAGACTTTTAAGAAACTTTTTTCATGGAGAAACATAGTTGTAATACAATAATTATCGAATCATTGCTTATTTTAACTATTCAAAACTTTTGAAGCTGAAAAGAACTTTTGAAGCTGAAGAAAATTAAAAAATACAAAACATCAATACCAATAATGTGAAATCGATTGTTGGTTCCGATCGAGTGAAAACCAGATTTTAAAGGCAATAAAAATCCCCCTTTTTATATCAAGCATCTAACACCAGTTTCTTCGCGTTCGACAACTTTTAATGTATATAAAAATTTACTATTTTTAGTTCAATAAATCGCTATTGAGTCGATTATTTGAAAGCTAAAACTAACTAGCAAAAAATGATGCCATATTAATAGCTGAAATAGGGTCAAAGGGCGAATTTCCAAAATTGATATTTGACGTAATATTTTCCAATGATAAGAAAATGGATTGGAAAATATGCGAATATTCAGGAAAAACTGTAGAAGACAAAAAGCACAAATGAAGATGAATTATGGCGGATGAGGTTTCTGTATTGAAGTGAATCGCCGATACGACTCAAAAAAGGAAATGTTTATAAAACCTGTTTGCAACGATAGTCTTTCCTCTTTTTTTTTCCGAAAATCATCCTATCTATCGATAATCACCCAACATACAATTTGACTAATGCATTCTAATTCATAAAGTGTATTTATTTTTCAAGTGCTTCATTTATTTTTCAGATAAAAGCATACGAAAAATTGAAAAATTAAAGGGAATGGCCAGCGGCAATATGTATATTGCAACTGAATGTACATTGCCTAGATTATCATTTTAAATTATGGTTTGCCAATTTCTTCTGGCAGGAATGAGTCTGTCAGTAAGAAAATTTTTGCGATGTTCAAGAATTAACTTTTTATCACCAACCATTTTCTGGAGAAAATCTCTTATCCTAATAGTCAACGCAGCAAGTTAGTTAATCATTTATTCATTGTTAACCATTCAATGGAAATGGAAGTCATGAATCTTTTTCTGCTCTCTTTTTGCAAATATGTTTTTCGACAAATGACTTTAACACTGCTCATTATTTTTCGTCTAATCAGGATATCAGTAGCAAGACCCTTTCGTCAGAATGCCACTTAAATTTATATGTGATTTCCCCAAGCCAAAACTTTAGAATTCAACTGAAAAGATGATAATTTTACGATTTAAATATAAAATATTTCTCTTTATTGCATTTTGGCGACAAAAATGAATAAAATATAAACCAAATAAAAATGATCAATTACCAATAATTGATTCCTATTTTTAACAGTAAAAAACACTATCACTATTTCAACGAATATAACTGAGATAGCTCACAGCTATCTCAATTATATTCGTAAAAAAAAAAACTTCGAAATGAAGAGGACGCCGATTTACAGGAAATAACATTCCTATATGTAAAGGACACAAAAAAATTAAGGTCAATCTACGCAGCATTCAGTGAAGAACAAAATAGGTCATCCTGAATATTCCAGACTCGACAGCTGCAAAAAGCTCGCAGAATGAGAAATTTAAAGATTTTGAAGTAATAATTTCAAAAAATAAATAGAATTGGCAGATATAAGAACAATCAACGTTATGCAAATATACGAGTCGTCGAACTATAATATTTCTCATTATTTCATTAAAAAACTTGTAAGTGCTAATCTTAAAATTGAAAATTATGTAAATCTATTATTGCTTGAAAAATATATTTTCTAAAAGCTTAAATTCTCTTGTCTTCGGCTAAATTCAAATGAGAATTTAAGTCAACACTTCCTTCAGCTTAATTTTATTGCAAAGCCATGTTAACCTCCATAAATAAAAAAGAAATTTTCTGGAAACAATTTTAAGATGAGAGTAAAAGGTAATCGGTCGTAAAAGATTTCTTAAAATAAAGTATGATAAAAAAATACATGGAATGGAATGTTAAATCTTAAAATAAGGACGAAAAAAAAGAAGAAAAAGTGTAAGTTCTTCGTAAATTTAAAGATTCCTTGCATATGATAACTTCCCAAATTTATCAAAAAATTCAAATCATGGAAAAATGTATTCCATTACTTTCTTACTTAATATATGAAGTGACTCAGATAAACATCTGCAAAATTACAGATTATCAAATAATATTCAAAAGTGAAATGATAAGTAGTTATCAAACAACATTGATAACATTAATAAATAGTTATTGAACTGGAAGAACAAAAAGAAAATTTGCCACAATCTGCCAAATTACTAATGTTTGATGAAAATGTAAACTAACTGGTTTTGGTGGAGTTCCTTCAACAATTTTTTTTACGGGGGTTGACCATTCTCGTACTGTTGTTTCAACTTTCGCTGCCATAATATTTAGTTTTTTTTCTGAAATTCATTAAGTAGATTAAATGGGCACAACTTATCACTTATTTCGCTTTTTGGTAATTCTACTGTTTTTTGCCGTTTTCGAAAAAAACTATCTAAAAAGCGGCTTGAACAACGGTTCCACTGAACTTTCTTTTTTCTTAAGGTCTTATTAAGTAATAAAAAACAAAAATTGAAATGAAACAATTGCAGAAGACGAATATCTAAGTTTACTTAAAGTTGTTCAAGACAAAGCTGAAAACAACAGAGCTGAAAATAATTTGAATACTTCGGTGCTTTGCTGTGGAAGACTACCTGAAGAATAGAAAATCAGAATCCTCTTTGTGGCAATAAATGAAGCGATTTTTATCGAAACTGATTGAATCGATTAATACTGGAAAATTAATTGATCAGTAGAATGGGATTAACGTAAGATATTCACGATTTGAACGAAACAATAATGGTAGTACCAGTTTTTTCAGATTTCATCACGAATAGAAATAACTATACTTTTTTTTCATAAGTTTACAACAATACGGGTGCCATTTGCTTTTCCATAGTACTCTTTATACGTATATATATAACATTTATAACTAAATATAACATTTAGTATTCCAGAAAAAGTTCTGCGGTTATCGGTATTTTTCAATATTCGACGAGACTTCTAAGCTCCAAAAAGAGACTATTTTTAGGCTCTGCTGAACTGCTAAAATGGCTCATATGACAAAGAAAATAAAGAATCTTTGCCATAAAAAACCATATTAAAATCGTCACAGCTTGGCTTCGGTTTTGTAACCAAATTTGGTTATTCTTATCTATCGATGACCAAATTAATCTGACGATTCATCTTTCAATAACAATACTTCAAAAAATGATTGCCATAAATCTCATTTCATTTCTAATAAAAAATTAACCGAAAACAACAAATACCAACAAAAAACAGTTAATTCAAAGAGTTTAAGACAAGAAAAATTATCAGTAAATTTATTTTCAAGGTTATTAGCAAGAAAATCTTTGTTTGAGAATTTATTCATTTTTTGAATATTATAAAAAAACAGTACACGATGCATTCATTGTTTTTCGCTTAATAATTAAACTTTACAACGATAAATATACGATTACAGTCGAGTGGTGCGTTGCTTCTGTATGTGACTGAGCAGCCTATAATTTCCTCAAATATAACTCTCTGGGGAAAGACTCTCATCCTAATGGCTAAATCGGAAGTGGTGAATCGGAATAGCCAATATTAGAAAAAATACACTTTAGCTAATACACTTATACACTTTAGCATTTTAGCTAAATACACGACGGAAATTAAAGTTTAATTAAAATTAAGTCAAATTAAAAAATGCAACGCTTCATTTAAAATTCAAATCAAAAATTAGCAAAAAAATCGAAAATGCAAGAAAATCATTCTATAAAAAGTTGAACCGAATTTCCGCATTTTCCTATTTTAATAAAACTTTTAGTATTAAAATAATAAAAATATCATAAAAATTTACAAAAATTTATAATAAAGTTATGTTTACGCCATTAACAATTGTTCAAGCAGTTCGCACTGGTTACAAGATGCATTGTTAGTTAAATTACCAAGGCTAATTAAAAGGGTATCCAGATAAAACAAACTCTGTTTAGAACGGAGATTCCCAAAGAGATCTAAATAGACCCCTGAAATGAAGTCTCAAAAAGAGCCCATAAAAATAGGAGCTATTGCGAATCGATTGACAAGTCTCATACTTTTTTAAAATTCCGTATAAATTTCAAATGATTACAGTAATATTAATAATAATGGAGAAATTTCTGTTAACTGATTTAATTATTGATAATAACAATTAATAATAATTTTTTTGACTATAGGAAAAATTATTCTATAAGCGACGGGGAATATAAAAGTGTTCTTAAGAAATAATTTGTTCAGAAGAAAAAATGATAATTTTTTGAAAACTGCTG